CTATGTCTCGCGTCTGGGGATGTGTAGAGTAGGCGGTCAAGTTCAGATGAATCGAATGGGGTAAACGCGTAGCAATGGTGCATTACAAAGAGCATTACAGGGAGAGCAGGAATCACTTCGTGTGATACTCTGGCAGACTATTGTATGCGCTCAAATAATAGCGCGCTTTTGCCTAGCCGATCCTGGAGCTTAGTGTCCGGATGCGCTCCGAGCCTGTCGTCCAATCCACGCTGCGCTGGCTCGTCTTCCTTCCATCTATCTCGCGACTCTTTAAGCGATCGGTTGCGCTTTCTCTCCAGCTGATCCGAAATAAGCGTACCACCCAGCTCTTGCGGCTTGTCGCCGCCGCCAGAGCCACCGGTATCGTCATCGTCGTCACCCCACACGCTTACGCGCGGTGCTCGCATCGACCCGCGGCCTCTGATTCGGATGCCGCCAGCGGTCTGGTTGGCGAAAAGCTCGCGGACTGGCGATGCTGACCTGTCGCGATCGCGTCCACGTTCGTTTCCGGGCTCAGGCTCGCGCGTTCGCGATCGCGCATAGTCGTCCATTTCATCGTTCAGTGCATCCATGGCTGCACGCCGGTCATAGCGCCGACCCATGCGACCCTGCAGCTCGCTCGCACTCGCAGACAGGGGTTGAGGCAGTCTGTCCATTTGTGCGCGATAGCGACTGCCGCTTCGATCCTGGCCGCCTTCGTCGGCAGTCAGAAGCTCTCGGCTGTCTTTGTACTCTCCCACTTCTAGCAACTTTCCCACCACGTGTCGTCCTGCATCCCTGCCGTGCGCTCGGTACCACTCGCTCTGCTTGTAGCTCTTCTTTCCTTTGATGTCGTGGTCCTTGATGCTGAAGCGGACATACAAAGACGACACCAGGCGTCGGACATTGTAGATTGCCGAATCTTGATATCGTTGCATGCGGTCCTCGCGTTCCATCTCGCGGTAGATCTCTGGCCGTTGGTCTTCCCCATCCTCTTCCGCAGCGCCCTCTTGCGTCACTCTCGACTTCTCCGCTTCCACCCGAGCCTGCTCCTCTCGGATCTCAAACAACTTCGTTGCACTGTCGCGCTCGACGGGTGTGAACAGCCTGAGAGGTACTGGACGCGCTTTGCGGCAGGTTAGAAGTGCGATGCCGAGATCCACGTCGGAAGCCTCATCGAATGTCGTCTCTTGCTCTGCCACTTTGGCCATATCCTCAAGATCCGGTAAGCTCTCAGGGTCTCTGCCACCGGACACCTTGAATTGATCTACGTCATCGGCTTCCATCGCTTCGCCCGCTGCCTGTGGTGAAGCCGCTTCTCCATTGCCTGAAACAGCTGAACCGCCGAATTGGAAACTTTCCTTGTTCTCAATTTCGCCGTTATCCTCCACCTTCACCCGCCAGGGCTTCGGTAATATCAAATACTCCAGAGCAGTTCGGCTGCCTCTGAAATCTTTGAAGACAACGTTGCAGCTCTGATCGTCGATCCATTCCACACCTAGAGGCGCGGCGCCGCAATGAGTAAGGTAGGCGAATATGCGGGAGGTGGACAGTTGGGTGACCGGCTGGCCGGAAAGATTGAGGACTGAGAGACGAATTTGAGATAATTGCACGTCATCCAGAACAGATTCGTTGGGCTGCTGCGGTACTGGGGTGAGGTCTGCAACAAGCGCGGAGCCAGGTGAGCATGACATCACGTACAATCTTCGAAGGCTGCTCACCTTCTTCTGGATTAGGCGGCAAGAGCATCATTTCGTCCTCGTCCACGTATGGACGTGGCCTGACGTCCCTTGAGGAGCTCGCTTCTATTTCCTGTCCTACTGGCAGCACGTATATCTTTGGCTGCCTTAGATCCTCCTGTCCCTCCATCCCCGCATCCTGCGTCTCTGCTCCTTCATAAGCAGCGGATGACGCATGCATGGAGGCAGTGGTGCCTTCGAGCGAAGACTGTGCCGGCGTATCCTGCCCTCGGGCGCTTGGATCGGGTGTGCCATAATCAAGATCAGCCATGTTGACGCCCGTCCCTTGCACGTATAAATGTGTGTTGACCAGCTGAAAGCAGACAATTACAATGGATGGCGAGAAGGGTGAATAGCAATTTTGTATGGTAGGGAGTGATCAGCGCCTCTCGCTGCAATTGAATACGCGCCGCAACGGGAAGCGCTCATATTAAACACTTTATTCAGTCAGCCTTCCAGTTTGGCTTTGGAGGTTGCTCCGCTCCATATCCTCGGGTACGTCTCTGACTCCCCTTTGCTGCTGGCCACAGAAGCTACGCATGCAATCCTTCTCTCTGCCTCGCCTTCGAAATGGCATCCGCAACGAACGGCAGTGCAACAATGACGAACGGCAACACCAATGGCCGCAGTTCGTCTGCACGCCGGCCGCATAACTGCTTCACAATGCCTTTGGAGCCTCCGTGGTACTCTATCGATTCTGAGGTAGAAAGAAGCGGCGCAAATTCCAACGAAAGGACAGCTGGATCGGCGATCATCATCGATAATGGCTCCAGCGAGCTTCGCGCTGGGTTCGCATCAATCGACGAGCCGCAACCGACCCTCAGTCCAAAATGCTACTTCCCGAATGTAGTTTCGAGGTACAGGGATCGCAAGAAGAACTCCAACTTCATTCTAGCAGGGCGGGATGCGTTTTGCGACAACCAATCAAGGTCTGCAATCAAGTCACCTTTCGATGGGGACGTGGTCTGCAACTTTGATGTGATCGTGCGTGTTTTCTGACCGCACACGAGCAACGCCCTCACTGAGCTGAAGGTATGTATGATCACTTGCAGGAAAATGTACTCGATTACACCTTCATCAAGCTGGGTATCACCTCGGAAGGGAGTGTTTCCCATCCGATTCTCATGTCAGAAACACTGTGTAACCCGGCGTATAGCAGGAGTAGTGAGTACCGAGCGTGATGCAGGGTAAGGGCCCTATCTGATCCAGGGGTGCTTTGCAGTGCTCAATGAGCTCTTTTTCGAGGGCTATAACGTCCCCTCTGTCAACTACGGACTTGATGCTTTGTATTCAGCTTACTACAACGACGTCAGCGACGGTCTGATCGTTTCATCGGGAAATGCCTCAACCTATGTGCTGCCGATGCTCGCATCCCGAGGAGTCCTAAGCAACGCGAAGCGGCTTACATGGGGTGGCTCTCTGGCGACCGAATATCTTCTCAAGCTCTGCCAAATGAAGTACCCCAACTTTCCCCTGCGCGTCTCATCCAATCAAGCGGCTCTGATGCTGGAGCGACACAGTTATGTCGCCGAAGACTTCGATGCAGAGGTCAGGGCATGCGCAACCCCGGAGGGCTTGGCTGAGCGCGATGTTGTCGTCCAGTTCCCGAATGCGACAAATGCAGATGGCAGCTCAAACGTAATTCACTTGGACGGCACCACCTCACGAATAGTAGGGTCTGTCCTGGATGCAGACGATGCGGAAGCCAAGGCAGCCGAGCAAGCGGAGAAACGACGGCAGCAGGGTCTCAGGCTGCAGGAACAGACTCAAAGAATGCGAGCCGAGAAGATGCAGCAAAAGGAGAACGATTTGGAGTACTGGATGGCATTGCGTGAATTCAAGAACAAGGAGCGCAAGGCAGAATATCTCAAGAGGCTCGAGTCTGAGGGCTTTGATACTGAGCAGGAGCTGGAGACCACCATCAAACGTACACAAGCGGCTCTGAAAAGATCAAGAGCAAGAGGGGGAGGCGCTGTAGTCGAAGAAGAGGAGCAAGCGCCGCCTTCGTTCCCTTTGATCGATGTGCCAGATCACTCGCTCGATGAAGAGGGCGTCAAAGAGAAGCGGCGACAGAAGTTGATGAAGGCCGGATACGATGCGCGTATGAGGATGAAGGCAGAGAAAGCTGAAGAGGCGCGCCTTATTGCAGAAGAGCAGCAGCGTGACGAGGATGAAAGGCTGAATCGGCCTGAAGAATGGCGCAAGCGCATGCGGGGCCAGTATGAGAAGGCAATCGAGAAGATCTTGGAGAGACGAAGGCTTAAGAAAATGCTCAGCGATCGAAAAAGTCTCGCGGCGCAGCAGAGGATGAAGAGCATCACCACACTGGCGAGCGACAGTCCGCCAGGCAAGAAGCGGCGGCGCGGAGGCGATGACGATACCTTTGGCGCAGACGACGAGGACTGGGCTGTGTACAAGGAAATCGTGAGTAATTGCTGGTGCGCGACGGACATAGAAGCAGATTTCTCACAGATCACGCGCTCTGCTTTGACGCCTGCAGAAAGGGGCAGAAGACTCAGAAGAAGAGGAAGAGGAGCAACAACATTTTGAGATGCTCGAGTCGAGGCTCCTCGAGCACGATCCGAATTTCACCACAGACGACACTTGGAAGGCTCAAATAGCCAGGAAGACTCAACTGAGCGCCACATTCTTGCGCGGTAGGCATTTGCAAGAATGGGATTCCGAGGACCCGCTTTACCAACACCAGCTCCACTTGAACGTGGAACGTTTCCGAGTTCCCGAAGTGCTGTTCCAGCCGCATATGGCTGGTATCGATCAAGCAGGCTTGGATGAGCTTTGTGCGCACATCCTCAAGAACTACGACGGAATTACGAGGCGCACGCTCGCTAAGAACGTTTTCCTCACCGGTCAACATACCCAGTACCGAAACCTGGACAGCCGTCTTCGCGCGAGCTTGCAGATGACGCAGCCGATTGATGTGCAGGTGCGAGTCATTCGTGCTCAAAGCATGCGCTTCGATGCATGGCGTGGCATGGCGAAGTGGGTGTCATCCTGCGCCGATGATTTTCGGACGTCAAGCATTACTCGCGCAGAATATGACGAGAAAGGCAGCGAGTATTTTAAAGATCATGGGTTGAGCGCTGCAATGATGCCATGACGAGACATCATTGTACTGTCGACGTTACGCATTCAATGATAGGCTGCAATGAATCTGAATCGCTGGTCTTCCCCACGTCACAACTCTACAACAACGGGTGCGTCCTCGCCTTTTTCCAATTCAATGTCTTCATCCAGTCCCACATGGTTACCGCGACCTTGGGCAATGGCGCTAGCCTGGCGCACCTCCACTTCTTCGTCAAGCTCGCGTTCGAGTTCAATGCCAAATCTCGAGCGCATTGTGTTTGAGAGCGCGCGCCACGCAGACAGCAGCTTTTCATACTCGCTGATTGGTGCGATCGATGTCCCTGACTGCGCAAGTGTCGCGCCCTGAGTTGGGCACTTGACATGTTTCCCAGATGCTGCGCTCTCTGCGATGGTCCCTTCGTCATCGATGGAATCCGCGTACGAGATCGGATCACGCCTCGCCCTGCCTCCCATTTTCGAGCCTGCGGTGAAATTTCTGGGTTCATTGCCCTTCTTGCCTATGCCTCCCCCTTTAGACATCGTATTGTTCTCTTGCTCAGCCGCCGCACTCGCTGCTAATGCCCTTGCTACGTTGGTTCGGCATTTGGCCAAATTCGAAGTCAGCTGTTCCTGCATACCCTCGATGCGACTCTCCGGTGAGCTGAAGAAGTCTTCAGGTAAGAGGTTGAATTGCGCACAAAGGGACCGCAAGAAGCTCGCGACAAGAGAAGGACGTGGCTGCACGTGAGCAGCGTCTGTCTCAGATGCGGAGGGTGTATTCCGAGAATAGAGGTGGGATCCTGCATGTTTCTTCCTGGAAACCGCGTATGCTGGATGCTCCTCAAAGTCGCCTGGTGCACCGAGCAGCGCTGGCGCATTACAGAACAGCGTGACGAAATCGTTCCAATAGGACATGCAGACACTATTCTGCACGAAGACGAAGAGCAAAAAGGAAAGCTCAAAGACGACCAAGATCGGATCAAAGTCCTGCCCAGGCGCCAGTTTCCGATTACCACTGCAGACCTTCTGGCATGACTGCGCCAGAGAGATCAGCAACCAGCTTTTGTCGACGCACCAGCGCGTCAGTTCCTGTCCAGTTGCTCCTGGTGGCCAGCTGCGTCTGACGTCCATGACCGGGAGTCGTACAGGGGGAGCAGGCTCATCCGCGAAACTCGGCATTGAGGCCTCACCATTTCTGAGAATGGATGCGCGTTTATTGTCCTCTTGCTGCTTTCCGAACTGCCTGACTTGCCGACCACGAGCAAGGATTTTGTCGAGTTCAATCTCTGCTGCTTGTGCTTTGTCTCCTCTCTCTTGACGACTGAGCGCGCGTCCATGAGCGGAGCTCTGCGGCATCATTGCATCCAGCTCCATTGGCTCGACGGAAGCCAACGCGTCTGTCCAATAATCACCACTCTCGTCGTCCCTGCCAATGATAGCAGTGAGGAGTTCGTGAGCCTCGTTGCGATCCACGCTCTGCAGATTTTGCGTTGCCAGCGTCCAGTCTGCTAACTTGTGCAGTGGATATGGAGCCAACTTATGATCCAGGCTGCGCAAATGATCGAGTGAAGCGACCGTGCCCTCCGGCAATTTCGGACCGTCTTTTGAGCGCGAACTTCGAGAAGCTCGACCCGGTGGCGATGCTTCTGGGTGAACCAATCTATCTGAAGCAGCATCGTAGCGGCGGACGACCACTTGGGCTGTGTCAAAGTATCGAAAGAAAGCGCAGCGAAGTCCTTCTTGTCCAACGGCAGCTGCCGCCGAAGTCGAGGCCGCCGTCCAAGCCACGAGATGCCAGCCAGCAGGAAGGAGCTTGAAGCCTTGAAACTCTGTGTCTGTAATGTACGCCTCTAGACCGTCAATGGTAATCTGTGATCCGCGAGGGAGGTCATTGATGATGAGAAAGGCGTTGCGTTCGAACAAGCGACGAGCTTGCTCTGATGTGATTTTCGATTGGAGAGTCTTGCTTTCCGACATTGACACAGATTTCACGCCACCTTCGAACAGCTGGCAATGATTCCACTAACATGGGGCTCCGCAAGCCGGATTACTCCATTCATTATCCATGAGGATAGTGTGAGGATGAATGAAAAGGCGATGGGTTTTCGACCGGGAAGCCGGAGCCCGAAATGGTGTCCATTCTATGCGAAACCTCGACGGAATTGATTAATAAAATCCGATAGACACACATTGGGTTGCTGCTTTCAATATTGACAAAGTATAATGCTTTCTAGCTTCGTTGCTTCGTCCCATTTATCAGCTGGGTCTCTGCGGGACTGCATCAACATAGGCAACAGTTCTGCCGACAAAGCAGGGTCTACCATCTAGAGGTCAAAAGAGGCAGGCAGAGGTACACGACGTGACCCGGCTTCGAGTACAGCTGGTATTTCATGCTTGCCTTTTGCCGACGTACGGCATCAAGTCTCAATTGGCGTCGGCTCGAACCTGCAATCGCTCACTCGGCCAAGCCGTATCGCCTCACAGTTACACAGTTCAAAAGCGACTCGGTACGGTTCATTTCTTCCTTCAAGATGTCGGTCGATCAATTGGCACAAGCGGCGCAACAGCCTGTTCCATGGCCTGGCGCAAGGACGTACGACGGGGCAATCGAAGCACTGAACTCGCTACAGAGCAATGCCTCATTTATTGAGGCCAAGCGGAAGGCTGGACCACAATTTGTGGATGGTCTTCCTTTGGAGACTGAAACCCTGCGAAGAATAGGCTATGGAGTGAGTCGATGGCATAAGTAGTTACTAGGCAAAGCCCCCTTGAAAATGACAGAATTCCATGGGTGCCCCTACGTTAGCCGACCGATCTTAACAAGCTCAATGTGATTCATATCACCGGAACAAAGGGCAAAGGATCGACATCTGCGTTCTGTGATGCCCTCTTACGACAAGCAGCTGCAGCATCTGTTGCTCCTGGGTCGAAGAAGATTGGGCTTTACACTTCGCCGCATATGATCGCTGCGCGGGAGCGAATTCGGATCAACGGATTACCGCTGGAAGAAGAGACGTTCGCTCGATACTTCTTTGAGGTCTGGGATCGGCTCGCACAGAATCCAGAGGTGAGGTGACCTTTAAAGCAGCTCGATAGAAAGAGTGCTGCTGAATCCCGCTAACGTTTCCTCGCAGCGGCAAAGCCCAGACACACCGCTGCGGCCGCTATACTTCCGTTTTCTGACCGCTCTATGCTTTCACGTCTTTCTGTCGGAAACGGTGGACGCTGTCATTCTGGAAGTCGGCATCGGTGGACGTTATGATTCCACCAACATTGTTCCAAGGCCAGTCGTGACCGGGATCACATCGTTAGGCATCGATCACACTTTCATGCTTGGCGACACGATCGAAAAGATCGCGTGGCAAAAGGGAGGTATCTATAAGAAGGATGTTCCAGCGATCAGCGTGCAGCAAGATCCCAAAGCGCTGAAAGTGCTTGAAATGTGCGCGGAAGAAGCCCAGGCAGATGGGTTCACCGTCCTGCCGTCACCTCATGACCTTCCCGCGCAGCTGCCGCAGGGCTTGGGCTTGCCTGGCGCACACCAAGCCACAAACGCGTCTCTCGCCGTGGCACTGGTGAGGACATTCCTTCGCTCTGTGACCGGTAACTCATGCTTTCCAGAAGCAGCAGCAACAATGGACGCGATGTCGCCGTCTTCTTCGAAGCTCTTTCCGTTCGAAATCAAGGCGCTCGAGTCTGCACGCTGGCCGGGGAGATGCCAAGTCGTCCCCTCGAATGAGCGACTAAGGGGCATAACGTGGTACCTGGATGGAGCACACACCACAGACAGCCTAGAACTATGCGTGCGATGGCTGGTACAGCGAACATACAGCGACGCGCAGGCAGGCAGCATGCCCAAACGAGTTATCATCTTCAACTGCACCAGCGGCCGCTCGGCGTCCCAGCTTCTAGCAAGCATGCTGGATGAAATTGAACGTGGGGCCGAGCCCCAGCAGTCGCACGCGTCTAAGACGGAGCCCCAGCAGGAACAGCAGGGGCGACTGCCGTATCCAAAGGCTCGCAAGTTCTTCGACCAAGTCTTCTTCTGCACTAACACGACGTACAGCGACGGCATGTTCAAAGGTGACCTCATGTCGAAAGCTGTCGATCCGTCCGACTTAAACGCTCTGACAATCCAACGCGAGCTCCAACAAGCTTGGAACGAGCTCCTCGGCCTCAGGGGTGCCGCATCTGCATCCGGGGCACAAGCCCCTGACGTGGCAGCAATACGTTCTCGCGTCGACGTGCTGCCTTCGATCCAACATGCTATCAATGCGATCGAAGCCGTGGAGGCAGACTCGGCAGCCGCAGCCACCGAGGGCGTACAAGACGTGCATGTCCTCGTGACGGGCAGCTTGCACCTCGTTGGAGGCGTCATGGCTCACCTGAAAGATCGCAAATTGCTCGATGACGCGCTCGTTAGCGTGCACCAAGTCCAGCAGGCGCAAAGTGTCAAGGTGTAAGCTAGTAGGAGCTTTTCATCATGCCAGAGGAGATCTAAATAGCGAATTCCTGTACTCAACAATCGGGCCGATCTGTATAGAGGCACAGATGACAGAGAAGCGTTCTTGCAGACGATCATACTAAGAAAGAATCCGGTAATATGTTCCTTGGAGAGCCGAAATACGGTTCGCATAGTAATTAATGCACTCGCGGCTTGCGCCTGTAGGCTTCTTCGTTGGCGGGTTTGCCACCGAAGTTGCCGATCAGCTCGGCGTCTGCGCGTGTGTAGAGTGCGAAGTGCATGAATGTTAAGAGACGGGGGAATAAGGTAAGAAGGCTGCACGCCAATGGCGCCTTGTTCGAGGGTGACTCACATTCCGTGTCGTCTTCGACGTGAACAAAGTACTCGAGTTGGTGAGGCGTACCAGCTGCCGCCTCATCTTTCCTCTTCTGTCTCTCGTCGTTCTGTCCATGCCAAACAGCGACAAGGGGTGGGTGCAATACCATTGTGAGCTTAACATGAGGATCAAAGTGAAGACAGTCTCGACGCGACGCATCCGCCAAGGTCGACGTACCTCTATCCTGCTCTTGTCCTTGGAAGCAATGTCAAAGTTTCCCGTCCGGATACCTTCTGCTGTATCCTTCCAGACCTTCCTACTCTCCATCGGGCCCTGCTCTTCGATCGGCTTTACAGAGATCTCCTCGCGTTGAGCACCAGCGTCCCAGAAGATCGCATCCTTCTCGCTTCCGGACGGGCCTTTGCCCTTGAACTTGCTCACACCAGACCAGTCGCCCTCGGCCGTGTACAGCGCTTGCGTCGGCTGAGCGATGGGCGAGACGGTCGCTTTGAAGCTGTGGCTTTTGCCGCTAAAGTAGCCGCGGCCGGTGTAGTTGATCGTCGAGAGGAAGCCGGTGGACGAGGCGATGTGCGTGGTGCCGAGAAGCTCAACGTAAGGCGAACCGTACCAGAGACCCTCGATGGTCAACGTTGGGAGTGTGATGAGATACAGCTCCTCTTTGGCATCCTGAGCCCCTTGAGGCTTTACGCGCAGCACGGCGTGGCCCACTTGCTTGACCTGGATCGCGCGACCCGAAAAGGTGGTCTTCTGACCGGAGTGACCTTCGAGCGTCACGCCTGCCTTTTGGTTCTCCAAGTGGTAGGCAGTGATTGGAGGATGATGGGAGACTAAATGCACAGAGAAGATGACCGAAAAAGGTCAGAAGCGGTGCGTGGGATGACCTGCGCATCAAGCCAGGGTTGCAGGCCTTACCCTGTTCAGTAGTCAGAACAGTCTCGCCTCGGTCGTCCTTGCCGGGCCAGTTGCCAAAGAAAAGCTCGCCGAGAATTGGGTTCAGAGGTTTCTTTTCACTTCCCATGGATGTGTTCCTCGCTGTGTATGAGCCTTTGAGCGTACTGATGAACCAGCGCAAGACATTGGTCATTCGCTCAACAGGATCAGCGCCTTGGGAACAAGCAGCAAATTCTGCCGGATGCTCGCCCCAACTGATTGACAATTTGTGAAGGTATGCATCTCGCGATCAGCTATAGTCCCGCATCGACGACCGCATGGGGCTCTGATGGTATGCACTCACTAAGCTGGGAATTCGACCAAGGAGACTGGCGAGAGAATGAAAGAAGGAGCCGTGAGAGAGGACAGGTCACCGGAGAAGGAGGCGAGTGCTTTGAGGAACTGCGCGAACCAAAGAGTAACGGACCTCAGAGTTAGCCCAATGTGCCTCCTCGTTGCGTCATAGCATCGCAGGCTACAGGCAGATGGCTTCCGATCACACTCTCAGCAATGACCGCATGCTTTTGGTCATGTCGTAAACCCAGAAACGCTGCCGATCGTACGCTGCAAAAGAGCCATAAATGATAGTACTCACACTTCCCCAGCCCTGTTTGTGCTCAGAAGGGACGCCACCGCCGACCTCTTCCTCTGGCATGTTGGGCAAAAGAAGGCAAAGGGAAGGGAGCTTGGTGGAAAGAGGCGCGCGTATGCGTGTTTGCCGTACTGCCTTGCCCTCCGTACGCTCGCCCTGCTATCGGCCAGGCTGGATATTGCCGACTTGTGTGCGATGTTGAATCGAGTCGTGTCAAATACTGAGAACTGAGTAATGGTGTGGATAAGATGAAGATGGAATCAATACAAGCCAATCCTTCCCCTCTGGTCCACAACACGAATGGGTCGCCCATTTTGTTGGGTTAGTGAGGTTCATACTAAGCGCGGGGTGCTGGAGTCGCAGGGACCGAATGGATTTGAGCGAGCCAAGCAAACATGGTCGTCTACAGCCCGCAGTCAGTGGTCGAAAGCATTCGTAGTGCTCTGCAGTGCCGCTGTCGTGGGGGAACTACATTGGAACTCAATCCTGATGGAATGTAGGGTTGTGGCCTTTCGCCGTCACCGAGGCCAAGGGACGGGAGAGCGGAACGCAGACTCTGGTCGCCCCACCTTTGGCTTTCAACGTCTTCACTAGACTCCTTCACTGTCGAGCTCCGTGCTGTGTCTCTCACTCGTCTGTGGGTCACATTCAATCGAGTTTGGTGTGAATTCTTGTCCTATTCATCGGCCATGCCGTCCACCAACATGGCACGCATGGAATTATAAGGGACTGTGCTGATGTCTCGACCCAGAGGAAAGGAAACATCTTTTGGCGCGATCACGCGCAAACGCATCGCGAACACTAACTATTTTCTGAAGCAGCTATTTAGTGTAGTTAGTGTTCCACCGCTCGTCGATGCGGACGAGACGAGCGAGACCAGTTCGACAACATGCCTGAGGGGTGAAAGGTTTGAAACCAGGGTGCGCCGAGCTCCGTGTCGCTAATCTTCGCAGCCTAGGAGTACTGATTGCAAAGGTTGACCGTCTCGCATAAAGCTTTGCGCGAAAAAAGCCATTCGGGACGAAAGGCTAGACGAGCGAGGTCGCAATTCTATGATCGTCGACTCCGAAGGCTGCGCAGACCCTCCCTCGGCTCCACCCTTGCTCGCCTGCGGCCCGTCTTTCAACGCGACTTATGCTGGTCTCGTCTCGCCTGCTTAAAATGCGGCCAGAACACGAAAGCTGTCCCATCAACTTATACACTGAATGACGTGCCATGCAGGTTTGCTTTTGTACTTTTAAGAAAATGGATGATCAAGTGAAAGCGCATCTCGTCTTTCTTTCTACCCTGCCTCCAGATGCCACCGTCAATATGTATGAATTGGCAGAGCCTTCTGCAGTTTTTTCTGGTCGTCTGCCTTGACATTGGTGTTTATAAGGAACAACCAAGCACCCGAGGTTCTTGCATGACTCCTTTCAAGCCGATGAGCGCTTGCTAAACTGCACTACGGCCCATTTACCATTGACACGCCACCTAGCATCCTTTGCATCCATCTCCTGCTGCAGTCCTTCGCGCAGGCCGACGCAGACGTCCGCCTTGCAAGTGCGCAGCGCCAGAATGTTCAATTTGCCGGCCAAGGGCCCGAGAGCAGCTTCGAATGTCGTCGTCGTAGGCCAGTTGCCATCTGACGTCAGCTTGCGATAGTTGAGGTCACCTGCATTGAAGACAAAGGAAAGCAGTATGGAGTGTCAGTGACCTACACCCTCTCTGTGCGCTCTACCGTGGGTAGATCGAGAGGGAGAGCTCGACTCACCTTTAAAGATGACCAAATCGCTCTTCTGCAATTCCTTGAGGAGCTCCGGATCTTTCGCGGGCAGGTCGGCAAAGCTGAATGGCATGGTCCAGAATCCACTTGCGTGTTGCACCACCTCCTTGCTCGAATCCTCTAGCGACGTCTCGACAGGTACACTCAGCTTGAACGCCCCGCTGGCCAGGTGGGCCCGCCAGCGCTGCACCATCTGCTGTACCGGCGTCGGAGCAGCGCCAGATGAAGGAACCTCGGCGTCTTCCGGAATGGCATTCGCATCGTCAGCGCCAAATGAGCGGAACCCGCTCCGACCGCGCTGCGTGCTCGAGCTCCTTCCGCGACTCGGGCTGTCGCTGGTGCTGGCGTTGCTTTTGGCAGCATTGATATCCCTGACTGAGTGGCTGCGGCCCATCCGGTCGCCCTTGTCACAGTCGTCATCGCCACCCAGCTGACCCGGTCTGCGTTCCCGGCTCTTGGCACGTGCGGGGCCATCGCCCTCGAGCGAGAAGGATGCGAAAGCGCTACTATCAATCACGTAGCTGCGCGAAGGCGAAATAGTCCTCGAGCGCGCGTTCTTAAAGTAGGCTGGGTCAAGCTGCAGGGCCATGCTGCCCTTGGGGTGAGGCAGTGCACCGCCTTGGCTGCTTTCATTTGCCATGCGCAGCTGACTGCTGCCAGCGGGATGCTCGAGCGTACCGTGGCGCTGCTGCCCATCAGCCATGCCTTCCCTTGCGCCAGCGCAGTTGTTCGGGTTGTACTGCAATGAGCGGCTGCCAGCCGGCGGCGCTAGCGGTTTTCCCTCTGCGAAAATAGCAGGGTTGGCCTGCACCTCACGCGTGCGACTCGTCGAGCGATGGCGAATGGAGCTGCCAGGTCTGGCATTGGCCGCCGTGCCGTGGGCCTCACCAGCTTTCGTCTTGGTATCGTCTTCGCTCGTGAAGAACGAGTCGGTGAGCAGTGCATCGAGTGTGAAGCGAAAATCGGGCGGAGTGACATCACTGACGAACCAGGGCATGTCCTTTGGGTGGAAGACGACCTGCTGGACGAATGGTGTGCAGCTAACGAGCCAGTCTGCAAAGACGAGGTCGGTGACGAGCTCGAAGCCGCTGTTGTCGAGCACAATGTCGACCCTTCCTGATTCGAGCGAGGAGATGTGCGAGTAGACGCGTTCGAGGTCGTTAGCCAGGATGAACTTGGCACGTGCTTCTTGCTGCTTGCGACCGGTGGTCTGCAGCGCCTGAATATCATCGTACGAGAGCGAGGTGAGCAGAGACAGGTCCGTCGCGTTTCCCCAAAGCGAAATCTGAGCCATTTCGAGCCAGAGAACGTAGAGCGCTTCCTTGCTCGAGGTGACACCGCCGCTGGATTGAGCCTTGGCCACCAAAGCATTGACGTTTTCAGCTAAGGCGCGGATGGCAGTGCCAGATGACTTGAATGTCGACAGCTTGCTGTGCGAAAAGGGATCGTAAGTTTTCCAGTGTGTCGAGCCGGAAAAGAAGCCGCGCACGCGGCGGTAGAGGTAGCATTCTGCAAAGAGCCTGAATGACAATGATGGGAATGAGCCCGAGCGCGAACGAAGCAGCATTTCCGATAGGGCATTCTCACCAAGGGGCTTTATGCCAGGTCCATTTGTTTGCTTCAATGAGGCTGTCGTACGCCTCGCTGCTCGGTGCGCCATCCGCCTGCGGTCCGCCTTGAATGGGCTGGATCTGCCTGTCGTCCTTAATCTCCTGGAGAAACTTGTGCGCCTTGTCGATGATCTCGTCTGCCTCCTTGATCTTTTCGCTTTGGTCCTTGGACGAAAAGGACAGGGCATAGGAGGCTTGCTCGAGGTTCTGGATGACATTGGACGTCAAAATCTGAGGCCAGCGCGAGACAGTCGACTCGTACGCAAAGGACGAGTGGTCCACGGCCGAGCTAAGCGTGACGGGCGGGATCCACAGCTTGGGGTCCGAGGTGGGCGGGGCGGCCATTTTGGGAGGAAGCGTGGGTGCTAGGATGGTCTGCAGTTTCTCAAAATAATATATACTTTTCTCGTTCGTTGCACAGGTGGCAGTCAGCAGAGAGTTAGCGGCGAGACAACGCTGGATGCGTGAGCACGACAAGAGCTTTGGACAGTGATGTGGGGGCGGCGTACGACAGCAAGTGGAGAAAACGCGATGGAAGCAAAAGGCGGGGGAAATATGAGAAAAGGATGAGGCGGTCTATCAGACTTTACGAGTCCTCTTGATGTTCGTCTGCGTACAGGTCGCCTCCACGGCACATTGAGTAAACCCTCCACGCACCATCCACTCAGTTACGGGCGCTGCGCTCCACCTGTCACCCAAGCTGAATGGTTCGGCAGTGGGCTCTCTCCAGTAGAGTCGTGAATCGCTGCTGGAGATGTCATAGTTCCAGGTATAATCTGGTCCGTGCACGTGCAGGTTCTTCCCGCGGCTCATCTCTCCCGCACTCACTGCAGCGCTACAGCACGCTGCCTGCAGCCCGCCTGCCTGCTCGCTGCCAAACCTTGTATACACGCTTCCAAGTTCCCTTGATTGCTTCATCGTCTCCGCTCGTGCCAGATCCTTGGTTGCCTCTCGTACACCCATCCACTTCTATAAGCAGGTGCGCTTCCACAGGGTCAATATGGGCGCATCTGATCGGCACCTGGGCTCTCAGAGAGACGCTTTCACATTACTTTCAAGCTGCTCAGCATTACTCGCCCCGGCATCTTGTTTCTAGACTGCACTTTTCAACAGGCGTATCTGCATATTGGACGTAGCTGCACGTGAATACAGTCACTTGCTCTCAGCAGCGAAGGTCATACTTGCGCAGAGCTCTCGCGGCTCACACGGTCCGAGAGTCCAGGCACAGGGACAAGGTGCTCAACAAATACGTGCTGTCGCTAGGGCTAACTTCGGTTGCGCGCAGCTTGCTTTTGCACCTGGGTCACGGACCGGCTGCGTTGGAAGACTTTCCTTCATGTCATCGCCAGCAATCAACACGCTGCTGCACCAGGGCCTGGTCCAGTTCTACTCGACACTCCGATACTTGATATTCGATGAAGCCGAATCTGGCAATCGGAGATGCTCCGGCCTGTCCTATTAGCAGCAAGGATTTCGCTTTGCTACCTCGGTCGTGCATTCGAAGGTACCATCTACAAAAGCCAAGAAACATCTAAAGTCCCAAAGGTAACGTAATGCCATGGAATATCAAAACAGGGTAAAGTATTTGGCCTGAGCGAGAAATCTTGATCTCTCCAAGCGCGGAAGGTGGTGTCACGCTTAAATACGAAATTGGTAGGATAGGCCTATCGCACTTGCGGAATCAGGCAGGGTTGTTCTGCAAGTCCGCTGTGCTTTTGTTCAACGCGATGACCATCCCATCGGCGTTTATGACGCGCACTGTCATCACCGCCGGCTGCTTCGACCCCGCAATACAAGTGCGATTAGATTCAAATGCCACTGCACTCGTCTCGACCGCCCCCTCGGACCGTACGTATGGCTAAGCTATGCGTCACCCTCGCAGGGTGTCGCTTCCCCTTGCACACAAAGAGCGGCTCTTTTGGATGAGTTAGGGTGAGGGACTGATCATGAGGGTTGCCGCCTCTGCTGATGATTCTACTGCTGGATTGAATGCAACTCTCTCGGTCGAGGGGTGGGCGCTCAGCGGTCCCCCTTTGCGCACCCATGTCGACGGCGATATACCTGATCGAAATGTTTGCGTAAAGGCGCAGCGCATAGAGGCCAAAGAGAGGCGAGCACTTCCAAATGGGGTTTCTGGATTTCACCGAGGGACTCGTGGCTTTGCACAGCAGTGCTGTTACTCTTTGCGCTTGCCGAGATTTAATTTATGCAAACTCATGCCAGCGCACTAGGAGCTCCACATGCACATTATTCAAAATGCCGCTCGCCCCGTACCCAACTCGATGACGAGCCAGCAGCAAGGGAGAAATGAAGTATAATGGGCTTTGTAGGCTCGCATATTTGTCCCGTTGTGGTCTGCCGGGGGCTATTGGCCCAGCAAACACGCGCACATTGGCCATACGACCAGAACCGCCAATGTCATCCTCAAGAGAAGAGAGTTCTATTTGCAGCAAACGAAGAACATGGAAATCAACCGCGTTTGCGATGCTGGGGGCTTTCTCGACACTCCATTCGACCATACGCTTGTTACAACAGCGCGATATGCCCAGCCTTTACTGATATGCATCGGCCCGCTTAGTCTGCATAATGCATGCGAAAAGTTGAGCATCGGCGACGCGAGAGTTGGCGGGTTTAGGCGGTGGTAAGTCAGCGCAGGAAGAAATGAGGTGAGTATCTTTGCCTCACTCGGTGGCATGCGCCGAATCGCTTCTTCGATGGTCCAGATGTTCTACCTGCCACCTCTTTCAGGGGATATTGCATAGACTTAAATTTATGCGACACTAGAAATGACACCGTCCAAGGTGAATTCGAGCGTAAGAACTGGATATCCATCCGCATTTGAAGCTCCACCTGGCGGAAGAAATGTTTGGAGTAAGACCAGGAAGCGACGTAGGATCAAGGGAGGCTTTTCGCCTTGCAGACAGTTTCACGGAGGAGAGGCAAACATTCGCGGTCGCTGCAGGAGATGCCGCTGATGGAACATGGCGCCCTTGTGATCAAGTCATTGCAATGCACTCCGCAGCCGAAAGAGGTAATCAAAATAGCGTTGAATGTTTCATGAGCTACATTGAACATACATGTAGGCTCAACAACCAAAGGCGTGCATAGATTCATCGTACATATTGTGAGGAAGCAAATGAAGTGGAGCAGGCAGTGGCGACGATACCGCAGACAGCGCTGCAATGCAGCCAACAATGAAACAATGGTGACAAGGAATCATTCTGACATGCGTGCACGGCGGAGTCCATGTATGAAGCAAAATGATCCGGTGTGCCTTCATGCTTCATGGCCTCATCGGTCCTTACTTGTAATCATGGTTCTTGCGTTGTGCCATGATCGGTTGCCTGTGATGGTCACATTTTCGGGGTTCTCCCGTGATTCCGAAGGTGAAACTGGTGAAATTCTCGAATTGGTGTTTCGTACGACGCCTGCGAAAAGTTGAACGTATTCAACATAAGGGTTACTGGTTCTGTGTTTTGAAATAGGACCATCTCGGCACGTGGAAGAGAAGATTGCGGAGTGCAAGAGGTTTGCATCACGGCAGGTCATTGGAGCTCCTTGGATGATGCGCTGATGATGGCAATGAGGCTTCGGAAGATGTGTGATGGTGTAGTTTGGTCGCCATCCTCTCGTCCAAAGTCGAGCTGAGTACGCTCACGCAACCTCGAGCGCGTCTCTGACGCACGCGGCGTGGCGACATCCACTGTCGGGATTGCGAGACAAGAGTATTTCGGCTTGTCTCTTTGTAGCCCTATCACCGGTGCACCTCCTTTGGTGCTCGGCAGTGGTTCAAGCTTCCAAGCTTTGTGCAGAGCCGGCAAACAATCTCGCCAAGCGCCCGTCGGTCCCATTCCACTCACAAAACCGCCTGCAGCTTTGAGAAGGCCGTGAGTCTAAGCGGTCGTTTATTTGCTGGGCCTCGATCAAGTTCCATCAGGCGTCCAAGTCCCCAATAACAGTGTTAACCGAAGGAAGCAGAGTTCAGTCATTCAAACCGCACTTCTCCCCAAGCAATATGTCGGATGCTTCAAAGTATCCGGCAGGCGCCTTAAAAGCCAAGAAAGGGCTGGGTCCACGGAGCGTCACCATCGATGTAGTTCCTACTAGCGCTGCGTCACATCCTTCATCTACAGCAACGCCTACCGCCGGAACAGGTAGCGCTGCAATTGGATTTCCACCTTCAGCGACGGGAAGCCAGGTAAAGCTTTCACGGCGGCCCATATCATTCGCTGCATTCTCCAACCAACAATATCACCCGCGCAGCCTCGCTGCGGCACTTTCGCCATCCTCTTCTGGCGCCCACGGCTATGACGTCGAAGCTGGTCGATCAGCAGGTGGAGCCGGTGGTCTGAATTTCGGACCGGCTCGCCAGAACATCAGAACCGACCACCTCGAAGGCCGCTCGTACCGCTTCGCTCCTGCTCCTCTGCCGCTGCCGTCAGCCTCGTCAGCGGCAGGTGGCAGTGAAATTGCGCTGCCCGGCGCAGGTCAGCGGAACAAGGGACGAGCGTCAGCCAGCGCCTCAGGCGCAGCTTCCATGTCCGACTTTTCCGATGCACATAGCCGCCTCGGCGCCTCATACGCCGCCACCAACATGGGCGGCCCTGCGTACAGCGAGGAAGGCGGAAGTGCGAGCGGCTTCAGCGGTGCCGCCTTCTCGCCGCGTAGCTATACTGCTGACGATGCAATCATCAGGGATCGCACTGCTCAGCTCGCCGACATGGCTCTCGGAGGCGGTGGCGGTGGCAGCACGGATGCTGGCGAGGAAAGTGGCTTCAGCTCGTATAATGGCGGACCAGCTCATAGTGGGTCTGGCTGGGTCCAAAGAACCGGCGCTGCGGTTGCGATTACCGCAGGTGCAGGTTCGAATGCATCTGAAGCAGCGGGAGCGGGCAGCCTTGGAGCTGGCCCGTCGAACCTCGCGCTCACTCTCCAATCGCATGACATTGTTAGCGGTAGAGACACTGTCAGCAAAGCCAGTCGTCCTGACACGGTCAAAGACAGCAACAGTCATAGTCAAGAGCAGGGATCGACATCGAACAGTGCAGGCAACGCCGCACCGCCGCACACCGCCTCGGCCGCGCAAAGTTTGGCTGTGCAGCCGCAGGAGCCATTCTCACCTTCTCCTGGAGCTCTGACATCCGCTCGCAGTCCCAATAACCGTTCGTCAGAAGCTGGCGTGCCAATGACTTGGACCCTCACGTACGGGACACTTGGGACAACGGACGAGGAGACCGAAGAGGATTTGCAATCCGATGGCGAGGCGGACGGCGGCGAAGTTGGAGGGCTTAGCGCTACCGGCTTGGCACCGGGCACAGCTCCAAGGCTCGCTGGCGGATTGCGTCGACCTTCGTACCAGCATCCATACCAGCTTCATCAATCCAGCACTAGTGCCCATTCGGCAGCAGCAGCGACAGCGGCGTATCGACGCTTATCAACAACTGTTGCCCAGTCCCTTGGCTATGGGGTGCTGGCGCTTGCGCAGGACGAGGCGCAGGAAGGCGGTAGTGGCGGCGCATACCAAAAGCCCTCTTCGATCTCAGCTTCCTCAGCTGGGCTTCCTGCGTCTAACGCCGTGGACGAACGCGCACCGCTGCTTAGCGCGACTGGCGGTGATCACGCGGGCTATGGCTCGCACGCAGCTCATCATGCAGAATCTTCGCTGACTTCCTCATATCGCAAAGCAAAGCACTTCGCCGCCGTGCTGCCAATGCGAAGGACTATTTCAGGTTTTGCAGCGCGCACGCGCAAAATTACCTGGCGCGAAGTGGCCAGTGCGTCTGCTGAGCCTGTGCGCCTGCTACCAGCTGTCATCCTCGGTCTCCTGCTCAACGTCCTTGATGGCGTCTCGTACGGCATGATCACTTTCCCAACCAGCTACCCCATCTTTGCCGATTTCGGTGGCGACGGGGTGAGCATGTTCTTTGTCACGTGCATTCTGAGCCAGCTCGTCTTCTCGCTCGGAGGCAGCATCTTTGGGGGTGGAAATGGATCGTGAGTGCATGGAGTCCTGTACCACGTCATCATTTGCTGAATCACTGACTTCCTACGCTCATACCCAATCCTGGTCTCACAGGATGATGATCGAAGTTGTTCCTTTTTACCATTTACTCGTCAAGACCATATTTGCCGAAGTCGGCGATGATAACCCTGAGGCGGTTATATCAACGACAGTCGTGGCCTATGCGCTGTCAAGCATCTTCATCGGTCTTGCGTTTCTCCTCCTAGGTTGGCTGCGCTTGGGCAAGCTAATCGAGTTCTTCCCGCGACACATCCTTGTTGGCTGCATCGGGGGGGTGGGCGTGTTTCTCATCGAGACCGGTCTCGAAGTTTCCGGTCGTCTCCAAGCGGAGGACGGTTTCCAATGGAACATCAAGACGTTGCGGTACTTCTTGCAGTCGTGGCACATGGTGGCACTGTGGCTGCTGCCTTTTACCTTTGCTGTGCTTCTGCGCTTCATCACGCACCAGTTCCATCACCCGCTCATCTTCCCAACATACTTTATGTTCATCCCGATCGTGTTCTACATCATCACGGCCGGGATCTTGCGTATCGATCTTGCTAAGCTGCGCGCTGACGGCTGGGTGTTCGACATTGGCCGCGCGGCCGAAGCGCCCTTCTACCGCTTCTACACGTACATCGATTTCCGGCAGACCAGCTTCAAAGCACTAGTTGCAACGATCCCGACGCAGCTTGCTTTGACCTTCTTTGGCATTTTGCATGTCCCTCTGAATGTGCCGGCGCTCGGGATCAGCGTCGGGGAGGACAACGTGGACACGGATAGGGAACTCATCGGGCACGGGATCAGCAACCTCGCTGCCGGAGTCTTCTTCTCAGGCCCGAACTACATCACCTACGTCAACTCGCTGCTGGTGAGGTACAGCGACTGATGCTCGCATTGCTATTGGCAATGACTGAATGTTTCCACATCTGCAGTTCTACCGTGTTGGCGGAGGCTCAAGGTTGAGTGGGCTGATGTTGGCAGCAGGAACCATAGTCATCCTCATGGCTGGACCTGCTAGCATTGGCTACTTGCCGGTGATGATCGTCGGTGCCCTCATCTTTGTCTGTAAGTCTTCGTAAATGTGGAAGCTTTCGCGACTCCGTACGCGTTTCTCACGCCGAGTCTTTCGCAGTGGGCATCGACCTGGTCAAAGAGGCCCTCTGGGACACGATCGGGCGCGTCAATCATTGGGAATACTTCACCATTTGCATTATCATCATTGTGATGACCTTGTGGGATTTTGTGGTCGGTATCCTTGCAGGCATTATTCTGGCGTGTCTGTTCTTCGTCGTACAGAACTCGCGCCGCAAGACAGTGCGTGCCATCTTTGACGGCAGCATTGCACGCAGCACTGTCCGCCGACACCCCACTCAGCGCCGATTCCTCGACGTCGTGGGAACGCAAACGCAGATCCTCAAGTTACAGGGGTTCCTCTTCTTTGGCACGATCAATGGCGTCGAACAGCTCATTCGCCGGGCTCTCGACATTTCAGCGTGGCATCAGCATCCGATGCGCTTCCTCATCGTCGATGTGAGTTGGACCTTTCTCTCTGCATCTGGATCTCCATACTAATGGAGCCTCCGTAATGGCTCCAGTTCTCCCTCGTAAGCGGTGTCGATTTCTCGGCAGCCGAAGCTTTCACTCGCATTCAGCGCCTGCTCGACGCAAAGGGTGTGGTTCTCATATTCTGCGGCGTCACACCCGAGAGCGATATTGGCATCGCGCTGCGCAGCGTTGGCATGTGGGCAGACCAAGGCGTTCGGCTCGAGGTATTTGCGCACCTCAACTCTGCACTCGAGTGGACTGAGAATGAGTACATCCGCGGCATGTACACCTCGAGTCTCGCCATAGGCAAGACGCTTGGCCACGCATACCTCGCGACGGCCGGCGCACTCAGCATGCCAGGGCAACAGCGGGAACCCGCTTTCGTTCTGGATGAGCAGTTCGAAAACTCCCCTAGGCAGCAGCACATTCACGAGGCCGCGCGAACCGCCATGAACCACCTTCCTTCGATCGACATGGTCAGTCTTCCGCCGGAGTCAGTGCCGCATCTCGCCGCCGAGGCGCAAGTCCAGCCAGCGCAGAAATCCGGAGCGCAGCGGGACCCGACGAAGCAGCCTCTCCTGCTTCTCCTAGCGACATTTCGCGAGTATGCAGAGCCTGAGCTCGACGCTACCTACTTTGCGCACCTGGTTGGCTACTTTGAGCGTGTTCCACTACCGCAGGGCCAGACCCTGTGGCAGGCGGGCGATGAGCCTGACGGGCTGTACGTCATCGAGTCGGGCATCCTCAAAGCCAAGTACGACTTTGTGCAGGAGAACTTCGACCTTTCCGAATCCATGCTGGCGGGCACGATCGCCGGTGAGCTCACGTTCCTGTCCAAGCAAAAGCGTAACACGGTCGTGCATGCCGAAACGGAGTGCGTGCTGTGGCGCTTGGACGGCGAGTCGCTGTCGCGCTTGGAAAAGGAACAGCCTGATGTGTTTAGCACGTTCTTCAAGATCCTCCTTCGCGTCACGGGTGATGAGCAGCACTCTTTGATGAGCTACCTCGTTTCCCGCCTCACTTGATCCACCACAACCATGCATATAGATATTTCCCCAAAATTCCACCCATCGGCACTCTGTATGATCCAGAACTGTACTCCGCGGCGCACACCAGCGTGTACCTCTCTTGCAAATTTGGCAGGAATTGCATTTGCTCGACACCACAGAAAAGAAAATTTGCACCACTTGATGTGCTGTTGAGTCGCAGCCGGGCCAGCAACATATGAATGATTCCACAACTCGCGAGTAAGACAAAAGCGACGACGGGAGCTCAATGTTTCTAGAATGCTGTGGATCCGATTCACGAGAGAGGGAGTGGAGCGCTGCGCTACAAGATCAATGCGTCATGGACTCTCCCAAGAAACCCAAAAGAAGCAAAACACATGTCGCCGCTGCCTTCGATTCGATTTGCCTGAAAGCACGCTTGCTTGGCGTGCGAGCGAGCGTGTGGATTTATTGCTTAAGGTTGCCAATGTGGACGTACGGAGCGTACTTTGCGATGACGCTCTCGTCGTGCATCATCTCAAATTCCTCCGAGCAATCCTTGCCCTTGTACAGCAGGATGGCCTTTTCTCCGCCAGGATGATCCGGCAGGAACTTGGTCACGTCGAGCACCTTGCCATTGACGACGACCCAGACGTCATCGTCCTTGTTGTGCTTGGCAACGTCATCGAGTGTGTACTCCTTGAGCTCCTGCTGTGCCGGCTGCTCGCTCCCAGATGAAGCAGACGAGCTGTTCGACTGCGCTGCAGGTGCGGTCTGCGCCACGCCACTGCTGCCGCTGCTGCTCAACACTCCCGCCTCGGGGGCCCAGTGGAAGCTGACGTTAACACTGGACGTCTCTGGGTTGACGCGGACGCGCGTTTCGAGCTGCTGCTGGATCTGGGCCGCACGCCCAGCGGCGATCTTCCCGGTTGAGATACCCTCCAGTAGGTAAGCGCTGGCAGCGTCACCAGCGACGCGGCCGTAGACGACGCAACCGAGCAGGGACGAGCCACCGAGTCGGTTCGCGCCGTGCACACCGCCGGCAAGCTCACCGCAGGCGTACAGGCCTGGGATTGGCTTGCCAGACTTGGACAGGATCTGAGCCTGGTCGTTGATCTGCGAAAATCCAAACGAATTAGATGTCAATCATGCGGGCGAAGAGCATAGCCTAGCCTGTGTTCGCGACGCACTTCGACACCACCCATCGTATAGTGGAGAACAGGCGTCATGAGCGCGACATAGTACGGCCCCTCCTTCATGTTCCAGTTGTGGTGGAAGCGCTTGCCGAAGGGGTCCTTCTTCTTGCCGCTGCCGATCTGAATGTAGTCGTCAAAGGTGGATTTGAGTTTGCTCGCATCGATGCCCATGTCCTTGGCGACCTCCTCGACCGTCTCGAAGCGCTTCATCAGCCCGCGGCCCTGGTAGTGCTTGCAGTGCCACTCGATCTCGCGTGACGCCTCGCCGTTGAGGATCAGCCGAACGGGGAACTTGTCGTGCTTCCACATGGCGGCCGTAACGACGGCACGCTTCTCAAGTTCGTCGATGAAGCGCTGGCCCTCGTTATCGACTAGCAGGCCACCGCAACCACGGAGCGCTTCGGCAGCAAGGAACTTGACCTTAGCGTCCGGGTCCTTGGGATCGACGAGACCGGTCGGGTGGACCTGGACCTTTTCCATGTCGATGAGGCTTCCGTCGATGGCGCGAACCATCTTCTGGCCGTCACCAGTGCAGTGGGCGCCATTGGTCGTCGGCAGGTTGAAGTACTCGGGTTTGAATTCCTTAAGCAGTGAGCCAGAGTCGGAGAAGTCGGCGGCGTAGCCACCGGTGGCGAGAATAACTGGCCCGTACTCCTGGTGGCGCTGGCCGTTCAATTCATACTCGACACCCTTGACAATGCCGTTCTCATAGATAAGACTGCGTGGTTGGTGGAGAAGGATGCAAGTCAGCAAGTGCGCAGCGACATCCAAGTCAAAGGCGATCCTAACACGCACTGCTTGACATCGGCCTTGCGAATGATCTGGAAGCGGTCGGGGCGGTTCTTGGCCTCGTCCTCGGCAAGGTCCATGAGCGCCATGGTGATCTCCATACCTGGGAACTTTCCACCTGCGCCAGAACGGTGCGTTCTCATTTCCGAGTGGCCACCTAGCCTGCTGATCTTGTCGAGAGCAAGGCCGAACTTATCCTGGAGCCAGGTGACAGCGTCGCCGGACTTGTAGGTGAGAACCTTGATCAAGTCATCGCGGGCAAGATCGGCGGCGGACTTCTTAGTGTCTTCGAAGAAGGTCTTAGCCGTATCACGGATGTCGAGGTTGGCCTGAGTGGTGGTGCCGGCTCCGTTGATGCCTGACGTGGCCTTGGTTGAGTTCTGCAAGAAACGAAGGGGTGCGAGCGCAGGGAGCGAAGTCAGCTGCTGCCGGATCACCACAAAAAGTAGGGCAGTCACGCGTCGAGAAGGAGAACACGTACGCCACCAAAGTAACCGTTTTTGTCGAGAACAACGACATTGGCGCCGCGGTCGATCAGCGTGTGAGCGGCTGAGAGACCGGAGAGACCTGATGGCGTGACGAGGAGAGGAAGCAAGGTTATTTTCAGCCCCAAAATACGCCATTGAGGACTCTACGAAGCAAGCGCAGACGCTGCCAGCTTCTGTTCTCGCGCACAACAGTGGAGTGGAAGCCGGCACGGTGCGTGGGGATGCGTACTCACCTCCGCCAACGACGATGACCTTGGACATGGTGCTTTGCAATGGGGTGTTCCGATCCAAGCGGGGGTACGACTGAATGGGGTGTGGATGAGGAGGGGGAGGGCAAACAGAATGAAGAAGGAGGGCGAGGAGCAAAATATGCTTCAATGGGGGTAAGGATGCGACGCGGGTGTGGCAGAGGACGCGAGAGGATTGAAAGGATGGACAAGCCAGCCAGCTGCCGCCAGACGGACGAGTGGGAGGAGCTTGGTTGTTGGCATTAGTAATGGAGAGAGTGACAGAGAGATGTGGCGCCCGGCCAGTGTCCTTGCGTGTCGAGCTAGTGGCTCGTGCGCAGCATCCATTATTGCCTTACCACCTCCGCTGCTGTGCGCCTGCGCCTGCGCCCGCTCCCACCCCACTCTCGGCCTGACGGCTTCTTGATGGCCCGGCAGTGGCATGTTTGTATGTCGCAGGCAGCGCGGACAGATGTTTGGGCATTGCAACCTACTGCTGCCGCCAGCGACCAGCCACCCCAGGCTTGTGGGGCCTCCTCAAGGCACTATGGCAGTCCCCCCGTTCTGCCTTGGTCAGCCCCAGTCTCTGGACGCTGCACTCCTGCAGTGACTGGGGGCAGCTGGCAGTTCACTGCGTTCCCTGCCGTCGGCCTCCTTCCCCGCTCGCGCCCCGCGTGGGCATTATGCAAAGGCTAGAACTATGTGTCTGTGCTGGCGCGCCAGCTGACAAATTGCATTTCCCCGCGTCTGCCGCGCAGCTGCCTCAGTGCCGCCTATGTTCATCAGCCTCACCTGGTCTCACTTTCACACAGCCGCAAGGGACGCGGGGCAACCAATAGCCTTAAAAGGCATGGCCGCTTCCAGCTTCGCTAGAATCCAGGAAGGCTGTCCGCTTGGCTCTTGCATTTGCATTTACACGTCGCTGTTTGCAGCTCAACCCTCCTTCTCAGTCCTTCAAGGCTCAATGGTCTTTATTATACCCAGCCAAGTTTCAATCTATCTGCTCGAGACCTCGAAGGCGGAAGGCTACTTCGAGAATCAACTTCTTGACGACAGGACTTGCATTCCACGATAATTGTCGATGGTAGAATTAAGACATTTCAAGCCCTAAGCTCCAAACAGCTCCAGATAGGTACTCGGTTCACCGCAGAGGTTCGTCAAACGTGGGACGCGAGACTCTTGACTAGCGCACCGCAAGTCGCAAGCCGCGACTAGATCCAGGAAGCAAATGTATTAAAATGTTCATGCAAGTTTGCAACTACATTGCATATCCGTAAATAGATGGATGCGGCGGTTCACTGTTGGCGATGGCAATTGGGAGGAGGGCCCTGCTTTTGGGGCTTCGAGTTGCATCGGCTTCACGCAGGCTGATTGAATTGCAGGCAACTGGCGTCGCCGATGTGGCGACGGCCCGACACGCGGCCAGGTTAGGGAGGAATCACTACTTGATGACATGCTCTCAAAAGGTGTCCGCGTCGTAAATGAATAATGTACTACTCATCATCAGAGCTCTGCAACCAAATGCGACGGCATCGCCCATGATGCCAGATTGCGGGAAGGGAGCAGTGCAAAATGGTTTTAAGCAGCCAAGTGCTCACGCATGCAGTCGTGTGTCACCGCAATGTCTGCTGAAATGTCATGAAGCATTGACTTTTGAGGATCAGGATTTCACGGCCTTACGACGATACACAAGTTGGATAGCATCATGTAACATAGATCGACTCCAGACGCTAGCCGCGAAGGGTGCGCGCCTGGGCCGATGTTGCCAAGTAGTGTGAGAGGTCACTTGAATTTCCTTGTGCATTAACTCGTCGGCGTTGGTATATAATTTAGCCGCGTAAGAGCTGTGCGCGATGAAAAATCGTCACGAAGCTCTCGTGAACGCAAGCACCTTGCTTTCGTCGGCACAGTCCGGGACGTCCTCCAGCCGTGCGACCATTTTGCCCTTGGAAAACTTGACTATCGTCGGAACACACTTAATGCCGTACGATTTTCGAAAGTAATTCTCCGGGTCTTTCCAGCTGCGAAAGAGCAAAACGCAAATTGACGAGGGCTAAACATCAGCGACATAGCGCTCTTGTCGTGATCGAGGATTCACGCTGGCCGTGCAATATTCCTACGCACGTTGGCCTGTCCCCTACGAAAATCATATATCCATCCACATCACCCCCCTTTCCCACGGTGGATGGGTCGGTCCCAAAGACGTTTTGTACCGCCGGAAGCGAGTCGCGACAGTCTGGACACCACGAGGGCTGGCCTAGCGACCAAAATAAGTGGAATAGGAAAGGGCTGTCAGTCAGTCATTCATTCGCGCCAAGCGGCCAGTATCCAGGCAGAGGTTGCTGCAGCTTTGCTTTGTCTGCTAGCTTGCACACCGGGAGAGCAGCGCACCAGAAGCAAAGAAGACGAGGAACTTGGGATCCGTTGTCGGACCCGCGAGTTGTCCAAGCTGCGTGGACTGCGTGGTGTGCAGTGGCATCGTGCCGGTGATGTGACAGTCTCTGTTGTTCTCTTCTATCCGAATCTAAGGCGACGCCGTGACGGCTTCGTCAAATAATTCTACCTGAGCACCACGAGTTCAACGCTGGACCACGGACTGTCTGCACCTCGCGTGGGCTGTGCTTGAGGTCGGGCATGAAGCTTCACTCGTTCGAGCAGCATAGATTACTTGGAAACGGTTCCAGGGCTGGCGGTACTCAAGAAATGAGAATGTCAACCGCCAGGCGCCAGATGGAGCAGCGGCCAGACCGACGAATTCGGAGGGCTTGGAGGGGCCACGGAACACGGGAATCATATATCCTCAGCTATATGTAGTAGGGTTCTCAACTCAGGTTGTCGTGCCCAAGCCAAACTGCCCACTAAACTACAGTGCAACGTGTGCGATGAATATGCTCACAGCCAGCAGCCACGCGAGAAGCAGGCTCCCCAAGACTCCAGCCCCGCTCCCAACATGTCTCCCTCCACACGAGAGACCCATGAACTTGCGCCGAATTCATTCACCACTGCAATGGAACTTTGTAACTAGACCCGGGGAGAAGAGGCGACAATTGACGGTTGTTGAGAATTGCCCATACGTACATCCATGGACCTACTTAGGTGGCGGGTTGAGTTTCCTCCATTCAGATCTGCTCTCCGATCATCCTAACCTCTCATCCTCCTAAACCTGCTCTCGTCCCCGTCGAGAAGCGAAAGGCACAGCGGTCAAAGTGTTCTCTATCGCCAGGTCGACCTGTCAACCCATCGCACTCGCGAGTGTACGGGAGCGAGCAGTGAGATCAGCGCTGCTACATCCACTCACTACCCTCTGTCGGTGCTACTGCAAGTCGACTTCCCCATCGGGTGTACCTAGTGGTCGCGCAGCCGTTTGGAATTCGCGCGCTGGAGGCAGGCACCAAAGTCTTGCGCCTTCGAGGTACTCTGGAGAACTATCACATCGACGCAACGTCTTATTCACTGCCGCAGGATCTCTAACGTATTCCACGATGGGGCAACGACACCGAGTAGCAATTATTGGATCCGGTAACTGGTGAGGATGGCATCTGTCTTGTGAAGTGGCCTTCACGCTTATCACTCGTTCCGATTCCTCGGCTGCAGGGGAAGTGCAATCGCCAGGATTGCCGGTCAAAATGTGAAGCGCTATCCAGATACGTTCGAAGAGAAGGTAGGGATGTATGTTTATCAGGAGAAGGTGAGAAGCTTGCACAAGGCGAGGCTTCGCATGCGGTCTTCTCACTGACGTCCGATCACTTCACTCCCATGCAGATCGACGGGCGGAACTTGACCGAGATCATAAACGAGGAGCATGAGAACGTGAAATATCTTCCGGGCATCAAGCTACCGGAGAACGTTGTCGCAAATGCAAGCGCATCAGAGACAGCCAAAGGAGCGGACCTTCTGGTATTCGTGCTGCCACATCAGGTGCGCAGAACAGCTTTCTACTCTTGATGTGGAACTGAAATGTCTGCGCCGAAACAGTTCATTCAAGGCGTATGCACAGAGCTCAAAGGCAAGGTGCCTTCGAATGTACGGGCGATATCGATGATCAAGGGAGTGGAGGTCAAGGACGGAGATATCCGAATCTTTGCGGATGTGATCGAGCATATTCTGGGTTGCAAATGCTCGGCACTCAGCGGGGCGAATATCGCGAACGAGGGTGAGTGCTAAAAGTGAGGTATGCCTGACATCCGTTGGGACGCTGACGAGTCGACTCCGCCTACTTTCCTTGTCACAAATGCATTCAGTTGCGGAGGACAAGTTTTCAGAGACGACGATCGGCTACCGCGCCGGCGATGTCGAGTCTGCAGAGCTGTTTCACAAGTTGTTCGACACTCCGCAATTCCGCGTCGGCATGATCGAGGACGTTGCGGGCGTCAGCCTGTGTGGTGCGCTCAAGAATGTCGTCGCCATCGCTGCTGGATTCTGCGATGGCCTGGGGTGGGGCGACAACGCCAAGGGTGAGTTTCCGACAGACACCTTGCACCAGCGCGCATGTGCCATGGAAGGGTATCGCGCTAAATCTACTTCCGACTCTCCCTCGTTCAAACCAATCACAGCGGCGATCATGCGCATCGGCCTCATGGAGATGAAGCGATTCTCTGAAGAGTTCTTCGACGGCGTCAAAGCTGAGACATTCACCGAGACGAGTGCCGGTGTCGCCGACCTGATCACGACTTGCTTTGGCGGGCGCAACCGGCGGTGCGCCGAGGCGTTCGTCAAGACGGGCAAGCCGTTCGCCGTGCTGGAGAAGGAGCTGCTCAAAGGGCAGAAATTGCAAGGGACAGAGACAGCGCGAGAGGTGCATGCGTTCTTGAAAGCGCGCGGCAAGGTCGACGATTACCCGCTCTTCCGCGCCGTGTACTCAATCGCGTATGACGGCGTCAAGCCTCAGGATCTCACGAACAAGCTCTAGGCCTTAGGGAAATTCATCCATTTGCTGTCTCTGCCTCTGTCTTGCCTCTGTCACTCTCGTTCTCCATCTCATCTCGCTTGTACGGGCGTCCACGTTTTTGCTTTTGCACTGCCATTACGCAATGTAACGTATGCTGACCGTCATACTTAGGCTTCAGTCCCCGCTTGGTTGCTTCAGGGTTAGAACAGCTTGGTGCATTGCCTCGGCGAGTTTCGCAACGCCTGTGCTCGGGACGATTCATGCAAATAAAGTATGACGAGAGTAGAGTGACAATGTTTACTGTCAGCTTGTCATTCGAGCCTCGATCAGACTCGCTGGTCTTCGCCTCAAGCCGAGAATGTCTGCACAGCATAGTGTTTGAGAGTGACGGGACAGACGGGACTGCGGCCAGCGCTGCGCTTGGCTTGTGCATGGTTTACGGAAGCGCCGAGCTGGGGCTGTGCCGCCGAGCTGACTGCTGGTCTCGCCTTTTGGCTTTTGTGTAGTGCTGCAGAGCGTGCCGCGGAGAGCCTGTAGAGAGTCATCAAGTGCTCGAGAGAGTGCAACTCGTGCGCGCGCCTCTCTCCATCACTATTTTCTGGGCGCCGAGGGAGAGCCAACCACAGCAGGCGTAAGATAGCATCCTGGGGTCCTTGGCATTGATGCTGCCAATGAAGCTTTGTCCTTGGTATTTGGTGGAAGTATATGTAAGATCAAGTCGCACTTCTCCATCGTCGATGTTAGAAGACTGTTCATGTGATCGAATGAAGCTGGATAGCTCGTGGCGCTTGCAGTTGGATGACTTATGCGAGGTCACATTGAAGTTGTTTTACGTACTGGAGAATATAGGTACCTAAAGAGCCAAAGACAACTTCAGCTCGACGTCAACGCGCGACGACCGTTGTGTCGTCGCCAATTTCTCCACTGCATCAGCACATCCCTGCAAGCTCGTGTTCCCATCTCCAGGTAGATTCCAACGCCGAGCGGATTGGCAGCTTCGTTGGCTGCTGGTTAGACACGCTTGGCACCTGTATAACCAAGAGGGGCAGGCCGTCAGTTAGTGACACTTCGACCTCCTTCGACGCAGTGCCGTCCTCGAACTTGTCAAACGAAGAGGACATATTCGAGTAAGGCCAGGCCCGCAGGTATTTCCCAGCTGACTGTCGCGACGTACCTTCTACTCTACAAGGGTACTACAGAGCGGCTGCGTTGCCATTTCGGGAGCTTGCAGCTTGATCACGAATCTGGCCGCGTGGGAATCGGTGCTTTCTCCAAGCAGCAAGGTGGGCGTTCGCCGGCTACAAGGGCCTGTAGTCAAGCGCATGTACAGCTGCAGGGGGCAGAACAGCAACATGTCGCAGCCTCAACCACATTTCCACAGACCAGCTTCACCAGGAGACCCATATGGCATGAGGCCAGGTAGAGGCCTGCTGCCTCCGGTTCCAGGCTTCTCTGGAGGGCCTCCGCCAAGACCTCCTCAGCAACCACGGCCAAATCATCAACAGTCTGCTTATCACCAGTCGGTACAATCTATGGTCAATTATTCGTTAAACAACAGTCCAAGGCCACCGCAACATTCATTATCCACTTCCCCTCAGGCCTTCGTTGGAGGCTTCGTCAGTCCAAACGTAGCACCACTCCGAGCTGCCCAAGCGGCACCTCCACCGCCGCACACCAGCTCGATACCTCTCGGTGCGCCAGGTCTGCCGTTTTTTGGAGCGCCTGTTGGAGCACCACCACCGCTGGGCGCCAACAACCCACCATCACGATCGCCCAGTGCACCGCCCGTCCCTACGCATATACCCACCTCACAAAGTCAACCAGCTGACATGCCCGGCTTAATCTACGGGGGCAGGCAGTCGCTGCAGCCAGGCCAGTTTGTCGGGGCGCCGCGCGTGGCGTCCGGCTCTCACGGCCATGGCAAGTACCTCTCGACGTCAGCATCAGAGCTAGGGCACGGCGTCCCGCCGCCGAATTCCGCTGGCGGCCCCTCGTCCTTCAGCCACGACAGGCGAAGTAGCGAGCAGGTCAGGCCCACGCGGCCCAGCTGGGACCACAGTGCCGAGGAGCACATGTCAGGTCCAAGCGCTAGCTTACAGTCTCACGCGACCTCCCATTCTAATGGCTCTAGTTCAGCTGCAGGAGCAGCACTGCCCCAGCTAACGATGTCATTGCCTGACTTGAAGACGCTCGAGATGGATAGAGAAAAGGCATTGGCCAGCTCTGATCCCCGAAGACAGCTTCGATGGGCTGCCAACGTGCTCAAGTATGTGGATCGCAAAGGTGACTCGTCCAAAATTACAGAGACTCGTCTTGTTCAATGGGTCGATCAGGCGATTGGCTTCGTGAGTAGCCTGAGATCACAGTATGCGCATGTCGGGGGTGCGCATTGACAGTGCATACACACTTACCCTTCGTCGCAGATCAACAAACAAGCAGGCGGCTCAGACCCCATAGCCGAGGCACTGTACCTGCGCGGCGATCTGCAAGCCTCTGGGGCGTTTCCGACATACCTGCGCAAGGACTTGCGCTCCGCTTTCAACGACTTTGAGCTTTCGGCACGCATGGGGCATGCACAGGCTTGGTTTAGGATCGGGAGGGACTACGAGGTGCTTGGTGATGTGGCGAGGGCAAAAGTTGCGTATGAGCATGGCTCGAATTCCGGGGACGTTGGCTCGGTCTATGTCAGTAGGATTAGTACATTGCTATGCACGTTTGGACGACTCATGCTGATCTAGTGCTTATTTGGCTTTGCAGCGGTTGGGAATGGCGCATCTGCTTGGCCAGCTGGATATCACTGTCAACTACCCGCGTGCCATCGCTCTGCTCAAAAGCGCGGCTGACAAAGCCGATATTGACACTCCGCAACCCGCCTACATCTTTGGCATGCTCCTCGCCGGCGAGTTTAGTCACGTTCCTGTGCCTGCGCATCTTCTGCAGCCGGAGCGAGGATCGACGGAGAGCGAAGCTCGGCGACGGATCGAGCGCGCAGCGTATTTCCACTTCGTACCTGCGCAGTACAAGTGCGGGTGGTGCTACGAGCACGCGCGCCTTGATTGCCCGTACGATCCACTCATGAGCGTGCAGTGGTATTCGCTGGCCAGTCAGGGCGGAGAGGTCGAGGCAGATATGGCTTTGTCCAAGTGGTTTCTCTGCGGCGCAGAAGGGTGCTTTGATGTGGACGAGAGCCTCGCATTCACGTTTGCGGACAAGGCTGCCAGAAAGGGTCTGGGCAGTGCAGAATTCGCGCTGGGATACTACTATGAGGTCGGCGTCGGTGTCGAGCAGGATTTGACAGCGGCCAAGAAGTGGTACAAGAGGGTGAGAGCATATGGATTGGCCGGTAGTTGTTGCATTCATGTTGATGCACGTGCTCATGCTCGCTCTTCCAGGCTGCCGATCACGGCAACAACGATGCTACCGAACGCTTGGCTGCCATCGACAAGCCAGCTCCACAAACCATCTCTCGGCGCGATCACCTATCGCACGTCGACACGAAGCTGCATCACTCGCGCACGCTCGCCAAGAATCGCTCGACAAAAGCTGGCCGGCGCGCTGTCACGGAACAAGGCAATGCCAGCGCCGGCAATGGAGGTGCAGGTGTATCTCCCATGCCCTCTGCGTCCCACCTCGGTGCATTTAACGACATTTCTCGGAAGAAGACGATGCGCCTTGTGCAGGAGACTGCGGGGGTCAGAGGTGGAATCAAGCGCCTGGCTGGGAGGAGCAACAAGCTTGAAGGCAGCGAGGCAGGACCGCCGTTGACCTCGACACAGATTTCGCCTGCACCAATGGGCCTTCAGAATGGCGCTTCCAACGCCTATCCCCACCGTCCTCCGAGTTCCAGTGGCCGTGTCCCATCCCAAGCTTTCAATGTAGGTGGACCTGTGCCAGGTCCGACAGGCTATGGCATGCCCCCAAGCACACCTCAACGGCAGCGATTAAGCTCGACTCCAGATGCCGGCATAGGCCCTGGAGCCGGGATGCTTCAATCTCCTCCCTATCACCAGCAGACGTCGCCACCTCCTTCGAGCACGGCACATTCGCACCCGTCGCAAGTCTCGCTGCAAAGCGGCAGCTCCTTTTCCAGCGGTACCCCTAGTAAGAGGCCGGATCCTGTCGTCTATCAGACTTTTGCGGAAATGGGCTTTGCCTCTAGCAAGACAAAGAACGACAAGGACTGTGTAGTCATGTGACCGCTCCGCCTTTGCCGTGGCAGGTAAGCTGTGCGCAGCATCGCCCCAAGCGCCTGTCCGTACTGTAGGCTTAATCCCTTTGCAACGGATCCACAGCATATACATTTTCTTTGTACGCATCAGCAGCATTCGCGTGTGACAGGAGGACACAGGGAAGCATTTCGAGCGAGATGAATGGACCGCTGCATACGGCCTCGTTAGCAAGCCGCAAGGTCTGGAAAGCGGCGGAACGTCTAGGACAGAGGCTTTTGATCGAACATTCACGCCCTGCTGGACTTGCATAATAGTGCCACCGGACAATGCATCAACCCGATTATGTCGGTAGAGACACTGCCTTGTCACGCGCGTTGGGCCCGTGCCGCGCGTCCAGGACGGGTTCACATTACTGCTGGCAAGCCGACGTGTGTAGCGAAGCAAAGTGCAAGTATAGCAAAGCGGTCAGCTCAAGGGTTTGACCTTCGGTAGATTTGTGAGATCAGTAAAGCCCATGAGAGTGTCAATGTAGGGACGAGGTGGCATTTGGACCGAGTATAGCGCTGATTGCCGTTTTGGTCCACATCTGGGGTGGTCTGTTCGTGGTCGAGACTGGAGTTCCACTTTTGAGTGAACCTCTCTCGGTAACATCCGCCGTGGGTGTAACAGCGACTCGAGACCTTTCCCTAGCTTTTTGTAACCCATCTATCTTACATTACACCATTCAAGTGTGCCTTGCAATGACACGTGCCCTTCGAATCTGCATGAACTGTTGCGCTGCCATCAGGGTTCAAGGTGTCTTCGTGTGTAGGTCTGGTGGAGGCGAGCGACGAGTGTCACACGACTTGAGGCGTGCGTCTGCGGTGGACCGCGCAGGGGCGTATTCTTTCTTTTTGGGGGTTCGTAGTCAAACCCAGCGGCTGGAATCACGGTGCACAGCAAAAAAAAAGCTCGAACCAACAACATCTTTGCAGGTCCCCCAACAACACCAAACAAAGTAAAGCATGCTTTCGCCTCCTCAGCCGCCAGGCTGCAAAGTATAAGCCTCGCAAACCTAAGCACACCCTGGTGTCTTTACGTCTTCACGATCTACTGTCCGTCAAGCTCGTGTCATTCTGCGAGCAAACCTGCATCTGGTTCACTTTTTCTACAGACCCCGTTGTGCCCCCTCTTCTCATCCCATTCAATTTGGAGCGCACGTCGATCCATTGGCGTCACAGGATCGCTGTTTGCGACTGAAGCACTGAATCTCTCAAGTCAAACGTGTTTCCAACCCCACCTTGACGAGACAAACAAGCATGACCTTCCTTCAAGCAGCCGTGGTAGCGCTCGTAATTTCAGCAGCTTCGGCGCCTGTGCTGGCCCAAGGAGTCGGCGGCGCCGGTCCCCCTGCTCCCAGCTTGACCGTCACCGCCGCCACTGGCACCTGGAAGCCGGTTGCGCCCACCAGCGGGGCTGGCGCTGGTCTTGGCACCGGCTCGCTCTCTGGTATGGGCAGGCAGGCTTACATCAACTCAGCCACTGACTTTTGGTGAGAGTGACGAAGCAAGGGCGAAGCGCCTCAACCATGCGAAGAAGAGTGCATGCCTAATACATCCCCTTCTCACGAACCACTACTACGTGATCGGTGTCTTTGCCTCATCTGTGTGCCGACTGGAAGCCTCTTCTTGCCCCCTAACCCGGTGCAGGATGACTTGGTGCAAGCGGAGGCGGATGCTGTAGCATATTGCATTAACGCTTTCAACGGCACGCGCCCCATGCCGGACGGCTTCATCACGAGCGCTCACTTCCGGAAAACGGATCACTACGTTCAAGTCGTTGGCACATTTAACCCGGCAGTCATGAATCTGGACGTGCAAGACTGTGGCGGCGAGGTGATTCCCAATTGCTGCTTTTCTCGGCATCTCGCCGTGTTTAGAGCACGTGACTGATGTCTCTGCTCACCCTGTGCGCACGCGAAGTACGACAACCACGGTGCACAAGGTGTTGGCAACCCAGTGGGCGCGGCCATCAGTGGTGCCAACAACTTTTTCCAGTTCATTGGCTCTTGCGATATCCCTGGTCAGAGCACCTTCGGTATTCGAGCCTGCAGCGGTGATGCAGGGACCTCTTACTCCTACTGCAACAACCGGTACGACCTGATGGGGTTGCGTGCGTACTTCTCAATCTTGGCCCTTTCCTTTTGTCGATTCTGAGGTTTGTGCAAAGCTGACCCCCCCAAAATGATACACAGTCTTTGTGATGCCGGACAACGACATCGCCAACGCAGGCTTTACGAACTGCGACGCCACGGACCCGTTGCCGGTGGGCCACTACCCGGGCGGCTCGACCTTCCAGCAAGGCGACAGCTCGACACCCGATGCGTCCCATTACCCGCCGGCGCCCTCGTCGTCCAACTGCCAGACCGTATCGCCTCCCACCTCAAGCGGTGTGACGTACACATGGAATCAGGCTGCAGGCGCAGTGGCGGTCGCTACTGGTGGCAGCAGCGGCAGCGCGAGTGCTGCTGCTCACACCAGTAGCCCCGGATCGGGCAAGGACAGCGGTGCTGCTCACACGCACACGTCTGGATTCGTCACTGCTCCAGCGCAGGCCGTCATCGCGCTGAGCGCCGCTGGCCTCGCATTCGCGGCTTTCCTCCTGTGAGGAAGGGACGCAAGCGCAGCTTGTCATCATCGAACATCTGGGCGGATTGCACAATACGTCCTCTCATGACACGGACTGGGTAATATTCTTGTATGCAGGACACTTCATTCGGATTTTAGTTGAACATTCCCGAATCCCGTTCTGGACACGCGACTGCATGCAATCGATACTCCACGTTCCCGCCTGCCCAGCGGCTGTAACATGATCGGAAGCGATCGCACATCTCTGCATATCTTTGTTTCCTACCCTTCAACTTGACCTAGTTTGTACTGGTAGCAGCTCCGCATACACGGTATTTGTACATATAGCTTGCCTGCGGCCATGCACCCTATATCATCCACTATCTTAGCGTGGCAAACCATGCTCACAAAGTCACGCCGGAACAGGTTGCAGAGGAAAATGAGAGTATCGCTTGTGCATGTACAGCCAGCCATCGAACATGTACTAAAAAAAGTCCAGTAGTTGTGGTATTACTTGACATACATTATTGATGAGGTACTGTATAGCCCTCAGTTACCGTACTGCTGGTCGTAAGCCTGCTCAGCTTCCTGGCGAGCGTGGTACTTTGCTTTCTCGCGGTCAAGGAAGTCGAGTCCCCTGTGAAGCAAGCAAGAGGACGATGACGTCAGAATATATAATCTGTGCGAGAACGACGTATTTGCACGTACTTTGTCTCGAACAGCTTGTCGACTTCGGCTGCTGCAAAGCCAGCCAGAAGTTCCTTGGCCAGAGCATCTGATGAGTAGGAACGAAGACAGGAGGCCGAAGAAATCAGAGGATGGCCCCTTACAGACAAGCAACGAGACCGTCTGTGTCTAGACTTACGGTTGACAGGCTTGCCCTCACGACGTTCGTGGTCCTCGTAAGCCTTCATAGCCTCGAAGCCAGCGGCGCCGCCGATGAGTTCGTGGGAGAACTTCGACTCGTGCGTCTCGCCGCCGTAGACCTGGTTGTGAGAGGACTCTCCGAAGAAACCCACTGTTTTGTGACGGCGGAGAGGGCAGGGTCAGTCAAATGCTCAGTGGCAAGTGTTGATAAGGAAATGAGGTTCCCCAGAAGTCGCCAAGGGGCACAGGTCGGTGGGGACTCACTTGCGAAAGTTTATGTGGAAAGCTTGTTTGCACGTGAGGTGGGTGAATGATGTGAGGAGGAGCAAGGAATAGCGAGTGAAGTGGTTGCAATGCACAAGGTGCTCCGTATATATATACGACTCGGAACCATCGGTTGCGTTACACCAAGAGGTGCGTGCGCATCAGTCAGGCGAACCCCCCAACCATTCCCAAGGGGACGCGTGGCCTGCTTAGTGGAGTTCGGCTGGGCGCCGACAGCACAAAGCCAGGTCGAGCAAAGGTCGAGGCTCTCTCTGTAGCTGCATCCTTCACTCTGAAATAATACCCAGCAGTCCGCCGCTGGGTCACAAATAGAGCGCACCACTTCCTTTAACTCACAGGCGTGCTGGCTAGTTCTCATGGCTAGGTGGCCTGTGCGAGCTGCTGCGTGTTGCCTGTAGCGTTCGAGAAGGTATATCAAACAAGCGGCGCAGTGGCATGGAGGTGGGGCAGTGTGGCTGGTGCCAGCGGCCCATGCTGACACAGCCCATTCAAGCCAGCGCCGCATCGACATGCCTGCCGGCGGCGCTTCTGCATCTTTGGCACTTTGCAGCTGCGGCAGTGCTGCAGCGCTCTCTTCCCCCCCCCCACCCCCGTGCTGCCTTTCGGTCCCTGGAACTCCAGAAACAACCGGCACTTAGAGGCACTCGACAGCATAACGTGCTCAGCAGCGCACAGCCCACGGTTCCACAACTAACAACTGCGAATGCCCCTTTGCCTTCCGTTAGCTCCCGCTAGGATCACCACAAGCATGGGTCTGCACGACTCGAGTGTTCGCGTACTCTTTCACACCCACTTGAGTTTCGGTTCCAGTCGAAATTGCGAACGAGGACTGAAGAACTGACTTACTGGGTACTCAATGTCATCAGAGCACATATTGATGCCTTAAAGCCTGAAGAGTGTGAAAGAGGAATAGAGAGCAGAGCTCTCTTTGAGTCTGGACGACGAGTGGATCAAGGTCAGCAGAAAAGCACCTGTCTCGCACGGACCAGCTGTCGCCGTCAGGAATGTGATCCACGTGTGCTGCGTGCGCGCATGGCCCAACCACAGTTGCGCTAATGTATACTCCGTATGATGTCGGTTCTTTGATCTTTGGTAGCAAAGGAAAAGGTGCAATCAAGATGGTAAAGTACTTCGGAATGAAACGCGGCGACGGGGATCAGCTCCCTTGCCTCTAACTTTGCGCTCCTTGCATCGTTAATGCGTCATGATCCCGAGAAGGAGCGCCAGTAGAGACTGCGAGCGCATATGTTGCATAAAAGTATTAAACCACTTCATGTGAGTTGTGCTACACGTCATGATTCGCGGGGCAGACCCCAAACAATCAGCCGACCAACTGTGCTTTGTGTTGCGACGGTCGGGTTACAACGCCCAACGCATACAAGTGCTTGATCAGTGCGGGCTAGTTCTTGGATTTCAAGCGATATTAGCTGGTGCAATGCAATAAATACTGTAGATTCCTTGTGTCAACGAGGGAGGGATGCTACAGTTCGCGCAGCTGCGCTGGTAGATGTTCGCAAAGAAGAGTGTGATTACCACGTCGTCCCGTTTACTTGCTCGACTGGATGTCCTTGACGGTCTTCTGGACAAGCTTCTTCTGCGACTTGACATCCTGGTCGTACGCCTTGCTGACGACATCCAAGAAGTTCTCGAGCCTCTTGCCGACATCAGAGAGCTGCATGACGAACGCGCTCTTCCGGTCCGGGTAACGGTCCAGCACCTCCTTCTTCAGCGCCCCGAGACCGTCTTGGAATGTACGCACAATCTGCTTGACGCGAGCGCTGACAGAGCCTTCGGAAGAAGGGTCCTTCATCAGCTTCTCCTCCGACGCCTTGAGCTGCTGGTGGAAGGCGTCGATGGCTTGTTGTGCGCCGTTTTCGGCCTGGAAGTGTCCAGCATAGCAGTGGACAGAAAGATTGACGGCCGGTCAGTACGTCTATATAACACGCGCACTATTCTAGAAATTCAAGCGCGACATGGTCCAAGTGAACGCACATTAGCAAATTGAGCTTTAACCTTCTCTTCGTCGCCAATGCGCTGCGCCTCGTCGATAATAGCGCTAGCAGCCGTGACAATGTTTTGCAGCTGTAATAAGATGTCCACCATATATATTCGTCGCATCAGGGTATCATCATCTGTCGTCGCACGTCATGCACTCGTCGGCGAGTCCACGGGTACGAACCTCCTGCAGCGTTTGCTGGAGCGAGTGATTGAAGTCGGACAGAACGGTGGACATGGTTGCTTAAATGCTTGCTCGCAGGGGTTTATGTGCAGGTACTTGCGATCGAGGGTGTGTGAAACGAAGAGGCAAAGGACTATACTTGTCCCAAAGAGCACCCTAATAGGAGAAGGTATGGTGGAGATTGAACAGATAGTTGTATCATCGGTTGGGCAGGTTCGAAGCTTGACTTTGACAGCCCAAAGTCAAGATGCACCTAGACGTCAGGCGAACAGAAAGCTCTGGAAGAAGCACCGCCTTAGACACAGACGAGCTGCCTGCACGTGCCACTCTGCAAGTCGCACAGGCGAGGGGGAAGGCCGGAGAAGGCTTGTGCAAATGCCGTCGCTGTTCCGAGTTCCGTTGTGCGAATCGGTCCAAGCCGTTGGTTAGGCAATTTGCCTGCTGCGGCGGAAAAGCTCGCTGGCTTGATTCCGCCCAAGCGCACACGTGACCGACGCACTGGTTGCTCCTTCGTGGGTCCATGGAACCTCGACTTTTTTCACCTCATTCCTCTTTCACTCCACCATCTGTGCCCCTTAACCAGTCAGCAAGCAGCAAAGGCTACAGCTCGTACAGGTTACCTTGGTCACCGCTGTCTCTTTTTTCTTTACCGCCAACAAAATGAGTTACGTCGCCAAGGACAAGGACGTCGATGCCGGCGCTCCTTCCCAGAAGATCCACAAGATCAGGATCACCCTGACCAGCCGCAATGTCAAGAACCTCGAGAAGGGTACGTTTCCTCTCAGATCATGGCCTCACGTGGAGGAGCTGCACATATGACGTCTGCCTTGAGCGCGGATGCTGAATCTCTGGCAATATCTTCTGTCACACAGTCTGCGCCGACCTCATCTCGCGTTCCAAGGACAAGCAGCTGAACGTCAAGGGCCCTGTCCGCCTTCCCACAAAGGTCCTCAGCCACACGGTGCGCAAGTCGCCCTGTGGTGAAGGCTCCAAGACCTGGGACAGGTTTGAGCTCAGGATCCACAAGCGTCTCATCGACCTCCACAGCCCCTCGGAGATTGTCAAGCAGATCGTGAGTTGCTGGATATGCCAGGTTAAAGGTTTCCCTATGCAAATGAGAAGCTGAATCGACCCCTTCTTTTGCATCATTCTAGACTCGTATCTCCCTGGAGCCTGGTGTGGAGGTCGAGGTCACCATGATCGACGCTTGAGCGCCTCGCATCCAATGCAGGTCGCTGTAGCCCAATTTGAATCGCGTTCCACAGTACCGACCCTGTACTTTCACGTGTGAAGATATCATGTGGCTTGCGACTTCTTTTTCGCCGTGTTCGACTGCCATTCAAAGATTGTGATCTAGAATGCCCGGGTATCTAAAACAGGTGAACAAAGAGTACAAAGTGAATGCTGATGGATGTGTCGTGTCTTGCTATGCCCTTAAGTTGATGAAAAGAGTCCGCCGGTCCGCCCAACCTTGTTCTAGAAAAAGGATATGAAAGTGCTGTACTGCTCCGAATGAAAGTGACAAGGCTACTCCGAACCGCTGTGCCAAGGACTGAGTGACGTGAGCGAGCGCTCAACCCTGCTCAGCATTTTGCCTGCCACCTGGCACCCAACCCTCGGAAGTCTCAAGCAACGTGACGACGCCCTTAAGAAGTCCGCGGCCAGTAGACCCCAAGAGGCCTGTCCTGTTTCCCGCCGGATTGACTGCAGCACCTTTTGGATCCACGCTTGCTCTGGAACTGTGCGCCCCGCTCACATCAGCACTGCCATTCTCACTCGCCTCCAAGTGCCCGCGTCGCTGCCGCGCGCGGCGTTCGGCGCGGCGCATCGCTCTGCGTGCTCGCTGCGCTTCTTTTGCAGCCGCTCTCGCTTCACGCGCAGCCTGCGCGTCCCGAACGACAGCACCGCCATGCCCATCCTCGTCGCTGCTGCCGTTCGCGTCTTCGGGCGCCATGCCAAAGTCGGTCGGCTGATGCATTGCGTTGCAGCATGCACGTGAGCGGCGTCGGTGGGTACTGCGTGCGTGACGATGACCATGGCGGCGCCGGAGGCGGTCTGATTGCTGGACACGTTGAGCCTGGTGTCCGCTGCCGTTTGTGTAATCGGTCAAAGTCCTCTTGGAATGGCTCGACTTGTTACCTGTAGCCGCTGAGTCGTCGCTGGCGCTGACGTAGCTCGCCTCATCGTGCGACATGTCCCCCGATTCGCTCTCGCTCTCACTCTCACTCTCACTCTCGCTGTACGTTTCGCTCTCGCTCGACTGCACGGCACTTGTATTTGCACAATCAGCTTGCATCTCTGGTCCTGCTGCTGACATTGGAGCACCAGCTGCGGAGTCCGCAGTAGCTGCACCTGCCTGCTGCGTACTCTCGCCGGGTGCGAGCATCGCCTGGTCAATGGCCATGGGAATGCTGAGTGTGACACGTGCAAGCTGGAGCGTGAGGCGCAGACGACCGAATATGTCAAAATAGGAGAGCTGTCGAAGGGAGTGCTGGATCTCGTAAAGCCTGATCAACTCGAAACGAATGATGGACAAATACTTTCTCCCGGCTATGTATGAGAAGGGTCAGGTATCCTGAGGTGAGCAGAGTTGATGATTTGAAGAAGACACGCGAAAGCCTGCTCACTTAGGACAGCCGATTGCAACCGACGGAACGCGCCTTCCAAGTTCTCCACAGCATCGTCCCCGAGTTCCAATCCAGGATTCCCTTCATTGAGCGCGTTGACCAAGACGCGGACCATCTCAAAGTCTCCCTCCATGAACTCGCAAAAGACGCTGTACAGCACGCCGTTGAGTGCTTCGTCGTGAACGCCGACGCCTGTGGCAGCCGTGCCGCTGGTCCCAGCGCCATCGGCGGCAGCGGCGTGGTTCATCGATGCTGCAAAGTCGGTGCGACCAGACACATCGTAGATGCGCCGAGAGGAAGGCTTGGACAGGGTCTCGTAGGCAAAGCTGATTTTCTGAAAGGCCATGGTTGATGCAGGGTAGTCCGGAAATTTGCTGCGGGGTGTGGTTGAAGCGTCAGACCCAGTTGCGCCGTTCGTGCGCTTTACAAACAGGCTTCTCACTCTGGATGGCAAAGCCTGCTTCGGCGCAAAAACCCTCGGCGGATCTCATCCGTCTTGGCTTTCCGTGGTACATCGAGCAGTTTGTACAGATCATCCTGTCTGAGGATCTCGTCGATAACGGCGACCTTTACCTGCTTTGCTGCTTCTCTCTTGCGCCTGACCTCCGCTTCCGCCGACGTCTCGTTTGCTCCTCCGGCTGCGCAGCCATTCGCGGCGACGGAGGCGTATGAGGCCAACAGAGAGGACGGTTGCTCGGACTCCAGCATACCGGAGCCATATGTAGGCGAAGGCGATGCCGCGCCATTGGCGCTCGAGAGCCGCTTCTTGGGGTTGCGCTTGACGCGTGCGTGTTTGGGGTCCAGTGTGCCAGCCGAAGCCGAAAAGGTTGTGGTTGCTGCATCGCCACCGGGGGCAGTACCGGGCCTCGTCGCTGAAATCATGCATCATGAAATAGGAAATCATCAGGAACCATCGAGGAACAACAATATGTGGCAGGCACGTTGAGCCACAACATACCATAGTTGTACAAGGTCGAAGCGACGAACATCACGGCTAGGTGAGGTAGTGAGTACGTGTCGGCATATGCAACGCCACGCTAGGCAAGCGGGCGCCTGGTCGGATAAGGCAAGTGATGCAGGTCAACTCAACCCGCTCCACTTGGCCTTCTTTGTACCGCGAATGATTGTGATTGCCGCTCGACCTTGGGATGCGCCCGGGAACAGGTGCGGTTGCCCGCCTGGACAGGCAGAGGGTACGTTTTGTCAATCTATTCCGCCGCCCCTCGTCTTGTCATGCAGATTTGCGGTCAGAGGAGCGCACTCGGTCGTGATGTTGCAATTAAGCGTCCTGTAATCTAAACACGGCCGGCCTTCAAGATCCATCCCGGTTGTCTGAATAGGGACCTCCCATCAGGGATGACCTCAGTAGCTCGGCCGGCAGTATGGCTGAGCTCATCAGCGCTCGGTGGTTCCTTTTCCCCGCGATTTCACATCATTTCACACATGTGCGCAACGTGTGAATGGCAGCGCGACGCTCTTTCTGGCGGTTGGCGCGCCACTCTCGCCATGCGCGTGCCCGCGTGCAGTCAGACTAGAGTTCAGTCATGGGGGCAGGAATGTGCGCAAAGCTTGCCTCTCATCCCTGGAATACGTGTTTTACTCGGTGTGTCATATCTAACTCCCCAGAATCCCTCGTGCAGTTGGCAAGGGTTAGACCTTGAATTGACAGTATTTGCCAAATCAAGGGACCCAAACTGTGAGAATAATCCTCCGCCCCGGGCGCCCGCGGCGAAATCCCGCTGGAACCGAAGTTTCCGGGGGCAACCCCTGCTGCCTGCGAAGCTGTCATCCTCCTGCTCTCTCTATCGTTCCACTTTTGCCGGGCAGCACAGCACAGTTCTCGTCTGTTGTTGGCCCTGGGAGCGTGAAGGGTTGGTTGACTTTATTGGTGCCACCGCGTCGCTCAGCAGAACAGAGTGGCGCGGTTTCAGAAGATTTCCTCCTAGTAACTCAACTCTTTCGTCCAGTACCCCAGACAGATGCTGGGAGCTATCCATGCTGACGGGACCAGATATGCATTCGTGTCGTCCTTCATTGCATCCTTTTTTCTAAGCCACCACCACACCACAATCTCCACGACGTCAAACACGTGGTAGTATTTACTTCCCCCCAAAGGACATCGCACTGCAGTCATCTCCCCCTGCTAGCTCATCCTTCCCTCCTCACCGCTGGCCACCCGCCGTCTCTCCTTCTCCCTCTTCAACCCCAACATCCTTCCGAACTTTCTCATTCAACATGGCTCCAGTTGCAACAGACACGAACAAGCCCAATGGCAGCGGAGATGTCCGCAACAACGAAGGGATTGCCAACTACACCAAGTTCTGGCAGAAGGACAGCAAGAACGATAGCGAAGTTGACACTCAGAACAGGCTGACCGAGTACACGAGCGTGGTCAATGGTGAGCGCTCGGCTCTCTTCCTTCTTTCCTGCACAAGTGCATCTGTTGCTCACATATTACACCCTTCCGTATCCCCATGCCCCTGTCAGGCTACTACGATGGCGCCACCGACCTGTACGAGTACGGCTGGGGCCAGAACTTTCACTTTGCGCGCTACTACCCGGGCGAGGCCTTCTACCAGGCCATCGCACGCCACGAACACTACCTGGCGCACACCATGGGTCTTAAGCGTGGCATGCGCGTTCTCGATGTCGGATGCGGCGTCGGCGGGCCGGCGCGCGAGATCGCCCGTTTTGCAGGCGTCAACATTGTCGGCATCAACAACAACGAATACCAGGTCCTGCGTGCGCGCAAGTACACCAAGAAGGCTGGCCTCGAGGGGCAGTGCGAATTCGTCAAGGGCGACTTTATGAAGCTCGCAGAGCAGTTTGGCGAGAACAGCTTTGATGCAGTGTACGCGATCGAGGCGACGTGCCACGCGCCTACCTGGGAAGGTGTCTATGGTGAAATCCTGAAGGTGCTCAAGCCTGGTGGAAGAGTGAGTTCTGTTTGGCGCTTCGAGGCCGCTTTGACCAAAGATCAGAACTGATGATTTATTCGCGTTCTCGGCAAATGCACCTCTTCAGCTTGGCCTCTACGAATGGTGCATGACTGACAAGTGGGACGCCTCTGTGCCAGAACACAAGCGCATCGCGCATGGTATTGAGCTTGGCGATGGCATCGCAGAGATGCGCTCGATCAAGCAGGCGCGGTCCGCGCTTAACAGCGTTGGCTTCAAGATTGAAGAGGAGCAAGATCTCGCCGACATGGGCGATGCCATCGCATGGTACTACCCGCTTGAGGGCGACCTGCGCAAATGCCAGACCCTGTGGGACCTCTTCCAATGCTGGCGCATGACCAAACTTGGAACCTTCACCACGCAGACCGCCGTGCGCGTGCTTGAGCTCGCCCGCCTCGCACCCAAGGGCACGTACGATGTTGGAGAGAGCCTCAAGGTCGCCGCGGAGGCGCTTGTCGCTGGTGGCAGGGCTGGGCTCTTCACGCCAATGATGCACTTTGTTGCTCAGAAGCCAAGCCAGTCGTAAAAAAGCAGGTCTCTGATGGGGACAACTGGTGCAAGTTCTGAGCCCTCTGCCGACTCTTAAAGCTCTTGCAGCTGGGCCAGTGACGCTTCGAGCAGAATTATTTTTGCCTCCTGGTGCTTCTAGTCTTTCGTAGCGGCGGAGGCGCAATCAGATTGTTGGGATGTAATATGCATTTTTCCTCTTTTAATTTGGCGATCGCATTGCATTGCAACCTCACTCCATTGGAGCTCCATTTTTCGACGCTTCCAAAAGAAATCGGTATTCAGAGTCAGTCGGAGGCTCGGACTTCGTGTGTACTCCAGTCCAAGACATGCGCGCAGCAGGCATCACCAGGACGTGCGTCGCGTCTAGCACCACTAATCCAGAAAATCATGAAATGCGAGTGCCCCGTCTTACGATAACATCAAAGCCTACCACCACAGCCTATGGTTTGCGCATTGGTAGCTGGAGAAGTAAAACAAACCATGTCAGTCGCCAACACATTGGAAAGCTTACGAAGATGGAGTCTCACCCGTTAGGATGCTTGTATAGGTATTCCTACAGATTTCGCAAGGTGAGCAATCGGACTTGAGCAACCATGAATTGATTCGAGCTGAGCCTGCTCACCTGGTGATATTTATCCGCTTCGAAGAAATGATCTGCAGGCCGCTGGTCAATCTGAGTGACGATTTTCTGTCCTTTGGATGTAAAGTGCTTCTCTTGTACCTCCTGTGTGACCTTCTTGGCAATCTCGAGCTGTTCAACATCGTGCGGGAACAGCGCCGAGCGGTACTGCGTACCACGGTCATTCCCTTGTTGGTTCATCTGAGTCGGGTCGTGCGTGCGGTAGAAGAACTCGACGAGCTCTGCATAGCTGACTTTGCTCGGGTCGAACTTAACTTGGCACGCCTCGGCGTGCCCGGTACGCCCAGTGCAGACTTCCTCGTAGGACGGGTTCTTGCTGCTTTCCTTCCCGCCGATGAACCCGACCTTTGCGTCCACTAGCCCCTTACCCTTGTAGTGCTCTCTGAAGATATGCTCGGTACCCTGAGCGATCGGCAACAATGCATATCGTAACCGAAGGGGTCAGTTAAATCCAACGATCGAAGGTGCTGTAGCGGCCCGAATCCGCCCGTACCCAGTAGCAGCCATTAGCGAAGGTTCCCACCTGCGGCAATGTGGAAGACATTGTCGACAGCGATGCCTGGGCTTGTTGAGCGATGCTCGTTGTTGGTACGGTCGGCAGAGAGAGGATGTTCACAGGCGCTAGCGACGAGCCTTGGAGTGCCGCTGCGAGTCGGGAGAACATGTAAGAGTCGCGGCTGTCAGAGGTGTGGGCAGTGTGTAATAGCGCTGCGAAGAGAGGCAATGCAATCGATAGCAGCGAAATGCGAAATGCGAATTGTGCATTTGTTCTTCGTTTTGAAGCGCTTGTCAGATTATATCGCGTTAACAACTGAAGGCAGCAGTTGACGAACGGAGGTGATCGTGCTTGCAGCTTTGATGCGAGTGCCGACTGTGGTATCAAGACACGGCCTGCACTAATGGCGTCAGCGCTTACGTCCGCAGCCGAGGCACGTGATGTCTTTTATCTCCTTTGCAATGATAAAGGGATATCATCAGAATTAGTCAAGTCTCCTTGCTGATGTTCTGACACTGACAGTCCTCTTCGCTGCTACATAATCACCCGTCAAGTTATATAAAGGATGGGCCCGTCATTTTTCATGGCTCAGGCTCTCAGGTCAGTAAGGATAGAAATCGCTGCACTGGGGCGTGGTGGGCGCCGGCGCCTAGAAGATTCAAACTGCAGGCCTTCAATGATGGAGCTCCGTCACGGATTCTTCTCCTTGAACTCTCTACGCATTTTAAATTGCGACGAACGCCGTCAAATGGCCAGCAAGTGTGGTCAATATCTGTTGAAGGTGCAATGGAAACCGACCTTCGAGGGGATCCACAACGGGGCACTTGAGCTTATGCCCCCGCTGGCTACAATGAATCTACAACCAAATGCACCCGTTGCCTCCAACAGTACTATCGAGACACCCTTGAATCAATGATAAACAAGTTACATATCGTTCAGGACTTCCTCCAGCTTCCCCAAGAAGATATCCGCGTGATGCTGCTGAAACACGAGCATGGGCCTGAGCCTGATAGCTGCGGTGCCACATCCGCCAACATTTACGCCCTTTGCCCTCAATTTGCCGAGCAAGATGTCTCTGGTTGGGGCATCTTTCGCATCAAAGGCAATGAAGGTTCCTTTTCCTTCTCCCCTGAGGGACCGAATATGCGCCGGATACTTTGCCGACAGCGCCGAGAGGGAAGAGAAAATATGTGCACCTACAGACTGCACATTGGACAGCAGCGACTCGTCTCGGATGATATCGATGATCGCCCGTGCTTGCAGGATTGCAGTCGGCTGGCCGAGCCAGGTTCCGAAGCTGCAAACGGGACCATAATGTCAGCTTCCATGAAATGCTGCAGCTCAGCAGAGTGTACACACCTTCGGTATGGCAGGTTGGGTCGCGTCTCGAGCTTATGGTAAAATCCAGCTGCTTGCATCTTCTTGCTGAACGTCACAAAGTCGGGCGGGCTGTCGAGCCCCCAGTACTCATGTGCCCAGAATTTTCCTGTCGCAGCCACGCCGGTTTGGACCTCATCCACAATAAAGAAGACACCATGACGCGCAGTGATATCCCGCAGGCCCTTGAAGAACGTATTCGAAGCGTGCTGATCACCGCCCTCGCTCGCGATGGGCTCTACGATAACAGCGGCGATTTCTCCTCCGCCGTTTTTCTTGCGATCAACAATGACCGCTTCTACTTCCGCTAGCGTCTGCTGCTCAGCGGCATTGTTCTCACGTGAGTACTCGGACAAGGGATACTTGACAGCTGGCCACGGGACAGCTGGCCAGTTTTTGAAGGCTGGAATTCCAAGCTTGTGAATTTCTTTCGACCGTGTTGAGCTCAGACTGCCAAAGAGACGGCCATGGAACTGTTCAAGGCGATGCGTTTAACAAAAGCTGGGGCAATGAAGGAGCCTCGAGTGCGATACTTACCGCAGATGTAAAAGAAAGAATCGCTAGGTCAGGGCTGCCAGGCGCTTCGTTCTTCATACAGCTCTTGAGCTCCTCTGGCGTGAACTCCGCATCGGAGCCCCGTTGCCGGGCGGTATACGCCATGAAAGCAGCCTTGAATGCGTTCTCATTCGCACAGGAACCGCACATGGCAGTGAAAATGTTGTGCAAGCCTTGTGGACGAACGCTTCCGAGGCCAGATTCTACCCACGAGGTCCACTTTGCTGGCGGGAAATTGCCTAGTGCCGGTCGATTGATTGCTGCGGTGATGAATTCATCCTTTGGATCAAAGCGTCAGTAGGGAATACAATCAGGCTGCCTGCCTCCAGGAGGATTAGAACGGCAACTCACACTGCGGGCGAGCTTGAGAATCTCAGGGTGGTTGTACCCCACAGCAATAGAGGCTGTATGCAAGATCACAATTTAGCGTGCATACACATCCTCGCCGAGGCCATGGAGGAGCTCACCAATTTGAGCGAACACATCGAGGAGTACGTTGCCGTCGGCATCAGCGATCCAATTGCCAGCGCTTTTCTCGTAGTCGACGGCAAACCAATGAGCTCTGTCCTCCTGCCACTTTCCAATCTCAGCACTAAGCTGCTTGGAGATTGGACCTGGAACACTATCTGTAACGATGGACGGAGACGTCGGCTCGTTCGCAAAGCCGGCGGCGGTTGCGAGTGAACGACGCGCCCCGAAAGCGGATGCTCGCTTCGTCGCCGTCGCTGCTAGAAGAAGCCGTAGGTTCATTGTGACGATCTCTTGACTGTCCAAGCTAGACAGGTATGACCAGATAGGGACGAGATGTATTTATTCAAAGCTTCTTGAATACGCAGAGGGGATGTTGGGGGCTTCCAAGCTTTAGCCTCGAAATATGAGAGATAATGTGCCACGGCCGATAAGTGCAACTGAGAAGCGTGCACTCTCTCGCGCTATGACTCGGAGGACACCACAATTCGACCCTCTTATCGCAAGCGGGACGCGGTCGGCTCCCACCAGCAAAACTGTGATATCGGCTTCATGATGCAGGTAAAGCCGAGCACCATCAACACCTGCGTCAAGCAAGACTTTGAAGGCTGTACGCAGGCGCTATGGAGACGTCCGACAGTCCATTGTTTATGGGCATTGACCAAGGGACGAGCCGCATCAGGACAACATTGCGAGAAGCGGGTTCGATCCCTCGTGTGTGCCATTTCATTATTGCGCAAAGGTTGACGCAATCCTTTAATTACTCTATTTCTTTGTCGTTCGCCTGCGGATTCCCGCCTCCTCCTCGAACTCCTCGTCCCCATTCCCCTGCACAACAAATTTCTCAATCTTCTGCGCGTCGAGCTTCTCCTTCGCATGCGGCTTGGTTTGGAAGCGCTTCAACACGGCACGGATCATCTGGGATAGAGAGGCGTCCGACCATTGCAAAATCCACACGGACATCAGGAGGTGGTCCCTGTGAAATGCACTGTAAAAGCAGGCACGCTACTTACCGCTCGGAACCAGATAAAGTTGAGGGAGTTCAAGGTCAGATTTCCGACCGAATAGAAAGCGCGAATGTGCATCGGCAGTGGCGGATTTTGGGGGACATCGGGGAAGTTGGCCAGCTTGAACCAGGAAAAGGACTATACCAAAGACGATGCACAGTGTCAGCGTAGTCATATCTGGCGAATGGAAGAACAAAGGCAAGAATGCAAAAGGACGACCACCCACATTGTAAACTCCAAACACCAATCTCACGGAGACATACGCGCCAAGTAGGAAGACTGCATTGATCAGCTGCGCCAGCGATCCAGTCATGCTGAGTTTGTCCAAGAACCAATGGATGTTCAAGAACGCTGCAGGGAAGCACGAGCACACGCGGCATTCAGCTCCGGCTCAGTACACCGCCGATCACTTGGTGAACGGCTGGTACGAAAGCACGTACGGGTAGAAGCTTCCCACATCAGGAAACCAAGGCCATCGTACATGAAGACGGGCGACTGTGCGGGCGGGCGTATGTCAAGCAGGTTAGACGGAATGCCGCAACGCTACGCTGCACAGAACAGCATGGTCATGACTCACGTAAGCCAACGCGAAGGCGATAAAGCAAACGACGCCATGTGCGATGAATGCAGGGCCCTCGTACTGTCAGAGAGCAGCGGGGTAGTGAGTATGCTGGCCGCGCTTGGAGAGTAGCGCTTTGGCAAGAGGATAACGTACCAGAAGCGAAATGACAGTGTCCCAGATAAAGTAGCTGCGAAAGACGTGAGCACTTGACCATTTCTGTGTGTTCTGCATCTGCATCGCTACTGTCTGGCGATCGCGCACAACTCACCCCAAAGCAATGGCGTACACCTGGCCCGTCTCATAGTCGTACCCGTATGTCCTGTTCGCCGCGAGCGGGTGCACCTTGGCCTCCAAGCCGCCCTGCTGTCTGATCTTCCACCAGATCGCCGCCGCAGCGGGCGTGACGATGCTAGCATGCACGAACGAGACGACGTGGATGTCCCAGTTAATGCGTGTGCGCCTGTTCATCTTGGCGAAGCTCTGCTTGAAGATGAGAGGCGACAGAGCCGACGACGCCAACTGGATCGTCACCCACGCGGAAAGTGAGAGCAAGATCGTGGGCACGTGTGGCGCCATCGTTGGTACACCATATTTGATACAGTATGGCCGCGTCGCCTCAATCAGTTGCGGGAACAGGACTTCGCGCGCCATGACCGGCAAAGGTTACGCGAGGCAGCCAGGGGTAAGGGAAAGGCGCTGATGTCGGTGCTGCAACCGAGCACGGCTTCGGATGAAAGGATCTCTCTTGGTCGCAGGGGATTGGTGCGATGCCAGAGAAGTGATCTTAAGAAGACAACCCAAACAGGTGGGCGGGGGGTGAAGCTTGGATAGAAGAACGAAGCACTAAACGGATTGAAGACGCAGGAGTGATTGGCCGAAGTCAGGTTGGAAGCGGGACAGTGCGACATACTATTACACCCAAGCCTCCAAGTGCGGCAGGGCGCGGCCGTTGAAGACACCGGAGTATTCGCGCTGGCCTGTGCGCGCGTGTTACCGTGGCTCGCCTCTCTCTTTCTTCACCCCCCCCTTTCGATTGTTCCTTCCCAGTCTTATCCAGAGCACCAAGTGCCACATCTCGCTATACCTTATTCCCGGTCTCGAACACGGATCAAACGTGAATGAAGTGCGCGCGAATAACCAAAACCATAGCAATATGTTTTGATGCTGTTCATCATGCTACGTTGCATTCGTCACAAGGCCATGCAAGCACGGTGGAGAAACAGAAATGACAAACAAAAGAGTTGCGCGAAAAACGTCTGCGGCGACGATGTCGAAAATTCTAGTTACGAATGCAGCCGCAAGGGAAGGAAAGGAAACAGTTGCGTGCTGAGATGTTTGATTCTTGCACGTCTATGTAACGGTCGTTGGCCCCAGGGGGAAAGTTGTGACCGTCGGCTGTGAGAGAAGCAGGAGCGGGTGGAATGATAGGAGGACAGGTCGGTGGTATCGATGCAATGCGAGGTTGTGAAGTGGAGTGAAGAGTTGAGCAGAAAGCCGCTTACTTGGAGCCGTTGATCGTGGCCGTGGCGGCCTTTACTGGCTGCTGCTCGTCAGGGTGGACGATGGCCTTCTGCAAGGCAGGCAGACTCTGCTCGCGGACGTACTTGAGCACGTTCTGGAAGCGCTGGGCGGGCGGCAGCTCAGAGTTCTTGGCTTCCTTGCTCAGTGTCTCGTACGCATCTGAGAATGTCTCGAGGACTGGGCTGAAGCGCTTTCGGCTCTCTGCGGGCAGGGCCAGTGCGAAGCCGCGTACGCGGTCGAGCTCGCCGAAGATAGCATTCGTGATGTTCTGCGCCTCCTTCTTGGCGTTCTCGCCATTCTCCTTGCCGCGGGCGCTCAGACCGTCGACCGTCTTTTGCAGGTTAGCCTGCAACGCAGAGATGCTATGGACCGCACGCTTGACATAGGCGTTGTGGCTCTTGAGCTCCTCGAACTGCTTCGACGCATTGTCGTACACTGGGCGGACATGGGACCCGTAAGCCTTCTCGAGAGCCTCAGTGTAGGGTTTGAGAATCGAGCGAGCCTGTTCGGCCGGCACCTTTGCTGCGTCGTAGAGCTCAGCAGAAGTGGCGTGGAAGGGGTACGCCCATTTGGACTCCGCGAACTGCAGGGTCTGGAGCGCGAGGTGGTCAACGTACGAGAGCTGGCCCTGGAAGCGAGTCGTAATCGGCGCAGCGGCCTTCAGCGATGAGTTGAGGATGTTCTCGCCAGCGTGGTAGGTTTGAGAGATGAGCGGGTGCGCCTCAATCGTGGAGTGTGCATACTTGAGAGAATCCGCAACCAGAGGGACGGAGAGGATCTTCTGGATTGCCTCGCTGTTGTCCTGGACGCTCTTGATGGGCGCGGTTTGAGCGGCAGGTGGTGCAGATGTTGCGGTTGCCATCGTGTGAATGCTGCTTCGAATCAATTGTGCGCGGCGGGGGTTGAAGATTTGTTGGTACAAGGGTGGGAGGGTAAGAACAAGAAGTCAAGTTAGTAAAGGCTTGATGGGAAGATGGTGACGATAGAGAGGAAAAGGGCAAGCGGGACGACCTGTGTTCTCGCAATGTCATCCGCAGCAGCCCAGGGTCAAGCATACTCATGGGAGGGACGGGGAGAGACAGAGGGTTGAGGCTGTATGCGCGCGCACAGTCAAGCAGGGAGATGATGCGGCCGCACAATGCTGCTCAACATACCAATGCCGAGTTCGTTGTGGCGAGCGCACACACACAAGACAATGGTTCTGGGCGGCACAACGCGGCCAAACTGACGCCACTGGAGCCTTGGAGTGCTGCGCTATGTATGAAAAGCACCCCTGAGCGTGAAGTAGACAATCGAACCTTTGTGCTCCAAGCGTGATTGACTGGACGGATTGCGCCACAGCCCCGATGTTCGCTTCCCCCATCCTAACTCTAGCCCCAATGCCAGCGAGGCCAACGATGGTCAAGTAGTGGGGGTGTTCGACTCACCTGCTTATCTGTCAAAGAGGATTCGTCCCGTACGGAAATCGTGCTTGGAGCAACTGTGGAAAACAACACGCTTGTTGGTGGGCAGGATACTGTGAGTGGCAATGAAATGTGTTTGGAACCCTTATCTCGCTTGCTATATATATACAGAATTGTCATGGGAGCGATGCGGCTGTGGTGTGAAACCTGCACATCCGTTGGCTGCTGCACTCATCAAGCTTTCAAAGTGCTGTGATGTGCCGATGATGGAAAACACTGTGGCCCGTTCGTCATCATCGCTTTGAAAAATCACAACCCTCTCTTGGTATTTCGCAATTTGCACGTGCGAGAGTCAGTCCATCCGCACCTTACATGTCCTTCCCATTTGATCTGTTGCTGCCAGCGTGGTTCGTGAATGCGTTCAGGCGCGAGTTCGCTTTCAGCGGGTAGCCAGCCAGCAGGATGTTGACGAAGTTAAAATATGGTATGCCCTCTGCCATGCAGGCTCCGCAATTCTCATGCACAGCAACAGGGCATGCTTTCTGCTGAATACTGCCATCGTCCAAATCCAAACTGCATGGCAACCTCCAGAAACTTTCGTGAAAGCTTGTTCGTTCCATCATACCATCGTCAACGTGACTAGTGTAAAAAGGAGCAGGATTAGAGTCTTCGGCAGCTAAGGAGTCTTCGGCAGCTAAGGAGTCTAGCGAGCCAGTGGGCCAGTCACGAAAACCCGAAAGCTCTCGCAGTGCTCTCGTTCTGCCGCGCTCAGTCACCATGCCAACAGAAGTGCCATTCAGATTGCGCGTTTCAGAATCCGACCTTTCGGGCCTCTGCGTGGCTGGCTAACCGCTGGGCTGCAGTGCTGCTGATAACAGAAAGTGGAGGCCTGGAATCTGGGACGGGGCATGACCACAGCCAGGTATTGCATGGCGCGTGCGTACAGCCGAGCTCTCCTTTTCGGTACCTTTGCCGTCGTTTCCAACTGAATCGCCCGGCGATTCTTGTGAAATGTGGCATTGTGAGGCGGTTCGCGGACATTATCACTTTGACTGATGAACCGCTGCAAAGTTCCAACGCCCTCCCTCATGTGCTTTCATCCTCACAATTCCAACTTCGGGTCCTCGTCCGCCGCCAGCTCACCCCGCCATCAGGGCACGCCATTAACCAACGCCCCAGCCGCTGCTAGGATTCACTGGACTCGGGCCCGAACAGAACAGCTGGAAAGTTTCAAGGTGGCAAACGCAGCTGGCACCCATCCAGCCATGTACAAGCTGTACCAGCTGCCACATACAAAAATGCAGCGTGCCATCATCGCCTTTTGGTGACTCGAGGAGGCAATCATATGGACCCAAGGCTACTCACAGAAGTTCCGCGTGAAGATCTTTCACGTCCACCATCTCTCGTCAGGAGCTGAGTTGAAGAGCCCGAATGCCGATTCAACAGTGAAGTGCGCAGGCCGCAGTGTATGATCGACACCCTGCCGGGGCCTGATGGCGATCGGGATCGACGTGAAGATGCACAGAGTACATATGTGGCTCATGCGCTCATGCCTGATGGCTGCCAAGTACGACTCAGCAAGGAAGCATAATTTCGATTCAACTCTCTGCTTGTATTCGTACTTTTTGTTTGTACACGGATATCATATATCATGTCCTCCGCACCATTCCCGACATGGCCGAGCTGAGTCGAACCCACGATTGATCAACGATCGATGCTCATTTCTTGCCACCAGCGCTCGCAACACCTGCACCTGCACCGGCGTTCGCAGCAGGAGCAACCGCAGACGCGGCTGCAGTATGTGCTCCAGCGAGCCAGCTATTGAACCTGTCGAGTTTGTTCTTACGCTGCTCTGCGCCTTTCTTCTCGAGAACTTCCAGTTCGTCGGCTTTGCGATGCCGCACAAAGACATCCTCCGTGTCTTGAACAAAAAACAGGCGGTATGTTCGGATGCAGATCTGTCAGAGCCGCAGCACCGAGGGGTGGGCAGGGATGCGCGTCAGCGGGGCGTAAAGCAGAAAGGCGATTGGCAGCAGACGAAGGAGAGGCGACCTACCTTGATCTCCAGACCCGTCTTGATCGTGAAGCGCACGTCTTGGTCCTCGAGCTCGGCTTCCGCATTGGGCGCTATGGATCTGGCGAAGGCAATGTGCAACACACAGTTGTTAAGCAACGGGAACATTTAACCGTGGCTGCGAGCTCCGCTCTCACCTCTTGAGGAAAGGCGCGTATGTCTCGCCGGGCAGGCCTTCCGTCGGCTGCCACAGGCAGTAGCTCGACATGTAGTACAGCCACTTCTGCTCCGCGGTAGCCGGGTCGTCGAGCGTCAAGTCGTCCTTACTGAGCATCTGAATGAGCATCGTGCTGCTCGGCGGGATCCACTCCACCCGGAACAGATTCTCGTCCTTGCCGATGATAGCCTCGGCCGCCATGCGATTCTCGATCTGCTGCTTGTAGCCGGTCACCTCATCGTATGTGCGCAAACGGTCGCGGTCGAAGAGGGCAAGTAGTTCCTGGCCTCGTTGCTCTGTCATCAAACCTTGCGCCTATTAGAAGCAAGAAGATCGCGTCAGTTATCAGCCGGAAGCAACCGCAGGCGCAGCCAACGGTTATCTTGCTTCACGCCACTCACAGCCTTGACGAAGGCGCTGACAACCTTGTCAATGGTAAAGATGACATAACCATCGATGCCGTACATATACCGCACACTCTCCTCGAAAGTAGCCTGGTCCAGGTCGCTATCAAAGAGCTTCTCGCAGAGGTCGAGCAGCGTGTCGTAATACCGCGCCGGATGAAGGTACAGACCGCTCTCTTCTGCACCATTGACACCGGCATGCGCAGCAGCAACGCCGACGATGGCTGCAGGACCGCTCGAGACGTCCTGTAGGCCGAGTTCCACCGCGATCGGGTTGACGCGCTGCTTGGAAGGGTGCTGTTCCGCCTTCTCGGCCGCGATAGTCTTCATCTTGTGCAGGCGTGCGTAAAGGATCTGCAATAATCGAATGAAAACGTAGAAGCTCGTGTTGCAGAAGAAGTTCTGCTTGCGCACGCCGGCAGTCGGGTGCCGAGCGGGGCCATCGATGGCAGCAGCAGAAGCCGCAGCTGCTGCATCAGCTCCATTGGGTTGTGCCCCCTTTTCGTTTATAGAGTCGAACGTTTGATTCAAGTCGGCCTGGATCCAAGAGGAGAACGAAGCGCTATCGCTCGCAGCAGGCTTGTCTTTTGACGACTCCGTCTCCTCCTGTCCGGCCTCTGCAGCCGCATTTTTGCAAACGGTAGCATTCACATCAGTCATCTCGGTATCGGCTTCATTTGCATTTGTATTCGCGTCCGCGTTCGCTGTGCCGTTCGTGGCAGCATCGCCACCCTCTGCACCAGTGGCAGCCGAAGGAGTCAATGCTTCATCCGCTACGGGGGCCTCTTTCGCCGCTCCCGAAGACTCGGCCTGGCTCTTGAGCAATCTGCGGCGCAGATCAGCCTGCTGCTTCCGGCTGGGATTGGTGCCGCCTCGCCTGCTGACGCTCGCGCTGCCGACTGTCGACGCAGCCGAAGAACCAGTAGCAGTTGCAGCAACAGCGCCAGCGCCTGCAGCGCTTGGGGCGCCACTGCCGCCGATGACGCTGTCCGAGTCATCGTCGACGCCGCTGGCGGTGCCTTCGCTGGCGGCATCATCGTCGTCCATGTTATCGTCGTCCTCGTCGCCTGCGAGAAGCTGTTCGAGCTCCTTGCCGTGGAGCTGCATCAGGTTGGGGACAAAGGCGCGCAGGAACGTCTCGATGCGGTCGGCGTCTGCGCGGGAGAAGTTGGCGCGGTCAAGGAAGCTGAACGCGAGCTTGAGCACGTCGGTGAGGACCTGCACGTCGTCGAGCACGTACGCTAGCTGGTATCGCGGGCGTGCGCGTGGGAGACTCGGGTCAATGTTGAGCCTGCGCTGCTGCTGCTGTGTGCGGCGCGCTTCAATCTCGGCGACAAAGGCTTTGGACGTGATGGCCTTCTTATCGGTCGTCTTGAAGTGGATGCCCTGATGGTCGAGACTCTTGTAGTAGTTGCGCGCGTCCACCTCGCGCCAGACCTTGTTCCACTCGCGCTGGGCGCGCTTCCACTCCTCGTCCTTCTGCTTAAGCCGCTGCAGCACGACGGGGACGGCGATGCACGGGTTATCGTGCAAGGCTGAGATTACTTCCAGGCCGTGATCGCGACCGTAGACCTTCTTGATGACGCGCTGATAGATGCTTTTGCTCTGGCCGCCAAGGCCAGGCTTGAGCCTGAACGCGGCGCGCTCTTCATTGTCCATGGTGCTGATGCGCGCGGCGATAGGCTCGAGCAGAGCGATGGTGCGCAGATTCGCTTCGATGTGGTAGTCGTACTCGTGCCGCTCTTCCTCTGAGCGGTACAGCGCATCCTCGTAGATGTTCTTCTTGTGCGGGTTGAAACTCTCGCCCTCGCTCGCCCACGTCGGGTGGCTGACCCAGACGTCGTTCAGCACCTCCCAGCACATGGGGTCGCGCCCAGAGCAGGCGAGATTGATCTCGTACTTGGGAAGCTTGCGGTAGCTGGCGCCGTACTGCTTGCACGTGTTCAGGTCGATCCGCTCGCGCTGCAACGCTGGGACATTCTCGATGATGGGGTCCTCGTTCTCGAGCCAGCCGTGCTTGCCCATGTCATAGCCGCAGAGCGTCTTGAGCGTGGCAAATAGCTCGCGGTGGTTGCCGATGAAGAGCGCGGCGCGATCGATGAGCGTGCGCACATCGATGATGTCTTGCGTGAAGAGGTTGAGCAGTTTGAGAAACTCGAGGTATGTCCCGCGGTCGTCGATGTGCTTCTTGATGCGATCGAAGAAGGCGACCTCGTCGAGCGATGCGAGTGCCACCTGGCCAGGAGCAAGAGGCATGCCCATCGGCCCGACCGCAGGTAGGAGGCCAGCAGCGGCGGCCGTGTCCGCATGGATCACCGTCCCGTCCGGCCCGACGTAAGCCTGCATCTGGACGTGCGGCATGCCGATCGGCTGCTCCGCGCCGGCGCTACCGGCGAGCTGCGGCGAGTGCATTTGCATCTGCATTTGCATCTGCTGCTGTTGCTGCTGCTGCTGCTGCTGCTGCTGTTGTTGTTGTTGTTGTTGTTGTAGCTGGTGTTGCTGCTGGTGTTGCTGGTGTTGTTGTTGCTGCTGCGAGAGTGGTGCTGAGTCTGCCGCTGCTGCCGCTGCAGCTGCAGCTGCAGCTGCAGCTGCTGCCGTCGACTTATGATGATGCTTGCTCTTTTTGGACTTGGCTGCGCCGGCAGCCTGGGCTCTGCCGCCGGGAGCGACGCCGGCCTCTCCCGCAACGGAGGCAGCAGCGGCTGCAGCAGAACGCTTCTTGCTCTTAGCGGATGGCGCGCCTGCCGCTGTAGCAGTGCCTGCCGCGCCGATCTTGCCCCTTGGTGGCACGATAGCGGGAGATGGCGCAGTCGCACCGCCCAGCCCACCAAGTGCAGCGCCGGCGCCATCGAGGGGCCCGATGGTGCTGTGCCCCATGACGCTCGGCTGCCCACCCACCTGTGTTGCTTGCGTCACCGCACCGAAAAGGCCGCCTTGCTGTGGCTGCGCGTTGGCGCTCGTATCGGGCAAGAACTGCTTGAACTCCTCGAGCAGGTCTTTCGCCTTGTCGAACAGGATAGTCACTTCAGCGTAGACATCCTGTATCGGTCGCTGTTCCTTCTGATATGTCTGCAGGATCTCGAGGAACTGCTTGTACGTCTCGGGATCGTTGCTGAAGCGTTGCTTTATCTTGTTAACATAGTTGATGGCGTGGTTGAACTCCACCGGCGGTCGGCGCGGGTCGCCGAGGCCACCCATGCCGGCTCCGCCGTGAGAGAGCACGCCTGCACCAGCCGTTGCGCCAGGCGTCGCAGGGGCTGTGCAAAAGGGCAAAAGGAGAAGATGATGTTAGTAAGGAAACAAGACCCATGCCTGCACACGAGCTTTCGTGCGGCTGCTGACTCGCAGATAGGCCCAAAGGTGGGCGGGTGGGAGAGGACGCACCATTGGAACCACCGAGACCGGGGATACCATTAGGTATCCCTTGGGTACTCGTGCTAGAAAACCCACCGACCGACATGGACGGCTGCATACCGTGCCCACTCGGCGTAAACGGCACGCCGGACGCACTGGCAAGCCCTGCCTCATGGCTGATGCTACCCCTGCCAGGAGCGGCAGGCGAGCTGTTGGGTCCTGCACCGACGCTGGCAGCAGCGGGAGCACCGGCGACGTTGCTCCCAGCGGGGGCTGTGTTGAGCCGGTTAATTGCGCCTGCGATGCCAACACCGCCGGGGGTTTGCGTGGTGGTGCCGGTGGGTGTCGTGACGGTGATGAGGTTGTTGTCACCGGGGTCTAGAGAACATTCAATCCGGTATCCAGGTGGTAGGAAGGTGTTAAAGCCTTGGATCAGGGATGGATGCCCACGGAAGAGGGTGGATACGCGCTCGATGACACCGGGCGTATCGATGCTTTGGGACTTGAACTGGGGAGTGATAGAGGGTGAGTATGCAGGCTTGGTCAAATGGCAAAGCACTCTAAGGAAAGCCAACTCACGTCCTTCATGATGTCAAGGAAGCGGTTATACACATCTGGCTGCTCCGCAAACTGGACCTTGACCTGGTCCAGGTAGGAGAGCGCATCTTTGACGTTGAGCGTCGCCTGGAAAGGGGATGGGTGAATGCGGTCGGTCCGTTTTCGATGTCGATTGCCCAAGAAAAGGAGCCGCATGTACCATGTCAGCAAAACTGGTCGTGGAATGGACTGACAGCAATTCTTCCGACGTCTCTGACTCACCATTGTGACGATTTGCAAGTTTTTTTTTTGCTTTGGCTGTCACACAAGCGGGAAGCTGCTCTTATTCGGAGCGAGACCGCCAAGATTCGAGCCGACTAGCGTCTTTGTAGAGCACGACCGAGCGCAATCTTGCACTTGAGCTCGCGGATGGCCAATGAGGTTGACCCCGCAGCGGTAGACACCCAGATAACGACGCAGCTGCTGGAGCGAAAATCTTTGAACCCACAGCGGCGCGCCGGAGGAAGGGGAAGGTGGGAGCCGGGAAGATGTGAAGGCACTACGGATTCGTGACGCAAGGCCGACGTTGCGAGGGAGAGTGTGATGGCACAGTAGCGGGAGAAACGCTTGCTGGATGTCTGATCGTGAGAAAACCCACACGCATATAAATGCACCCCGGACGCAGCACCTGATGGGCTCTCTTCGCTACGCTTCGCCCGCCAATTCAAGGCCGTCCCCGGTCGCGTCGTTTCGTGTCGTGTCACACACGAAGGTGGGCTTCTTCGTTTCCTCTTGGGCTGTCGTCGTCCTCCGTGCCGCTCGGAGGACACACAAGCGTTCACGGTGGGTGAAAGAAGCAATGACCTCTGCTGAGATCCTCTCGAAGAGCATGCGCACGAGCGCCCACGAGCTTCGGTTGGTATCTGTGACCGCATTGGCCCAGGTGTATCGACGACAGACGATGAGGGTGTTGCGAACCGCTGGACAGAGAGAGCGCGAGAGGCGGAAAGCGGAGAGCCCCCCGCCAGCGCCAGCGGCCAGGCGCCAGCTCTCTCTCTTGCCCACCACCACCACCACCACCAGCGCACGCACGCACGAGGCCGGATCGTCGCCCAGACCGCCGAGCGACACAGCAGCAGAGCTGCGCAGTGCAAAATGACCACTTCATGGCTGGGGCGCAGGCCGGTTCCGCCCGCATCAAGTATCATACGCCATCTTCGGAATGCGGGACTCGGACCTGGACACAAAACAAGATACAGGAGAGCGCTTCGATTCACGTCTCGTCATCTCGATGCCGATCAAGGCCCTGCCCGGTGGTTTTGCGATGCACACATGACGTACACAGACATGTCATCATGTGTCAAGTGCAGTGCGGTGCGGTGCGGTACGTATGTATATATACTCCAGATGATATTGACGTCCTTCGAAGCTGCCAATGCGCCAGCCAACCTGGATCGAACGAAAGAAAGGACGTGTGCCGCTTCTCCTCGGTCGCACTAGCCATCTAGGCGGGCTGCTGCGGCGTCGTCCCCGTGCTGATCTTGTGCCCAACAGCTGCAGCATCTATCTTTCCTTCTGCGGCAACCTGTCTCGCGATGCGAACGTCCCCTTGTGCGTGACTTTCGTGGACGACAACATCGGCTTGGGCATCAGCATTGGCGCGTCCTTCGCCCGGCGTCGCTTGCGCTTGCTCCATATCTTCACGGTCGTGCAGCTCGTTGACACGCCTGTAGGGGCGTTTCTCCGCCTGGCTTCGACCGCCTTCCTGAGCATCATCGTCGCTATCAACATTGCCTCCTCTGGAACACCGCGCCTGCGCCTACTCGCTCTGCGCCTCGTCCCCAAGGTCATCCAGATTCGGCCGGAAGATGAGGTCTTCGCGCGGCAGCAGTGGTGACGCCTGCGACAGCGGCGCGCCGCCCACGCTCTTCTTTCCCAGCCCGTCAGCCCCGCTATTCACGGCAGCCACTCCCAGCGTGGGTGACACGAGCCCGTGCGTAGGATTCCACTGCTTGCGGAAGATGCGCTTGCGTTTCATGGCACGCAGCGCCGGGTCGCCCCTCCTGCGCTCGCGTATGCGCTCGCGCTCTTCCGCCTCGCGATCCTCGACGAAAAGGTCTACCGCGCCACCTATTCTGGGAGCTGAAGCCGACCCGCCCTTGATCGAGTCATTTCTGGGTCGTGGCTGAGCTACAGATTCACGCGGCGTTATGGCGGTATCGGATGATGACGTCGCTTTGCCTTTGCCTGCACCGTTCGGTTCTGAACCAGAATTGTGCTTGCATATCGCATCCCCCGCCTCCACATCACTGTCCGCGTACGCTGCAAACCTTGAGCGAGACCAGCGCTTTTTCTTCACCGTCGGCGTTGTGGCCTTCATTGTGCCAACTGCGCCGGGACCGCTGGAAGGGCTGGCGGCATTTGCCTCATCGTCGCTACCGAAGGAAGCATAAGCCTCCGCCTCTTGAGCCCTGCGCCACTCCGACCGACGTTTCTGGCTCTCGAGCCTGCGTCTCTTCTCCTCTCTGTGCACCTCGATACCGTCCCGGCGCTTCTGATCCCTGCGCGGCTCCACAGTTGGGAAGCCCCAGTCGCCGATGCCGCCGCGCAGCAAGTTGCGGCTCTTTTCGTATAGCTTCTCCTCGTCCTCGTCTGGATCCTCGAACTCTAAGCAAGCCGGCGAATCATCGTCGGGCTCCGGAAGAAGGACGGTATCGACGTACTCGAATGTTGATTGCACGCCTGCGGCAGCTTTCTGCAAGAGGACGTTCTTGCGACGTTGCTCGTTGCTTCCACAGCCGTGCGAACCGTAGCCTACTCCGCGTTGTTCCCCATCCTCGTCTCCTGGATCAGGATGGACCGCCTCTGCTGCTTCTTCAGGAAGCAAAGGCGCATACCCCTCTCGCTCCATGCGCTTTTGATTGAGGTACCTCCGGAAACGCGTCACGGGTGAGCGATGTCGCTCACCGGGTATCTCGGCAGGATCCCCACTTCTCCGCAGCGGCAGCCAGTATTTCGCTACCGAAAACGAACGTCATGTTTGAAGGCAAAAAAATTAGGAAGTGTCAGTGGACACACTCGGGGCGAGCCACATCTCACTTACATTTGCCCCCGTTTGCGTATCGCAAGCCAGCCTTGTACCTTCTCTGACGCCCTAGCTCTGCGTGGACCACACCCTCGCTAGGCTCGAATGTCTGGTAGCCATACCCAGTCCCACGGATAGTGGTCAAGCTGTCTGTCCAGACATCGAACATTCCCACTGAATCTCTGGCGGCGTAAAAGACGGGCAGCCTGGCAGCATGGTGAGCAAATAGTTCGAGGTAATCCTTGTGGCTGAAGGCGAAGGCATGCATCAGTGCAAAGATGGGCATCTCAAAGCAGATGAGCATGTCTTGCACAGCGAGCGAGATGTACTCAGGGTCGGCGACCGGACCGACTAGAAAGGATTATGCAAACGCCAGAGTGTGAGTGCAATGCTACCCTCAAGCAAATCTTACACTGCTCACTCTGTTTGATTAGGCCAATGGCGACAAGGATGGAGATGCCGAGTCCTTGCCAGAAAGAGAAAAAGATGACCCCCTGAAGATCGAGAACTTCGTCAGCTTTCATAAATTCCCGTGATTGTTACAGGCTGTGAGCCACACACCTTGATGCAGATGAATTTCCAAGTGACTCTGAACGCTTGAAGGTCTTCCGACAGGCACGCCCAAAACATTCCCAGGCAATAGAGTGACAAGAAGACAGAGATGTCTGAGCTCATTCGATAACGAAGCTATCAGCATATCATTTCCAGTCCCATGCATGTACGGTCCAAACTCACTGTACATGAACGACACCCAGGTGTAACCATTGTTGATGGCAAGCTTGCCGTCGTCATATACGTCGAGCGCTTTGCACAGCACCGTGATAACGGCGAGAACAGGCTTGATCTGGACATACTGCAGCACACCCCTCTTGAGCGCCAAAAACGTGAACGGATCGCTGGCATCCATTTCTTGCAGAAAGTAATTGATCGGCCACAGATGTGGCGTCGGCTGCCGCCCGTGCAGCAAGATGATCAGCGAGCGCTCTCCGCCGAGGTACTCGACAAGCAGGTTGAAGAAGCAGTAGATGACGAATGCTTCGTACAGATCGCGCACTAGGTCAATCGCAAACGCCGCATCTAGTGAGAAGAGCGATATGCAAGAAGCAATCGAGTAGATGGGAACCCTAGCCATGGAGAGGAGAGAGACACGTTAGCAACCAACCGTGAGCAGTAAATTTGCCAGCCTTGTGCTATGCAGCTTACATGACGAGTAAGCGGACGACATAGCGCTGTAAAATCGGCTTGCGATAATTCTTGAGCTGCTTCCATATCAGGTATGCCGAGAAGCACGTTGCAAAGGCTGCAGCAAGCGAACAGGCGACCAAAATGCCGGCAGGTAATGAGCGGCCCGTCCCTGCGCCGGCCGGCAAGTCGACCCCGTCATTGCCGCGTCTCTTTGGAAGAACTATTACGCGTCCGTTTGGAAGATGTGTGCCTGCCAGAGATAGCAGCATGGCAAAGCGCATCGCGCTGCTGATAGGACTCGAGGCGAGCAGGCACAGCAGAAGTAGTGCTCGTGTCAGTCGCGTGATTAATGCTCCGTCGCACGGAGCGACGCTACTTTCAAGTTGTCGGAGTTAAGGGGGAAGCTGGCGAGCTGATCAGACCATGATCTCGTTATTACTGCAGTCTCTTCTGCAGTGGTACGTGCGACTTGAGCAAGTGTACTCCATCCAACCAATCTGCGTGTACTTGGGCGATGCTTCAAGGTTCAAATAATCATGGCAACCATGGATTTGACTTGACGCACTGCGCAGCACAGTTGTCAGTAACAAACACGCCATGGTTGGTGAGAGAACGTCATCCTACGTCACCATCAATCAGAATCGCGCAGGAGCACGGCCCGAGAGCTTTTTTACGGAGCGGGTAGTTCATCCACGTTCTATCCAACTGTCTGCACCTCCCGACTCCCGAGCCTAGAGAGTGTAATTGCCGCCTTCGATCTAAAATAGCCTCCTCGCCTGTCCATTCCACCGGAGGATGTCAAGATCTTGGCGCAATGCAACGCGGCCCGGAATATCCTATATTTCACCGAGCGCGGTGGCAGGCCGTATGGCTCCATGGTGCATCCAAGTGTGCCGACTTCTTCGGGTCTGAAAACGAAATGGAAAGGATAGGTGTGCGTACCCGGCTCTTGCTTCGATGGAACGGCTGGCAGAAAGACGCCTTCCTCATCACATCAACATCCATCCGCATCGCTCCGGACGCGCAGAAGCGCCGAAATTGTGGTGCCGCTTCTTCCATCTCGGCTCGGCTCAGCGAAATATAGCATAGAGGGCATCACGCACCGACGTGGCCAGCGCTTAATAGCACAAGGACTGTTTGAAGCTGTCAGCCTGTTCTATTTCGTTCGTTCGCTCCATGAATGAGAATTTTTAATTTTATGCTTCCAATAGTCCCCTCGTGACAATGTAGCAGAGAAACGATCATGTCATTTTCGAGTCCAGTCACATGGTAAGTGTACAAATTATGGAAACATGCCCCCGCGTCAAGAGAGCTGCGCGCCCCTTCTCCCAATGGCAGAAGAGTGAAGCTATTGGTCAGACCTGGTTGGCGACTGGGCACTCATATGCGCGCAGGCGCCTTGTGGTGCTGGAGGTGCGGGTACAGGTCGGTTGTGAGGAACTCGGACGGAGCCTTCTGGCGCACCTGATCGGACAGGTAACGGCGCGCAAGGTCGACAGCCTTAGGATCCAGCTTGGTCAACTTGGCAGCCTCCTCTGCGAGCAGTTGGTCGACGAACTGCGGCGTGATCTTTGTTCCGTCGTTCGCTGCGAGTAAGCGGCGACAGGAGAATCACAGGATTAGTAAGAATCCTCAGTGCATTCATGCAGGCGTTGACGAGAGCGGACTCACTTGATTGACCATGGTAGACCCATGACCAGAGACCCAGCCTAGAAATCTCAGCAGTCGCAGCATCTTCCATCATGTAATTGATGGGCACGCATCCGAGGCCGTTGACCCAGTTTGCGCAGTACCCGAGCAGCGCTGAGACGTTCGCACGAGCACCCTTCTCGGTGATGGCACCCGGGACGTTCGAGTTGAGCAGGTCCAGAGCGGTCACCTTGACCTCTTCGCGACGGACGTGGTACTGGTTCGGACCGAGCATGTGTTTGTCGAAGATCTCAAGAGCGATCTTGACAAGCGCAGGGTGAGCAACCCACTGCATACGAGAAGGGTTGAAAATCGATCCGCTCAGCCTCCTTCAACGGTGACTCATCCATAAGGTACTCACAGTTCCGTCATGGCCAGCCTTGACCTCCCGCAGCTTATCAGCCTTGACCTTCTCCATCGCCACATCGTTTGCCTTCGGGTCGTCTTTGATAGGGATCTGAGCCGCCATACCGCCGATAGCAGCGACCTGGCGCTTGTGGCACGTCTGAATGAGCAGGTTGACGTAGGCCTGCATGAACGGAACTGTCATCGTCACATCAGACCTGTCAGGAAGAATAGCGTCTGCAAAGTTGAGAAAAAGCGTCAGTATTGTAATCACCGCTGGGAACAAAGCTGAAGCCACTCACTCTTGTTGTATCGCTGCCTCTTGATGAAGGAGAAGATGTAGTCCCAGCGGCCGCAGTTCAGGCCAGAAGAGTGGTCACGTAGCTCGTACAGGATTTCGTCCATCTCGAATGCAGCAGTGATGGTCTCAATCAGCACAGTGGCGCGAATTGTTCCGCGTGGGATGGCAAGGTAGTCTTGCGAGAGGTTGAAGACGTCATTCCAGAGTCGTGCTTCGAGGTGAGACTCCATCTTGGGCGTGTAGAAGTAAGGGCCGTATCCAGTCCGGATCAGCTCCTTTGCGTTAGTGAAGAAGTAGAGACCAAAGTCGAACAGACTGCCGGAGATGGCCTTGCCGTCAATCAAGAGGTTCTCCTCATTGAGATGCCAGCCACGTGGGCGGACGATGAGGGTGGCAGTCTGACCACGGGGCTTCAACTTGTACTCCTTTCCATTTTCCTGCTTAAAGTCGATCTGGCGGAAGACGGCGTCGCGCATGTTAACCTGGCCATCGAGGTTGTTGAACCAGGTCGGCGAGTTCGAGTCCTCAAAGTCTGCCATGTATGTGTAGGCACTGTGCAGCGCGATCGGTACAAAGAGAGATGATATCGGGCGTCAGCTGCGGGTTCAATCGATAGCAGAGAAATAAGGGCCGGGAGCTGCTCACCCTGAGTTGAGAGCGTTAATTACCATCTTCTTGTCGACAGGCCCAGTGATCTCGACACGCCGGTCGCGGAGACCGGGTGCAGGCGGGGCGCACTTCCATTGGCGGTCCTCACGGATGAACTTTGTCTGCGGCAGAAAGTCCGGAAGAGCACCGCCGTCGAATTGCGTCTGCCGCAGCTGGCGTGCCTTGAGGAGGCTCTGACGGGTGGCCTCAAAGTTTCGGTGGAGGACAGCGAGGAAACGGATTGCTTCGGGGGTGAGGATCTGCACGTGTGCGCCCTCGACCTTACCTGAGAAGGTACGGGGGAAGTAAAGCAAAAGGTCAGTGGCATGCTGCAGAAGAGGTGATCGATGCGGGGCGTCCCACGCACCTAGGATGCGAACGCCCTCGACCTGCTGCGACATGTTGAACAAGTCAAGGCTGCTGCGTGCTGCTGTGGATCTACACCTTTGTAATGCTGCAATATTTGGAACGAAAGGTGCGCTTGACAACGGAATGAGCTTGGGGTCAGCAATTGGACAAACGGCCACTTAGATAGGCAGCGCGGATGGACCGACCGGCTATATAAAAAGGAAATGGGGGGCCAATGCGGAGGAGGGGATGGTGGGTGGCCCTACCTCTGAGAGCGCCGAGCGAGCATTTGACGTCGTTGGTTGATCGGACTGCACCCTGCAGCCGTCCGCTTTCAACGTCACACGGGCCATGCGCTATACGGCTGTAGGCGCCTGCCGTAAGCGGACATCATCGGGATAGGCTTTGTAACTCTCTCGGCCGAGTATGCACCTTGTGGAGAACATGACCCTCTTTAAACAAGAGCAACAAAAGCTCTCGGCCATCGGGCTGTCGCAGCAATACTATACCGCTCAAAATGTGTCACGTGCACAACCTCATCTCTGTTTTAGTCTGCTCGAGGGCAAACTAAATCGTGAGGGGCAGAACAGAGCCGCGACGCGTGACGAACATCGATCGCGTCTCATCGCTCAGATCAAGCCGCCGAAAAGTCGCTGAAAATGGAAGCCTCGTTTCCGCAGAGCACTCCGCGTCCGCATCTACCCCCTTCCCCCCAAAACGGGCCCCAGGCGCGTACATACGCCTCCTTGCATGCGCCCCTGGTCGCGAGGCTCGCGAGTCGCAACTCAGACCCCATCAGATCGAACACTTCTTCACGCACACCGCACGCAGACATCTGTTTATGTTTGTGTCTTGTTCCAATGGGCGCCCCACTCTATGTACTGCTTTGCTTGGACGAGCCGCGTGGGGCTCCAGGGTACATCTGTAGTGTGCATGTTTGTGGTTGCCAGTGTAGGGGGTACATGTGTAGTGTACTGCAGCCCGCGAAAGAGCTGTGAACGCCAGATACATGCATACCATACTATGTGGGAGCTGGAATCTGAAATATGGAACATGGGAGAGTGCAGCAACAAAGGCGACATACAGCAAGACAACTCGACCATATTCAGAGTCGGCCAGCTTGCTGCAGACAAAAGGAGGGCCCGCTTCGCCCTTGGCCCTGTGCAAGATTCTGCGAGCTCGTGCATTGCGCAATGTTCAAGCATTGGAGGCAATAGGTTGCATCCAGTGTTCAGGGTTTAGCTTTCGCAGTGACCGCCGCCGATTTTGGTCACCAACGTCCACTTCGCTCTGTGGCCTCTGTCAAGAGTCAACAGTCGGAGCCGGACTGCGACCTTGGACTACATCTGCACCCTGTCCACCGTGCTAAGGCCGGGCCCCTGCACGCTAAACTGCCTGCTTCTCTGCTTAGTCACCACTTGAAATCGCTTATGCCCAGGCCTGAGGACATTGGCGGAAAGAGACTGGCGACAGACTCACGGACCAGCACGGATCCCTAAAGACGACGAAAACAGAGCCAGGACGCAAGCTCTGGGACACCAACCCGATTCGCGCGGCTTTCGAGCAAGAACAGGAGATCATCGATCTTCAGCTTGCCTTCTTTTATCTGCGACCTTTCGGATCAAACAACGATCAAATACGTCACCGCTTTGCGCTTCTTCACCGGGCAGAGGCATTGTCTCAATTCGTACTCACGCCCATGGCAGGCTACCGCAGCAACATGGGCCTGAAGAAATGATAGGTGGTGCACCCTGGTCATTGACACTCGACGATCTACTTCAAGACCATCAGCTTCGGTAACAACATCATCCGTGCCTTCCAACGCTCCGTCATCTGCAAGTCGGCTCTTCTCTTCGTTTATTGGTCCCGGTAATCAGTCCCAAACTCGCACACTGCATTGTAGACCCCCGTCAGTCACAACCCCAACCGCAGGCTTTCTTCATCTCGATCCTCAGTCATTTGTCACCATTCTCGCAAGCAAACAAACACGCACGCAAACGCAGATCCTACAGCCTCTCGAGCCATTCCGGATCGACCATCCGCCCAGCCCCGCTGGTTTGAAACATGCCCGCGTCATCAACCATCACGATGTCGGCGCCGTCCACGGCGCAATTGTACGCCAGCCAACAATCTGTATCATCTCGACCGTCTGGCTCGCTCCCGCTTCAACCCGGCGGCGCACCCAGCAGTAGCGCTGTGCGGGCCACAAACAGTCGAAGACCGAGCTTTGGTGCGGAAAAGGCGGGACGGATGAGTCCGGTGAGTCCCCGCACTGGTATTTCATCCTGACTGTAGCATGCGGTGCTGACCGAACGCGAGGATTACAATGCAGACTGCCTCGCCGCCACGCTCCTCGTCGCACCTGCGTTCCAAATTCAGCACCGAAGCGCTACGCTCCGGACACGCGCCAAACATCAGTGTGCCGATGCCGTATATGGGCAATATGCCGCCACCGCTACCGTCTCCCATGAGCACAGGTGGCGCTGCCATACACATGGCACGCACCGTCTCTACCGAAAGCCATGCTTCTAGCCAGGGTCGAGCGGGCGGACCGTCGGGGAAGGATGCCGGCGAGAAGCCGCAGTGGTACCAACGGTCAAAGTCTTCGCGCAACCTCGCAGCTCAAGCGGCCGCACAGGCAGCGGTAACGCACGCCAATGCGCCTGCGTCACCGACGGAAAGCCACCGCGACCGTGAGCAAGAGAAGGATCGTGATGAGGACTGCGACGATAGTGCCTCGATCTCCTCATTCACTTGCTCCTCTGCACGTGAATTTGACCGTCAGTACAAGCTTCTGGAGTCGTTGCCAACGCCCATGACAGTTCTGGCACAGACTTCAACTCCAGGCGAGGCGGCGGCCAAGGGACGGGAGTACAAGCAGCACTGGATGGATGGCCTATTTGGCAAGCTCGCATCGAAAGGAATGAAGAAGAAAAAGGGGACAGACTCGCTGACGGCGGGCAAAGGCAGTGCTGCTGGCTCAAGCCATTTCCTAGATCTCAGCTCATTCATCAGCCCTTTGCCAGGTGCGAATGCAGTAGCCAGCGCACCGGAACAAAGTCCACCAAGACCGAGGATGGATCATCATGTCTATTCTGCTGATGCTGTGCCCACAATAGGTAGCGGTGCCATCCCGCCATTCGCCACACCAGGACGACAGCGCAAGGCGCCGCGGGAAAGCGAGCAGCAGCGCAGCCAATCAAGCATGAGCTTCCGATCAGCAGACGAGTTCTCTTTATCCAGGAGACCGTCTGAACGCTCGAACGGTGATCTCGCGTCCCCAACTTTTCCGCTTTCCCCTCTACCGCAAGGTGGCGCGCGGCTTACCATCGGCACCAAGAAGAGTATGGATCGTCTACAGCAGCAACTCGGCCAAGCGTACGCACAAAATGAGAGCTCCGGCTGCCAAAGTGGCGACGGCGACGTTCCTGCACTTCCAAGTTGGGCGAAAGAGAGCAACCGTCATCGAGGTATGGCGCCTACTAGCGCTGCCACGGGCCGCTCTCAGACCGACCTACAGAAGAGCATGCATTCCAGTTTTCCTTCTGGCAAGGCAGCGGTTCCAATGGCGAGGGCGCAGAGCGACAGCGTGCAGATGCAGATGGGAATGCAGGTGAAAAACGCTCACAGCCGACCTGTTCTGCCTGCTCGGGCATCGAGCACAAGCCAGGCCATCCTTGGCCCTGCCGCCGCCAGCAATCTCCCTTCATTCTACACCAACCAGTCTTATCGCTCAGACCCCACATCACGTGGCTCGGTCAGCTCCATCTCGACAGACTCCACCTCCAGTCCGCAGACGCCGAGCAGCGCGACACCGCTCAATCGTATCCTTTATGGTGCCGGAGAGGCAGACTCGCCGTTCCCACCAATGCCTTTGCCGCATGGCGGGCACTATGTCCATGGTTCTTCGGTAGCCGGGGCAGCGGGGGTCAGTGCGCATCACGCGATTGGCTCCGCACTTATGCTAAGCGGAGTTGACGATGGTGCGAAGCCCAATGAGGGTGAAAGGCAGTCAGCCATACTGGGAGGCTCACTCGATGAGCAGGGCGGCCGATCCCCTTTGATGGCTAGCCGCGTGCTAAACGGTATCAATATGACGCCGCGCGCTGGCAGACTCGGAGGCGAAATGGCACGTGGTGATGCTGTGCAGCTTGCAGAAGATGGCGACATGACATTCACACGGGCGGCAACGCGCACGCCTGGTCGAGGGCGTGGCAGAGCGCAGACGATGGCATCTTATGCAACAGCGCCTGGCCATGCCTGGTCCGGCTCGGTCAGCAGCATTCATTCTGTGTCCGCCAATGAAATGCACAGAGCTTCAATCTCATCTCGCGCGAGTGCAACATCCTCGGCGGATGAAAGACAATCGATGTCGTCTGATGCATTCGCCTATGCGGACCGGCTCAGTCAAGCATCCACTTTCCCCAACGTCAGCGGTGTAATGCTTAGACGTGAGAAGCTGCCTTCAACCGCGGAAGAGCAGACATATTGGAACACCGCATTTTGAGTTACTGCGCTTTGGAAATGCAAGCAGCTCCCCCTTGGATTCGCATTTTGCAAGCACGCGCATCGTGTATATGTATTCTAAGGGTACTGAAAGATGCGCATTGAGCGAGCAACGCATCTATGAGAGTGCGATGTCCTCACTCGAGGCCGCCTTTGCACTTTCGCCATCTTCTGCGGCGGGCTTGGGGATGCTCGCATCCTCGCGTTGGGCCGCCTCGCTCGCCACCGCTAGAGCGACGTCATCTAGAGGCACTGCCACCTGAATCTGGCCTCCGACTCCGTCATCAATGGTACGTACAAGGCGTCCATCGTCCTTCAAAGCACGAACTTGGAAAATGAGAAAGTGCTCACAAGTGTGCAGCATGGTCTCCACTCACCGTTGTCTCTGTCTTCGTAGCATTCACGCCTGGCCCGAATGGCTCTTCTGCGTGAACCGCTTGGGCTGCGGATGGATCAGAGCTTCCTGACGAGGCAGACGATCGCCGTCGAGCACGCTCTGCGACGACGTTCCCTGCTGGCGGACTGATGATAAGATCTTTGTTCCGGAATTCTGGATCAAAAAAATCGACGAAGGGGTCGTCATTGTCGCGTGACGATGGTGAGGCTGAGTCGCTATTTGCCTGCGCATCTGGGTCGTCAAAAGCTGCAGATGAAGCCTCGCGATGAAATTCTGCAAATGCAAGTCAGGAATTTTTGCTGTGTGCGTCATCACGTCACGGGGGACTCACGTGCAGCCCAGTCTGCGGACGTCAAATTTTGAGCGAATGGATTTGATGACTCGGCAGTCGGTGGATCCGAGGATCCAGCAAAGGGGCCCCAATCGTCATCGAACTGTGAAGGTTGATCAGTGTCATTCTCCCAAGCCATCATGTTGGATGAAGCTACGTACGTCATTGTCGCCACCAGTATGGGCAATGGGTTGGAAGCTGTCGTCAAACCCTTCAGCATCTGCATGACCGGAGCGCCCAACGCGCGCTCCGATCCAGCCAGAGTCCTCGTCGGAGTCGTCATCGTCCGATTGATTCCCGATTTGAGAAGACAACTGCACGCCCAAGCATGTCAGTTCCTGTCGATCAGGTGTAGAATGGTGGCATCCTGACAACTCACATAACTAGCAAACGTATTCTCCTCGGCGCCTTTGAAGAAAACCAAGGTCAGTAATTCCGAAAGCGCTGTGCCAAATCACGTGCACGCACTGCCAGCTGTCTCGCCATTTGTTACAAAGCCAATTCCTGTGATAGATGCGCCGATTGAGGGTCTGCCGCCGGCGAGCGGCCCAGACTCTTTCTGACGATTGATCTGGAGCGTTTGAAGCAGCTCATGCCATTCTGGCTGCGGCATGGTGCTTTCCACGGCCTTCGCAATTTCTTGTGGGTAGCGCTCAAGGAGCTTGACAGTCTCCTCCGCAATCAGGTTGAGGTGGCCCATGTAACCCAAGCGTATCTTGCGAGGGCCATTACTGTAGTGTCAAATCTTGAGTCAACAACTGCGCCAAGCCAATGCATCAAGAAGGCGACTCACGCAGATTCTTCGTTTGCATGATGCCCTTCAATAATTCGCTTGCAAAGCTCACCCTCTGCGAACACTGAGATCGTCAGCCGCTCATTATACCCTCCATTCATTCGCCCGTTGAAGAATTGTTGTAGAATGTCGTAAACGACGTTGTGCAGAAAGTTGTTCCAATGGTGATCAAAGAAGAGTTGCTGCGTGAAATTCGGAGATCAGCACCCGCACAAAGAGTGTGAGGCGTCACTTGAGCACTCACAAGGATAGATGGAATTACGCTGCACTCATGGAAGCGCTTTTTGAGCAGCTCTCCAACGAACAAGTCTGATTCGTTCGGAGCCTCTATATGCACGGCGCCATTAGACAGGTGCTGCGCGCGCTGATGGAGACTGAGCTGTATAACGCCGTCGGTAACTTCCGCAGTGGTGTCGTCATCGGCCGATGGCGGAGAGGCATCGACTATGCCAAGCGTAAATGAAGAGTTCTCGCCCGTCACGGCAGTGAAGCTTGCATCAGCAGTATCGGTACTCTCATCGCCCATGAATTCGCCCGAATCGCTGGTGCCGACCTTCGACTCCTCGCGAAGGTGACGTGACCTCCGCATCGGAGCGTCGGCTTCGGCATCCTTTGATGCTTCCGTCCCTTGCTCAAGCGGAGTTGATGACTGATGCATGCTGACGGGGCCGCTGGGATCCTGTCCATGCCCAACGCCCGTGGAGCTGGCGTCGTCATCGCCATCGTTTCCATCCAATCCTTGAAGCGCTTTAGCAAGCACCTGAAGACCATCGATGCCGCCCATCAGAGTGCCCTGTTTGGAGTACTGTGGCCCTGATCCCGGCGCTCTATTCAGCAGCGCCATGTTGGAGCAGTGCAGTAGCTCTGCGTAAAGCTCAGTGATGCGGTAGCGTTCGAAAGACAGAGGCGTGATGGGGCCGATCGTCATGGCGAGCTTTGCGGTTGATTCACTCGGCTGCGTGAGCAGTTTTTGGAAATCTGGCAACCTTTCGCTGATTATCCCTAGCATGGGGCCGAGATGCACAATGCCCAACTTCTCCGAAACTTCCGCCATTGCCTCCTCCATCCCTTCCATCTCGTCATCCTCCTCATTCATGTCCGGTGGTGGCTCTTGAGTGCCACTCTGTTCGAGAACGCGAGAGACCTTGTTTGTGCGCTGCTCCGACAACTCTTGTTGTCGTTGTAGTAGGTGTGACCGGAGGGTGTGGAAGAGATGCTGCTCAAAGTAGTCGCTATTGTTCTTACGAATGAGCTCTATGAAGATGCTGATGCACGTAACGAGTGAGGATGTGCGCGTCTCCTGCGTGATGGCGACCTCCGGTGCTTTCGCCTTGCTTTTGTCTTGACGGTGTGAGTCTGGCGAGGGGCGTGGACTGCGGCGTGGATCTGTGGGTTCCAGTACTCTTGATTCCGAAGCAGGGCTGTCTCTTGGATTAAGTGGCATTGGCGCCTCCTCTTCTGTGCTCGATGCTCGAACAGGGGCCGGAGTTTCCGAGCTGGGTATCTGCGGCTCATCAACTGCCGAATCTGCCGAATCTAACATGAATGTGACCATTTTGCGGACAACATCTTCCCCTGCAAGGTCTCGAACAATGCGATTGTTGGCCACCCCCGTCGCGCTTGACATGCTGCTGTCAAAGCCCGGGGCTGACGGATCTGCATTCTGCGCGAGAGTAGAAGGCGATGGCGCAGATAGCGCAATCACCGCCTTGAGCAACTCCGAAGTGTTGTTGTGAATATTGGGCGAATGAGAGGGGGACAGCAAGTCGACCAGCAGGAGAACCAGATGATGATCGGCTAGCCACTGAGAGATTGAGAGTAAGTTAGACCCAGTCACGACAGCGACTTAATCGCAGGATACTTACGTCGATAATTCCGGCTGAAGGGCTGGTGTCTTCGCACTGGATGATCCGATAGAGCAAGTCTATCACCGCAGGCGTCTCAATATGAGCAGCAAAACGCTCCGTGATCATTGGTAAGGACTTGATGAATTCGAGCATCTGCAATAAACCAAGTCAGTAAGATATGACGAGTGGCGGTCGTCTGGAGCTGTTGAGCCCTTACGTACCTCGGATGCCTTCTTGTCCAATAAAAAGCCGTTCACTTTGGCCCAGTAGCCAGCCAGCACACTCTTTCCGGGGCCTGGCTCGGCACTGTCCGATGCTGTCCGGCCGAGTGAAGCATGCGGAGTGCTCGTTGGAACTGAAGCGCTTTCATCAAGGTGAGCCGGAAGCTTGAAAGACGCAGCGAAGAGAGGATGCGAATGGTGAGGCGTGGGCGCCGATGGCGAATCGGCGTCGTATGTCAGAATTACATCCCAGAAAGGCTCAAGAAGTCCTTTCGGATCCGCCAACAGGCCCTCAGCGATTGCCCAGATATCACATGAAAGGACTTCGGACGCGATGTACGGGTACCTTGAAAGACAGTGGATGATGTAAGGACCAGTCTTAGACTCTGAACAAGATATATCAAAGGACTCACTTGAATTTCACTTTCTCCTCCCATTCAGGCCCTTGGCCCCCGCCCACGTCCGCATCACCTACGACATGCTCCAAGAGTCGCTTGAGAATGCGGGGTTGTTGGAGAAAGCTTATGAGCTTTGTATTCTGGGATTTACATTCTTGCAATAAATCGTCCTCGTCAAGAATATCCTCTAAGGACACGTTGGGCCGATCGAGGATGGTATCGATCGAAGAGTTGGCTGCGAACCCGAATTTCCACTGACAGCACCGCTTTTAGCTGTCAGATGTAGCTCGCAGCCTCCCTAAACATCACTTGCGAAGACACTCACGAACATCGTGCCGCCGATTGTCCAGCCCAGGAAGCTGGCACACAGGGTCTTCACGTAGCACCTCCTGCGATTTGCTGGTCGACCTAGCGGCCCATTCTTGAAGCTTGAGTATTGCCAGTCGATTCGGTTCGTCTCATTTGCTGCCACTGCCCGATATTTATCAGAACAGTATCAATGGGCCAGCCGTTGCATGAAAATCAGGCGTACGCTGTGTTTGCCTTCTAGGATTGTAGACGTATATATCTCAAGACTTGTCATCGATATAAACGCATGAGGTTTTGATGTCGGCGCGTTCCGCTTAAGAGAACTCAACTCTTCTCTCTCGCACGACTTCTCTGCGAGTCGCTCCCCTATGTCTTTGTAGTGTTAAGGCGGCCAGACTTCAGAAAGCGCTGCAGTTGGCGTGGTCTCACATCGATCATCAGTCAGTATTCATTTCAGTTTGTGCTAATCTCGAGTCTAGGTAGGTCCTTGCGGGGGCAAGTCCCTGTCAGTATACTCCGCCTGGTTCCGTTCTGATGTGGGCATTGGTGTTGTGGTGGGCTCGCTCCCTCGGTCCTCTCCGGTCACGCGACCAGAGCGGCAGCTTTAATCCAAGCATTGTGCGACCAAATCATATGCGCACGCCGCAACCTAATCCTCACTTGGAAGCAGTCTTCATACATGTTGCTAACAACTTGCAGCAGCAGAGCATCATTCGTCTGATGCATGGGCTGTATGAGCAGAGCCGCTCGTCATTAGACATACAGAGAACATGTGGCAGTGTCCGGTGAAAAAGCTGCAGAAGGCCTCCTTGATCACAAGGAGTCTATGAAGTCACTTTCGTCCTGGATTTCAATGGCGCTTGCGATCGATATCTTCTTGATCGCGCCTGGCCAATGAAAGTCGGTGGGAGCAAAGCGTTTGTTGGCGGCTAAGTGGTCACCATGTCTGGCGTTTTGTGGCGGAATGAACTTCTCGATCGTCTCGCGACAGCCTTCACTCCCATTCTCAAGGGCTACACCCTCATCGCTGATCTGCTTCATGGACCAGATGCCATGCTCTGTAGCTTCAGGACAAACAATGGAATCATCCGCCTGGTCACATTCGGAATCAACGCAATCTCAGTCAGCGAATGCAGCGTAGACGCGAGCTCTTAACCTCAACTCACAGGTCTAGCAGACGAAATAGGAGTAACGGCGCTTCCGTCTCCAGATTGGGCCTTGGCAGGAATGCCTTTCTTGCGAGCGGGAATGATGGGCTTGAAAGGAACGGAGACAGTGTGACTGGGTTGGGACGTGGTAGCAATATTCGTTGGCAGGATCTCAGGAGATTTGTAGATAAAATCTTGGATGCCAGCCATTAGTTGGCAAGCGCCTGCTGATTGGGCATTCGCATCGGAATTGGAGGGCTCTGCCATCATTGGTAAATGCTGCGGCAGCGTTGCAGCCTTTTCGGCGTGTGGAACAAGAAAGATATCAGAATCAGGGCCCCCAGTGTGGGTGTGGAATCTGCTGCTGCACCTACGACTTGTTGACCAGCAACACTTTCATGACTTTGTCCCACAAGCACAGGCGTGGCGTTGCGGGCTGCCGTCTTGTCAAGAATCATAGTTACTCGAGCTGCGCCGGAGCCGGCATTGACAACTCCGGCTGCCAAACGCGCTATGCCCTGAATTTCAGGCATCCCTTCGGCACTTGCAGGGTCGCAGCTGTCCAGCACGAGCGTGTGGTTGCACTTGAGGTCCTCCTGACTATTCGCCTCAGCCGTGGCAGCGTGTGCTGCATAGGTGTACAACGTCAGCAAGGAAACCGGCTTAACATACGCAGGAACATGCTTACGATCAGATCTCCTGCTCATTGAGCCTTCGCCGGAAAGGTCTGCTCCTCCGGTATTGTGCCGTTGCTTAGCAGGTGCCTCTAGAATCTCGCGCTCTTTGCCGAGTCCGGGGGTGAAGTACAATGCATTGGCGCTCGTCTTGACTGGAAGCGTGTCAACCATCACCAGTTGGGACGTAGTCGCCTTGCGAGGTCGAGCTCGACCTTTCCTCTGCGAGTGCGAGACCGACCTTTGACGCTGGAACAGATGCGGATCGAGTTCAGGAGAGGCCTTGCGCAGGAAGCCTTCTTGTTCCAACTCGTTGCGGATCTTGGTCGCCATGCGAATGTTTGCCCCAATTTTTTGAGCCAATTTCTGGACCGAGTCGGGCCAAGCTCTGTCGGTGATGTACATCAAGTGCAGAGCGCGGCGTTTCAGAGCAAGCCATTGCAAATCCTCGATCAGATCATTTCCCTCGATATGCGCAGGCGAGGCCACCGGCGGCAGAGCTTTGATGCGGTCAGCATAGCAGAGGAAATCATCCGGGACATTTGCGGTGTCTCTGAAGCCATAGCACGTCGCGTGGACCCAAACCGAGCATGACGAACATTGTATCATAAGGCCATCATCGTCATCATCTTCACAAGCACATCGCGTGATGTCTTCGGACACCACTGCTGATTGGTTCGGTTTGGGTAACGAGGCATTCAGCAACGACTCTTTTTCCGCGCGACCAGCACGAGGACGAAGAGTCCTCTGAGATTGTGAGTGAGTGTGAGATTGATCCCCAGTTTGGGTCACCGATTGGCTGGAAATGCCCACAGCATCGGTTTGAGAGTCAGAGGGCAAAGCCGGAGAAGCGTTCTGCATTTCGACGTCCCCATGCAGGTAACCTCGAGAAGAAGCCGGAGCACGACTCTGCCCAGAATGAGCCTGTCGTGTGGGGACTTGCTGAAGATGATTCTCCCGCTGTGATGTAGCCTGCACGGTCTCCTGATATACATTTTGACCGTTCGTGGGAGCCAATTGCTTGGACTCTTGAGACTGAATGGTCGGGTTTGCTTTTCTCAAAATCGGGCTCGATGAGTGAGGCTGCAGAGTGCTTTGAAGGGATCCATAGCGTCTGGGAGAAAAGACATTATGCAGCAAGTCGGTGTTTGTTTCGATATCCCACTCCTTGCGAATGACTTTGGAGACGAACATTTCCACGTCGGTGAGGTCATCTTCAGCGACTGTGTGACCTTCACGCCTAGCTGCCTCGCGTTTGGCTGCTTCTTCGACCGCAGCGAGTGGCATGGGAGTGATCTTTCCGTTGGGAAGCCTGACGCCAACAGGCACGCCGGGCTGGAAGCCACGCTTGAAACCGACACGTTTCTTGCGATCGAGGCGGGCTTGGTGCTGTTTCAACCATGAGTTGTGGTTATCAGGGCCTGGCTCGCCATCTGCATCTGTATCAGGTTCTTCGTCCACTTCTTCGATGTCCGAAAGCCCTCCATGCGCATTTTCCTCGGCATCCCAGACCACGCAGCGTTCATCGGAATCTTGCTTCTGCAAGATCGCCTCCTGTTGCAGAACCTCTGTCCTTGCGCTGATCATATTGCGCCCTGCATCGGGGTCAATGACGACGGGTAATGGAAGAGCATCTGCGAGAGAAGCAACATGCACTGAGACACTCTGATGTCCAGTCTCTAGCGTTCCGAACGAGCTCTCTTCTGGGGCTTGCTGCAGCGTCTTGGTGCCAAACATGAATCGATGGTTCGCTGCGTCAGCTGCGTCAAAGAACGGTGGCTGGTAATCAGCGGGAGCGGTGTCATTGTAGATTAGTTTGAAGGTGATGAAGCGACGCCTAGGAAGCTCTTGCAGGGTCTGCGTCATGGTGATAAGATTGCGAATTATGGACTGTGCACTTGCTCGCACTTCCCTTGCCGTCGGAAGGTTCTTCTCAGTATCCGCATTCAGGCTGAAGCAGCCGCCGCCGCTCATGTCAATCCCTCTGAGGCGCGCGGACAGCTCCATAATAGGTGCTCTCCTCTTCGTCCCTTGTATGCTTTCGTACTTGAAGCTGGGAAGAGAAGCCATAGCATCAGTTTCATGCTCTTCATCGAGCGCGTCAAAATACTGACTTGAATGTGTAGGCCTCCACGATATTCTGGGGGTCATCCGGATCCAGGGAGACTGCGAGAATCAAACTCTTGAGGTACTCTTTGTCCAGCACGTCCTGGACCCCTTTCTCCTGCGAGTGCTCAAAGGCGGATGCATTGCGTCAACTCTCCACCTGTATGCCTGGTCGTGCTCAGACTGTATGCGCCTGAATGCGCTCACCCAGTAGTCCAGCAGACGGTCGCCTTCACTCGAACAGCCACGCTTAAGCTTCTTGACTTTGATTGAACCATCTCCCTTCATTTTGACAGCTTTTCCACTCTCGTCTGTCGTCATTGGGCGCCCGGACGGGAGAACCACCTCTTCGAAGTGATCTTCAGGAAATATTCCACTGAAAGAGTGCGCAGTGGTCTGCTCAATTGCCTGTACCATGCGCATATAGCCAGCATCCTCCTTACCGAAGATACATGATGCAGCCTAGGCTGGTGTCAACGAGTGTCTTGACCGCAGCAGCGCTTTGCTGGAGCGTCAAAGCAGCCTGTGCAACATGTCACAAGTCGCATCAGCGTGATTATTGACTTGAATTTGGCGCAGCGAGTCCACCTCACCAGATCCTGTTTTGGAGTGCTGGTGATCAAATTGGCTGTCGCCACCTGCGGTCTCACACGCTGCGAAAGGAGATACATTCAGTGCACGATGTCTTCACGCCACTATTGGCTGCCGTACCTGCTGTTGTGCCATCTTGATTGCGTCGCCCGTTTGGAATATGAGCAGCCCTTGATGTAAACTGCATTAAAGGGCTCTCGGGAGTGCCACTCCTGACGAAGGATACCACTACCCTTGTTTGCACGGCAGAGCAAGGGTGCTTTAGGATAACTCGACCCAGCTTTCTCTCTCTCTCTCTCTCTCTGTACATCAAATGAGCATCATCGTGAAGTGAGCTGGGAGAAATCAACAGTCAGCACTGATATATGGAGGAGGCGGAACGGGTTATTGAGCTCAGAACCATCAGCAAGTGTTGTTCTTTCTCCGCACGAGTCGCGTCGCGATCACTGCAGGCCACATATGGAATCTGTACTCCACATCGACATGTAAGAGCGTCCTTGCGTGAGATCAGCATCAGTGAGCTAGTGAGAAGCGATGTTACAACCGACTATATTTCGTCAGCAGAATGCAGCTTTCGGAGTGCCTTTGAGGATGCGCGTCTCATTCGTGAGGATTTTTTGTTCTCTAACGTCTGCAGTCGGAAGAGGGGCAGACTGCTGGCGTCACAGAGCCTAGACGGACTTCTAGTTTCCTTGCTGCGGAAATCATAAAGCTAGAACAAGAAGGTTTGAGAGCGTGTCGAACGTGCAAGCATGTGAGTCAACTACGCTTAGGAGTCCTTCGTCGAATGTGCATCAGTGTGCTTGCATGATTCAGGCAAATGAGTCGCGCATCCTGCTGGCCAGGACTTCAAATGGATTGTATGGAGCTTGTTGGATGTTGTTAGGTTTCCTCGGGCGCGCTCCTTCTGCTTGCAAGGATCATTTGCTCGGTTGCTCGCATGGTGTCAGGAATAGGTGTAAACGACCTCTTGCACGTAGCTAGACGCACGATGCATGATTCATTATCGCTGAACGCTGCATCTACAATCGGAAAGCTGGACCGTGGATAGTCGACTTGAAGCATGCGCCATGAGGCAATAAGCATGAGCGGTGCATGTGAATGATCCAATGATGGATGCGGGTTGATACGTCAATGCTTTGCGGCTCACAATTCTCGAAGGACCTAACGGACAGTCGCCTGGAACACGCAACGTGGACACTGGGACACGGGAGGTATCTGGTGTTGCACCGAAGAAACCCGTCAAAACGCGCACGCGATTCCGCGCGACAGACTGCTTTACGCGCAGTGGATGCCTTTTCGTGTAGTTTCGCCTGTGAGATCTCCCAGCCGCGCCGACACCACATTCACACGGGTGCAACTGATGTGGAACATACCTGCGAGCTGAGTAGTTAGCCATAGCACCGCGGAGGAAGGAAGCATGAGCGTTCTAGCACGACCGTCTCAACAACGTTGTCGTTTTAAGAGCTGTTCTACCGTTCCAATTGCTACTAACAAATTCCCTACCACCCGCTACGCACAGTATGAGTCGGCGCGTCAGAACGTTCGCCGATAGCGACCGCCATACAAATCCGCTCCTGGACGCTTCGTGGAAGCGCGTGGACACCTTTCGCGAAGAAGGACCTCAACGCAGCCCTGAGCGACTGAAAGGGAGCCCAAATGCTGTGATCGATTCAAGGGAGGACGAGGGAGTCGTTCGAGCTGCTGATGAGGTAGACGAAACGGATGCGGACAGCGATCTGCAAAATGAAGGTCGCCGTATGGATGCTAAAGGTCCAGAATCGCGGGCTTCGCATTCACAAGATCCTGAAGCAGAAGAAAATGAAGCGTGGGAATACGAAGAGGATGAGATATATGTGACTTTGGACCTCGGCAAGCCTGGCCTGCAGCAAATCGCGTCGGTCGACTGCGCTATCACAGTGGGTTGGCTTCTTGGCCAAATTCAATCGCTCCTATGGCTCAGAGACTTGTATTTCAGGGCCTGGATACCGACACACCTTGGTTAAAACTTGGCCGTACCCTGTATAAAGGAGAGTGGCACGAGCTATACGGGTCGGAGATTCTCTTACACGACGCAAAGAGTGAGTGCAGCAATGAAACAGCGCTCAACGCCAGAATCTAATATCAGGATCCACGGAAACGTAGACAGTTACGGGCAGCGTGAGCTTAGGCCCTTGGCGAGCGCAACAACCGTCACCAAGCAAACCCAAGGGCCGTCCATTACCTCGCATCGCATACTTTTCACACCAGTACGCCGTGCAGAGAGCAAGTCAGTGCAAGAGACGACACGGGCAGCTGCGAATCATCTGGCAGAGTTCAAGCATTTCCCCGGGCTAGCGGTCCATGATGCGTCGACAAAGCAGCCGAAGAAGCCGATGTCGGAAATGACATATGCAGAGAAATGGCAGGATGTGCTCGACAAGGCTCTTGCGCGTAGGGAAAAGGCAGCTGCCAAAGGCCGATTAGATCCCGTCAGATCGACAAGAGGCATTGGTCCCTACTCGAGAAAAATGCCAGAGGTCGCCGATGATGATAATGAGTCTGGTCAGTCGAACAACGGCGCTGGTCTTGGTTGGTCCGAGATCGACCATAAGACGGATAGTGCAGCATAAGAAGGCTGAGCACAACCAGCACGACGGGTGACTCGGACGAAGATACAGGAGGACATGGTGTGCCTGGATGATATGCGTGTAAACGTGTATAGTACAAATGTAGCATAAGCGCTCGCGATAAACAGTGATTAGTGATTATTAGAGAGTCGATTGACGTCGACAATCTTTTTGTGTTTGTCTAGGAAGTCCTTGCTGAGGACAGCACTCTTCGACTTCAGCATCTCACGATAGCTGCCCTTGATGGTCGAATCACTAACTTGGGCAGACTCTGCAATCTGCTTCGCTGTCGGCGGATTGCTCATCGCAAGTGTGACCGAGAATAGGATGCATGCTGCGCTGATAGTGATGGGCGACTTGCCGGCCAGAATGCCCGCCTCACGGACGCGCGTGACAATGTCCTCTGTGAGACGAATGATACTGTTTTCCAATCCCAGACGAGAGCAGAAGCGGCCGACGAGCTCCAGAGCTTTTGTAGGTCCAACAGCATCGACACTGCCATCGGCGGTACCGGGGGCGTTGAGCCCAAATGCGGCTTGCATTTCCCGAAAGACCTGGCCAATAAGCTTCTTTTTGACTTTTGTCAGGTTGCAGATCTCGGGAAAGGTACGCGGGACTTTGTTGATCTTGCAAGCGACATAGATAGCACTCGCCACGATCGCCTCTGTCTTCTTTCCCTTAGCGACTTTGGACTCTTCAGCGCGACGGAATAGCTGTTTGGCAGTGTCGCTAACCATCTTAGGCAAGTGGATGCTGTCACACTTTCTCTGGATGTCATCGAACGCTTCTAGGATGTTCCTGTTCTGCGTGCCATGCCCAAGCTGCGCGGTCTTCTGCAGTTGACGAGAGATCCCAGAACCACCATCGCGAGCACCAATTCGAGTATCGAGGGACTCAACCAGACCATCGAGAATTGGGTTACTGGATTCCCCGACACGAGATGGATCGTCGCCATCCTCATTGGCGAACGTCCGCCCTGGTGTCGTAACCATCCTCATCAGCCTCTTTGCAACACACCTTGGCTGCAAACAGCAGGCCACTTACATTCCGATCGAGTATCGACGATGCGATCGCCCACGACTAGACCACAAGTGGCGCAGACGAGGTCGCCACTTGAGAACTCCTCTGACAAATTGGGTGGATCGACTTGGCAATCCGGACATATGAGCCTGACATTGAGGTTCGGAGCGAAGCTCTGCTCTTTGATTTCATCGCCGCGATCCCGAGCATACTGCGCCGTGAGTGCAAACGGCTTCTGGAAGGATGAGCCGGCTGGACGTTCGTACTGCATGGGCTTGCTTGACCTGGGCGCCTGATGCAGGGGCACGAGGCAAGACGTGCACGGTCAGTGCCACCCAGCTGAAGCAGCTGCAACCCCTAGAACTCAGAATGACAGCAAGATGGCAAGCAGCGACACCCACCTGAACAGCAGCTGCTCCGTTCGTAGATGTCATCTTGCGCAGATGAGGTCCGTTCGAGGATGGTCTAGCTGCTGCTGAAGGTGATGCTGCGCAGACGTCGACTACAATATAGAAAGCGTCAAAATCGATCGATTCCAATGGCTGGCTCGCCACGATGCCTTGTTACAGCGCCACAGTCTGCTGCAGTTGTCTATGAGGTTACTGCCTTGCTCTCCAGCAGAACAAGACAGGGCCACTAGTCGATAAGCTGAAGAGCTAGAACAGACGTGGTGGTGGTAGAGAGTATGAAAATAGTTGGTCAGGATGGCGGTTGAACTAGGCAGCCTCGTATGTTTCCCAGTGATGAGTGGTTGCCACAAGCCTCGCATGACAGGTGTGAGGCGTGAGTCGCGACGTTTGCTGTGAGAGGATGTGGGAGACATTGTCGAGCACTGGACCAGTGTCTTTTGCAGGGGCGTGGGCCACTCTAGGGCAGCAAACACGAAAGTTTTCGTTCATTCGATCGACTTCAGGTCTCCACCGTGACGCACATGACGCATGCCCAAGGGTCTCAAAATAGAAGGCTCTTTACATCCAGGGCCGTAATTGAGCGCTCAGCACACAATGTAGCAGTGTCTCGAGCGGTCGATTTCGAAGGCCACAAGGGACACCGCCAATCGTCCAATTCGTGGTCTTGTGATGCATGCAGAGCAGCCTCGCAAAAATATGAGCGCGTTGAACTTGAATCGAAAGGTTGTATGATCTGTGGGATGAGGCGTATTTCCCCGATTAGCTTTCAGTCAAAACGTCATCTTCAGCAAAAGAGGCATGGCGCCAGAAGTCACGGGTGCATATTCGAAGCATTTGACAACATCTACGTTGCGTGCAGGCAAACTACATATATCCGTATCCTACTAAACTTGACCTTCACTTGAAGCCCAGAAACGACTTGAGAGGCTCCCATCCCAGGTTCAGCTAGAGAGGACGCAGGATATGGTGGGAGGGTTGTCAGGTCACGTCTAATAAGAAGGGGTAGACAGGGGTTCGTGGGTCTAAGCGACTTACATTGTAAAGACCAGCGCCAGATGTGACCAAAAGAGTGACGATCGTGCCGATGGGCCTTCCCAATGCTGCGGTGCTCTCATCTTGAATGCCGAAGAATCCATGCAGAATGCGGGCAGTGAACAGTGTGAGGTAGCCGCCGTGAACTAGACTTGTCGGAGCACCGTTCAGCTCGGCAAGGAAGAGCAGGAAAAAAGCGAAGGGCGTGCCCTCGGCGAAGTTGCCTTGGGCACGGACGGCCCGCTTGAGCTTTTCCACCTCCCGCGGGCTCGGTGTATCGGTGCGACCCTTCTGGCGGATAGAGTCAGCGTCACCCTGCCCAAGGAAGATGCCAGTCTTAACACGGAGCTGATGAACCCAGGTAATCGATGAACCGGGTATGTCAACGACAGTACTGTGAGGGGTTGGGGGTGTTATTTCCTCTGACAAGACTCACGCTCATGACATTGGCCGTGAGGTAGGAGTAGTAGCCCGCGAAGAGGGCAGAATGGGCTAACGAGGCCGGCGAAAGAACAAAGAGAGGCATTTTGAAGACTCTATCCGAATTGTCGAGCGTGGGCAGAGCGCAAAGCGTGGTACGTAAAGGTTCAGCGGTGGACTTTGCAGATGGATTTAGGCGAACAAAAGAACAGGTTGGAGAGAGCGTGAACAACGTGTTGCAGCCTGGAAAAGAAGGTGTCGACCTCGACTTGCAGCGGCGAACGTCATTAGCCAGCCACCAGACCCCTTGGCCGAGACGGAAGTGGCGGGATTTACGGGAAACGATGAATCGGTAGGAGCCGTGGAGCGGAGTTTACATGCAGGCTGCCGCACCTCTTCTGCTCCGTCCGACTCCTTCACGCCAGTCTCAAGGCGAGCAGGCCATCAGGAGAGGCCTCTGCCAATCAAAGCGACTGACTCTATGCACAGTGAGCTACCCTTGCTTTCGTCAAATCGAGGACCTCTCCAGGCCGCGAATCGCACCTCACAGCCCCAAACAGCTCGACCCCCTTTCTGCATCTATCAATATGGCTTCTCGCTCGGTCTTCTCCGCCGTCAAGCGCTCTGGCGTCCTCGCGGCCCGCGCCCCATCTGCCGCGCCTCTCCGCCAATTCTCGACGGCCGGCGCGCAAACGAACGAATTCATCGCTGAGCGCCAGCACATCAAAGACCACGCTGCCAAGTCTGCTGATTTGTGGAGGAAGGTCAGCATGTACGTGTGCCTGCCGGGTGCTCTTGTGCTTGGCGTCTACATCTACGGCATCGAAGCCGAACATATCCACCACCGCGACCACGAGATCGAGGAGAACGGCGGAGAACTCCCGGAGAGGACATTCTACGAGTACAACGTGAGTCCTAAATTAGATGCAGCCTAAGCTGTCACCTGTGTTGGAATTAGAGTCAGAAGTTGCAAACATCACTCTGCTGAGTATGCGCCCCATGATCGTGCGCATCATGAATATTTCCGTTCTATGGCATTGAATCTGAACCAATCGCTGCTTCCTTCAACGTTTACAACAGAACATCCGCAAAAAGGTGGGTCCGAATAGAAGAACTTTTTCTGATCATCCACTGACAAGCAATCGAAATCGTAGGAATTCCCATGGGGCAAGGAGTCATTCTTCCACAACTCCAAGTGAGTCGTCCTTCCTCTCAAATTGCTTTATTTGACAACGCGTGCTGACAACTGCTTTCCTCTGCTTGCCCCAGGGCAAACTATGTCGTACGTCGATCACCAGGGCATCACTTTCGATGCAAACCTACTGACTGTTGCGGTCTCTCTCTCTGATTTGTTCAACAGCCTGAATAATATGTTACCAGCAGATTGTTCTCGGAATGTAGTTAAATGCACTCGACCTAACATCGCTGCATGCGAAGATTCTGGAATTCGATTTGCGTCTACGTAGCCGCCGCTGAGGTGCGCCGGCATTGTAGTACTTCAGGCCGCTCAGGCGTGCAATGTCACCCGGCTGGTGGTGCGGGAGTGTCTGGGCCTAAAATCGTCAAATGCGTGTAGTCGAGTCGTGGCACACTTGGTATGCGTACAAAAGAGTGGATTCAGAAGTCTCATGTCTATCGACGAGTCTCTTTTTTGGGAGTCGCCTCCTCAAGTGCCCATTGCCGGAAGTGCTGTGTTGAGGATCTATGGAATGGCGAATGGAGGCCATGCAAGTGTTTTCCGTCCCCATGCGGAGTGCCAACTGCATATGCGCTCCAATCGCATTCGCAACGTCTCATTCAGTTTGGCACCTCCCCGCGTGCCGCTGCTGCTTTGACAGGATCTGCAGTATCATCGAACGCAGCATTAGCGTCCGCTCATCAACCATCGGGTGTATTGCGCGCCGGAAAAGGAGAGCCGCGGCGGCTGTCTGCTGCTGGGACTCACCGAAGTACGGATGATCTTGAGCTTCCTTCGCCGTCAGCCGCTCCTGGTGATCGTAGCGCAGAAGCTTGTCCAAGAAGTCGATAGCATCATTTGATATGTACCGCTGGTTCTCGGATGTAATAAAACGTGACCATGGCTTCCGTTGGTATCTACCAGAAGAAAAATAGCTCATGATCAGTAGGTACTCCGGCAGCACCCGGACAGACGCGACCACACTACTCACCTCCCCAAGATGTCGTCGTATTGCGGATCCAGCTCAATTTCGTACTTCTCCAAGTATGCGTAGAGTTCATCCGTCCCCAGAACTTTGCATATCTTGACCAGTTGGTCGTAGTTGTCGTGGCCATGGAAAAATGGCTCCTTTCGGAAGATCTGAAAAGGGTGAAGCCAGAATGTTGTAAATGCTTGCTCGCCACAGATAGTCTCAACTCGGCCATGAAAAGGACTCACCATGCTCGCGTACATGCACCCGAGACTCCACATATCCAAAGAGTAGTCGTACTCTTGGAAGTCGACGAGCAGTTCTGGCCCTTTGAAATATCGTGATGCGACGCGGACATTGTACTCGGTGTAAGGGTGGTAAAATTCTGCCAGCCCCCAGTCGATCAAGCGCAGCTTCCTCTTCTCGTGATCGATCATTACGTTGTGTGGCTTGACATCGCGATGCATAATGCCTCGCGAGTGGCAAAAGTCGAGGGCCTGTACGAAGGGTTAATGATGTTGAGGACGTGAGCACAAGCAGTCATCATGGAAGCATGCGCACGTACCTTCAACAGCTCAAAGAGGTAGAAGCGGACGTCAAAGTCGGTAAACTTGGGGTAAAGGATTTTGAAATCGGTGTTGTTCACGTATTCCGTAATGATCGAAGGTGTCTTTGACTGTGTTCCAAGAAAGTACTTTCCTATCAGCACAGTGGCCTCCTTTTGCCAGTCAGCTTTACCTGCAGGTACTCACTTGCGGATCCCGGACAACGTCCAGCAATGCAACAACGTTCGGCCCGCCTGCAAGGTTCTGCAAGATCTTGATCTCCCTCTTGATCTTCTTCTTCTTAACCGGCTTCAAAACTTTAATGATGCATTTCTCAGGGATAGTCAGCCCAGCAACGTTTCCGTTCGCGCCGTTGGATGTCCCGCTCGTCCCCGCATGCTGCTGCTGCTGTTGCTGAGCCGGTGATGGCGCTGGTGAGCCGACGTTGACGCCCTCGAACACTTCCGAGTACTTTCCTCGCCCAACTTTGCGCAGAATCTCGTAGTGGTCTTGGGTGCCCCTGGACAAGGATGCAAGGTGCATCAGCAGCCGAGATTGCCTACTTTAGAAGCGTACAAACTCACCACTGCACAGTCAGGTTGTCTAAAATGCGGAGGATGAAGAGGGAACGAAGCATCAGTCGCAATCGACATATTACAAGACATGTGCAGAACATGAATGTCATCGGCAACCAAATACCCGTACGAAGAAGCAGCCGCGGCTGCTACTGATCATCTAAGAACGCACCATAGTCCCACCATTGCCTCCCGAACTTCTCGTTTGCATTTGGGTAAACGCGGGCTACGCTCCTTCCTCCGGTCGTCGCCATGTTCAACGGTATCGCTGCTCGCTGGCGCTTTTGCTTGCTGCTTGAATGAAATCTCGTCGCGCGAGTGTGCGTGCGCGCGTGCGTGATACTGTCTCGCTGTGGGTGCCTTTCGTCCCAAAGCTGCGAACAAGATCTACCGCTTCGGGTGACAGAGGCTGGGGCTGGACTGAAGCCGAAGCACAAATGGTCGAGCTGCTGGAAGAGGATCCGAGCACGGATGGAGGTGATGTGGCCCAATTGAACCCGATAGATGGCCTTGAGTCACCACGTAAGCCGCACGCTACACAGCCAGAGAAGATAGGTGAAAACAGATGCAGAGAAGAGAAGCGATGATTGATGAGACGCGGCGCGCGAACATCGGATCAAGTGAGCAACCCTAAAGCTCATCACAGGTACAACTTGGCCATTGAGCGCAAGTGAGAGAGCATGTAATACAAAGGCTGCGTATCCTCGAGAGTCGTGCTGCAACTTCAATGGACGTACAAGTCCTGGAGGAACCTACCTATCCTCAAGGCAATAGCACGCAACAAAATTACTCTCCCCAACGTGGAAAGGTAATCTTGAAAGCCGTAGCATATTTGGCATCCAGCCAAAATGAAGTTATATTCGGCGATCGCAGTATCTTTGCTCGTCTCGCTCGCACAGGCCGCAGCGGGTTGGGAGACGGTCGATGACGGTGAGAGTCTCACAACGCGTTGGTATCGCATTTATCATTAGCTGATGCTGATTGTGCACGGTGCGATTGCTCGGGAACATTCAGCCGCCGTACAAGCTGCTCAGAAGCTATTCGAGGAGAGTATATTTGGCGTAGGGACATTTGCATCCAAGTATCCGTCGAATCACCCGGTCCCCGAGCTAAGAGGTGCGTTATCCGAGGCTGATCACGGCGCGCATTTTCGCGCTGCAATGGATCTCACCGCACCTATCTCCTCCTTCGCCTCACAGATCAAGTAGTGGCAAGTCCCGACTATTTTGCTCCATGCTTCCTCAATGGCGACCTACTCATGCTCGCCATGCCCGTCTCTCAACACTGGCGCAATGCGCTCACCTCTCCGCACCGTAACGCCACATTTTCCATCGGCTCGAACCCCGATCCCTCTATTCCTGATCCACGGCACGTCAAGTCATTTCATTCACGCGTGGCCCCGAATCTGCTGAAAGGCCACAAGCCGCCGCACTGGGATCCGAGCAGACCGAATTGGCGGCGGTTTATGCCGTCCAAGAATCGAATGACGCTCTTCGGGCATATCGTACAAGTCCCTTCTCTATCCTCAGCCATCTCTCCTGTCGTTTCGAGCCAACACGACGAAGCACATTCGCTCGCACAATGCTTCCTCTCGTACCATCCAGACAGTGCGCATTGGGCACCCGGCTCCACGGAAAGCCCTCACACTGCGTTCTGGGCCCGCTTCGTCGTCGACAGGGTGTACCACGTCGGCGGCTTTGGAGACGAGCACTTCATCGGCTTCATCCCGCTCGAAAAGTATCGCGAGGCTGTAGGTGCACAGTATCGTGAGGCCAGTACGACAGTCGCATTCATCGCAGAGAACAGGGTCGCCAAGGCGGTTCACATCGAAGCTCTCTTCGCGTCGTGGTCGGGAGATGAAAACCCGTCATTGATTCTGCAGGGGTGACTCCCAGACATAATCAGATCCTGAGATGATCAAGTTGCGGCTTCTGATGCGCCATCGTTACTGCCCTGTACCCTACTTTGCCTTCTTTGTATCATCAGCCACGAAAGCCCGCTCGTAATGCTCATTCCTGGATAGAATGGATCATTTCATTCAGCGCACGCGGGTATCGTAAGACACAGCCTCCACGCGCGAACGAGCAATGGTTCAGCTCGGGTGCGCGGGGCTACAAAGAAACAGTACATTCAATATGATACGGACGAGATGTTGGGAAGAGCCTTTGTTCGTGATCGGTGATGAATATAAATCAGTGACGGTTGAGTGAGCTCGAAGGGTTGAGGGTCAATTGTAGATTTGTGCGTTCCACTTTGCATTCCTTTAGATTCATTTAGCCAGAGCAGCGAAATACTCGACTTTGGCTCTACTTGACGTCCTTCGCTGGCGCAGAGCCCATAACAGCAGAGGTAGACTCGTCTGTCTGGGACTCATCCAGAGTAGACTCGTCTGTCTGGGACTCATCCAGAGTAGACTCGTCTGGCATAGACTGGTCGGGCGTAGGGTCCTCTGGCTTGGACTCATCTGGAGTAGACCCGTAGGGTGTAGACTCCTCTGGCTTGGACTCAACCGGAGTAGACTCATCGAGCGTGGACTTGTTCACAGTAGGCTCCTCGGGCTGACGCTCAGATGGTGTAGGCTCCTCCGCCTCTGGCTCAACAGGCATGGGCTCAGCAGGCGCAGGCTCCGAGGTAGAGGGCGTGCTTGTGGCCGGGGTGGCAGGCGCCGGAGCAGGAGCAGGAGTGGGCGAAGTGGGGTCTGCATCCACAGGCGGGACAGGTGCGGCCCACCTGTGGGGGATGAGAGCAACGGGTAAGAGCCATGTGGCGGAGAGCTCGACGCCGTGACCCTCGTCAAAGCTCTTGATCTCGCTCCAGGACCAGCCGATGAATGTCGAGATGTAGCCCGAGATGGGAGCGATGGCCTTGAGAACGGCAATGAAGGGGAGCAGCGCTACGGGAACGCCGGCAGGAACGTTATTCGAGATGAAGGTCAGCACCGAGGATATGAGATTGGCGATCTTCTCTGCTTGCTGCACATCGCCGCTCAGCTCGTTCATCACGGGTGTGGGCAGGTAGCTACAAGGCGTGTGTAGAACGTCAGCGGATTGGCCTTCTTACTCCACGGTAAACGTCGCACTGCTCACCAAGTAAATCCCCACCACGTGCAGTGAACCGAGACATCCGTGGTGGAAGGCAACCAGACGCGCTTGTTGCCGTTCGTGTCCGTGCCAGCAGATGGAGTGGAAGACTTGGGTGTCTTGCTGCTGTCGTCTCCGCTCTTGCTTCCGTCCTTCTTTCCGAGGAAAGGGACCCACGAGGGCCAGCTCCACATCTCCAACGCCGGGCTGAACGAGGGTGCAGCGTACGGGAAGAAAGACGAGCCGAAGCTGCCGGTCAAGGGAGCGGGTTCAAAGTTATCCCCTGTCCGATTGCAGGATCCAATCATCGTCCACTGTCAGCATGGCACCTGGAAAAAGGCTGCTGTACTTTCCCGATCCAAATTCACAGTGGTACTTCGTGCCTGCACCAATCGAAGTGTAGAGCGAGTTGGGGTTGCCAGTAAAGTAATGGTTATCCTCCAGTACCTTGCTGGGAATGACGACGGACTTTCCGAGCTGCAGCTTGGTGCAATTGAGGTCGCAGGTGACCATCATGCTCGTCCAGAGACCGTTGTCCGCCGGGCCGTCGGACGTGATGCTCAGCGGCTGGCCCTCAGAACCGGGAATGGCGGACCAGCCGGCGCCGACAGGCAGAGAATTGAGGGCAGACCAGACGGTACCAACGTACTCGGTGCCGTCTTCATTCTCGTCCTGATGGGCGGTGGCGTCCTCGGCAACATTGGCGATCGCAGCGGCATCCTTGGACTTGGCCGCAGCCTTTCGCTTCTTCTCACTTTTGGCTTGCGCCTGCGCACGGAGAGCATCGCAGTTCATGATGCTTCCATTGCCAAGGTTGGCGATGAGTGATGCATTGTCGATCGCACTGAAGAAGGGTTTGCCAGGCTTGAGAATCGAAGCGACCTTCTGCGCAATCTCGTTGGGGCCCAAGAGCTTGGGGTCGGCCTTTTTGCCGAAGAAGCGCGAGGTGGGGGAGAGGAAGGCACTCAGGGCAGCAGGCTGCTCCGCCTCAATGCCAGCCTCTGTGGCGACATCAGCGTTCTTGTCAGACTTGGAGAAGGAATTCAACATGTTGGGTACATTGACAATGATGACTATAGCGATCAAAATTGCTGGTCCAGGAGTATGGGTTTGGGTATTGGGAGGGTCGTGACAGGATGTCGTCGAGGGTCGTACTTGTTCTTCGTTACAGGTCGTCAAGTCGTGAATATTGGGGCACCAACAACAAAGATGAACGGATGGATGGGTGCAGGAGGGAAAGACGTATACCCGGATGGTCGAGAAGGAGGATGGATGTAATTGCCATATACAAAGCACACAACAACGACCTCGCTCACATTCCACCTCACATCGACTATTTGTCGCCATGTTTGATGCTGGTCTTGATCATATGTATGTATGTAGATGCACACTCTCTCAGTACCTTGAACCCCTGAGCAAGCGCGGCTAGTAGCGCGAAAAAGGTAAAATCGTAAGGACGCTTACATAAGTATGCCTTAATTCATCTGCACTCTCATCAGCTGCCTTCCATTCGCTTGCAAGGGAACCTGTTGTCTTTAACACCTTCCGGCGCGTGGCGTGTGTCCGCGTTTGCCTGTGTGGGGTGTGCTGTAGTGGCGCGGCCTGCGTCAACGCCACCTTGCCGCCTGCCAGGCACCAGGGAAAAGAGAATGTCTCGACAGCTTTGAGCATCTCGGAAAGACTGTGAAAAGCTCGATCATTGACCTCTGTTGAGAGGTAGTTGCCTGCCTGAAGATGGAACCTTGTTCTTTCACGGTTCGAACGTCATGCATGATTGTATTTACTATTGGCAACGGAGGCATGTAAATGGGTGGTCCGTCCACGTGGCGGCGAGGGCTCTTTTGTCTCCGCTGCTGGCGATCCTGCGCGTGGCGGGTGTTCACTGATCATGAGGACCGAACACGGGCCAAACACTATAAACCAATCATCTCGAGCCAAAACTCGCGAGCTTGTCTAAAATACAAAGTGTGCACGGAGGTTGAAAGAGTGAAGTCGGAGGACCATTTGGGGCCACGCCACCAACTTCACCCTACTATAAATGCTGTCGTCGTTGATGAGAAGGCGGCGAACGATGTCGAGTTGTGGATTGAGGCTTGCACACTGGACTGCTGCCGTGATGATGGGAGGAAGAAGAGGTGAAGCCGGAAAGCACTGATATTAATAAGAATCTGGATTGAATGTATCACCAAAAGTCCAACTGTGGTCGTCGTTGTATCGTTGCTCGCGTCTGTGATCCAGCCCTGAATTGAGCGTCATTGCTGCACAAGCAGAGAAGAGTCGCCTCCTGCCGTGCTGGTATTCAGTCCAAAAATTGTCGCGAAAGTCATGCATAGGCGTTCGAGTAGCGAGAGAGCCAAGCGCGCAAGCTTGCAGCATGCACAGCTGTTGGCTGCGCAGCGACAGATGCTCGGTCATACGCCAGCCGGAAATCCAGGCCTGGGACCTTTGCTGCTGGCGCGAAGGTCGCTAATGTCCCACCAGATGGCGAGCAGAAAGACGACGGTGGAAATGCAAGAGCAAGCAATGGCACCATTGTACCAATCACACCATCCATTCGAGCTACCCGAAGGGCACTTCTTACCCACGAAGATCGTCATGACGTCAGCAGCGATCCAGAGCAGCATCAGGATGATGTCCCACGCTAACAGCACCTTGAGGAACTTGCGCTCTACCACCCAACGTGCCTGCAAGCGCATATTGAGCACCTTGTTGCGCTTGTTCCGCCGTCGCCGTCGCCTTCGCGCTTTGCGCGCAGCGTCAGCGCTGCTCTCATTCTCCTCGTCGCTGCAAGAATCGTCGTCGCTGTCGTCGTCAGCGCCGCCCCCGCGGCCGCCCATCATAGCCGGATCGACGATCAGATTGACCGTCGTGCCGGCGCCCATCTTCTTGTTCTTCTTGCCAGCGAAAGGGTTCTTGCTCTTCTTTCCATGCGGCCCACCGCCAAGCACGGGGATGACCATGCCGCCACCGAGCATCATGCTTCCTGGCCCTGCCTTGCTCATGCGCTTCTGAGGATCGCAGCAGCATGGTCGGAAGACGAAGAGGTAGAGCATGACGAGTGTCGAGAGGACTGTGACACCATAGAGAACAAAGCTAGGTAAGGTACCTTGTGGCGGCGGCTTGTCCTTTCCAGGTTTGATGAGCAGCGCGCTGCCAATGCCAACGAGCATAGTTAAGAGCGACAATATCACCTGCAAGGCACGTGTGGCGGAGAACAAGCGTGGCCAAGAGTGGACAATCTTGCCTGCCTTCGTGATGCTGCCCGATGGTAGATTCGCATCCTCATCCTCCTCGTCGTTTTCCTCGTTGTCACTATCGTCATCCTTCTCTCCTTTGCGCTTGACTTTGGGCCCGAACTCTTTGGCGAGCATGCGCATCCGCTCCTCCTTGACATAGTCGTCCACGCCGCCGGCCGGACCGTAGTGCCGACCGTAGGGCATGCGAGGAGCACCATGGCCGCTGCCGCTGCCTAGCGTCTCAGCCTCCCATCCGCTCGCCGAAGGACCAGGTGGCACTGTCGTGTACGCATGTCCATCTGCAGACATGTGCCCACCATACCTGCGAGACGTATTGGCCGCGAGGAGCGTCAGCAAAAACGCCACCTTGGCAGAATCGCAGTGCTGAGCGGAGAAGACATACCATGTTCGCGACCAATTCGGGAATCCGGGCAAATCGCCCCCAATCTGATGATTTCTCGTCAGCGTTGCTCGGGCAGCGGCGCCTTGCATCCCAGGGAGATGGTGCGGTGCAGAGACGCCAAAGATGGCGTTGGGCGGCGCGTCGGCGTCCCAGTAAAGATCGGGATAGTCGCTACTGGTCGACGCGTGCATCGCAGGGGTAGGCGAATACGCATAGTGCATGTCGGCGCCTGAGTCGTAGAGCGTGCCGCCTGAGTTGATCGACTCTGGATGCGGAGAAGTAACGAAGTCGTGACCGTAATGTGAGGGGCCGTTCGAATTGGTGGCGTAACCTCCCGGCGCCGCATAGACTGGAGCTTCGGCGTACAAGCCGTAAGGCCCATACCCGACTCCACCAGCACTGCCACTGCCGCTACCAGCCGAGTACAACAAGCCGACCTCCATCGAGTTGCCGCGCATCGGTCCACCTATACTTGGCGGCGGTGGCGGCGCCGCGTTGTACATTGCTGCGGCGGCAACGGCAGCGGCAGCATCAGCGGCCGCCGTACCGATTCCTGCTGCGCCAGCATATGAGCCTGCAGAGGATGGTGGATGCATTACGAGGCCACCATAGGACGGTGTACGCCCGAAAGGTCCTGGCGAAGTGGCGCTGTGTGGCATCCGTGGCTCTTCATGTGCTGCTGACATCTCCGCGAGGTCTCGCTCGATGTAGTCATCGTTGTCATCGGCATGGCCGCCGTAGACGTTCGCGTAGCGCTTGAAGGACTCTCCCTCCGCCGATCCCGGTCTAGACGGTGAGGAGCTGGAATAGCCATAGCCATAGCCTGGCGCCGCCAATGCCCCTCTGTCCGCTATGGGTGGGACATTGCCGAGAGAGTAGTAGCCTGCGTCTGCACTCCATCTACGATTGGCATTTGTCGATGGCGGCCTCGAGTCGGGGTTCTGCGATCGCCTTCCGGGCGGCACAGCGTACGGCGATGAAGGGGATACCGGTGGCCGTTGCAAGCTGCTGTCGAGACTGCTGCGGTGTTTGCCTTCGGTTCCTTGACGGCTGCTCTTGCTGTTGGCGGCACTGATGGTCCCTGCAGGTGAGGAGCTCGGCCCTGGTATAATGTTGTACTTGATTGCCTTGGCTGCCGCCTTGCCGGCTTTGTACAAATCCTTGTCCTTGCCCATTGGTCACCGCTCTCCTCGGCGGTAAGCCGCGCCGAAGTAGTCACACAAGCAGCCGAGGCTGCGGCGCCGATTCTCTCTACAGAGCAGGAGATGATGATGACGATGATGATGGTGATGATGGGAGCGTTGGCAGTGATGATATTAAGGGGCTGCAGAACAGCTTGGCGTTTGTCAGGCGTATTGCTCGTCGTGGTTCGTCAAGGCATTAAAAGGTGCAGTAGCCCTTTGCGATGGTCGATGACGTCTGTTCGTTACGACTCGAGTCAAGTCGATGGCGTCAAGGGGTATAACAATGGTCGGAGCTGACATTGCATGCTCACAATGCCATACATTAGGCAGTGCAAGCGATCGTCGATATGTATACGAGCTTTATGGGTCTTGGCTCGGTTGACTGTAGGTAGACGCAAGCGTGTCACTCGGTCAGGAGCAAGGAAACCTGCACATGCTCTTTGTCGCTGGATGTCATCACCAGACGATTTCAGCAGTCAGCACTTTCGAGTCGTGTTCGACGAGAACAACCATCCAAACGTCGTGCGTGCATGCCGGCGTCTGCAATATCAAATAGCAATCATCTCCAGGAGACCCCCAACCTCATCGCATGTATGCCATCAGCCATACCGGCCGGGCAAAAGCCAATGTGTGGCCTATCAGACTCTTCCTCTCATACTTACACGTGCGGTGGCAGTGCGGCGGTCACCGCGGCCCACAACCGCGGCTGCATAACTCAGGGGCGTGTGGCGGGTTTCAGGACACATTACGTACGTATCCTCGAGGTGATAGGGCGATGACCGATGCATGACCTCTCTAAACGTGAGCTCGCAACGTCCTTTCCATCAGTTCATCATTGTCCAGATGTGAATGGTCCTTTGAGCCCAGAAAGGTTATAACAGATATGGCTGCTGAGGATACATCGCTCATCATGAGTACGACCCGCCCCGGATGCTGCAGCTTTGAGCTTTGATTATTTGATTTGTTGGGCGAGAGTAGGCGTAGAGGTCGAAAGCGTTCGGCTTCACGCAAATCGCGCAAACATACGTTGTCGACTATAGTCGGGCATCCGCACTCGCGCCAGACTAGCTGGTAGCTACTAGGTAGTAGTTGCGCACCCTCCACGCCTGGTGAGAAACCCACTTTAGCCACATCCTTGGGCCTTCAGGCATCGGGAATCATTCTTTATATGGGACGGGCCGCTGTTGGGTCGCGCAACGATGTGCAAGTAAGGATGGACCCGTGAAACCGCCTCAATGGCCACAAACCCTCAACAGGACTGCAGATCGCGAGCAATTTTGGGAGCCGGCCAGGAAGCTACAACGGACACATCCCCTGGGAGAGCTCGATGTCACTTAGTCCTGATGATGTAGCCGAGGTGCTCGGTGCAATGGTAGTGGGGCTTGCACCTGGGGGAAGTGAAATAAATAGCTCTTGTAGAGATCGATCCTGACGTTACTTGTTCTGAAATGCACCAGAATCCAGAAGCACATGAATTCAATACATAATGTCGATGACCTGTTATGGTATGGTAAGGAAGAGATTTCACCCAATATGAAGAGAGAGAGAATGAGCGGAAAAATGCTGTTTAGTGGTATTGCGGCGAGGCACCCGAGAGAAGGCTAACGTGGTATCATGCAAAGGCGAAGAGAATGGGTCTACGCCTTTGTCTTGCGCACGCCGCCCATGAGCTTCGAAAGGCGATTGCTTCCCGCGCCAGCATACTTCGCGAAAAGGTTACCAGCGCCGGAGACGCGATTGGAGATTGAGCCTCCATCTGCTCCATGAATGCTCGAAACGCTATCCTCGCTGACAACACCCATGCCTGCATATTTCGAGCTGGCGGCGCTAATGCTGGAAGTATACCCATGCTGGCCTCCATAGTGGCCAGTAGCAGTTGCTCCGCCCACAGAGGAGGGACCAGAGACGATCCGGCTCGCGGGTCGGCCGGTGACGGTGTGGCCAGTCAAATTGCTGTAAATGCTGACGGTAGGTCCGGGCCGGCTGGCGTGCTGATCGGCCAGGCCGCTGCCCATCGCGCCATTCTCCGGCATGGTGCCAGGTATCGCATTAGTTCCACCATCCAGAGACGTGACGCTGTAGCCCACAATGCTGGCGTTGGACTTGAGTGGCCCAATCTGACACTGTCCGTCTGAGCCGAGATCGAGAGTGATCGGGTTCACTACGGCGGCGGAATTCGCTTGCTCATTCAAGAAGCCTGTAGAGACAATCGCAGGGTCAGACCGTCCGACACATTTTCGTCATGCAAAGCTTCACAGATACGGACCAATGTGCCGCCGTAGCGGAGACGTGACGCCATTGCTAGAGTAAGCCTGAGACCCATCTAGTTCCGCACAATGAGGAAGACCACCTCCGATCTTTACAGCCGCAAGCGCACCTCGAGCCTTCTGATGGCTGTGAAGGCTACTGGAACTCTCCGAAGGCCTGACTCCTTCTATGCCCCATGTAATATCGAAGTCGAGATCGAGGCGCGAGATTTCGTCCGCAAAATTTTGACAGAAGACTGTGGACGCAGACCAAATCATGGCGGTTAGACACGCAAGTTACATATAGATGGCAACGGACCAGACTCACATCGCTCCAGCGTTTGGTGGAAGGGTCGCATCTCCACGGGACACAACTGGCTGTGGAGTTGGATGCAGCGGAAAATGACAGTAGCCTGCGCATCAATTGCAGACCGAAGTCGTTGAACGAGCTCTTCATTGCTCGGGTTGGCAGTTGCAAATTCTGGCCCGAGGAAGGCTCGCTTGTACATTCTGTGGGAAAGAAGTGCTAGGTAAGTGTCTTGATCTTGCCATGTACCCATCACGGTACGTACGGAATGCCTCCATTGATAGGTGCGTCCACTGCACCATTCAAGGCCATGGACAGGCGGTTCGTGTTGACCTTGCCCGTCAAAGTGACCTTTGCAAGAGCAGTGTACTTCTTCTCGAGTGTCTCGAGTTCTTCCCGCTTCTGGACGACATCGTTGAGTGCGTTCTCGAGCGGACTGACATCCACCGCTTGCACTTCAGCGACCTTGCTCCTCCGTAAGACCGTTGGGAAAGCGTCTTCACAGCGGAGATAAGTCTTCTCCACCCAGAGCTTGGTGACATCGGTGCCGCTATCCACGAGCATGGACATGCGTGCTCCGGAAGGTGAGGGCCCCGTGATAGGGCGAGTGTAGGAGAAGAGGTCGGTTGCATTGTGCTCGAAGTAAGACCGAGTCATGGGCGGTACCTCGGGGTTGGTGAAGACGTCTTTGCTGCGATCAGGCTCCGGCTGAAGCGCCGTCACGTGCAAGTACTGGCCGTCTCCAAACCTGACCTCATCTGTGGGCGGGCTGTTGCTCTTTATCAGAACTGCTTTAGGGTGCTTCTGGTGTAGGCGATCGCAGAAAGCAGCGAACTTCTCCCACTCTTGGCCGCGGTAGACGAACATCTGGCCCTGAAGGGAAGCTGGCCATTGCTCGCCGTAGTAAGCCACCCTGAAGTAGGCGGGATAGGCGCGCTCGACGGTCGCAACCTTCTGGTACAGCGACGCTTGATGGATCAAGAGTTCTGACAAGCGTGCGTAGTTTGCAGAGCGATACTCGTATTGCTGAGCGAGTTCGCGGCAGATGTCGATCGAAATTTCCCAGGCCTCGCCCTTGCTGAGATAGTCAAGGATGAGCAGGTACAGGGTCTCCTTGCGGGCGAAGTGAGATTGCCGTGGCAAGCCAAGATCTGGCTCGGGATCCAATAGCATCTCCATGTCCCAAGTCATCAGATCCGCGTACAGTTTCAACGTCAACGCGCCCTCGACGTAGTTGCGATTCTCTAAGTGCAGCTGCAAATTTAAAGCCATCAGTAAATCCATTCCAGTGGTTGTAACGAGCTAGCCAAGTCTGCACTCACATTAACAAGTCGGAGGACGTGAGTCGAGAAAGCACTGACGCGATTAGCTTGTCGCAAAAAGCCAAGCAGCTTAAGTGTCCCAGCAATGCGATCATCCTCGTAGCCCTCTTCAAGTGGCAGGCTTCGTACATTCAGAAGCAAATCCAGGAATCTGTTCACAGAGAGAAGACACATGTTGACTTGCTCTTGCAGTGTTGGATCGACGTCAGAATCCTCGAAAAGTGAGCGGAGCTGTCCGATAAAGAATGCTCTTGAGATTTCATCGCCCTTCGCGTCGGTCATGAACAGAATATCCAGTTTGTCGATGATCTCGGCCTCAATGATGGCAAAATCGCCATTTAGATGCCATTCTGATGTGATCATCGTCGCCAAGACACGAACAGCGCAGGTGCGCATTTCGTCATGGTGCGAAAGGCAGAGCTCCAGAACAGGCTCAACAAGCGACGGCACGAATTGAACCTGAAAGCCACCAGTGTTCAGACGCCCATCGACGATAGGGTCGCTGTTTCCTTCTTGCTCTTCTGGCCAGCCTATAGCGTGCCAGAGCCGGGCGAAAATCTGAGCTCCTTCCCCTCTGATATCTCCAGCAAGGCGCCAGACCGCACGTCGTCTCTGGGGCTTAAAGTCTTCGATGACAAGCTGAGAACTGGACAAGAGGGTGAGCAGAGTGTTGAGCCCAGCCATCCACAACTCCGTGTCAAAGCTGTCCGGTGACTGTGCAGGCGCAGTCGGGATGAAGACCCGGATCAACAACTTTGCTGCAGGATCAATCATCTTCAGGACCATCTGGTGCGTCAAGACGTTGAAGTTGAGCCACGTGCTCGGGTATGCGTCGTTGTGAAGCAGTGATGTAGCTGTGTCAAAGTAGTTGTGCAAAAAGGTGGCTGTTGCTTCGGGCCCTTCCAGGTCTAGTTGCTCGTCCAAGAAGCTCGCCAGATGTTTCCTCGGGCTGAGCATGAGGAGGACGTTGAGCACAGCAGCGATCTCAGCGAGACCGCAATTGAGGAACTCCAACTTGGGCCGTCGTCGATTCCTGCGAGATGATGCAGTCATAATTGGCGGTGCCTGCCCTGCAGGAGACTTGGCGAGCAATGGGAATGGGTACGTGGATGGGAAGATGACAGGTACTGACGAAGCGACTGTGGATGGTGTTCTCTGCCGCTCGATAGCACGTGCCGTCTCACTGCTTCGTAGCTCTTGATAGGTTTGCAGCAACCTCGGCAAGATCGATAGAAGATAGTCCACGTTGTCTTGCTCTTGTCGCAGCTCTGCGGAATTCTCGCCTTCTTTGCCTGCGTTGACGAGACTGATCTGCAGCCTGTCGAGCACAACTGCGAGAACGGTGACGGAAAGACGAGCACCCTCCAGCCAGGTAATGCGCGCTGCGTCCTTCGCGGACTGGGAGCTGCCTGCATCCTCCTCGACAGCCGTGTCGTAGATGCCCAGATGAGGGCGGATCCAACGGACGACGCTTGGAATGAGCTGGGAGCGAGAAGAATGATGCTCGAAGAGCACACCTGAGGTCACTTGCAGAATGTGCAGAAGCTTCCACACTGCCATCCTGCCTTTTGTAATGAAGATGGCATCAGCAAAGCTGGTGCAAATGCGTGCCATTTCGTCCAGCGTAAAGACGCGCATCAGGTCCGCATATGTGCCAGCGAAATGCTGCAGCGCGAGTGTCTGCGTGCCGATGATAGCACTGGGTTTGGTAGCAGACATTAAGCGGTTGACGCTACGCAAGAGCTCCTGCATGTCATTCTTGAAGCTACGTTCGAGATGGTCGTTGACCGTGCCGCCGCCCAGCTGGCCGCTGGAGCCGCCCTTCTGATTCTCTCGCGACTGGACGATAAATCTGAATAGATAAGGCCACACCTTGATCGATGAGCGCAAATCTTTGGACGTTTCTGGCTTTGACGGGTCGGCCAGGAGACGCTGTATGGAGGAAATGAGGCGGACATGGGCGTTGGTGAAGCGAAAGTGTTGCTCAACGTAGACGTCCAATGTCGCGCGGAAGTTGGTAAACTGTCGCAAATTGCCAAGGACCAGTTAGAATGACTCCCATCAATTTGAGGAAATGAAAACCTACCCGACGATCTTGCACGATGCCAAGCACCGTGACGAGTGCGTTGAATACCAATTCATCCAGCTCGCCCTGCGCATTCATGCCGCTGACCATGATGCTGAACAGGGCGTCGAAAATGTCGCGGAGGAACTTGACGATCTCCACCTCTCCGACAAAAGTGAATTGCGTCAAAACTGCGCGAAGCTGGCTGATGTCATCCGTAAGGGTGGTGTTCCAGTTGATCAGCTTGAGCACGACCTCGTTCTGCGTGTATCGAGTAGACACAAGGAAAGTGCGCACGACGAGGCTGTCGCGTAGCGGCTGGAAAACACCTTGGAGATGCATCGGTATACTCTCCGCAGGCGAGTGGCCGATGGCGATCGTCGGCTGCAGGTTAAAGTAGAGGTCCGGACTGAGTGAGTGACCATGACGCTGGCTTTTGAAGAGCGTAATAGAGTGGCTACCATCAGCGATGAATGCCTTGGTCCGCTCGAAAAGCGGAAGGTATCCATACGCAATAGGGGGGTGGATCTCCATTGCTCCCTGGGAGTTCGGCGTTTGGTTCGCAGTAGGCGTCTTCTCCTCTTTCGAGCTGCGATGCTTGATCGTAAAGAACAGATGGCACTGCTCCATGAGATCGTCTGGAAGCTCGAGCTTCACGAGCTCTCCCCAAGTTGGCGCGTTCTGGTGGTAGAAAACCATACTGTCGAATTCGGTCACCAGCGGCTCACCCGTACCCCGCGAGATGACATTCTCTAGCACGCGGCCATGCGTATCGCGCACTTCGACCGAGACCTGGATGTTCCTGGCGGTACTCCCGCCTGTGACTTTGCCACCTTGTGGGAAAAATTCTCCGCTCCAGAGCTTCATATACGCCTCATTGCGGCGATCACCGGGGAACACAACGTCCGGAAAGCCAAGCCGAGCAGTGAGGACAGCATCTTGGAGCAGAGACGAATTCTCTCTGACAATGGAAGCCGTGTCACCATGGAACACCTTCATATTGACAGCTAGCATCTCGGCTCGCGGCGACTTTTCGAGCTCCTTGATGCGCGATGCGATGATATCTTGGTGCAAGGTGCTGAAGGTGGCCTCGTTAGCAGGCACAAAGATCGGCATGATGTGCTCCTTCAATGAGGATGAATTGGACGTTTCCAGCGCAAATTGGTGATGCTGTCCCAGCTCGAGGACGGCACATCCAAAAGGGCGCCTGAAAGTCCTGTCGCTTGTCATGCGAGCGCGACGGCTCCCTGTGAGGCCGGAGATTGACTCGTCGGTTCCATCAAAAGTGGTGCTCGGTCCAGGAACTTCGCTGATGAATGTGGTAGCGCCGACAAGGCTGCGCGACTCTCCAGATATGCGCATCGCACCATTGCGCACGATCCTGCACACTAGGTTGAGATCGAGCATGTCGCTAGGGCTGAGATCGGTGAAGAGTGCACGCATCTTGTCGAGTCGGCCTTCGCTTTCCCGAGCTGGTACTCCTTGGTGGTTGAGAATGATGCAGTACTCTTCGGTCAGGAAGCGCGCTTCGACTTTGTTGTAAAGTGAGAAGTAAAGCTCAGCCGTCTCGCCGGGGGAACATGGCGATGCGACGAATGCACGGACGTCTAGGTATACGTGGAAGTACTTTGCTGTAGGCGAGCCCTCGTTGCGCTGGGGCACAAGCGAGCTGCGCTGGGGCCGAGGAGCGGGCAGTGCAGATTGCCGAGGACGATTCAAGGGCGCAGTGATGCCGGACTTGGTTGTCGTACTAGCGGAGATGGCACCAGAGGATGACAACGTTGCTAGCATGCCAGACGATGAGGTTGTCGGAGCCGTAATGCCGAAGGCGGTATTTGTTGCGATGTCGATCACGCCAGTTCCACCAGCGGAGCCAGTCATCTCTTGATCGACATAAGCAAGTGCGGCCTGTAGTGCCAAGAGCCTGATTCCGCTGATCCAGCTTTGCACATCAGCGTCGCTGCCAATGAAGTCGACGTCCACGAGACCTCCGCGCCCTGGATGCCTAGCGATAACATCCAATCCTTGCGCCAGATTGCCTTTGACGAGTCTTGCAACGCACTCCCTCCTTAGCTTTCCTACTTCCTCCACGCTCAGCGTCTGCGCGAGGAGTTGACGCCTGGCCACATGCAGCACCTCGATGTGTTGCCTTACTATCTGGAACAAGGCGTAGTCCTTCCTACTCATGTAATTGTACATGAGACTGCTCCACTCCCTGATGGCACATGCGATTTCGTCCACGAGAGGCTCAATGGACCCGCTCTTGGTCTCATCTCCAGCTTTGAGCGAGGGTAGCGGCGGCGGCGGTTTGTCACTGTTGGTGAAAGCCGCTCCATCTCCCAAAATGAGCGACTGTCGATTGCTGTTGAAGACGACCTTTGGTGCTGCGATGGAGTCGTCGCCACTCCCTGCGCTGAGAGATGGCATTCGGTCCTGCCTTTCCTCACTCGCACCTTGGCCCGTCTCGTCTTCTTCCGGCAGCGTTTCCATGTGCTTGTTCTGCGACCCGACCCAAGGAGGGGGCGGCGCAGTCGCCCCAACAATGCCTTGTTCCTTTGCCTTGTAATAAATCTCGCTCATGCGCATTTCTGCGTCGTCGAGTCCTTCTCGGATATGCACATTGCGTGCAGGAAACATGCCGACGTACACCTGCGGCTCCTCGACGACGCCTGCACCTCCATACGTACCAGCGTCATTCGGCGGGAAGTTGGAATAGTCAGACAGACTCCTTGTGGATGTCGCTGGTGTTGGAAGACGGTTCGTAGAGACAATGTAACCCCTGTACCACTCTACATCCGCATGGCCGAGCTGCTCAAAGACATAGACCTCATCACCAACTTCGAGGCCGATCAAGTGCGCATGCAGGGCGGTGAGTTCATTTGCCGCAGCCGCTTCGTCACCTGATGCAAGTTGCGTCTGGTCGAGCGAGATGTCGGATTCGGGGCTGAACGGATGCGTCGCAAAGCCGTAGAGAATCTGTTGCAACGGCTCCCAGCGCCGATACCTTAAAGAGGTGGAGGTCGACGTGCTGGACGCCATCTTGTCGACAGACCTTAGCGCACACGCGAAGTTATCAAGGCGAAGGCTCGTCTATCAAGCGTGTCAAGCGCCGAACACTGCAACAGCAGAAAGATCGTTCAGGCAATCGGCCCAGTATTCCAGATCTTGGCGGGTTTCTGCTCCGCTTCCGGTGTACTGAAATGTGCCCGCTTTACCCGCGCGTACCAAGAACCGTGCCCGTTTACAGGTAAGAAGGCCGGGCGGGAGCGTCAGGGTGAAAGTCGGCACGCTTGTGGCACTAGGGTGACGTCCAATACGAGGCGCAGATGTCGGCTGCTCTCTGCAAGTCGAAGGGAACCGATCTCCCCGCGTATGCATGGCCAGGGAGATGCGCTCTCCGCCTTTATTAGCAACTCCTCCGACCTACTTTTGGCTCTTCTCGAGACGTCTTTGTGTAGTGCACCCATGGAATGGGGTATGGGATGGATTGATTGCTGTCGTGCGCCTCTTTCCGCCTCATCAGCGCGCCAGCGGGAACGCGCCACTCATAGCCCCACGGGGCGGAACAGGTTACAGGTATGAGAGCTTTCAAGCATCGAACGAATTCACTCACATCAATGACATCGAGTATGCAACTCCAGCTCCTCGACACATGGCCTTATATGGTTGCGGACGTCACGCTTGCAAAGTCACGCCGTGCGATACGGCACATATAGAAGGCCCGTGTAAATAGGAGCAAGAGCCATAGCAGCAGCATGGCGTTTAGGAACCCTACCGTCGCTCTACGGTTTGCGCCAAGCCGAGCGCAGCCGCTGCTCGTCTTGTCAGCGCGTCATCCACTGGGACGGGTACCGGCGAGGGTACCAACTATCCAGCTGCAGCACTTTCCGGCGCCTTCATCGTCACGGACACTCTTCACGAGGCGCGGATCTCCATCTCGGCTTCGCTCTGCTTTGACCACCACCGTGCTCGTCGTCGGCGGTGTCTTCTTCGCGGCCTACTACGTCGACTCGCGGTCAGCGATCCACCGTTGGGTCACCATTCCTTTTCTCAAAGCTACCACCGACCCTGAGACGGCTCAGAAGCTCGCAATTCGCCTCTGTGCGAGCGGCATAGCCCCAAGGGATCTGATTGAGGACGATGATGTGCTCAAGGCCGAAGTGAGCCCTACGCCCTGAGCTCAGCCAGATTCTTCCACTTATACTGATACTGGCATCACCTCCCTGCAGATCTTTGGAAAGAAGCTTTCCAACCCTATCGGACTCGCTGCTGGCTTTGACAAGCAAGCAGAAGCGATCGATGGCCTCTTGGACCTCGGCTTTGGCATCGTGGAGATCGGAAGCGTAACTCCAGAACCGCAGGTAAGTCGATCGATAGCGGAGGATGTCCAGGGATTGGCAATCCTCTGACCGCTAGGCCTTGTCGTATTGTAGCCGGGAAATCCACAGCCGCGCTATTTTCGACTCGTCGCCGACAATGCAGTTATCAATCGCTTTGGATTCAACTCGGAGGGGCATGTTGCCATACTCGGACGGTTGAGAGACCGGATCCGTCGCTGGCTGCTGCATGAATCGAATGTAGCGGACATGTCCATCAGCAGCGGGAGTAGTCGACAGACAGTAGAGAAGCTGTTGGCGAGCCACCCTGACTCGGCACCTCGCCTCGTGGACGCTGCCGGCTTGCCGCGCAGTCTGCGCGAAGGGAAGCTTCTCTCCATCAACCTTGGCAAGAACAAAATCAGTGCTGAGCAGGACGTCTCTGATTACGTGAAAGGCGTACATAAACTCGGGCCATACGCAGACATGATCGTCGTCAATGTTTCGTCGCCGAACACCCCCGGGCTGAGGAGACTGCAGCGTCGCGGGGTGTTGCAGGACCTGCTCAAGCAGGTCGTCTTTGCTCGCGACGAGATGCTTCAAAACACGGGTACCAAACTCCGAGACGGAAAGCCGGGCCTCACAACGCCATTACTCGTTAAAATTGCTCCAGATCTGGACGAGGTGCAGCTACAAGATGTCGCAGACGCAGTGATGGAAAGCGGCGTGGATGGCATCATCGTGTCGAACACTACGATCCAGCGGCCAACATCGCTCATTTCGACGAATCATATTCATGAGGCCGGCGGGCTGTCCGGGCCGCCACTCAAGCCTCTATCTCTCAAGGCGCTGACGGCCATCCGCGAACGCGTTGGCTCTGAGCTGACAATTATCGGCTGCGGCGGCATCTACACTGCACAGGATGCGCTGGACTTTGCGAAAGCGGGTGCGAACGCTGTACAGCTGTACACGAGCTTTGGCTACGAAGGTGTCGGACACCCACGCAGGCTCAAGGACGAGCTGACCGCGCTGCTGAAGCAGGAAGGCATGACGTGGATGCAGGTCGTTGGCTCCGGCATTGATCTGAGCAACTTGGAGGAAACAAAGGGCAAGAACTACACGGAGTTGAAGGACCTGTACAGGCGCAACGTTGCCAGCATCAAGTCCCAGATGGAGGATCTACGGCTGCAGCTGGGCGGATCCGCCAAGACGAACATCACCGCGCTGCCATACTTTCAGCCCGACCCTGCGGACACGGATTACGTGACCCTGCTCGAGCGCGTGCACGAAGTGCTCGGCTCTGAACCCGGCTGGGTCCAGGATGACGCCCTGGGACGCGGAAGACGCATGACGGCCGGCGAGGAGATCGACGCCATGCTCGACGATGCGCTGCGGGATCCAAAGATGTCTGCCCACGCTGCCGTCTTGCCATCAGGCGTCGTCGGTGAAGGCGAGGAAGCCATCAGCGCAGCGCCCGAATATACTGGAAAAGGTTCGCTTGAGGCGAAGGTGACCACCAGAGTCGGGGTCAAGGAAATGGCAACGAGCGCGTGGGAGTCGCTAGTCTCTTCGGCATCGGGATCCGGCGCCACTGCTGCCGCCCCCTCCGACGAGAGCAGGCGCACGTTGCTCGTTGGCATGGATGGCACCAGACCAGACTTTAAAGCGGCGGACAAGCTGCGTGTCGTGTAGGCAGAGCAGGATGCTAAATGAAAATATATTTCACATACGATAGGACGAGCAGGGCAGCCTTGCTTCCACTATCAACTGCGCTGTTGGGTCGACAGCTGACGTTGTCGTCACTTTATTTAGAAGCCTCGTCCGCTGCCATGCCTGCAAAGTGAAGCGATGCGCACGTGCGGGAGAACGTTTCGCGGTCTGGTGATCTGGTTGTATTCGACGACTCACGACTCTTGAGACTATGACACAGTACAATGGCAATGCCTTGCTAACGCTGCTATGTATATTGTGCATTCAACGCAAACTGTAGTGATGCTATACACAATTGCACGATTGGCGACCGAACGTCCGCAAAACGCGACGGAGAGGTCAGCCGTCGGAGGATGTCGTACACCATAGATTTACATTTCACGGGAGACGCAAAGGTCATGGTAAGCAGAGACAAACAATCAGAACACATAAGCACAGGTAGAAAGCCGACGGAGGGTTTCCGCGCTGCGCAGTGCCTCAGCTCTGCAGGCCACAGCCTACTGCAGCCCGGCAAGGCTCCAATCAACGTCCCCTGTTATCGGCAAAGGCTCGCGGAGAGCTCGTTGCAGCCTCGGATCTTGGCGTCGTGCTGTCCCTGGAGCGCTCCCATTCGACGATGCTCCCAGCGTCCCTGCTGCCACTCCGATTCGCATCGCCCTAAAGCCTATTTTCCAGGCAAATAAATGACAATTTTAGCGCATTTCGTACTTCTTGCTGCTCTGTGCTGCCGCTCTGCTCTCTTTTCGCCTCTTCGCCTGCTTCGCTAATCACTGACCTGCTCAACACATTTGACTCGCGAGGGTGTGTTCGTTCGGCTATCCGCGGCTACAGTCGTTCCAATTTCGGTCTGAGCCAAACGTGCGGACGACAGCACGCTTCCTGATGCGGGCAACCAGCCATTTCTCCGCGACGTGGGTTGTAGGGTTATCCACTTTTCAGGCGGACAACTGGAACTGCAAAGAAATCACTGCACCGGCCACCCTGACTAGCCTCCCCCGGATGAACGCAGATTGCCGACGGGGACAACCAAATGAACGAACACTAGGGACAGCAGGTAATCTTTTTCCACTCTTCCAGATTACTCACTACAACGACAGGAACTGTGCACTCCGCAGTCAGCAGGGGTGCGGTCTCCAAATTGGCCACATTCGGCGCATTTTCCGACTGGCGTCGCTCTTGGCGACAAAGACACTAGCGTGATGCTGCTGCGCAATGCACTGTTGACTTGCAGGCACAAAAATGGCACTTAAGTCGACTCTGGCTGAAATCCGGGGCTCCACTCGGTTCCAGCATGTTTGCCACGCATATCGTGAGAGGATGAAGTCATCGCAGTCATATCCGGATACATACATACGGCCTCAACCAGAACGAGCTCTCGCAGGATCTCGCTCATGGCTGCTCGCCTGCACAGGCTCCTGGTTCCTGGCTACGTTCTCTCTGCATCGAGGAGTGCTGCTCGCTGCCAGATAGGTGATGGCAGATGACAGCATTGATGTGCATATTCCTTCTTGTTCCTCTCGGCATTCGACAAGAGACAGCCCGTCATGAAGCTATACATGCAGTGGAACCAGAAAGCCGCCTGCTGCCTGTAGCGAGATGGCGATCGGTTGGGAGAGTTGGAACCTTCTTCCGAACAGACCTAATGCGTTTTGTACCGTTGTACAGTCTTAGTTGCCCTGGAGGCCCATCAGTTAAAAGGCGCGAATACGTGGCAACGAGTCCGTCGCCTTCTCACTTGTCCGTCACATCCTCTGCCTCTTCCACCGGCAGCCATGATCTACCAAGCTTTGCTCTCACTTGTCTCTTCCGCTATCATCCTCGGCTCGGCGCCGGCCCAAGCTCTGGACAATGGTCTTGCGCTGACGCCTCAGCGTGGCTGGAATGTGAGCATGTCTATTTCATTCTTGCCGCCTGGAAGAAGATTGTCTGACGCTCGAGTGTGCTCATGTCTGCCCCGTGACTAGACTTGGAATAAGTACGGCTGCAACATCAACGCGTCCATCAGTGAGTGTCGTCGAAAGCCGCCTTCGACTTTAGAAGGTGCTGTTCTTTGGCTGACGGACGCTTTGTCAATCATTTCGACGATGCTGTCCGACAGTCCTTGCAAATGGCAAGGCTCTGATTGACGAAGGCTTGCACAAGGCCGGCTACGAATACGTCGTCGTCGATGACTGCTGGCAGGGTCCGCGTGACCCAAGCACGGGGCGCATCACCGTCGACTCGACCAAGTTCCCACACGGGCTCAAAAATCTCACAGACGAGATCCATGCGATGGGTCTCAAAGCCGGCATCTACAGCAGCGCTGGCTCCATGACGTGCGGCAGACACGTCGGTAGCTTGGACCACGAGGAGATCGATGCGCAGACTTTTGCGGATTGGGGTTTCGACTACCTCAAAGTGAGTGGCTCGCCGTCGTGGCGCCCAGCTGTCTACGGTTACGGAAACTGAAGAAAAGACATCTTCTCCTTATTAGTACGATAATTGCTTCAACGAAGGTGAGCAGCAGCTCGGTTGCTACACGTAGGAGCCTCTTGGATTGACGCGTGAAATTTCTGTATTGTCCAGGCCGTTCTGGAACACCAAAGATCTCGTACGACCGCTACAATGCGATGACTATGGCGCTCAACAAAACGGGTCGGCCAATCCTTTTCAGTCTGTGCCAGTGGGGTGAGGACAGGTGAGTGCGCGACTGTTGTCCTCAAGCGCTTACTTAGATGCAATTGACTCATCCGCGTCTCTCCAACAGCTCCTACCTCTGGGCACCGACGATCGCCAACAGCTGGCGAATATCCGGCGACATTTACGACAACTTTGACCGTGCAGATGCCAGATGCCCTTGTGACGACATGACGACGCAGACATGCTACCTGCAAGGTTTCCACTGCTCGGTCAAAAAGATTGTCAACTTTGCCAAGAGTCTCGGTCAGAAGGCGTTCCCGTCTGCTTGGCTCGATCTGGATATGCTTGAAGTCGGAAATGGAGGCATGAGCACGACGGAGTATGTCACGGTATGTTTCGAAGCTCGTGTGTGCTGCTTGTTGTGGACGTGCGAAGCTGACGACTCGACCTGTGATGCCGCCACTAGCACTTTTCCATGTGGGCCATGATGCGCAGTGCGATGATCTTGGGCAACGAGCTGTTTAGCATGGACAATGCGACACGAGCGATCGTCAAGAACACTCATGTCCTCGACCTCATCTCGGGCGACGCAAACGGGTCCCCTGCGTACCCGGTCTGGGAAGAGACCACTTCGACCAACGGCACGGAGATGCAGCTGTGGTTCTCCTCGCTAGTCAACGGCACGTACGCCGCCGCACTCGTCAACTGGGGCAGCCAAGATGCATCGGGGCAGAGCATCGACTTGAGCACTTTCTTCGTCGACGATGCGCCCGCGCGCAAGGCGTCGTGGGACGTATACGACCTGTGGGCAGGCGTCGATTTTAAGCAGGGCACCGTACCCGCCAAGCTGAGCAAGCTGAGTGGCTCGCCATTCACAGGCTCGATCGGCAACCTCGATGTGCCCTCGCACGGCATCAAGCTGCTCCGCCTCGTGCCTGCCGGTACTGATGGAAAGGGGATGTCGGAGCAGGAGCACAAGCGGCGAGCGCTGCAGGAAGCCGAGCACGTCCAGCTCGAGAGGGCAATGCAGTGGCAGGAAGACCGAGTGAATGCGCGCAGGATGGCTAGCCGCGGACTGTAGACGCTCCCTTCCGGCAGAACTGAGTTTCCCTTTGCGATGTTCTTTCTATCTATTCGAAAAGGCTGCTCGAAACCGCAAAGTGTCTTTCTCTGTACTTTCAAGGCATTGCAATGCGTAGCTTTGTAGAGACGTGACCCATGGGACCAGGGGCGTCACCAGGATCGTGATGTAGCGACCCTAGAATCCCTGATGTGGATCTGCCGCCTACCTGGTCGCACGACCTTCCGTTCGATCCTAATTTCTATATATATGTAGTTGGGATCGGCGATGATTCAGAATGACGACTTCCGTATGCATGCGAGTCATTCCCTCTCCCGCTGAACTACTTCTGTATTCCATCTTGACCATTACATGGAGCCAGTGAAATGTCGTACGCGTGGTGCGTGTGGACTGCCCGCCGACTGTGCCGCTATGGAGCTCTGCCTGTTGCACGGCTGTGGCTGCTGGCTGGCACGTGCGTGACGGCTGGCTGCATTGTGGGCTGCACTGTATCTTCTTTCATCATGAAGGCGGAAGAAGCCGGAGGAACAGAGCTGAGATTGGGAGCGCAGTGCTCTCTCGCCTCTCCACTCTCCAGACAAGAGCCAATCCGGCGGGCGTTGTTCATACGGAAATCATTTTTGAATTTGAGGAGCGACGTGGGCTGCCGCAGGCTCTCGCTCTCGTTGGCGCTAGGGTTAAAGGGCGGTAGAGCAGTCTTCTCACTTTTGCCTTCAGGCGAGTTTGCGCGATTTGCGCCAAAAGTTCCATCGCAAACCTCAATGTCTGGACGAGCTGCGTCGAGCCTGGGGCTGCTGGACGATGAGGGGTGAGCATTGGAGCACTGTCGGATGCGGTTGTCAGGCAGGTAATGGCAAACGTAGAGGCGTCGCAAGTCGGTCATGCAAAGCAAAGAAACCTTTGTACGAAACATCGACATCCATCCATAATGTTTGATGTCTGCATCCCTTTGAGACCAACCCGGGCACGCTTGTTTCTCCGTCAGCCAACCATTTGAAAAGATTGGCCCCATTCGGCGGTGATACTTGACGCACGCTCATCATGGCCAAGCAGCACACTTCGCTGCCCATGCAATCGCATGTGGTTGACGAGAAGCACGACCACATACACGGCAATGCCTCGTTGCGATCGCCGACGTCCGTCGCGCACGGCAGCGACAATGGAGGCGCCGGCGTCTTGCCTGGAGGTAGCCTGAACAAGAAGCAGGAGACGAAGGTTCACCCGGTCGTCATCATCGCCCTATGGATCTCGCTGTCGATGAGCGTCATCATCTACAATGCGTGCGTAGCAAACAGCTTGCCATGCGTCGTTACCCAGGAATTGCGAGGGTAGCTGACTGAGAACCTTCATTACTTCGCCCCAGGTGGATTCTCAAAGACAAGGGCTTGGGGTTCAACTACCCTATCTTCCTCACCACCTTCCACATGGCTTTTTCGACAGTTGGCACCAGGCTGCTCGCGCGGTATACACACCTGCTTGATGGCCTTGCAAACGTAGAGATGACCAAGGACCGATGGATCAAGAGCATCCTGCCCATCGGCTTCCTCTTCTCGGCCTCGCTTGCACTCTCTAACTATGCCTACCTCTTCCTGTCCGTCGCATATATTCAGATGGTCAAGGTGCGTGTGACAGGTCCGACATGTTCTGCGCTGCTTCTGTTCGAATGCTCACATCTCGGAAGCTGACTTTCGGTTCATGATTTTCTTTGTTCTTCAGGCCTTCACACCTGTCGCAGTATTGCTCATTTCAATTTTCTTTGGTCTGAAGCAAGCCAACCCGACGCTGCTCGGCATCGTCTTTGCAATCTCATGCGGCGTGGCCCTGGCGTCCTACGGCGAACTGGACTTCCAGATGTTTGGCTTTATTCTGCAAGTCCTTGCGATCCTTTTCGAGTCCTCGCGACTCGTCATGATCCAGGTCCTCCTCCAAGGCCTGAAGATGGACCCGCTTGTGTCGCTGTACTACTTTGCACCTGTCTGCGCCGCCATGCTCGCCATCGCGCTGCCGATCATCGAAGGCCTGGAGCCATTCCTCCAGCTCGGCAAAGTAGGCCCGATCGTTCTGCTCACCAACGCAAGTTGCGCGTTCTGCCTGAACATTGCTTCCGTCTTCCTCATCGGAGCTGCTAGCTCGCTCGTCCTCACGCTCGCCGGCGTCGTCAAGGATATCTTGCTCATCTTTGGCAGTATGTTCCTCCTCGGCAGCGTCGTCACCGGCCCGCAGTATCTCGGATACGCAATTGCGCTCGCCGGTCTGGTCGCTTTTAAGCTGCACAAGAGCTAGATACATGCTCATGCGCTGCTGCCATCTTTGCAGGGATAGTGCGGAGGGGTGGGTGTGACGGGCAGGCAGGCAGAGAGCCCAGAATGCATTCGAAGTGCATAGTAGAGGGAAGGGAGGATGCGAAGGTTAGGCTGGAGCAGCGGGCTGACTGCTCGACAAGACGAAAAGGACAATTTATGACATTTCTTCAAGCTGGTCCCCACTGCAGTCGAAGCGACACGCTTCCTCGTCCCAACCCAGTTACTCAATCGGCCTCTCACAGGGCCCTTTCTGGTCTCCTTACTTGCACTCGCTCGTTGCTTTGTATTAGCAATCTGATAGACAGTTTTGTTGCTTTACTCGTCTGGTTGGACGTTCAAATTATGCGTGCGATGGATAGGTCTATGCTACAGATGGGTGCATTCAAAGGGAAAGGAAGACGAATGCACATTGCCCGCGTGGGTGTCCCATGGCGGGCAAGGTGAATGCAGGCGTGTTTATACGAGTCGGCGCTTGATAAAGTCTCGTATTGGACCAGTGCTAAGTTGCAGGAGGAAATATCAGCGTCGGCTCGTACTCAACAAGGCAGCCACGGCCACGGCCACGACGGGATAGTGTCGCGTAAGCAAAGCCACTCACCCCTCTGCGCTGACGAAGAATCTTCTGGTCTCCTCGCTCTCCCACAGTAAGACACCGGACTCCCTCGCATAGTTCCTGACCAGCTCGAAATCCGCATAGCTGGTGAAGTCTGTGTACAAGCTGCCCTGCTGTGCGGCGACGCGATTCTTCTCTCTTTCCCACAGTCGTATCTGGTCAGTGCATGTGACGGGGAGCAATGTGTCGCTCTTCCACATCTGTGGATGCGCATGGTGCGTGAGGTACGCGATGATCTGCTCGGCGGTGATGCCATTCGCCAGCGCGGATTTGATGCTATCACGTGTGATGATGCCGATGACGAGGTTGGGGAAGCGCGACTTAAGCGTCACGAACAGGTTGAGCACGGCGATGCGCAGTGGGTTAGACGTGTACGCGTACACGCGATAGTTGGTCTCGAGGATGATATAGCCTTTTTCTTCGTGCGCTTCGTCGATGCTGTTCACAATCGGCGAGGCATTCGAGGTGAGAGATGTCGCGAGACGCGTAGGGTAGAAGCGTCGACTGCTGCCTGCCCGCTGATACACCAGGCCATAGTCACGAAAATCTTCCAGCATATGCAGTTGCGTTTCCGAGAGCTCCTCTGTCGAGTAGTCGCGCCCCAGCTCAAGGGAGCCAAGCATGAAGAGGAAGGACATGACTTCGACCAAGTCCATGCCGCGCGGCTCGGCGAGCGCGAGATATTGCAGGAGCAAGTCCCATAATTGCGTGTTGACGTCTTCCAGCAGAAATTGGAACCCACGAGCTGTAATCTTGAGTGAAGTGGCTCGGTTGGTGCCGGAAAACGTGCTTGGTCCCGCGACACTGGGTGCTGATGCGTTCCCTTTTTGCATCAGACCAGACTGTTTCAATAGGTAGAGCACCGGCTCACGTGGCGCCTCGAAGCCTTCTGATCCGACCAGAAAGTGCAAGATAGCCTCCCATTTGGCCTTGGCGTGATTGTCAAGGAAGGCAATGTCCACGGCGTGCTGGTCGACCGTATGGGAAAGCACGCCGAACGAACGATGATCTCCTCCGCCGATCAGCGCACACCGCATGTTCTCCTGGAAGACGCCATTCATCTGCAGGAGCTTGTTGCTGTTGCTACCACTTTCACGGATGATGCAGAGGCTCTTGAGGCGCTTCATCGTCCGTTCTCGCAGACGCCTACCCTCCTTGGTCAGCTGCGCGTTCCAATCGGCGAGAGCGAGCGGCGCGTCCATGAAGAGCATCTGCATGACGAGCTGGCGCGCGAGCACGGGCAACAGGCGGAAGATGGCAAGGCAGCTGGCGGGCTTGGCAAAGAGACGGTTGAGAATGGCAGGGGGCTGGCGATCGAGGAAGTCATTGATGTTCTCGGCGCCAATGCCGGCTGCACGCGACTGGTCCGCGATGGTTGTCGCCGGTTGTCGCGCTGCATCGTCGCCTCGCGTCGGGTCCGCGAACGGAACTGATGCTTTCGACATTCCGATCACGCTTCTCAAGATGGCATCCACCTGACACAGATGTCTATGGACGCGCACATAGGGACCACATCGGAGGGAGATCCTGTGGCATTTGTTAGAGGTGGTGGTCTTCTGCGTGCTAGATGACTTCTGGCATTTGGTTTGATGGCACTATTGCTGGCGACACTCAACAAGCAGAAGTTGCACCGATTCCCCATGACACGAGTTGAGCTCGCCATATGAGTTGTCGGCTGTCCGGCTGCCAAGCTGCCTGGACATTTGACTGGCTTGCGCCAGGCACTGGCCCACTCTCAACCCTCACAACGCTCAATGCTGTTGCACCCCGCACTTACCTGATTCCTGTCGCAGAGCCTGCCTGCAGTCGAGTGTGCACGCGCTTGCGCATATGCGCGTTGGTCTTTTGGCCCTCGTCCTCCCGCGCTCCGCACATGACCAGGCCCTTTGTTGGGATCGACATAGATTGCTATGGCAGGTCGTCACTAATTGCTGTACAGTTCGAGGCTGGGTCATGGCACATGACATATTCAATTGTTCGACAGAGTACAAAGGCGCTGAATATAATGAGACCTGAGGAGACTGAAGTGTGGACGTCGGACAGAGCAATTCCTCGCACGGCAGTCGCAGGCGGCGAGAGAGGGAGATGGTGGCTGTCGTCTCAGTACAAGTACTACTGGATGCAACAGCATATGCCGGAGTCCTGGGACTAGCACTAGGTGTTGATCCACCCGCCCAACATCTGCTCAATACTCTCCATAGCATAGGCTTGCTAGTTGCTCAAATGATGATCCATGCTTCTTGATGACCGCTGTGTAATGATTGTGGCTGTGATATATCCTCAACCAACAAATCAAGCCATCTTGCACGGGTCATACGACCCGGAAAGACCTGCGCGGATCGTCGTCCTATAGCCAGCAACAAACAGCAGCGCCCCTCCGCCCACCACCAGCCACACGTTCACCGTTCGCCCACATTCCTTGCTCCAACCTCCATCTTGGACATTCAGCGCTTCGACCGCGTTCGCCTAGATTGCAAGCATACGACTCAAGCTTGTCTTTCATCAACTCAGTGCATAACAGTTGGCAAGAAAAGTCGAAATACAGCCTTTTCAGCCGCGCCGCATTCTCCCCTTTGAGAGATACAGCCAATCGCACTCATGTCCACTGCCCGCCCCTCGTCTACTGTGCCGCCAGGCAAGAAAAAGGCGCCGTACCCGTTTTACCTGGGCGGCTTGGCGGCCTGCAGCGCTGCGACCATCACGCATCCGCTCGACCAGAGCAAATACCGCTTACAGACCGCCACAAAGAAAGTCGGTCTCGTCTCAACGGTCGCCAAGACGGCCAGTGAAGAAGGCATCCCTGGTCTATGGAAAGGATTGACTGCTACTCTTCTAAGACAGTTTACTTACTCGTGAGTTGCCTATATAAGCCGGTGGTGAATTCCAACCCCAAGGCGCTAAGAAGTACTTTCTGCTGTGGATGCGACCCATGCGCACAGCATCACGCGCTTTGCCGTATATGAGGATATGAAAGCGCGACTCGCGCCGCCCGGCAAGGCGGCACAGCCCTCGCAACTAGCCCTCGCCGCCGCCACGGCCGGTGCTGTTGCCGGTGTGATTGGCAACCCTGCAGAGATCGTCTTAGTGCGCACATGCTCGGATCTGAACAAACCACTGGCGGAGCGCTACGCCTACCGCAACTGCATCGATGGTCTCATCCGCATCGTCAGGGACGAGGGCGCCAGCACGCTCTTCAGGGGTCTGGCGCCGAACATCGTGCGAAGCATGGTGCTCAACATTTGCCAGCTCGCCTCGTACGACACATTCAAGGCTGCATTGATGACTAGCGCCGGACTACAGGACGGGCCCGTCCTGCACTTCGCCGCGGGCTTCTGTGCTGGAACGTTCGCGACGACCATGTGCACACCCGTCGACGTCGTCAAGAGCAGGGTGCAGAACGCGGCCAAGGGCGCCGATAGCAGCGTCATGGCTGTTATTCGGACTTCGCTAGCAAAAGATGGCCCGATGGGTGAGTGATTAGTCCAGACCTTGCAGATTACATCTTCTGAACGAGCCTCCCTCTTTCTACTCCTGTGATAGTCTTCATGCGTGGTTGGACCCCCGCATGGCTGAGGTATGTCTCGGAAAGCGTCACTTCGGCACTTGTGCTCAATGCTGAAATGCCCGTCCATGCCTTGTCGATAGGCTGCAACCGCAGACGACGCTGCTCTTCCTCTTCTTTGAGCGCTTCAAGGTGAGTGTAAGCGCCATGCGGCTGCCTGCAATCGCAGGCGAAGGCGGAGTTTTGGGCTGATGTACGCCATTTCCTGCATTGCGCTCCGGTGACCAGAAAATCATGGACGCTTCGCGCGAGAAACACGGGACCCTGTATGTCGATGCGTAGGACTGCTGGCGTGCTGGGCTCGGGCTTGGGCCAGGCAGACCATTTGGACGATTGCAAGTTGAAGAGAAAGACGTCATATCGTGCAAAGCGACGACGTGTGACGATCCAGCTGGGATCTTGATGTTTGATAGAGACGAAATGACAAAGGAAATTACCACTGGCTGCCATGTCGCGAGGGGAATCGCCTTCGGAATGAGTTTGACTGCTCAAGATGATGGCGAACAGCTGAGGAGCGCTTTGAGCGCCTTGTTCATGTCTCCGTCGTTCTCGGCAAGAACTTTCTCTGCTTGCTGCTTGCTGAGCAGCAACTCCTTCATCTGCTCACCCCGGCCGAATGCGTTAGAAATTGTCCTCCTTATGCGAAAGAAAGAGTGGCGTTGTGCGCGATCTCACCAGGAACTCCACGTCGTCCTTCTTCAGCTTCCCTGTGAATCCTGATACAGCCGCTGCTCCTCCCTGCAGCTTCTTGGCAATTTCGGCCGGTAAGACGGCCGGCGTTTCGCCCATGCAGATCGCAGCGACGTGCTTCTCCAGCTTGCTTCGCACGAATGTCCAGTCTTCGCTCGAGACCGCATCGCCCCAAGCCTGGATCACTTCGGCGCCCATTTTGTCGTCGCCGTCGTATGCGGCTTGGCTGCGAAAAAAACAATGATCGGGGCGACGGACAGGCAATGTAGGAAGCTTAGGCCGTAAGAGGTCGATGGACAAGTACGCGAAGTGCGGAAGGTTGTATGCATCTTGCATACAGCTATTGCTCTTCATTCGTCGACCTTTCTCGTGGTTCGACTTTGACGTCGTTCCGCCTGTTATGCGCCTTTGTGCGGCAGCCGGCAGCTGGCAGGAGCAACAAGCCTGATACAGCGCGGGCCACTTCAGGTCTCTTGTGACTGCCACCAACCTCTCACTCAGATAGCCGGAATGACCGCTTCATACACACCCTCCATGCAACGTTCGGAACCCGTTCGCCCTCTCTAACATAAAACAGTCTTGAGACTCGATGAGAGTCGAGGAAGCAACGGCCAGAACGGTGCGGTCAAGCCTGCGACTTGCCGTTGCTGGAACACCGGCCGTTCCAACATTGTAGAACCATCGACGACCTCTACTTCTTCGCCATGATTTCGGTGAGGAATTTATCTTGCGCCACGGAGCAGAGCTCGCCTCGCTTAATAACGGTCTCTACTTGCAGGCCTTTTTCATATTCAATCAGAAGGGAGAGGCGAGTTCTTATAAGAAGTTCCGAAATTACCACATTCATATCTGACGGACGCGGGTTCTATGGGAGCAGGTGCTGATCTCTAGGCTATTCCGTAGCGACCTCAAGTTTGTGCTTCGCTAGCGCATTTTTTGCGCAAGACCAAGTGCTGATGCGTTCCCCAACTTTACAGACGATCAATATCAGACATCTTTCGCATCCAAGTGATCGCAAATCCAGATGTGCGCTCTCCGATTATCACGCTCGGCAGCACCAGCTTCTTCCATGTGCGGCATGACAACGTCTACGTGGTCGCTGTGACCAAGTGAGCTCGTGCGCGCTCCCGCTTCAATATCTTTGAATCTGAGCGCTGACAGCATCCTCATCGCAGGTGCAACGCGAACGTCGCGCTGGTGTTCGAATTCTGCTATCGTGTCATCTCGATCGGTCGCTCCTATTTTGGCAAATTTGACGAGGAGGCAGTCAAGAACAATTTTGTTCTGCTTTACGAGCTTTTAGACGGTGAGAGGCCGGTATGATTGTCATAATGCATCGATGATTCTTGTTGAGACGTTTGGATTTGCAGAAATCTTGGATTTTGGCTACCCGCAAAACAGCGAGATTGACACGCTCAAGATGTACATCACGACTACGAGCGTCAAGTCTGAGCAGGCCGTCCGCGAAGAGTCGGCCAAGATTAGCATCCAAGCTACTGGAGCGGTCGGCTGGAGGCGAGCAGATGTCAAGTATCGCAAGAACGAAGCGTTCGTGGACGTTATCGAGAACGTCAACTTGCTCATGAGCTCCAAAGGGACGGTATTACGCGCGGATGTGGATGGGCAAATCCTAATGCGGGCGTATCTGTCAGGGATGCCGGAATGCAAGTTTGGGCTAAACGATAAGCTGATGCTCGAGAAGAAGTACGCTCCATCGTGTGAGCAATATCTTTAGGCTATCAAGGCGCTGACCACATCCTCCTCGTGCAGGGGCTCAACGGCAGCGACGGCCGAGGATGCGATCGTGCTAGACGACTGCCAATTCCACCAATGCGTAAAACTCGGCAAGTACGATGTAGATCGAAGCATCAGCTTCATCCCTCCTGACGGAGAATTTGAGCTCATGAGGTGAGCGTTTGAAACATCGCTGCGGATGATCACCTGATCTAATGCGCTGTTTTTTGCGTCAGATATCGCTGCACAAGCAACGTGAACCTGCCATTCAAGGTACATCCTATCGTCGAGGAAGTGACAAAATCGCGTGTGGAATATTCTGTGCACGTGCGTGCCAGTTTTGACGCCAAGCTGAATGCGACGAACATCGTCCTCAAGATCCCCACGCCGCTGAACACGACGAATGTCAAGTGCCAGGTCCCGCTGGGCAAGGCCAAATATGTTCCCGCGGACAATGTGATCATTTGGAAAATCCCGCGCATGCAAGGCGCCTCGGAGTGCTCGCTGCAGGCGGAAGCGGAGCGCTCCAGCACTACGCATGGGAAGGCGTGGAGCCGGCCGCCGATCGAGGTCGATTTTCAAGTGCTCATGTTCACTGCGTCAGGGCTTCTTGTCCGGTATCTCAAGGTGTTCGAAAAGAGCAGTTGTGAGTGGACGGAAATGCTGGCTTGCATCCCCCGAGGGCCATTTCTGTCAATGACGCTGATCGCACGCTGTGTTCATTTCGAACTTGACAGACCAAAGCGTCAAATGGGTCCGATATCTGACGCGCGCCAATGGGTCCTACCTGATACGTTTCTAGCTCGCCAAACAGCTGGGGAGTCCTGAGGGATCCTCGCGTCTCAACGGCTTGCTCGCGACGCGCTCGCCCATCTTGTACTCTAGTCATCGTGTATTGCTATCATTACCCCCAGTAGTGGCGAGACTGTAAAGTGTGGTCAACAATGTGCTTCCTTGCGGTCTGGACGCTTTGCAGCACCAACACTTGCACGTGCCTCTTTACCCACAACTTCCGAGCTGGTGTTCTCGCATCAATGAGGGCCGCGTCCATCCAGATTGCACAGCTAGCACAGAACCGCGAGTCAGGTCAACGTCATACCTCTCTTGTAGGACATATGTACAACGAACCAATGCTTTGGACTCTCTGTCTCCCACGCTGTGCTACACAGCTACAAGCATGCGCGCAGCGCTGCTTGCACTTCGAACCACCATCACTCTGAGGAATGACCATCTGAATTCTGACCATACCTGTTGATATTATTAGTCTGGGGGAAACTTTGCCTCACAGCATCACACGTCGCGTCTGACGAGCTGACGCGTCGCGTCAACCGCCATTGTTCCGCGCCGACTTCATTATTTTTGGTGCCCCAAGGTCCGGCGAGCAAGCCTTGAAGCAACCCGGCAATATGATTTTGTATTGCTCTTTGCCTGTTGCCAGTCCCTACTAGTCTACTATGCATTCAACATTCATCAGTCGCTTGTCCTTAACTCGCCAGTGCCAAAAGACCTCGAGTCCTCGATCATGGAGACTTGCTTCGTGTGTTGCAGGACTCTGCTATAGACTATGGAGCACTAAAAGGAAACGCCCTTGGCGAGAGTTGTGATACAAAGTTTAGTGGGGTGAGTGCAAGACGCTCGCCGGTGCTGTGCAGCGAGGTGCCTTTCCGGAGCTCCGTGGGTGTATATCCGTACATTTGTTGAAGGGTCCAAGTTCGACCACAGTCGGCCAGTGACTGCGTTGCCCCCTGGAAAAGTGGCAGGATTTGGGTGAATGTGTAGAAAAAGCGCAAGATTGATTTCTGCTCAGACGATCGAGCAGGTCCTAATGGCACTGGGGCACTGTCACAATCCAGCCGACACCTTCGCATTCTCCCACCCACTCAAATCAGCGCCAGGCGTGGAAGTAGTCAGAGGCAGGCGCGGGGACACATCTCCCAATCATGGAAATGGTCAACCTTTCTCTCGTCCGTGGTGTCGCCCCACTTTGCTCGTGTGGTGAGCCAGTGGGACAAGGTTGGCCAGTTGCCTGCGCCTGGGAGTGTGTATGCGGTCGCGGAGTCATTGCTGGACGTGCCCATATTGCACCAGAGTCTGTCATAAATTCTAACAATGACCTGCCTGCCCTCCTGCCACTCTGCCAGGCGGCCATGCGCTGGCGCCTGCCTGCCTCATGCCTGACTGGCTGGCAGTGGCTGATTGGCTCTTGAAGAGTCTACGAGCGATGCTATCGAAGAAGAAAAGGGGGATGTTGTTAGCGAGGCGTCACCGATCGAGACTGCAAAAAGAAGGGGAAAGAGAGAGAAAGCGAGAATGAGAGTGACGACTCTTGGGAGGGACTGTTGGGTCAACGATACTCAGCCAGAAGGTAATGTGGGGGAACATAGATCGTTGGAGTCACCCGACGACTCCCCCACAGCAAAGCATTGCATTCAGTCGGCGATTGGACGAAAGCGATGAGTGTCCTGGCGTCGGCGCAAGCGTCGCACAATTAGCTGCCAGTGCTGGTCTTTGAACTTATCCGTTGCTAGCTTGAGGTGCTTCTGGTTGACGATATTTTAGAGAACAAAGCCGTCGAAGGGTTGCAATTGGTAGGTGCCGGTGATGCTGATGTCGTACACATGGGTGCCTGCGGGCCCTCCCGCTTGACGCTGAGAGCCAGCAGTTCACGATCCTAGTTCTTGCTGCCTTGCCAGGCACCCTTGCAGCTCGGATCCCCACGCTCGTGCCTCTCCTCATTGCAGTCCCAGCAGCGCACTTTGCGCCGGTGGGTTGGGCGGGCTGCTGCACGCGACAGCGTCTGGGAGACCGTGTGAACGACAATCGGGTTCGCCGGACGGCTCGGCTGAGGCGTATAGATGTCATCACTAGCCATCATAGGGCCTGTCTGCGTCACGGCTACGCCGAGGTTTCTGACGAAGGAGAGGGCTTTGGCTAGGCATGGGTGCTTGGCGTCATGTATTGTAGTATTGTAAATGACTCGAAGAGTTTCCGGGAGAGTTGCTAACAAGTCGCTGATCAGGACTGCATCCGATCGCTCATGCCGCGGGGGTCAGCAAACCAGCTGCTGCACAAAGTCCACGTGCTGAACATAGTCGCCGTTGAAACATAAGTCTCGGAGTCTTCGAAGGATCCACGCTGTACTCTTGGAATGGGCGGACTGACGCAGGAACTCGCTTTTGAAGGCGGCCCAGGGCAGGGTCGACTTCCCGGACGAGAGTCTCAGGGACCAGAGTACCAGCCAGTGGCTGCGTCCCTGAAATCGTTGGCCGCCGCAGCGGACTGCTGTCCAGGTGGGTCAGACCCACGAGCACGAACTTGGCCTCACACAAACTCAACCATGCTCCTGCATCCTCTTGCGTCTTGTCGTGGGATGGAGCGAACTGCACAATTGGCAGCCCAAAATGCAGCAGACGCGCGTTGTCCTGGCTGACCTCTAACTGCTGCGAGTCGAAGTTGGGCACTTGTTCTGAGACGCTTGGCGTCGCCCTCAGTGTCGTCTTTTTCAGTTCTGCGAGCTCCGATCGCAAATCATGGAGCTCGAGCTCCAGATTCTTGACAGTTGTCTTCGGCATTGTGGATTTGCAATCTTTAGATGTCCTCGGATTTTGAATTGTACCAAGTTTGCCGTCTTCTGGCCGGACTTGACTCATTCTCCCTCGCTATCGGAGCGTGATTTCCTTTGTCTCCCTGCCAGCAGGTGTTGACGTGCTCGAGAGGTGAAGCGACCTTCGCTTTTGAGTGAGAAGTGTACCAGGCACTGATTGATGTGTCGAGTAAGTGGGTAGTGCACGATGGGAGTCGCTGACAGCAACTGCAGTTGCATCATGTCACACGGGTCTCGCGAATGGCTTCTGGAAGCGATTCGCCAAATGAAAATGCGTGCAGTGTATATGAGCAAACTTGGTCTCCCTCATTCTGTGGAGTAAGTACAAGCGATGCCAATTATTTTATCCCAGTTCCATTCCCTTGCTTGGATCGGGCGTTACCGACTTTACCACTGCACCGGACTGCAGTGGATCAGGGCCAAGAGGCCAACAAAATCGGCATTGTGTCGCGGTTGAGGAGTCTGCACGAGAAGATGCTAATCGAAGGGAAAAAAGATGGATGCGATATGCGGAGACGTCACCGATCGAGTGGGCAAGAAAAGAGGGGGGGAAAGCGAGACAAAAAGTGAGAGTGAGGAGTGCCGACTTTTGTGAGTGTTGGCTCCATGATACTCTGCTAGAAGCGTGACGCGGGGGAAACATGCATCCATCATTGAAGTCACCCAACCACACATCCTTCCCACCAGCCTCGTCCATCCTGGGCCTACCACAGAAAATCCAGCCTTCAAGATCTTATCAGCGGCCGATATCGCCCCGCATAGGATAGATCGGCTGCTGCTTGACATGCCTCGCGGCCTCACACGCCGATATTCGAGGGTACAAGTCTGGGCAGGATTCTCAACAGCACGAACCTCGATACTCTGTTGAGAGAGAAGCTCATCTCACCCCCAATCAGCTTTTCACACAACTGCACCCTCTGCGGACCACAGCAGAGCCTCGAGCACACTATTGGCTGTCTCTAACAAGCCTGCAAATACGTCATTGGCACCACACTGCCACTTGAACCGTTCACGACGACCTCAACGCCGGCCGCTTCTGCTGCCAGACATTGAGGCTCTCTGTTGAGAGCTTCAACCTTTTGCATACACCCGCATCAGGCGCGCGGGGCATTTCTTGACGGCATTTGAATGGGGTAAATGCATACGAACTAGCCAGTTTATTGCTTTAGGACCTTCCGTGAGTGTTACGAGACTGGGGTGTCGTCAGGCATTCAGGGTGATCGGAGGCTGCGTATTCTTGGGCTGCAGCAGATTCACTCGTCCTGTTGGTAGCATTTACCGGATGGGCAAAGCATGAAGGAGGGCTGGGAGCATGGACAGGATGATGCGGGCTGCTGCGACACCTCTGAGCTCGTGCTGACCCGCGTCGGCATGATATGACACGCAGGATATCGCCAAGGTCGACGTGAACTTTCTACGCGGTGCAGCAAGCGCAGCACCTCAGGACCATTCTCCGCCTCTGTTCTCTTCGCGTTTCTGCGCACCAGCCTCACGCTACGATTTGAGCATTCAGTGCTCTTCTCACGATCACGAGTTTTCTTCTATAGGCGCCCGGTTTCGTTGCGTCACAACTAGTGAGGTCCACCCACCTACTTCGATTTTACTTCTCTTCACCTCTCACCATTCTCTCACGACTCTCATCATCAGGATGGGTAATCAGAATTTCGACTTTTCGGCGTTCTTGAACTCTTCTTCGGGCGGCCAGCCTGACCGAACGGCGCCGAGGCGCAACGGCAACGGCAATGCTAATGCAACTGCTGCGAGTGGTGGGCCGATCAACCAAAACGACCTCGTGTCTCTCCTGAGCAGCAGTGATATGAACCAAGTGGGCATGTCGCTCAGCAGCAACGACCTTTTTTATATGCCCTGGGAGTCACTTGCACCGTTGGATCCCATTGTCGCAGCTCCAGTCCCTCCTACTTCCATCGATGATCCACTTGCATCTGATTTCACCACTAATGACTTACTTGCGAAGAGTAAGTCTCAGTCATTTCACTGTCAACCTGCTCAGGGGACGATCACAGGCGAAGCCCATTCGTTGGACACGCTCTTGGACCCAACACAGGCTCCGTCGTCGATTTTGAACGATGCCAGCTGCGTGGAAGCCAGCGGCAGCCGAGCTATGGGGGTGCACCCGCAGATCCAAGAACAGATCAATGATGCTACCGCTTACGAGGGCGGTGACAGCAATGTGGCCAACACGCGCTTGGCGTACCGTGCACGCATCCTCGCGCACCACTCTCACTTCCTCAGCAACGATGGAGATGGCGCGGTTGCACCGACTGGCTTACCCATCAAACCTACGCGAGACATGCCGAGCATGTCAGCCGTGCCCGTAAGCTCAGGTGTGCCGTCTCGCGTCATGCAGGTCACTCAGCAGGCGCAGAAGTTATCGCTGCAGGAGCGCAGGCGCATGGCCCGCATCGAGCAGAGCAAGGCTGGGAACAAGGCCAAAGAGTCAGACAATGTACAGGTCAGCGGGCGCAACCAAAAGCGCAGCACTGCTGGCGCCGAAGAGACAAGGCCCCAACAAACGAAGCAGCTGCCTTTCCTGAGAACACAGCATCAGCCTCATTCGTTGCCTGCTTCTCAGCCGGAGATCGTCGCGCCAGTGCAAGTCCAGGCGTCTACACTGCTGCGGCAACAGGACCACGGTATGAAGCCGCCTTCCGCAGCGCCTCCTGGTACCATCCCACTCGAAAGCATCTACTCTGCGTCTGGCTTCGACATGCTCAAGGCTCTCATGCGTGTCGCCTCGCGTCCCAATCCGTGCGTCAAGATCGGACCTGTCGACTTGTCGTGTTCCTTCACCGTAGCGGATGCGACACTACCGGATCAACCGCTCATCTACTGCTCGGACACGTTCTGTCGTCTCACTGGCTACGCCAGGAGCGAGCTCTATGGTCGCAACTGCCGTCTCTTGCAGTCGCCGGACGGCATCGTTCAGCAGGGCTCTGAGCGGACTTCGACGGACAACCAGGCGGTTGCTCACATCCGCAAGTACGTCGGCAACAAGAAGGAGTGCCAGGCTAGCCTGATCAACTACCGAAAAGATGGCCAGCCGTTCATCAATCTCGTCACGATTGTGCCCATCACCTGGGATGACACGGACACGATCAAGTACCTGGTTGGCTTCCAGGTCGACCTGGTGGAGCAGCCCGGCGCCATCCTTGAGAAGATGCCAGACGGCTCGTACTTTGTCAATTACAGCTCTGTCGCCACAGGCGTCCCTACCACCATCAGAATTGCGGGCGGCCAGCCCATAGCCAAGGACACCAGCGCGATTACGACCGTCGAGTCCTTGACCTCTGCGCAGGAAGACGCGCAGCGCCGCCTCAGCAATGCACAGTCCATCGCCGAGGCCATCGACGGCGGTCACAACGACACGAAGCACTGGGCACGGTTGTTGCTGGATAATTCGCACGATCTCATCTATGTTCTTTCGCTCAAGGGCACTTTTCTCTACGTCTCACCGTCGTCGGACCGTATTTTGGGCTTCAAACCGTCAGAGCTGATCGGAAAATCTATCAGCGACTTCATCCATCCCAGCGACGTCGTACCCGTGTTCAGGGAGTTAAAGGACTCGACGAGCAACGCCAACATCTCTGCGGCAGCTCGTGCCTCGCGTGCCAGCTACAATGCCAGCCCGCGGAATCGAAATCAGCCTATGCGCGACACCGGTCCAGCGGTCAACTTGCTCTTCCGCATGCGCACCAAGAGTTCGTCCTACCAGTGGATTGAGAGCGTTGGGAAGCTGCATCTCGAGCAGGGCAAAGGCCGCAAGGTGGTCGTCTCCAGCGGTCGCCCTCGACCGTTCTACCACCTAGCGAACAGCGTCATGACAGCCGTTGCTGCCTCTAATGAGCCTGGTTTCTGGTTCAAGGTTTCCCTAGATGGTCTGTTCCTCAATGTCTCTGCACCCGTGGTCAACATGCTAGGTATCACGGCGCACCAGATGGCAGGCAAGACATTTAAGGAGCTCTGCGAGCAGGAGTCGCTGTCGGCGCTGTATCAGTCGCTTCGCACGCCATCCACGACTCTCATCTTGCACTCCCTGCTGGACAGCATGGCCAATCGCATCCCTGTCTTGTCCACCTTTTACCCCTCCAGCATTCGGACGGAACGGAACCATGAATCGGTCTGGGTGCAGACACGCCCCGCCCCGCCGAACCTGTCGCTTCAGCCCAACATCGTGTACTCGTCGCCACCCAAAGAAGGCGACCCGAACGATGCGTCGGACACGTCGGTCTTTGCGGAGCTATCGCCATACCGCTCTTCAAGTTGGTGCTACGAGCTCCATCAGCTGCGCAATATCAACAAGCGCTTGAAGCAGCAAGTCCGCGCGGCGCATCAGCGTCGGGCATCCAAGCCACAGCAGCAAACAGGCGGCGCTGGCAGCAGCACCACGACGCGCACACCCCACTCACCGCGCCTGAGCGATGCAGCGATGAAGGATATGATGTACCCGCATCCCTTCAAAGTTGCCAGCGGCTCAAATGAGCCAACGCGCTCGCCCATCAAGCTTCCATGGAACCATGAGGGTCTCCTGCCGCCGTCTGCGACGCGCGCGTCGTCGTCCAGCGCCGGCAGGAACACACCAGTGGACAGCCTTCTCGACGGCTTTGGCACCAGCTCGGTCACGCGGAGTACGTCGTTCACGACGCCCTCGCAGACGTCTGGCGGTCGTAGCGGCAGCGGCAGTGCAGGGGAGAACAGTGGGACTGGCAGTGGCAACGGCAGTGGGAGCGGAAGCGGCAGTGGAAGTGGCAATGGAAGCCGCAGGAGCAGTGGGAACCGCACTCCTGCTGAAGGCGAGGCTGACGGTGAAGGCACATCGAGTGGCATTGGCAGCGGGCAAGCCCCCAAGCCGCCAAGGAAGCCGAAGTCTTCGAGGCGCACTAGGCGCAAGTCGTCCAAATCGGCTACGAAAAAGTGATTGCCAAGATACGCGAACCCTGGCACCCACAAAACAATACTCTCCATCCAACATCTATTCACGCATCCTCACCTGCCCCATCTGAACGACTATCCGAACGAGTTCCATCGGCCTCCCTCCTGGCGCGCGCAGCTGCATTCACACATTATCGGCTTTTCAATTTGCACATATGCATTCACCCGGACCCACCCACCATTCTTCGCTTGCGATGTCGCTGCACTTTCGGGGTGTTTTTTTTTTCTCGCACGTGTAATCAGAACTGTAGTTTATTAAGAATATGATTCGATAGCAGCCCCATTGCATTGTGTGGTGCTGGCGGCTCGCTGCCCTTCGCTTTTCTCGCCAGCCGTTGTCATGTTTCAGTGAGCGTCCACGGAGAAGGCCTGTGGGGCTGGGTGCGTAATATATGGCCGTGTGCTCAGACGTAGCTCCGCCTGCAACGGGTCCGGTCGCGGAGCTGCATCGAAATCAGATTGCAGCTCTCATCTCGATCAAGTGAGGACTGAGAAGCTGCTTGATTGGTGCGCTTCTGGGTTCTGGGCTCTGGGGTGTGGCGTGCTCAACTGTGGAGTGTGGGGGGACCATTGCCGATCGGATTGATGGGAGGATTGAGGAGATTTAATTCTGTCGCATATCTCCTTTTACTATTTCAGGCACTGGGGCAGAGGTAGGAGGGTGCGCGGCCACGCTCTCACCCGCTCAGTGTTCACGCCACTCAACTTTTGTCACAGACGGAGACGATGCTTGAGGAATGAAGGGGGAGGGAGCCATTCTCTTTCTCCAACGCTTGAAACTTGACCACTACCACTACCAGCAGCAGCAACAGCAACAGCAGCCGCTGTTTGCACCTGGCTTGACGTGGGGCACCGTGCGATATTGCCGCCGATGCACCGGGGCGCGCCAGTCTCGTCCTTACCTCGTGCGTCGCAGATGGGTTGCAGTGTAACCTCCAGGTCGGCAGGCTTTCCAGGGGCAACATTCACCCCAGTCCGGCTCTGAGGTGGACCTATAACCGCCCTATCCAAGCAAGGTCATATCCACTGCGATCTTCCCACATTTTGATATAGACAACCACGCGTGAAAGAAAAGCACACGACCATGGCTCCGTCGGTCGACAGTATCCGACAGAATGGCGTCCTCTTCCCAGACTCGCTGGGAGACATTAGCGCCGAGATGGCGCGTCAGCTGATCGACTACGGCGCCTCCGTGCGCAACAGCTCGCAGACGCCGCCCCCGACTTTTGGACGAGGCGCGACGCGTGGAGCTGGCGCCATGTGGCGGCAAGATGGCCGTGCTGGTGCTGGCGCTGGTGACGGTGCCGTGACCCCGCGTGAAGTCGACTCGCCCACGCGCCAACAGCACGTGAACGGCTCTGCGAGGGAGAGCTTCGCGACCACGCGCATGCACCCGTCCTCCACGAACGGCACGGCCTTCTTCGAAGCGAATACGTCCCCGCGCTCGACGCGCACGCGCATCACGGAGCACACCCACGGCGGCGCCTTGGGCGGCGCTAGTGGAAGGGATTCGGTCGGCAGGTCGTTCATAGAAGACGCGGAAAACACCAATCTCAGCGGAAAGGAGGCGGACGGCGACCTTTCGCATCTGGAAACAGCGATGACCGCCCCAAAAGTGAGGGAAGATCGTGCACGCGAAGCACTTCTGCGAGACATCACGCACGCACGTACTGAATGATTTTGAACTCGCGTTCTACCTCCGCAGCTCGGCGGATTTGGCGTTCGAGACAATCATCTCGTGCCACACGTCGACGGCATGCGCAGTGCAGCGGACGAGAGAGCGAAACGACCGGCTGCCTCCGGCCAGGAGCCGATGCAGGTGAGTTTCCCGCTCGGCGCACAAGCCTCAAGAAATGCATATGCTCACCGCGTCCGTCCTGGCTTTGAATCAGTGGGGCCAATTCTTCTGGACGATCATCACGGACCCGCAAAGTTCTATGTCATTTTTTGCGAACCCGCACACGGGCGAGTGCAGGTGGGAAGTGCCTGCGGGCACGTTTGTCCTCCCGCCCGATCCGGAGGGCCAATGGTGGGAACTATTCGACTCGTTGCGTGGGATTCCGTACTATTATCATACAACCACGCACAAGACGCAGTGGCAGCGGCCGCGCGGACTCGTCATTCCTATGACTGCCATTCAGGTGAGCCATGAGCGTATGCAGCGCACAGCGAGTTATTTCTCTGACTCTCATTCGAATCGAGCAACGCCCAGGAATCTGCCGGTGGAAAGCGGTTTTCGCGGCAAAACTTTGGCGTCGAAACACTCTCCGCTCTCGCTGTGCCCACTTCGGAGCTGGGCTTGCCGGCCAAAGTCGGCGCCCCCGGCGTCCCTGCTTCTCTGACAGAAACGCCGAAGAAGCGTAAGAGCCGGCAGCAGCAGCCGCCCCCACCGGTCACCAGTCCAAGCATCGAGCAGGTGCTCTCATTTGACGCAAACGAGCGCCAGCTGCGCAAGTCGCAGCTGATCGCAGATGCTATGGAGTCTGCTTCGCCCCGAGCTCTACGCAGTCGCGTCAGCACGATGGCGTTCCAGGATGAGCACGTTGGCAGTGGCGGCGCCTACGATGGGACTTCGTCGCCGCCGCCACAGGACGGACGGACGCCGCCGCGGCGGCGCCAGCTCGGCGACTTGGCCACACAGCCGATTCCTGAAGCGTACGGTGACGAGCAACTCGATGAGGCGAAAGAGATGGGCTCCACCGTGGGGGGTAGAAATAGACGCCAGTCGGCACGCCTCGCGATCCAAAGGGGGCTCACCGCATCGCTGTCCAATATCTCCTCGTCCAAACGGGCCATGTCCCCGGATAAGCAGCACCAGCAGCAGATGTCATCGTCTCCTTCTGCTTCGTCCGATTTGGCCATCTCGCTGCCCTTGCGCTCGCCCGAGGAGATGCTGCGCAACCAGCCGGGCAGGACGACCGGCTCGTCGCCCGGCGGTGATGGTCCCATCCGCTTCGAGGCGGTCGAGAGTTCGCCGCAGCAGCCGCGGATACCGCCCGAGCTGATCGACGAGCTCGGCGGCCGGCGCGTCTTTGACATGTCCGACTTTGCCGTCGAGAACTTCTCCCAGCACCGCACTGGCTTCTTCCGCCGCAAGATGCCCGTCGACCGCATGCTCAAGTGGCAGAAGGAGCCCATCTCGGCGCCGATGCTCAACTTGCCGCGCAGCAGCAGCAGCGGTGGCTCCTCGTACCAGCGCGACGCCATCACGATCTTCAAGGTGATCCAGCGCGCGTGCGGCGATCGCCCCACGTGTGTGCATGCCGTCGTGCCGCCGCCGCTGCAGGCTCCGAGCCAGACCATGTCCGCGCAGGAGTTCACCGAGCGTCACAAGAAGTTGGTGGGCAACAGCGGCGCGAAGGACAGCCCGCCGACGGTGCTCGAGGAGATACGATGGGCCCTGGACGTCGCCATCGTCAATAGTCCGCTGCGCGATGAGATCGTGAGTGAGCTCCTCCCGCAAGGCTGTGCAGTGCCGTTTGGAGCCAGAAGCAGCTCATCGTCCTGCTTTTGTCTTTTGTTTCGCCCAGTTCGTGCAGCTGATGAAACAGCTCACAGACAACCCAGATACAGAGTCCACCTTCCGCGGGTGGCAGTTCCTCTGCGTCCTGCTGTCTTCGGCATTTCCGCCGTCGCGTGATTTGCACTCGTACCTCGCATCCTGGATCGCGCAGCGGATCGACGCCCCGACGATCGGCCCCGTGGCCGAGTACTGTCTCGGGCGGCTGGAAGCCATCCAGAAGCGCGGGCCGAGGGGCAAGGCGCCGTCGCTGATCGAGATCCAGTGCGCGCTGGAGAACCCGTTCAATCCGGGCGTGTTTGGCATCGCGGTGGAGAAGGCGATGCAGATGCAGGAGCGGGCGTATCCGAACGCGCAGGTCCCCATCGTTCTGACATTCTTGACGGACGCAATGCTTGCGCTTGACGCGCTCAAGACGCGTGGCATCTTCCGCATCTCGGGCTCCCCGGACCAAGTCATCGAGCTGCGTGTACGCATCGAGCGTGGCCACTACAGCCTCAACGGCCTGCTCGGCCACGATAACTCGGATGTCACGGTCCCTGCGTCGGTGTTCAAGCTGTGGTTGCGCGAGCTGGAGGAGCCCCTGATTCCGCAGGCGATGTATAACGCGTGCGTCGACGCCGCCGCCGCGCAATCCTCAGAGAATTGCATCGAGCTTGTGGCGCAGCTGCCCATGCTCCATCGCCGCGTCGTGCTCTTTGTCATCTCGTTTTTGCAGATGTTTTGTCGCCCATCAGCGCTGCGTGCGACACAGTGTGAGTGCGAACGCATCTTGTTTGGAGAGTGTCACCGGCTTCAGGTTGACAGGGAACATCTCTCTCTCTCTTTCTTCGCTTCAGTGACCGTTGATTCGCTCTCGCTCATCTTTGCGCCCAACTTCTTCCGCATGGCCTCGGACCAGCTGCAGGTCGCCTGGCGCAACGCGTACTGGGAGCAGCAGTTCATCAAGATCCTGCTGGAGAACATGGACTGCGCCACCGTCGACCCGGAGTATGTGCCTAAGCACGGAGAGGGCCCCGAAGGAACGATGCAGCCCGGCGGCGGCATGTCCAACGGCCGACGCGGCAAGGGCAAAAGCAGTAATGGCCGTAGTGGGGCTGCTCCCGACTTCACGGCCGATTTGGGCATGATTCTGCCCAGCAGCGGCCTTTCGACCAACGGCTTTGGCATCGGCCTAGACGCCGGCGAATCTAGTCCTGAAGTTGCACCGCTCGCATTGCCGGCCGGCTTCCTGCCGCGCTCGACGCCGTTTGCCGCATTGGACAGTGGCAAGCAGACGCTGTACGCCAGCGAGAGCTCGGCGGACTTGTAGGCGGTTGCTTGCAGGGTCGCAACCATGTCGCGTTGCGCTCCTTTTTGCCTTCGACCATGGGCATTGTGCACTATATCATCTCCATCACCACCATCTTTGTCAGCAGCAGCAGCGAACATCCGAACCGACACGACATGTTCCTTTCGCCTCGCCCTGTTCCGCTCATTTCGTCACGTCAGCCTCCCGCCACAAATCGACGCGAGTCGAGCGGCGTCTCGCCAAAGAGCAAGATGAGGGTGACGGCGCTTATATGTAGCTCGTGCCGAGTGCTGGCGCACATCATCGATTCCTCCTCCATCTCAACGAGAAGCGTTTCTTTTATGTACGAGAGAGAAAGCGAGGACCGTGCTATCAGAGTTCTATCAATTTCGTTGCCCACCGGTAAATTACGTGTAGAGTAGAGGAGTACCCGATCCGACGAAACGCGAGTCGTCATTGCGCGATCAAAGAGGTGTTCGACGCACCCGTGGGATCTAGGATACATAGCTCGGCCCCAGGTCGCTTGCCAACGCGATTGCGTCTCGGGGAATGCAAACGCAAATAAAGGGTCAAAATGCATCTCTCTCCACAGTATGCAAAGGCGACCTGTAGCAGAGGCGTTTTCAGTCGGGCCTCGTGATGGGTTTCGCTGCTGTGGTGATTGCGCGGCGGATGGGGTATGCTGCGCATGACGACTGATCAGCGATGCGGACGTCTCGCGTGTTGGACATGGGGAACATGCAGCTCAGTGGTCGCCCTTGCACGTCGCCAGTCGCATGCGTCCGCCCGTTGAACGTGGGCGACGCGCCGATGATGATGATTTTCTTTTCGTTCGGTAGGTTAGTGGCCCTTTTTTGCTGTCATCGGCGCCTCTGTGCAATGCAATTGGCAGGTTCCTCCTACTCTACACGCTTGTCGTGAGCCCAGAAGCAAGCACTTTTGTCATTAATGAGGACGGTTATAGGGTGCGTCGACTGTTCGGATCCCTGTCCTGTTCCGCTCCAGTTCCCAGTCTGCACGCTACGTCACCTCGCCATTGCCTTGAACCAATGGGTTGCGGCCCCGCCTGGCTTATCGTGCGGGTGCCTCTGTGTGTGGTGTGGTGTGTTCAATTTTCATCATCAGCATCCTCGCATGATAGCCTGTCGTGCCTTTTCACCCTCGCTAGCGTGCTGAGTGAGATTCATGGGGCTCTAGTGGGCAGCTGGACAAAGAACAACAACACCTTCCCACGGCATGAGGGCAGCATTGCGAGGCAGCACGCAAGTATGATATGGGGTTTGTAGTGCATTTTCGCACGAGCCAGCCAGCTACCCAGTCAGATTGCTCCACACTCCGCTCTTGCTGCAGTGTTTTCTGTGACCTTGCCGATACAAAAAGCCGTGCCAGGCCAGTCTGTTGGGTGTGTACATACATTCGTTCCCACGCTCTCCTTCTTTTCGCCTGTGAATGTTGTTGTTGCGGGCGAACCCGTTTTGGACTTGCCCTTTCCTGGGCTTTTTGGGGTTGTTCGGGGGTTTCTTACTCGACTTGTGATGAGTGCTTCGATGCGACGGCTTGCACCTTTCGAATGGTGGCGTGCGGTGTTGGGTGTGGGTGAGTGCGACTGCCCCCCCCTGAGTGCGCAGTAGTGCGGCAGGCGAACGGAGAGTGGTGCGAACTCGCTCCGAGATGAGCCTGCTGGTGGCACAAGCGCAACATTACCCGCACTGTGTCGTGGGTGGATGGAGAATCGTCCGCCCGCCCTCTTTCTATTTGCCTGTTCTTGGATGGGTTTGAGTTACGATACGATACGAACGGCAACATTCGCGGTCGTGCTCACGTTGGTTGTTACATCCACCTGCATCAGCAAGACCAACAGCAACAGCAGCAACAGCTTGGGCTGTCCGGAGCATGTTGTGTGTATGCAGTGCATCACACACACTCACCCTCCCCGTAACGGCAACGCAACACTTTCGCTTTCGGTGCTTCTGACCTGACGACCATCCGACATAGCCTGCACGCCTCCACGCCTGTTGATCAGATTGAGCACGGCCCTCTCCTCTGTCTTGCCCGCCTTCTGTGGCCAGCCGGGTCCTTTTCACCTCGTCCAAACCGAATCCCCTCCAAAGCCCCGCCTTCTCGGTCTGCTGCTCCCTGGAGCGGCCGGCGCGTGCTCTCTGCCTCTCAGCTGAGTTCAGCCCACCACCTCCCCTGGGCCTTGGAAAGGGCAAAGAGCGAGAGCCAAAAGTCTCGACCGCGCGGGTCTGTAATCATCCACACGAGGTGGTTGCTGATTCATCAGCCGCTCGGCCAGACGCCAACGCCCCTCTGTACAAACAGATCCCAGATCCCACACCGCCAGTTCTCTGTGACGCAACGCAACGCATAACGATTGATCGGACGCACCTCATCTACACACATCTACACACGGCGACCGTAGCAACGCATTCTACCCGCCATCCGTCAGCGGAAACGACTGCCGGAAGATTAACACTCCACTACGCATCTTCCCTCCTGCCCCCCCTCTGGCATAGACCCACCCGCCACACGCTTTTCGCCGTTTCTTCCAAACGTAATTGCCACGCGGGATTGATTTCTACCGCGGTTCTGAGCTAGGCACATCTAGAGATCGACTCCAAAGCTCGGACCCAACGCGTCGTCTGCTACTTGTGAGGATTGTGAGGAGAGCAAACATCCGGCTGCATCCGTCCGTCGGCTGCTCTCAGCGTCTCTTTTCGCAGAGTGCAGAGAGGGAGATTGCGCGCGGCCAGTTTCTCTGACCTAGCTTTTTCACCCGTCACAGTGAAAAAACTTTGGATTTCCAAGACATAGGGGGTTGGTCGGTGAACGCGTCTATCACGGTTCTGTTCATCGTCCAGCCGCATCTTATTCCATCGGCCCAACCAGCGGCCATACGCCAGTGCACATCAAACCCAGCTGCGAGACACTGGGCAGAGCTGCCGCTTAATCTCGCTTCTTTCACCCCTTCCACTCCACTTAGCTGCCCGAGATCGCCATAGCACCATGGCCAGCACGCGCGGCTCCAGGTCGCCGCCCGGCAACAAGCGCAGCACCAAAGCTGTTCAGCGGCCGCAGCAGCAGGACGAGGGGCAGTCACAGCTAGCGGGTGTGAAAGCAGGAAAAGAAAGCATGCCCGCGGCTGACGCTGCACAGCCAGTGCAGTCCCCGCAGAGCCCTTCAATGAACGTAGCCGCAGCACCATCAGCAGCAGCGGAAGCACTGCAGGCCACCGCAGCACATGCATCTGCAACTGCGCCTACATCAAACGGCACCAGTACGCCGGTTGGTGCGGGCGGCGTCGCATTGCCTGTGACCAGCAGCGGGAGCGGCATTGGTGCGCCCCCGGCCGTTGAGGCGCGCGTCCCGGACCCAGAAGATCAAGGGTGGGTGGTTCTCCCACCACCGCCGCCGCCGCCATCTTTGGCATCAACAACCGCAACGGATGATGTGCCACCCGCAGCAGCAGCAGTAGTGTCGTTGACACCACCGGGCAGCAAGCGTGGTAGGGGGCGCAAGAAGGAGGAAATCGCGGCCACAGGAAGCAGCACCAGCCGGAATGATGGTTGCATGAGCGAGGCAGACGTAGCGGAGCGCGTGTTTGGTCTGCTCCTTGACAAGCTCAGAGCGTACCGCTACAAATCCGAAGAATCGGGCAGTCTGTGGAAGCAGATCAGCTCTGTCCTGGAGTTTTGCCCGGATCGCCAGGCGGATCCAGAGTATTACCAAAAGGTGAGGAGGGACGACAAAGTGCATGCGCTCTTTTGTTGCGCGGCGGGTGGCTGACCTGGTGGCCGTTTTTTCTTCTCACAGATCGAGCGACCGATATCGTTGTCGAGCATCGAGACGCGCGTCAAAGCGCGCGAATACGCCGACGGCGCGGCGTTCGAGCAAGACATGATGCAGCTATTTGAAAATGTTCGCTCCCTCTTCGACGCTCGTACGGACATCTACGGCGAGATGCTCGTGTTGCAGCGCTTCTACCAGGAGCTCGTCACGTGGCGCAAAGGCTCCAACCTGGCCGAAGTCGAGGCGCACATCGATGCCGTCGCTAGCGCCGGCATGGACGACCGTACTTTCTTCTGCACCGTCCCAGTCGGCCCCGGCTACGCGACGCAGCCCCCACCCGGGTTCGGCGAGGGCATGGGCGCCGAGCTGCTGCCGTCGACGACGGCGCAGGCGGTGCTGGCGTCGCGCATCAGCGCGCGCGACAAGGTCCTCTACGAGCACGCCGTCTTCAAGGGTCACACATTCCGCGCCGGGGACTGGGTCCACATGATCAATCCCTCAGAACCGGCCAAGCCGATCATCGGTCAGGTCTTCAAGGCGTTCCAGCGCCACGACCAGCCGGGGCAGTACCATCTGACTGTCTGCTGGTATTACCGCCCCGAGGACACGGTGCACCCGCCGTCACGCCAGTTCTTTGAGAATGAGGTGTTCAAGACGGGGATCATGGTGGACCACAGGATCCAGGATGTGCTCGAGAAGACGTGCGTCATGTTCTATACGCGCTACATCCGCGGGCGGCCCGTACCGGAGCCTCGGCCACGGAGCGACAAGAGCAGCGGCGCCAGCCGCAGCAGCACCGAGCCGTACGTGACGGAGAGCAGGTATAACGAGCAGCAGCGCATATTCAACAAGATCAAGAGCTGGAACAGCTGCGTGCCCGAGGAGGTGCGCAAGACCGAGATGCCCATGGTTCTGTTCGACAAGCCCATGCCCGCGCCACCGCGCTTCGACTCGCCCTTCCTCGCCTCGTCCAGAAAGCCTGGCGTGCCGCCTGCCAAAGGGCCCGGCTTGCTTTGCCGCGAGGAGGATGTAAAGAAACCCGGCGCCGTCGCCGCCGGCGGCGGCAACGGCGAGCACGAGTTCCCGGACTTGTTCAAGGTTGCCAGCGGGCATGGCGCCGCTGCTGGCGCCGCTGCTTCGGGCGAGGAGAACGGCGACTCGACCAGCCGCAAGCGCAAGCGCGAACGAGAGCGTGAGCGCCGCGAAGCGAAGCGCGCTAGGGAGCTGCAGATGCAGCAGCAGCAGATGCAGATGCCGCACCTCAGTAGCGGCGGTATGGACGTTGTGCACGGGCTTCAAGCGCAGCAGCAGCAGCTGCACCATGCCGACACGCCGGCGGCGCATGCGAAGATTTACCGCGACCTCGCCGGCCAGCTGGCGCATCGCATCGGCCCGCAAGCTGCCGGGCACGTTGAGGCGCTACTGACCGGCCCGCAGGGTATGGGCATCGACCTGCGCCAGCTTGCGCACTCGCTCGGCCCTTCGGCCGACGTGCAGCTTCTCGCGCATCTTCGCGACGCTGCAAGTCGCGCCGGACTCATCAACAGCGCCGCTTCACTTCCGGGTCATCCCCACGTGCACGTGCACGGCCATCCGCCATCCGCCACCGGCACCCTCGGCGTCTCGGGTCTGTCGGCGTCAGACGTTTATGCAGCAGCTGCAGCTCCGGCCATGCCAAGCAACAGTGCAGGACCCGGTGCCGTTGCCGTCGACGGGCTCGGACTCGATGCCAGCGTCATGTCAGCCATGCACGGCTCGGAAGCGTTTTTCGATAGCATCTCCGTCGAGGCGCGCGCGCTCTTCGCGCGCGATCCCGTCACGGACCAGCCGCTGTGGTTCGCCGGCGCGCCGCTCGACGTCGGCGTCAATGCTGCCGCGGCGGTACCCGTCGACCAGCTTCTGCGCTCACCGACGCCGAGCCTCGAGTACGTCTACCACCACGCCATACGCGAGTCGGCGGCGACCAGCAGCCAGGGCAATGCTAGCTCGCCGCTCACACCCAGCTCGCTGTCCGAAAGCGGCGAGTGGGGCGACGACGCGTACGGCATACGCTTTGCTTCGTTCAGCGGTAGCGGTGGCACTGGCAGCATGCTCCCTCTCTCACCGGCCACGACGGCGTTCTCACTGCACGAAGGCGACGCGAGCGCGGCGTTTAGCACGCCAGATGATGTTGATCAGCTGTTGAAGTACGCCGACGCCCACGTCGCGGCCGACGGCCCGTCGATTCATGTCCAGCACGCGCTCAAGGGGCTCAGCCACAAGCAGCAGCAGCACCACCAACATCACGCGTTCACGGCGGCGGCGCTGACGCCTGGTGCGCCATCGGAGCACGAGCACGCGTTCGGCACGCCGGATCTGTTCCAGTCTGATTTCTCCAAGATTTATGACGGGGCACATTACACTCCTCTCTCCGCTTTTCTCGGCGTTGAGGATTGATGGATGGATTGGAATCGAAGGCGCCTTTTGTTGATCTGAAAGTAGCACTTCGTCACTCGCGCAACATTATAGATGCAAGTTTCCACCGTCCTACCTGTTCTTGTCGCGACTCGTCCATCCATCCATTCCAGCCTTTACACGGCAAACTCGTACGACAGCGCATCGCAACGTATTTCCCCCTTTCCCCCTTTCGGACAGTCCACGCGCGCGTCATTACGCGGCGAGCTTGCTGTTTCAGCGCGCCGTCTCTCTGGCTCTGCGCCTTTCTGTCAAGCGAGGAGATGTGCACTGAACGCAAAGAGCGGCCAGACGCAGGCGCAGGCTGAAGCAGCGGATCGCGGAGCTCAACAAATAATATCTTTCCGTCCCCCTTTCATTCTCATGTCTTTTAATGGTCCGGGTCCGCTGCGACGCTCACGTTCACCTCCACCAACGTCCAGACCCTGCTGAGCGCATGTCCAGTATGGAGCACGGAAGAGAAATGCAACCCTTTAGCCTACTTAGTACTTGTACGAAATCTGATAGCATGCGTATGGAAGAACCCAAATGGTAGCGAGCGGACACGCCTGGGTGCATAAAAGGAATTCATTTGAAGCTCTAAAAGAAATCTTTTGATGGGCTCCATATAATTGGATTCCGTGATGCTAGTGATATGATGGGGGACGGGTGAGGGAGACGTGCAAAGCGCCCGCGACCCTCCCGTGCCTGACGGAAAAAAGGCCAATGTGTGTTGCATTGTACGTGTTTGCGTTCAGGGTCATTCGGCGGGTCGATGCAAAGGGCAATTCGATATCGATGTCAGAAACATCATCGTCCGTGATGTGTGAGATGTGAATGTGTCTTTGCGAGACAGCTTGTATGCGTATTTGGTGTCACAGTATGCTGCAGGGGAGAGACGTGTATGTGGTTTCCGGGAAGTCTGTTTTGCAGAGTGTCGTCGTATGAGGCTGGAAGGTCGCATTAGCGCTCCAAGCTCCAGCTCGAGAGTACTCGAGAGACCTCAGCCTGAAGAAATCCAACAAGTGTTGTGTGTCAGCCTACTTGTGTGATTCCTGGTTGTTTCGTTGGGAAGTACTCACCATCGTGTCGGAAGCTGGAATGCCCACTCCAGTTGACGCTGGGGGCAGTCGGGAGATGGATTGCTGTGCCCCGTGGCCATACTGATGAGGATTGTTTCCGCCGTGCGCGCCTCCAAAGGTAATCATCTGAGCACCGTACGGGCGCAGCACAGATGCCGCTTGCGCTTGTTGCGCCGTCAACGCTCCAATGTCCAGTGACTGCGCACGGTTGCTAAAGGTGCGAGGCTTGCGGAGCGACGCGATTCGGTCCTCATACATCTGTGCGCCTTCGCTGCCCTGCTTTGGCCAGCCAAAGTGCGAAGCGTCCGAGGCGCGCACCTGGTTGAAACTGGCGCTAGAAGGGACCCTGCGGTGGGCCATCTCGGCGTTGCTGAAAGGATGGTGGTGGGGGAATTGCACGCCGTTCGATCCGACGGCAGTATTCGGCGTAGGTGCGATCGACTGCGACGTCTACAAAAATGGGTGGTGCTTAGAACTATGCCTCGATAGCTGATATGCGCAGAAAGACTCACCATAGGTGTCGGAGGACCCCAAACCTCACTGCCGAACCCGGTGACCCGGTCAAGGTACGGCGACGGATGAGCAGAAGAGCTGCTGAAAGCGGGCCTTTGAATCTGCTGACTTGAGCTGTGCACGTGGTGTGTTGGCCGCGGATCATCGAAGAGCGCCTTGACGTCGGGTGTGGAAGCGGCAGCCCGCAAGCGCCGCTCATGGTTGCGAGCCGCCTCCTGGAAGGACTCGACAGACTCAGCGGCAGCTGGCGCAATGAGCTTGGTAGCAAAATGCGGAAGGGAAGATGCGAACGAGTCGGAGCGTGCCCGTGACTCGAGCGCAGTGGCATAGACCGAGACCTGGTAAGGCATCGCATGTCAGCTACCAACGTACACAATCGTCCACTCGGGTCGACTCACATTGCGGCTGATTAAAAAGTCCTCAAGAAGATCTCTCGCCGCCGGCAGGTAGTCGCAGTTTGACCGGTTCAAACGCAGCTTGAAAATGCCCTCTTCACTGCCTGGGCGGGGTGCCACAGGGACGATGCGAATGTTAAGCTCCTGCCTGATGTGCTCCAGCAAGACAGAGAACTCTGGCGAGCTGATAACTGGCGCCAAGTTGTGTGACGACGGAGTGCGGAATTCGGCCTCGAATGGGACGTGCTCTAGTAGCATCTGCGCCGCGATGTGCAGCTGCGATTCGGGTCCGAAGATGGATACAAGGTCCGATGCGGTTTCGCACGGCGGGAAGCGGATGGCAGTGCTTGTCTTGCTCTCAATGTCGCGCAAGAAAACGCCCTTCTCCCCCAAAAGTGTGCGATGGTAACGACGTGCGATCGGGATCGTCTCGAGCGTGTAGTCTTTGTCTTTGGGGCTGACCATCTCCATGACTGATTGCTTGAGGTGCTCCAGATTGATTGCGTTCTTCGCTGGCGTCCTCGCGACGACATTGTCCTCGTTGTCAAAGTAGCCGCCCAGTGCCGCAAATTCTTCAGCGTTCGAGAATTTGACATAGACGCCGTACTTTTTCATAATGCGCTGGATGTTCTTGCCGCCGACACCAATAATGCGTTTGTGGTACGCCTCTGGAACGTGGAAGGAGATTTCTGCAGGCAGCTCCTCCTGCAAGAAGCTGAGCCCTTGCAGTGCGCTCGTGCGGTCGTTGCCAGACACGTCGATGAGGAAGTTGTACTCGTTGAAGGTCTCGAACTTGATCCTAGCATTACACTGCTTCATGATCTTGTTGATCTTACCGTTTTTCTTGCCGCTGATAAAATCACGGTGCTCGCTGGCAAGCTCGATCTGGAAGCGCACCTCAAAGTTGAACGGCTTGACGAGGTCCAGGTCAAGCAGCTGTGCAACGGCGGATCGGACTTCGCCCTCCAAGCCGTGCACCTCGAAGCAGTTTGACTTGAAGACTAGCTCGGCACCAGAGGTGGTGCTGATATGCTTGAGTGCAGGAGTCACCTGCGCCACATTGAGCATCTGCTGAGCCATGAAGACGTCAAAGCCTGTTGGGATCAGCCAGATGGAAGCGACGTAGTACTGCGAAACGAGGGCCATGACGGAGCGGATGGTGCGCTCGATGGATACGCGATTGTCCCCAAAGACGGTGATCAAGCTTGACTGCATGCCCAAGGGCGGGAAACTGATGAACGTGCCGTTGTCCGTTACGATCGTCTTTAGTTCGTCCATCCTCTCCGTGAGCAGCCAGTCAAGCTTGCGCGGCAGAATGGCCGTGTCGCGCGAGATGATGCACTTGCTCTTGTGCAGCGAGACTTGGAAGAGCATGTCGCGCGCACGCTGCACGCTAAAGTACTCTCCGGTGATGTACACCGTGTTTTGTTGCGCGAGCAGATCACCATTCGCCGACGGTCCGAGAACGCCCGAGAAACAGGACGGGAAGTAGATGTTGGCGGCCGTCTCTTCCTGGATGGTCTGGATCACGCAACGCTTTCTCCCGCCAATGATATTGTGAAGCTTGTAGTCCAGCTCGCATGCTTCAGAGTGTAGGCCGTTCTAAACATAGTACGATTAGAGTCAGCTGTGTCCTCTTTTAAGTATTTGCAACCCATGCGTGTACTCACGAGCTCGTCGAGGAAAACCAAAAGCCGCACCCGCGCCAATTCAATGCTCTCCACTGAGCCAGTGATCACTAGCTCAACGTTCCTCTCCGTCTCTAGACCGTATCCCAACTCGACACCTCGGCTCTCATGGCTTACGATGGCGATATGCGCGTGCGTCAGAGCGGCAATTTCATCCAGCCGCTTGCGCACCTCCGGCTTGAGCACTTCGATCGTACCCCCGCTCGCAGCACCATTGCTTGCGTCAGCGCCGTTAGATTTGGATGGCCCACCTGGAAGGGTCGCTGCGGCGGATACCGTGTCAAGAAGCTCCGCCATGGGGACCTTGGCGCGCGATTGCGTCTGGAATGGATGGTCGCGCAGCACCGCACCGCGTGCAGCCATGACCTGTTGGTAGCCACCAGAGAGAAAGAAGCAGTACTTCGGCGCGACGGCAGCGGCAGCTCCTGAGGCTTGAGCACCAGCTGCATTTTGGGCATTGCCATTGCCATTACCGACGTTGCCAGATGCTGCAGCGCCAGTTCCAGTTGCTGCTGCAGGGCTGTAACCAAAGACGCCATTCTGGTACGTATTACCGCCAAAAGAAGGTGACTGTCCAGTCAAGGACGAGGCAAGAGAGAGGTTGCTGGCGCTGCCCGGCCCGGAAAGCGTGAGCCCAAACCCGCTGGGGAAGGGACTGCCTCGCGGAGCGGAGGCGGAGGCGCCGCCTACGGGGCCGATGCTGGCGCTGCTAGAGCCGAGCTTCGCATCGCTCAGCATGATTGGCTGGATCTGATGGTGCTGGTACGGGTAGCCCGCGCTGGGTCTGGAGCTGGAGCCGCCGGAACCCATGCTCGGGTGCGGAAGGGGCGCAGAGCCTTGCGAAGGGGTCGTGGAAGAGGGGAAAGGGAGGAGAGAGGGCATGGATGCTGATAAGACCGAAGAGGAAGAGAGATGGTTTTTATGACTCGGCGTGTAGAGCGAGCCGGATGTCGACACTATCGCTGGGCTGCTGCCTTGCACGTTTGCTTGAGGCTCGGGCTGCACATCAGTGACGGACACGAGACATTGATGGGTGCTCATGACATCGCTAGCCAGGCGGAAAATCGAATCTTCAAGATCTGACGGACCGCTTTTGTTTGCCCCTGCCCAAGTTCCTACCGCCGCTGTTGCTGCTGATGAAGAGAACCCAGGTCCGCCTGGCACGGACAGCGAATTAGCTGCCGAGTGAGAAACGCTGGTCGGCTCAGAGCTGTAGTGCCTTCGGCTCCTGCTTCCACCGACGCTACCAGCGCCAGAGCCGAATTGGCCAAAGTTAGTGACGCTGTCGGTGGAAAAGGATGTGGAGGAAGAGGTCTGGTCGAACGACAGGCGGCCGCCAGTGCCGACAGTCGAGCGACTGTCCCGGTTGTTGTAGCCCGAAACGGCACCGGCACCGGGAACCCGGCTGAAGGCTGGGCCACCGGGTGGAGATGAGTCGCGCAGAGAGGAAGCGCCACCCACTGCCTTATCGAGTCCAGGTGGGGCCGAAGACCGATCGACCCTTTCGTCTTCACCGGATGCTCCGGACATCAGGTGCGCCGCTGAGAAGGGAGACGGCGCTGCTTCGCCGTTGGCAGGTGCGGGTGGCTTGCTGTTGCCCTCTGCTGCAGCCGCCTGCTCCTGCGCAGGAGCAGCTGCAGTGGCATTTTGCTCGCATTCGCCCTCGCCTTCAGCAGACCGCTCGCCAGCCGAAGTGACGCCCTCGAGGATCCGGTCGTTCGTGCGCTTGCTCCCGCCGAACGCGCTCGGCATAAAAGCCTTGACGCTCGGCGGGAACCTAGAACGCATGGAACTGAAGCCGTTGCCGAGGGCGCTAGTTGCGCGGTTGCCTGATGTGGATGCAGCAGAATCCTTGCGAGGCTGTTGCTGTCTTGAGGCCGATGATGGAGGCTGCTGGTGGCCCTGCTGCTGCGCACGTGCAGCTGAAGATTTATCGTCCTCAGCGCCAGCTGCTGTTGCGGGCATGTTGGCAGGCTCTTGGCTTTGAGCGTGCGACCCGACAAGTTCTCGTGCAGCGTTCAATGAAGGGTGATTCAGCTGTTGCAGGTCGAAGCCCATCCCCATCGCAGCAGCAACAGATGTCGTCGGCGTCGGCGCCGCTGACATCTGCTGAGATGCATGCCCATCACCTACTGTCGAGGCGGAGCCAGGCCCGGGCAGGGTAATGTTTGAGCTACCATCTATGGGGACGTCAAACGGCCCACCGGCCTTGGGGAATGTGAAAGCTAGGCAGTAGACATCCATCTTGAGAGGAAGCAAGCTGTGCGTAGCGTGTGTATGTGACTTTGAGCCGTCTCTCTTCACTTAGCTCTTCCTTCTTTTCCTCTCGACCCCCGTCTCCTTTTCGAGCGACGATTGTCGAACCGATGCAGGGTATCTTCTTTGGCTTCTGGTATGACACTCCTACTTGCATTGGCAGAGAGTGTGTTAGCCAACGTGGACAAAGCTGCTGCACAGCGGCGCGTTTACTCGTCGAGACTGCTCGCGCTGAGGAAGACGACGACTGTGCAGATGGCTTTTGTGGGTCCTGAAAGCGAAGAATTTCGCAAAGAGCCAGCTGCGAGCCACGTCGATGCCCATTCGCAGTGCTGATTGGGCTATGTGGTGCAGCTCTCGATAGCAGACTGATGTCGGATGGAAAGAGGGAGCGAGGAATGATAGGTGGCAGGGAACGACAGGCTGCAACCTTGTTGTTGCTCGTCGGGTCTGGGTGACACCGCTGCTCAGGCAGTGCAGATCCCCGCGGCACGAAAGAGAGTGCTGCCTCGTCTTCGCGGTGCTCCCTTGCGTCGCTTCTTCTTTCGAGTAGCGATGCCTTTGCTGAAACCAAATATGATCCTTGCGAACAATGCATTCAATGCTGGGAAGAAATTAGAGTATAGTCTGATGTTCTTCAATACAGGGTGAAAATCAAAAGCCTGCGTGTGGTAGGTAGGTTTCATCGATGACGCTCATCTCCCGTCGGCTGGGCTGGGCGGTGCCCGGCGCCACTCTCGTTCCGAGCCCTCATCTCCTCCCCAACGTCGTCGTCTCCTTTCTACTCTGCGCCGACGACTCGGACGGCCCTCCATCTCAGCCGGCGCGATCTCGCATTCTGGCTACCTCTCTTGTCTGCATCCAGGTCACACCCCGGACAAGGCCACGGTTCGTTGGGCGTGTGACCGCCTCCAGGCTGGTGGTCTCCATCTGAAGCCCTTCACGCTCTCGCTCTCGCAGCCTGACGAAGCTATCTGCCGGGAGCGAGGGAGCCAGCCAGCCCCTCGAAAATTCTGCCGCGCTGCACGGCCCGGGCGGGATCTTCACCTGCGAAGGGGGTTGTCCGGGCCAGAGGGCGGAACCAAATTTTCAGATTCGCGCACACACTCTCACCGGCCCACTGACTCACTCTCCGCAGCCCGCAAAAACCAGCACAGCCGCACACTCCACCTTTTCGGCAGCCGAAGCCAGGCGCGACTTGACGTCGCCCGCGTCTTTGCTCCCACTTGTTCACGCTCCAAGCGCATCAGAATAGCCAATGACAGAGGCGCGAACGGCAAGCCATCACAGCAGGCGTGGCGGCGGCACAGCCGTACAAATAATTGCAACTGGTCTTTCAACGATGCTGGAGCTTCTTGCGAATCCAGGCACTTCTCAATAGGGTTGAGCAAGCGTGGGTGATGAGGCATGGCCACACGCAAAGTGTGCACAACAGCTCATCTGCGCGGTGCATGAAGCTACAACTGCAGGTTGGCTTCCCATTTTCCAGCTATTCTATTCTTTATCGAATGCAGGCGAGCGGTTCTTCGTGAATACTTCGCAGCTCCGGGCCGCTCTGAAGTTTGAATGTGCTTGACGATGGCGGGGGCCGCACCAGCACTTGCAAGCACGCCTGTCCCATCTGGCCCGCATGCTTCATCCTACTTTCTCACTCAAAAGACATGCATGTATATGGCCAAGCATGTTCTGCACTGCTCACATCACTTCGCGGCAGACGCGCAAAAATGCCCTGGGCGATTGAAGGGGGGTAGCAGAGGCTGCTGACCGAGTTGTCAAAGGGAGCGGAACTTATCACCGACAGCCAAACCTCGGCTGCGAAATAGCATTTGCACCGACTGAAAGCCGCCGAAATGCATGGCCCCATGATAGGCTTTGGAGTAACAGGCTCACCTTGCGGACCTCGCCACATTGGCAGCCAGCGACAGAGGCCAGAGCCCGTGACTTGTACCCATCCTGCCTACTGAACTGATTGTCCATTGGTCCTGGCTGTCAGGCATCCCGGTCACCTCTCCAGCATCGCAGCATCCGTGATGAATGTGCACACCTTATAGCATTCTCTCACACATTTCTTGATCTGCCCGCGTTGTGATTGACCAATGACAGGACCAAGGCATCCTGTCCAGCCAAATGCACATGAGAAAGCGAAATGACAATGACCGACGAGAGAGGGCGAGAGCGGAGATTGAGATCGCCGCGCAGGAGGATGAGTCTGTCTCGAGTGAGAGTCAGACCTGCGGCAGGCACAGCGGCGCACTCTCTTCCACCGCCCATGCGCGCCCGCGTTCATGTGCATATCTTACGTGCGGCTCTGCGCCAGTCTCTGCTAGGCTCTTTCTCTCTCTCTCTCAGTCACGTTCCGTGCTACACATTCAAGCAGGGAATACACACGCAGAAGCCATAGTGATGGTGTTCGGCGGAGAGAAACAAGTGCTGTTGCAGCTTCACCACATACTGCCCGCTCGAGGTCGAGGCCAGGCCAGGCCAGACCAGACCAATCCACTTCTGCGTCTGCTCACCTGTAACAAACAAGCGGCCATCGCCGTCATCCTCGGGGCCGCGCGAAACGTGGACCAGGAGGGGGGCATCCGTTGCTTTGGACCCTCGATCGCTTTGCAGATTCGTGTGTCGGCCCTTGTCCATCGGCATATAGCCAGTAAGCGGCGCTCCGTCGATGCGTAGCTAACGCCAGCATCGCAGACAAGATGACAACAACTGCGAGGCGCGCCAGCGCGAGCATCAGCGAAAACTTCCCCGGCTCCACCTACGCCTTTGACGGCCCGCGGTCATCCAACAAGCTCGAGTCGACGTGGCCCGTCGCAGAGGGGAATTGGATGGACAACAGCGAGGAGGAGGCGGGCGAAGGGGACGAGACCGAAGATCGCGAGGATCCCATTTGCGGGGGGTGCGGCGAACCCATCTCCACAGACGCGGCCGATGAAGGGGTCATCCACTTTGCGTGAGTAGCGAACGGACCTCTACCAGGTAAGAAAGAATGTGCATTCATGCTGATCACGCGCGCTGCTGCAGAACACAATTCTGGCACAAGCGCTGCTTCAAGTGTGCTAATTGCGGCAACACGGTCACGACTGGTCGCGATGACATTCTGATCCTATCCGACGGGCATCCCGTTTGCGCGGCCTGCAGCTACTCGTGCCAAATCTGCGGCCTGTCGATCGTCGAGGAGGCCATCATGACCGGTGACGAGTCGTACCACGCCGCCTGCTTTACCTGCCGCTCGTGCCACAACCGCATCGAGGAGCTCGTCTTCGCCAAGACGTCACAGGGGATATATTGCATGCCGTGTCACAACCAGCGTGTTGCGCGCAGCAGGCGTCACGCAGAGAGCAAGCGCGCCAAAGCCACCAGGGACGCGCGCGACGGCGGCGCACGGCGCCCTGACTCGCAAGACGGGTCCGTGAATGGGCATGCCAACGGGCCATCCAGCTTGCAGGGGAGCTCCTTGGAGCCTTCGGGCGGACGACCAGCCAGCTCCTCCTCCTCGGCCGCCGGCCAAACGACCGGATGGCCGTCGCTCGCACATGCAACCTCTGATGACGGGACCACCACATCTGCCTCGAGCCACCATCACGCCGCCGCCGTAAATGATACGAGCCCTTTTGGCCATTCGCACACCAGCTCCAGCTCGACCGCCAGCCCCCCTGGGCAACAGCCGGGCGGCAGCGGCGGCGGCGCTTCTGCCAAGCAGCTCCATTCAAAGCCGGTCAACGGCAGCGCCGAGGCGAGCGAAAAGCCGCTGCCCACGCCTGGCTCCTACGGGCTGGCAGCAGCGGCAGGAGGGCCAAAGTCACCGATGGCGCCCGGCCGCAACAGCCCGTCGCTTGCGTCCCAGACCCAAACTGGGCTCCAGCATCAGCAGCAGAGAACCTATCAGCAACACGTCGCGAGCAACCCCTCCGACAGCAGCAACGGCCTGCCACGCCGACCCGTCGATCACAGCATGCTCACTACCTCATCGGCCGCATCGACCAGTTCGCAGGCAAGCGGGACGGTCGCCTCGCACAATACGTCTCCCAAGAGCACGCGCGTCGACTCGCGCACGACCGACGTCAGTGACACATTATACAGCAGCATCAGCAGTAGTATTAGTAGCAGTCAGGGCTTCCACACCTCGTTGGATGTGCGCAAAGACTCCGGCGCCTCCTCGCAGCACGGGCAGGGGCAGGACATCGCGATCACGGACTCTAACCCCACATCGGGGGCAGCCAGGCGCAAGCGCTCATTGTCGAGCGCTGCGATATCGCGGCAAACGGTATTGCGCAGGCCGCCGAACCTTGATACGACTTTTCAACGCGAGGTGGAGCAGCCGCCGCATAGCGCGCCACAGGTGATTGTCCAGGAGGCCGAGAGCGCCGGTTCGTCTTCGACGACGGCAACGCCGCGGCGGTCGGAGTATTCAACCGCAAGAGTCCCGCCCGACTTCCAAGCGAACAGCCATGAGGGCCGCTTCGCGGCGGAGCAAGACCTACGCATGCTTGACTCTCCAACAGTCGAGACGCCCTCGGCGCAGGTCAAGCGCGCCTCGTACGTGTCGAAAGCGGCCATGCAGCGCGCATCACAACAGCTCTCTCTCTCTAACCCGGGCAGCCGGCATCCGGACTCGACGGCGTCGCCCAGCTCGGACACCCGACACTCGAAGCGTTTCTCGTTCTACGACCCGGATCTCATCAGCCTGATGGACTCGTTCAGCCGCTTCAACTCAAACGACGACTTTCAGCTGAACCAGCCGGGCTTTGCCGAGCGCCGCAAGTCCCCCAGCGCGGCAAGGTCGCCGAAGGGCACGCTCGCCTCACCACGGCGCCGGCGGATCGCGACCGACTCAGGGGACGAAATGTTTTCCAAGATAGGCGCTGACGACGACGGCGCAGGCCCAGGCGAGGAGCGCGGGGACATAGGCGAAGACCCCGAAGGCCCGGTCCTGTCGCGCAACTCTTCCATGTCGATCAAAGATATCTCGGCCAAGGTGCGCGAGTCAATGCGCTACGCCAAGGACGGGCACGTGAGCATGGACATGAGCTTTGTCGAGGTGATCCTCAGCGACCTTGATGACACGCGTAAGAACCTGCGGAAGCTGCAGAAGCGCTACGACAAAATGCGGCGCGCGAGCCGGCAGGCCGCGCAGGGCTTCTCGCTTGCGAAGGAGGAGTTTGAGCAGGAGGTCAATGCGCGCTACGATGCCGAGATGGAGATGCAGGCGCTCAAAAAGCAGATCGTAGAACAGGCCAGCAAGCTAAAGGACATGGCCAGCGAGCAGCAGGAGCAGGAGAAGCTCAGCAAAAAGTCGCTCGAGATCCGCAGCTCCATCCGCGGCATCCAGAGGGACCTCGCCAAGCTCTCTGCCGAGCGCGAGCTAAAAGCGTCCGAGCTGGCGGAGCTGCTCGCTGCACAGACCGAGGCGCGCGCGCCAGCGCAGGCCCAGGCGGACCGCAAAGAGCTGCCGCTGCCAGCGGAGAAGACGGAGGAGGCGCTGCCGAACATTACGCGCAACCTCAGCATCCGCCTGGACGGCGTCAAGGAAAAGTACCGCAAGCAGATCGACGAGCTCGTGACGGGGCGTGATGCGATGCTTATTGAGATTGAGGAGCTCAAGCAGTCGCGCGACGCGCTCGCCGAAGAGACGCAGGCACTCACCAGCCGCAACGAGGAGCTGAGCGAGACGCTGACGCAACTCACACGCGCCATTGAGTCAGCCAGCAGGCACCTCGAGCGCCTGGACAAGGCTGGCGCGCCGCAAGCGCGGACGCCGAACGCACTCGGCTTTGGCTTCAAGGGCAAACCCGGCATCTACGGCTCGCCAGCGGGGTCCCCAAGCACGGAGGGCTTTGGACCGTCGGCGTCGCAGACCGCCATAAATGAGACGTACGCCGAGGACCAGCTCGGCCTGCCACGTCAGCAGAGCTTCCCGCGCATTGAGCCTGCGCCGAAACACAACAACAAGTTCAAGTGGATGAAGGGCTCTGCTCGCACCACTGGGCACACCATCGTGGCTGCGTCACCAATGGGCCCTCCCGTGGGGATGGTCAACTCGCCTCCGGTACCCCCCAAACATCAACCGAATTCATCACAGTCTGGTATTGCTGTCGCGGCGCCGCCTTTGGCACGCAACGCAACGAACGACATTCTCATACGCGAGCATGTCTTGCAGCCGTTCCACATTATGCGCCCTGTGCGTTGTTTCGCATGCCAGAAGAACATGTGGGGCCAGTCGGAGATGCGATGCGCGCTCTGCGGGCAGGCGTGCCACTCAAGGTGCGTTGGTAACCTGCCCAGCTCGTGCGAGCACGGCCTTGGCCGTGCGGATGAGATGGACGGGCCTACCGTACCTATGTTCGGGTCGGATCTGATGGAGCAGGTAGCGATGGAGGGGAGAGAGGTTCCGCTTGTGGTAGAAAAATGTGTTGAGGCCGTCGAACATGCGGGTGAGTCTTTCTTGCGGCAGGGCCTAGCATCCTTGTTTGCTCATCGTGATATTTGCCAACAGGCATGGACTACGAAGGCATCTACCGCAAATCTGGCGGGACATCACAGCTGAAGCTGATCACGCAGCTCTTCGAGCGCAGACAGCCGTTTGATCTCGACGACCAAAGCCGTTTCAATGACATTTCGGCTGTCACCAGCGTACTCAAGAACTACTTCCGCGAGCTGCCCGTCCCGTTGTTGACATATGAGTTGCATGAGCAGTTCGTCGAAGCGGTGCAATTGAAGAGCGATCCGGTGCAGAGGGATGCGAAGATGCGCGATTTGCTCGGGCAGCTTCCGCGGCCCCACTATGCGACGTTCAAGTGCCTCATGCGCCATCTGCACCGCGTGCAGCTGCGCAGCGAAGAGAACCGTATGAACGCTCGCAACCTGGGCGTCGTCTTTGGGCGTGAGTTTCAGTAATGAAGTTGGCAGACGTCAGATACTGACGCCTTTTTTTCCTGCCACAGCAACTCTCATGCGATCTGGCGACCCTTCCCAAGAGTTTGCACACATGGGGGGCAAGGCTATGACCATTGAATGTGAGCAGACAGCGTCGTGCATATTCCCGTATCAGTTGCTGACCTGTCTGTTTGCGCTGCAGACTACATTGAGCATCCTGAGCTCTTTGATTGACCGTACATAAGATACCCGTCGCTCTCACCCTCTCGTCTATGTACCACTATACCACCGTATGCGAGACGCGTGCAAAGTTACGGAAGTCGCTCAGCGGCCGGCGCGTCTGCTACCCATTGAAATGCTTGTGACTGAAAGGCCTCTGTCATGGGCTTCGGAGCGTCTGGAATAGGGTAACATTTCAGGCGCGGTACTGCCAATTGCGATTGCTCGTCAGCCGATGAAGTGTGAGGTGAGCCAACAGCGCTGGCATGCTCACGCAATCTTGCAATGGAGGGCGCTTCCGCTGCCAAGTGCGAGTCGGTCGCGCTGTTGAAACGTTGAGATCAGCGTTGCATGCATGATTGCAGGTCCGTCCGCCTTACCTCATATCATAGAGCTGGTGGTCATTGCCGATCAGGATGACATTATGCGATGTGTCTCGAAGGCTGTTCAGGCTCCACAGCTTTTCATACAAGGTGCGTTCGCAATGCGGCATGAAAAAGACCGTAGACTGCGATGCGACGAGGCGGTCATCCTGCGAAGATGACAGTGTCAGCTTCCTGACAGCATACCTCTCGAGAGGCTAATGCCTTGACGCGCACCTCTTCAGCGTCTTTGCATGAGAGGACGGAGTAATTAGAGAGCACAGCCCAATCATCTTCATCAAAAATCGGGTCAAAAGCGACAGTGGGCACCTGGTCTCCGGAGGTGCCACTCGTCTCTACCAAGACCTCGCGCAGCAACAGCAAGAATGCTAGCTGAAGCTGTGCAGCACGGCTGTCCCTGACTGGGCCCAGTCCCAAGCAGACAATCTTTTGAATATTGAGGCGTTCATGCGGGATGAAGGAGCGAACATGGGAAAGGCAGTCTGTAGCGATTGCCATTTGGATACTGGGCAGTCAGTGTGTTTGCCATGAGCCATGCACGGCATTGGTCTGTTCAGCAGCTAGCAGTGCACGTACCCCTCAGTTCTTCTCCATATTTTCCAGTCTGCAGCAAAGCACGTTTTCCCTCGACAATCGAGCAGATCCGAGCTAGCTTCGCCTCGGGTTTCAACTCGTCCACCTTGCCTTTCCTTCTGCGGCGGGGTTTCTTCTGCACGGTGACATAGCTGAAGCCTAGTCGGCCATCGTCACCTTCGACGCCGTCTTTATCGGCTCGCATGAGCGCGTCCAGACATCGCCTTTCTCCGTCGGCGAATGATGATATGCGCTTCAGACAACAGAGGGTTCCTTGCGCACAACGCAATGTCTCATGGATTGGCAAGCGAAGAAGATGTCGGGTTATCAGTGAAGCATACTTGCGAAGCTGGTCATCTGGCGAATGGCTTACGTAACGGAGTACCAAAAAAGATCTCTCGGCAGGCGCTCCTCTGTTGCCTCTTTGTGTCACGAGAGAGCAGTATATATATGCCTCACTCACATAACTGAACCTTCAATGCTCGTTAACCTCCATCTAAGACGCGGCATAGACAAAGGACCAAGTCGTATGGAGGTGTCATCATTGGTCATGGACGCTCAGCAGCCAGCTCCCGAGCTTGCAGATACCCTGCAGCAATTTTACCGCGCGCACAACCAGCATACGTTCTCCGTACAATTGGAATTCGTCAGCTCCCTCGCCAATCCATCCTACATTCTATTTCTCTCGCAGAACGGCTACTTGCAGGACAGTCGCTTTCTAAGGTACCTTCAGAACCTATACGTAACATGGCGAAAGCCCGAATATGCTCGCTTTGTGCGGTATCCATATGGACTGTACTTTCTGGAAGCACTGCAGAAGCCCGAGTTCAGAGCGGCAGTCGCGGTTGAAGGGTGGGAGGCGCGAGCCAAGTCGCAAATCATCAGCCACTGGACATCATGGTGAGTTGCTTTAAGCTGTCATCTGTGCAGCAACGCACATTGCATAGCTGACTTTGGTCATGATTCATGCTTGATGCCTCAGGCGAAAGCCACCCCCGCAGATCGCGCTTCCCCTCTCGAACAGCGATGAGACAGCACCTGCATCAGTATCCGCGCAACCCAACCCGACCGCGTGATCGACATTCCCACTTTTGTAGCATAGTTCGCCTTGTAGCACAGCCTCGGCATCCATCTCCATCCCTCCAGTGTTTGAGCTCCCCTCTAAAAATAGAGCGTGGTATATAGTTGCATTTGAATATCTCTCGCAGGCGCGTCGGGTGCACGGCACGGAGCGGTCTCGGCCGGCAGTTCCCCACTGTGCCAGTAGCTCACATAGCAGACCCGCCTGGCCGTCACATTGCCATCTATTCACGCGATCTGGATAATACACAGCATCGAGACGCTGTTGCACATCGAGATCAAACACTGACTGGGGATCATGTCGTTCTTAGTCTGCAGTACAGTTCACACCGTGTTTACCGCGACAAACGCGTGCTTCTCACCTTAGCTGAGCACATCGGTACCGAAGCTTGCTGGACGAAGCTCGGCAATCGAACATTACAGACTTTGCAGCCCCGGCAAGTCGGGTGTTGAGTCGGGAGCCTGCGCGATAGCTCACTGGCAATTTATCACCCACCACGGTGCAGCCACAAGAATTTCGACCAAATCCTGGCCACCTATCGCGAACATGGGGATGGCATTTTCTTCGCTGTGGAACTCCCTATTTGGGCAGAAGGAGTTGAAAAGTAGGGGGAGATCGTTGAGTCTGTGCGCCACCACGTCTGGGCAATGCTGACGACCCATCCTTCTTCGCTGCGGGCAGTCTGTATCCTGGGCTTGGACAATGCAGGTGAATAGAATTGTGATGCACATGGAGAAACTATCATCTGACGATTCGGGGCTACGCTTTGACAGGCAAGACTACCCTGACATACAGAATGAAGCTCGGATCGGTCATCGCAAGTGCACCAACGATTGGGAGTACTGTGGAGGAATTCGAGTACAAGCGAGTCGCTCCATGCTCTATAGTTCCCGACCAAGTTTGTAGCTGACGGGCACTGTCTCCAGAAATCTCAAGTTCATCCTGTTCGACGTCGGCGGCCAAACGTCACTGCGGGCTTCTTGGTCCACCTACTTGGCCTCAACAAATGCAGTCATCTTTGTGATTGATTCGACCGACAGGGCGCGAACTCAGCTCGCTCGGCAAGAACTACATAGAGTTGCGGCGGACGAGGTTGGTGCTTTGGTGTAGTGCCACTGGCTTGAGGATGCATGCGCTAAGCTCGAGTTTCTCTTATACGTAATGCTGCCGGCCTTCGGATGCACCCGCACCGCCCCTTCGCCGCGGCCATCTGCCATTGCAGCAAGTATCAAAGGCTCCGATATTGGTATTCGCAAACAAACAAGATGTCATGGGTTCAATGACGCCTGCTGAAGTATCAGATTCGCTCGCGCTCACTACTTTACCCGTGTCATGGCACATCCAAGGGTGTTCTGCGCTGACTGGAAAAGGGTGAGTGAGCACGCTCGTAGCCATCGACGGAATCGTTCGACGCTGACTGGAACTGCTGGTACTCGTCCCGCACTGCCAGCATCAATGATGGCTTAGATTGGCTAGCGGGCAAGCTTGGTGCTTCCAGTTGATCACTTGAACAACATCAAACATACCGCACATCAGCAACACTCGGTGCAACGCCGAGTCGGAAGAATACACCAAGTTGTCCACCATGTAAATTCCGTTTCAATCATTTGTACTTCACAACGCATCTCAAACATTCACTAATAGTATTAATCATTGTTCGTGTTGTGGTGCTACACTAAGCGAGTTCCAAGAGAGGGAATTGTCCACATTCAAAGCCCACAACTCCTTGATTCTACACCCAACCGACAAAGCCTGCATGCGCTCAGCATATCCATATGTATACGAAAGCAATCGTCACGACCAAAAGAGTCCAACTGACAGCCCTGAGTTGGTGGCGACTTGCGTGCCGAGCGGGGAATTGAAGATGAACCAAGAATGAAACGGTTACTTTACCGTGTATCAAGGTACTGCTTTTGCGATCGGAATCTCGCTCACGTCGAATCATGTGATGGCGGTTTCACGCTAGTACCTACTGCTACACAAACTTAATGAGCTTGCTCCTCGTCTACGGTCTATGTATAAGTGGGTGTGGGGTGGATTTCACCTTGAGCTTGGAACTTGGAGCTGGGCGGTCTGTGGGGGAGGACAGGAAGAGTTGAGTGTGTGTGAGCCTATGTTCCCGGCTGGACCCGGGGCCGTTCTTGTGCACCCGATCGAGCCGTCCGGGCGCTTCCGTTTGCGCAGGCTTGTGCCTCACTTCCCCGCGCACACATGCCACGCAAGTGGCGGGGTGCAATCAATCTACCCGCCTTGAGGCTGGGAGCGTAGAGCGTGGGGGCAGTCTCGCGGTGAGCACCCCGTTCACGTCCGGTTGAGCCGGCCACGGGGCCACTTCCATATACGAGAGAGCGAATCATCACCGGCTCAGCAATGCACTCTCCTTCACAGACAATCGGCGACAGTACCCCTCCCTCCCCCCCCCCAAGCCCCACTCCCCCACAGCCTTCCTATCCACCTCCAACGCGGATTTGGATTAAAGGACGATTATCGTATATATTGTGGGTCCAGTTTGTGAACACCACGAGCTGGAAACAGGCACACTCACAATCGCTCTCCTCCCACCTCGCTTGCAGTTCCGATCACCAACAATTTCCCTCCAAGATGGTCGACGATTACCAGCCGCCAGACACGGACATCATCACCCTTACTCGCCATGTCCTGCAGGAAGGTTTTAATGCTCGCCAGAACTCGGCTGCAAGTGGTGACTTGACGATCTTGCTCAGCTCGCTGCAAACCACCTGGTGCGTGATCCGCTTGGTTTCCCAGCGTTATGATGGTTGCATCTTTCACCTGTCAGCACCTCTCACTCACTCGATCCCTCTTGTTCTGATTTACGCGCTCCTGCAGCAAGTTCATCGAAGCGAATGTCCGTAAGGCACGATTGATCAATCTGTGGGTGTCCTTGCTCTGCGGAAACAACTTGCGATGTTAAACTAACGCAGAACCCCACGCTGTTCTAAATCAACAGCATTGGAGCAGCGGGCAACCAGAATGTGCAGGGCGAAGACCAGAAGAAGCTCGATGTGCTTTCGAACGAAATCATGATCAATGCGCTGAAAGCGTCGGGAAAGACGGCCGTCCTTGTCTCAGAGGAGAACGACGAAGCGATCCTGGTGAAAGATTCGTCTGACTCCAAAGACAAGGTCGGTAAGTACTGCGTCGTCTTTGACCCGCTCGACGGCTCGAGCAACATTGATGCCGGTGTCAACATTGGCACCATCTTTGGCATCTACCTCGTCCGCGATGGGAGCAGTGGCTCAATCGAGGACGTCCTGCGACCGGGCAAGGACATGGTCGCTGCAGGCTACTGCATGTACGGCTCGTCCGCCAACATGGTCTTGACGACCGGCAATGGCGTCAATGGCTTCACGCTTGATAATGGAATCGGAGAATTCATCCTCACACACCCAAACATCCAAATTCCGTCTCGCGGCAAGATCTACTCGATCAACGAGGGAAACAGCTGCTACTATCACGAACCGGTTCTCAATTACCTTGAAAGCGTCAAGTTCCCTAAGGGAGAGGGTAAGAAACCTTACTCGGCGAGATACATTGGTTCCATGGTCGCGGACGTTCACCGGACCCTACTCTACGGCGGGATATTTGGCTACCCGGATGACAAGAAAAGCACCACTGGAAAATTGAGGATGCTCTACGAGGCTTTCCCCATGGCTTTCCTTACCGAGCAGGTACGTTCAAATCGGTTGCACCCAGCCTTGTTTAATACAGTGAGAGTTGAATTTTGTCTGATTGCCTGTTGCTTTTCCCTTACAGGCCGGCGGCAAAGCAACCACAGGCACGCAGAGAATCCTCGACGTGCAACCCAACTCGATCCATCAGCGCTGCCCGGTCTTCCTGGGCTCGAAGGAAGACGTAGAGGACTTGGAGTCTTTCTACAAGGCATGAACGCGCAGCATAAGCATGCGGCGCTTGTCCCCCCCTACATGTACTGTGATATCGAATGTGATCTGGTCCAAAAGCTTGTGGTTCCTGCACTTCGCGAGTAGGGCCTTTGGAGAGCACACGATATTCATGACGAGGCGCGCGCCACGGACCTGTACAGTCTGAAGTGAGCGATGCCATCCCGCGTACTGTATGGCCGGGTGCTGAGCTGGGGCTATTGAGAAGCGACCGAGCATGGTAAAGGACAAGCTGTCTGCTGGAACAGGCATGACGGGCGACGACGGGCCAGTAAATGCAGTGCTGCTTCTTGAACGTGGCTGCAGCACTGCCCGTGGAAGGCACACTGGACTGCCAGCCTGGACTTCGGATGGAGAGAACGTAGTGATCACGCGCTTCATCTACGTCAGCTCCAGCATGTAAGCTGGATCGACTTTGATCTTTGACGTATCGAAGACCTCAATGAACTAAATACGATGTTTTGTCGGCAAACTGCGTTCTGCACACCGCCTGGTAGCCGCGAGACTCACCTCCTGGTCGGCAACCTTGACACCGGCAAGCCTGGAGTACTCGTCAAATATCGCAGATTGCATCCAGCCTTGGAACTTGCGCAGGCATCCGACGATGCAACCAACGCGATACTTGCCTTTGTTGCAGTGCACGAGCATTGGTAGGTTACGTTTGTCGAGTATGAGCGACAGTGCTGCGGCGACTTCATCTTCATCCACTTCCGATTAAAAAGCCCCAAACAGCAGCTATCCGCATTAGGGCTCTCTCCAATAACCGCTGTTGCATGAATAGGAGGCTCACTTTCATCAAACGGCTCCTTGTTCAGCTGCAAGCGAATATGGAAGACTTGAATGCCTTCCTCCTCGCAAAAGCCGCTCATATTGGGCCGTAAATCTTCCAGACCAAGATACATGATGCTTTTGAGCTTCAGGCTGCGCAAGAAACTGAAATTCCGCTCGTTTGGGTGACCGCTGCGATAAATACCGCCTTTGGCCACGAGTTCGAAATTGAGGGGCGGGACGAAAGGGAAGTTATGGTCCATGCTCGGTGCGGCAGCCTGTTGATCACTCTGCATGCTGCTCGTGTCCTGAGTTACAGCCACCTCGCCTTTCGTAGCTGCAAGCCGGCGCATGAGAGCAGGCGAAGAGTCGAGCCATGTCTTAACTGGCTTGCTGGTAGTCTCATGCTCGCGCCCACCTACATGCAGCTCCATGGGGAATCGCAGAGCTATTGACGGGAAGGTGTCAAGCGGATGCGAATTTAAAAAGCCAATGAGCTTGTGGTAACAGCTACAGCAGCATTGGCCTCAGTTTGTCTACCGCATGCGAGCTTGGACGATCTTTGGCCTGTTCTGTGGTAGGGGCGATGTTTGGAAAGAGTGGAGGTTCAAGTCAATGTAGCACAGTATTACTGCAGACTGCAGCCAGAAAGTGTACAAAACGCACGTCAGTCGCGTCACTGCTTGTCGAACCGCTCGGTGCCCGTAATCACATGATCGAATACGCATTTCATCCAGAATTTGTTCTCCAGCAGTTATCTCATGATTTGCCAGCTGCTTTCTCCCAACAATCAGAGCAGGCAGCTGCCACCATTTGACAACCCGCATACAGCACGAGTTGGCCTTGCTTGAACGTAGAACAACTTACCTGTGCGAGTACAACTCAAAATGGCGTTCGTCCCATCGTTCTGCCGCCAGGCAGCCTTTACAATCCGGACAGGGTCACATGGTGGCTTCTCCTCGTCCCTCCGACTGGCGGCGCAGCATGTCGGCTTCGTCAGTGCAAGAGCACTCAGCAAGCGCCCTGAAACTTCATTGGCCAGCATCAGGAAGTATGCCACAGACTCTGCTCCTCTGGTCACAGCCGCAGCCTCGTCTTCCAGCTCGACACAATCTCGCAGGGACGGTACTCTTTCGAAGAGGTCTGCTTCCTCACCAGCAGACGTCCTTGATAGCTACGCATCAGCAGAAGCGTATGCTCCCCTTTTGAGCCGCTTTGAAAGGCCAAAGTCGCGCTCAAAGATCATGACAGCAGACGATTTCGAACAGGCCTTCCGAGCCCGGCTGCGGCGCGGCTGGGCCACGCCGAACGACCCGACCTCGGGCCGCTCTGTCCCCGTCGGCCATGGCGATGTGCAAGGCGCATACAGGATTCTTGGCTCCATTCTCAAGCGCAACAATATTCGTGGGGAGCTCAGGTTGGGAGAGAGGTACGAGAAGCCGAATCAGATGCGGAGAAGGAAGGCAAGCGAACGGCACCGCAGACGATTCGCGGACATGATTCGCAAGAAGGTCCAGCTCGTGAGTTGCACTGCAGATGGATGCTTGCCATGCCTGTGGGATGATGGACTGACTGAGCCTGTGCCCTTCGCAGGTCATGCAAAAGAGGCGAAGAGGTGAATGAAGGGCGTGCAAGCTGAGGTTGAGCGCATTCATTCCCTGCATTCCCTCGCGGGAGCGAACGCGATCCGATTGCTTAACCCACGTCTCCTAGCCTCGCTGTACAAAACAAAACCAAATACGCACTTTAGACACTCCCATGCTATTGTTGGACACACCTCTCGCCCGTCAGCCTCGGCGGACTCCTCTGAAAGATCTGACTGTCCTTCCATTTGACGCTGGTGTGCAATGCCGAGGTGGCTGCGTGGGTGATTGAGACAGAGCACCGGATGTGTAACTGTACCTCTCGCAAATCTTTTGTTAGGAAGCTATTCCACTCAGCACGCAGACTGAACCCATTGAGACTGGGCAGGTGCCCGACGCCGACAATTGGGTTCATTGGCTGCACCAAATTTGAGCAGCACTGCGGCACTCTTTCCTGCCGAAGCAGCAAAGTTGCCTTCCCGCCCCAATTGGCTTTGCATTCGTCGCCACAAACCATTTCATCTTCAGCTTGCATATTACAAAGTTCGCCTTCACTTCACCCAGATCCACGACATTGCCTCCTACAGCCGGCGGCGATTGTTCGGGAGCACGAGAACCTAGCTCATACTCCAGTTTTCCCGCACCCGAATAACGAAAGCATGCTACGCTCCTTCGTTGGCGCGGCGGCGGCTGTCCTGGTCGGGCTGGCCGCTCTTCCCCTCGCCAGCGCAGGCAACCTGACTTCGCTCGAGGGGACGTGGTCCAGCGGTTCAGGGAGCGTACAAACAGGACTGGTGAGTTGTTTCTGCAAGCATGATAGCCCACATCTCGCTTTAGCCGCCACATTGTCGTTCAGCTCGATAGACCTTGTCGCAGGCTGAGGCAGGCCGGCGCTGGGGTCAGATGAGGTCTGTGTGGAGGCTCGATAACTGATGCAGGGCGATCGATATATGCTGTCGTCAGAACTTCTTTAACCCTGCAACGAACACATTCACCACTCCCAAGGCGGGCGGTATCAGCTATAGCTTTACCGGAGACGGGCATTGGGAGCAGGCCAAATACATGTTTAACACCAGCTGTAAGTGCCGACTAATCCGCATGCTTGGCCTCATCTGCTGGCTCACCACACCTTCTTGCTGGCCGCTCTGAACAACCTGTAGCTGCTGTCAACCGCTGTGTAACTGCATACATGATTTGGCAGCATGGCACTTACACCATCAACGCAAATGGATCCTTGTCGTTGTCGCCGTTTCCAGCCGACGGCTACATGCAGATGATCGACATATGCGGTCGACAGACAATTAAGATGTTCTCGTACAATCAGTGCGTATCTACGTACTGTGCTTACCAGCACCTTGATTTGTTTCGATGCTGATAACCCACATCTGGCTTTGTGTTCGCAGATTTGAACTCATTCCGCAGTGGTACATCTATCTAGACTCGGCCCCTGGGTTCCTATCGGCTGGGTCCACAGCGTACGCTCTGCAGATGTTCCAAGACGGTGGCGATGGGCAAGCGGGTAAAGCGATGGTGCGTTTTCATACTTCTACAAGAGCCGCTTTCCTTTCATGCTTTCTCTTAATGGACCAGTCTAAGCACGAAATGCTGACCTTACCGCAACCTTTTTTCCGGCATGGAAGGCACCGCTCTTCTTGACAGCACGGCCAGCTAATATGCTTCCGACAACACAGCTGCACGAACAAGTCATCAATCAGGCTTTTCGCACCACCTGATCAAGAAAGTATCAAGTCCACTGCAACCATAGACTAGACGCCAGCTTTGCCTTCGCATCACCGCAAAGATGAGATCACGGAGTGCCGCGCGTTGCATACCATACGATTTTTGCGTGCCTTCGCCTTTGTTCTTTGCCCACCTATCTTCCATCCGCAGCGTATCACCTTCCGACTTCGATTTCTTGAAAGCCACCATGAGCTTCTCATCGTCATTCATCAAGCTCACTGCGTCCTGGAGAGTGTGCACTCGTCACCTTTCGACGTCAGGATTACAGTTTCCTCTGCCGATCGTCCATTCCAACCCATCCTTGCCATTTGACGTCGACTCACAGCATTTGTACAACAAAGCACTCAACTTAATTCAGCATAGACATTCTTTCTCGATTTCAGAGCGGACGACAGAGTCGCACTGCCTTACTGCACCGCATGTCGCTTGCATGCGATACGGACGCTTGTGTGTCAGGCCGCCTAGGATTTCGATCACATGTATAATTCAGTCTTGCGCGCTAATGGCAATACATACAATTGACAGAACATATTTACTTGTACCGACCTTGTGCTCTCGAAATGTCGGAGAACGCGGCACCTGTCCCCTGACGACCCACAAGCCTGCCGCCGAGCTATTCCAGAAGAGCATGGCGAAAGTACGCAAGCCAGTGGTCACGCTTCACTGCCTCTGCCACGGCATTCGGATCGCACGTAAATTTTAGCATACGGGGCGCTGATGGAATGCCATCTTTCACTGTCGACCTGGACGCCGCGCCATCGAGAGGGAGAATGATTGCTCTGCGTAACGAGCCGACTTGTTCTCTAGCACCCCGCTGAAAGAAAACAATCTAGCATGTGCAGACAAGGTAGGATCCATCATGTCGTATCGCGCTGTTCCGACCAAGCTTCTTGTGCCTGCTCCGACTCTTCGTCTTCCCCGGCGATCGAGAACGGTTGCGGGACAGGGGGAGTTTCGATTGACGCGGTGTTGGCTGCCTGCTGCTTCGATATTGATTCTGATGCAGATACAGGCGCGAGGGCGGGGTCTGTGGCAAACGGCGCATCATCGTCAACATTCCAGACCCCTCCAAAATGTAACCGATTGGTATCCTTATCGTGCTGCTGCGCACCACCTGGCTGTCCTCGCGGATCTGATGCTCGTCCGCTCTCCAAGTCAGCTCCAAAGTCATCCTCGTCTTCGTCTCCGTAGTCCTCTGCGTCTAGCGGCTGATATAGGCGCTCGATCTCGCGTCGCACTCGGTACCGCGCTTCGGCATGGTACGACACGAGGAGACCGAGCGCAGAGCCGCACAGATTCGCGATCACGTCACCCCATTGAAAAATTTTGTACTGCGCGGAATCATGGCAGGTGAAACAGATCGGGGGTCGAGGGAAGAGGGGGAAGAAGATCTTTTTGACTTAGCATGCTTCATCGCAAGTCAGAAGGTGGAGAGAGGGCACGAGGAAGGCATCGTCAGACTCACGGGTAGTAAGCTTTGTACGATTTCGGAGCCAATGCAACCGACTACGAAGCATGTGACGAATGTGAGGTAAAGGGAAGCGTGTCTCCAGAACCAATATCGACGGGCAGAGTCATCGACGTCGAATATGCAATAGAACAACGCTGTCGCCTGCCGCGAGTATACAGAGTGATAGGGTGAAATCACCGTCAGCTCGAAATTTCGAGCCGCTTGGCCATACACTCAGCAGAAATACGCACAATAAAGAAACACAGAAAATGCAGAATCTTGTCGTTAATGGCGACGTAGTCTCTCGCATTAGGATGAAAGCCTAGAAAGCCAAGCAACACCAAGTCTAGCACGTTCAGCACGATGAACGCCGGTCGTAGTCGGAGAGGTAAGATTGACGCTTCATCTGCCGATAGCTTGATCCGGACACTTCGCAGTAAGATCGACTTAAGCAGCTCTTTCCGCCGGCCAACGCCGGAGCCATTCCATGATAGAAGGGATCTGCAGTCTCGTAGGTAGCTCCGTGGGTTAGCTGAGTCTCCTAGCGTCGATTCTAAGCGCGGCATTGTGGAAGCGCGGGTCGAGGAGCGCAGCTTAGATCGCTCGTGGCAGATCGGATAGCAGGATGGCTTGTTTTGTAATCGCTACCTTTTGGTCGCCGTGACCGTGCAGATGCATGGTCTGAACGCAAAGTGACGAGTGAGCTCCCTCCGAATGAGGGGAGAGGGTAGGATGTTTCGGCAGGCTTGAGGTTTCTATGCCACCCGGCTCGCACTCTTGCAGCGCTGTCGCTGTCTGCGGCAGCCGCGGGACATAAATATGGTCACGTGTGCCAGTCTACTATGCTGCCAGCCTAGAGCTCGTTTCTGATACCTCGCTTATATGAGCGTTGCGCCCAAGCTCGCCCAGTGCATGCAGCTCAAGGCTGATCGCTGGCCCTGGAAACATTGCCACGCCCGACGCGTGATGCATCATGATGGGGAAGGTCAGGCGGAAGCACGCAAGACAATGATTGCAGGCAAACCAAGTGTACTTTCAAGCGGGTGAAGAGTGGTACTGTACAGTCTATGTGAAAAAGATGAAGACACGCGAAAAGCAAGCCAGCGATCCATCCCCTTCTATAGGTCGTCCAGCTCGTCGGCCGAGTCGTACGTGCCGGCCTTCTTCTTTGCCATCCGGTCCTTCTTTGCCTTGCGCTTGTCGGCGCTCGAGAGTACCTTTTTCTTCTCCTTCTTCTCGATCTTGTTCCCCTGCGGAAGATCGTGCGATCATGGAGCATCGTGTCAGTAGCCGTTTTCAATCGATGAAGGACTCTCAAGCTCACCATCGCATCGAATTTGTCCTCCTCATCCTCCTTAGCCTGCAGCTTTGGCCCAGAGCCTTGGCCCTCGATCCAGTTGTGCCCCTGTTAATCGTGCAGATTAGAAGGCACGTTTGTGTCAGCAGACTCGATCGTACCGCCAGGAGAACAGCTATGATATAGACAGTGACTTACAGAGGCACGAAGGAGACCCCCGTCCATGGCCCACACTTCGGTACACACGCCCTCGGAGACTTCGAGAGAGTGCGTGATCAGGCAGACACCGCCGTCAAAGGTCTTCAACGCATTGATGAGTGCTGCAAGCGATTCGCGATCCAAGAAGTTACTGTGTAAATTCATGGCGAAATAGTAAGGGTCCATGGTTAGCAAAAGCGCCGATCGATGCGGATTGGGGAAAAACAACGTACGATGGCTCATCGAGAATGATGACGTGAGGGCGTCGCCATGTGGCGGCGGCGAGAACGACCTTGACTTTTTGACCTCCGGAGAGACCGCGCATGGTGTTGTGCGAGGTAAACTCGCGCTCGAGACCAAAGTCCTCAAAGTGTTGCTCGATCTCCTTGCGGACGAGCGGGCGGTTCATACCGAGACGCTGTGCCTCCTTGCTGTCAAACTCAAGCACCTTCTTCTCAAAGCCACGCTTGATCAGCTCGTCTCGCGACAACCAGAGATTGTCGGCAGACGAGTACTGCTTAAAGGAGACCTCGTACTGGTATGAGTTCTTGAGCTTCTTGCGCGCGACGATGCTCTCGATGATGCGCTTGACGCCTTCGTGCACGTACACCTCGCCGTTCTTCAAGAGCGCCTTCTCCTCCTCGCTCAGCTCCTTGCTCTGGTTCTTGAGCATCTCCTCGAGATCCTCACCAGTCTGGTAACGCCAGAGCATGTAGTCCAGTGGGGTCTTGTCGAGATGCTGGTCAATGTGGTGGAACGCGTGCTGGGCAACGTAGCCAATGACCAAGTTCGGGTGCTTCCACACCTCTCCCGAGTTAGGCTCGTTGTCCGCAACCATGAGCTTGACGAGGGTCGACTTGCCTGAACCGTTTGGCCCAAGGATGGCGACACGCGACGAGAGCGAAACCTGCATGCTGATGCCTTTGAGCTGCGGCGCGGGCGTGCCGGGGTACTGGAAGGTGACATCGCGCATCTTGAGTAGCGACTTTTCCTTGGTCTTGACACCATCTAGCAGAGGTGGCTCGGGGAACTTGAACGAGTAGTCCTCGCCCGAGTTAAGCTCCGAGTATGCCTTTGCTTCGGGGACACGCTTGACAAAAGCATTGAGGTTGCCCGGATAGCGTTTGATCTTGAAACGGTTAAGGTGGAGAATGTCTGTGCAGACATTGTTGAGGAACTTCGAGTCGTGCGAGACGATGATCGAGGTGGCCGAGGTGGTCTGCAGGTAGTTGGTGATCCAGGCGACGTTGACAACGTCCAAGTGGTTGGTCGGCTCATCCAGAAGGAGAATGTCGGCCTTGAAGAGAATGGCACGAGCGAGCGCGAGCTTCATCTTCCAACCACCAGAGAGACCAGCGACGGGGGAAACTTGGCGCTGCTCGTCAAAGCCCATCTCGGCGAGCGTCTTGGCGGCCTCATCGCGCGTGATGTCGAGGCGCTTGTCGGCGAGAATAAAGTCGATGATCGAGATAGTGCCCTCGGAGCCGTCAAGGTCGTGCTCGACGTACCAGGTGCGGACGACGTCCGGCGAAGGGAAACCCTCAACCTGACCATTCTGGATGGCACGCATGAGCGTTGACTTGCCAGAACCGTTGCGGCCGCAGAGACCGTAGCGGTGGCTGCGCTTGAGGCGGAGCGTGGCCGTGTTGAGCAGAATCTTGGCACCGTAGGCAAGCGAGAACTGGCAGTTGCACAGGTCCTCACCCTCCTCCTCGTCGTCAAAGATCTCAACCTCCTCGCCAGTGCTCTTGGCCAGTGCCTTGAGCAGCTCGCTCGCGATGGCGGTCGCGCCCTCCTTGGTGGCGCTCTTGTTGAGAAGAATGTAAGGCGCAAGCGTGCTCTCCCACTCGGTCGGCTCAAAGTTGCGCGAGTTGGCCAGGTTGGCGGCGAGTAGTGCTATGTATGCAACGAGTTGTGCCTGGCTGTTGTCAACCTTCTTGTCCTTGAACGTCTTGTTGACCAAGTCGAGCGTCGTCTTGACTTCGACATCGTCCAGCGGCTTGACCTCCGAGCCGTCGCCGGTGACCTGGCCAATCTCGCGCAACGTCTTGATAGCGCGCTGAACAACAGAGCGCGCCTCTGGGTCGGCCATGGTTGTCTCCATCTTGATCAAGCCTGGCAACAGCTTGGGCAGGAACGGGCGAACGGTGCGCTCATTGTCAACGAGCTTTGCCATGTTGTCAATAATGACAGCGACCTTGCGGCGCGTGGCCGTCGGACGCTCGTTGAGACCACGCGAAAGCAGCGGGGCCATAAGCGCGAGCGTCGGCGAGTCGACCTCTTGAACAAACGTTGTGGCAGACAGGAGCATGATCGTCTTGGGCACCTCCTCGACCGGGTTGATGAGCGAGGTGATCAGCGCCGGAATAAAGCGCTCAATGTCCTTGTTTGAGATGAGAGCGCAGAGCTTGTTGAGCGCGAGCCGCGATGCCTTTTGCACGTCTGTCTTGGTGTCCCAGATCACCTCCGACATAACGGGGATGATGTCTGGCATGGCAGCGGCCATGCGGTCAGGCGAGGCGGTGACGAGCTCCTCGAGGAGCGCAACGCAGCCCGTCTTAACCTGCCACTTTCCGGCGGTACGAACCTGGACGAGGAGGACCTTGAGCACGTTCGGGACAGCCCACGACGACATGATCTGAACAAATGAGCGTAGGGCAACGAGAGCCGCCTCGCGGACCGACTTCTCCTTGTCGCCCATCGCCTCGACCATCGACTCGAACACCTTGGCAAAGATGAATGGCTCGACCTCGTGGCCAACACCCTGCTCGCAAAGTGACGAGAGCAGGTTGGCAGCTCCTTCGCGGACGTCGGCGTTCTTCTTGTCGGCGAGGCCCTTAACGATGACATCCTCAATATCGAGGCTGACGAGCGCCTTTGGACCCTCGGCTTTGACAAGGCTGACCAGCTCCTGCACGGCCTCCTTGTCACCGGAAGAGAGCAGGCGCGAAGCCTCGAGACCGGTCTCCTTGGAGGCGCTACCCTCCGTGGCGGCTGACGAGTTCTTAGCGGCCTTGGCCGGGACCTGCGCGGGAGTGCCCGCAGTCGAGGGGACACCAGTAACAGCGGGAGACATTTTTTCTGACAAGGAAGAAGCCATTGAGGGTAGACTGTCAGCAGCCCGTTCGCAAGAAAGAAAATAAAGGTGTGAGACGCGGACGGGCAAAGGGTGTAAAAGAGTGCGAGGTAAAAAAAACACGATGCCACGAGCCACGGTGTGCGAATTTTTTTTCGAAACTTTTGTCGCACCGCGCGAACACGCTTTCCGCCCGCCCAATCGCAAGCGCCCGCCAGCTCGCCATCGCCACACAAATCGCAAGCTCAACTTACCTAATAAGATAGATGGTCTAGGTTGCGAGATCTAGCTGGTGCTTGCGTGAATCTATTGCGGTCTAGGTGCAAAAGAATAGCTCGCTGGAAAGAGCTGTAGTGAGAAGAAAGGGGCGGTGCGGCGTGTGCCTCGGGGTCGCTATTTCGGGGGGCGCTGCACTCGAAGAGCTCGAGTCAGCCGGCGAAAGAGCGAGTGGTTGGACCGCACTTTGCAAAAAGGCAAGTCTAAGAAACGACGTATATGATGCTCCGAGTTGGAGAGGGGGTATGGGGTGAGGGAGGAAAGACTGAAATGGGGAAAGGGGAGGGGGGTCCATATATACAACATCCATTCGATGGCGGGGTTCATAACATGAAATTTTCAGGCGTCAGATCACTTTACGGTATACCGATGACGAGGGGAAGCAAAAGTTTCGTCCTGCAAACGAGAGAGGGTTTGAAAAAGTTTCGCTAGCACTTTCTTCGACAAAGACAGGCGACCGGTGACCGCAGAGACAAGAACACCACACAGGGAGCGGAACGGCTCTCTCCCGAATCCCGCCGGAGCCCAAGAGGCGATGTCTCGAACTTGTGTGAGCGGAAGCGCCAGCACCGCGCCAGTGTCTGTCGCCTGCAGACCACTCGAGTTGAGTTGCAAGCACTGCACCAGTCCTCCGAACGCCCGTTGACCCACCTTCAAGCGCTCCCCATCGGCAGCCGTCAGGAGTGTGTGGCGACTGCATTGCGACAGTCTGCACCAGGTTCCCGGACGAGCGAGACATGATCCAGCCGATGACTTGACTTGCTCCCGCATTTTTCTCGCTGGCGAGCGAGTCTGGGTAACACAGCTGCAGCGAGACACGAAGCACGAACTCCCCGTGAGGCTTCGAATTTCGCTTTGCTCTCTCTCTAGCGCTCGCACCCCACACTGGCCGTGTTCATGATCAGCGACCAGCAGTGGCATACATACTACTACATCGACACTGAGGACACCCGAGAAGAGGAGCGGGCCACTGGCCAGCCGCACGTCCGGGTTTTTTTTTGGTTTGGTTCCAGCAAGCAGCAGCCAGGCCACCAGCTGGGGCAAAGTCTACAACATGTGTTTTGTGGATCATAGTTCATCTGCCGGACAGGGACAAACAGGAAAGGCTCATGCTGGCTCGAGTTTGCTCGACCAGCTGCATGCGGTGTGCAGTATTCGCTTCCGCAGCCTTTGCCCCTTTTTGGAGAGTTGCAAGTGACGGATGCACGTTGCACCACGTGCAGTTCGAAACCGTTCGCACGAGTTCGAAATTCGTCGAGCGACCAAGCGGCCGGCCCTCTCCCGTCTCCATCGGCTGTTCGTCACAGTCGAGCAGTTGCCTGCGTGCCTAGCGTCTCTGCGATTCATAGTGCACATAATCCCCATGGGGAAAGAAATATGGGGAAAGTTTTGCAATGAAAGGAACACGCAAAAAGTGCCGAGACGCACTTACACATGCTCTCAACCTCTCATGACCTAACTGCGTCTGGATACATTCGAGTACAGCCTCCACACTCTACATGCTTTCGCAGCTCGCACGTCATCCATGATCAGGCAACAACTGTTACCACGTTGCAAAGCTGGCGCATTAGCCGCATCAGGTTATCAGCATGTTCATGCACACTGCCTTGCCGCTGAGGCCGCGAGCCCTTCTGCCCTTGCGCTTGGGGGACTCTCTGTATTGACATCAGGGAGGCGAGCGCGAGGAGGCAAGACATCTAATCCTCGTCGCAAGGCTGAGTCTGCCCAAACTGGGCATGTTCCACGGAAAGCGTTAGACGGCCCAAGGCATCATGAGAATAGCGACATTGTAAACGAGGCGTTTCATCATAGATGATTGGTGCTTGATGGGCTGTTACGCTGCAGTGCTCCATGCGTTCCTGTGAAGTGAGGGTATGGTGCAGCGCACGAGCGTAACGCCAGGCGATCACCCCCCCCTCCGCTCCCATGCTCTGCTAAGCTCTGCCTCTCAAATATCCGTCCCAGGCAATCGATGAGTGGTAGCCGAGCGAGGCAAGACACTGCTCGTGCGTTTGCTGCCGACATCCGCAGCAGCCTCTCCCAGATTAGGCCCTGCACGCAGCGCACCCATGCCTCCTGCTGTTGCGCCCGACGATGCGGTGTGGTTGCTGCTACCTGCCGTCTCGCCTATGCGTCCCCACCCTGGAGCCTGTGCTTTGGCGTTCGCCTGCCACTTGCTGATTAAGTCGCTCACGCCGCGGAACCGCTCTTGCGCCTCGCTGGCCCCAGCGATGCTGCCGCTACCCAGGTGGTGCGATGCGGTGGCAGGGCTAGGGCCGCCCGCCTCATCGTCGTCATGAGCGGCGTCGGCGCCGGCGGCGCTGCTGGTGCTCTTGACCACGCCAGCCCTGTTGAACTCCGCAGCGGCAGCAGCTTCGCGCTCCCATGGTTTCAGACTGGACGCAGGAGCCGCTGCTGATGCGCGCTTCGCAGCCGCGATCAACGCTGAGGAATTGTCCCGCCGAGTCTGTACCAGCCGCGGGAGGATCACCTGCGGCTCGTGGCGGCCATTGCCGTTGACGCTGCTCGACGCTACTGCCGTCTTGTGCGATTGCGGCTTGTAGCGGTCGCGTACGGAAGCCCCGCCAACAGAGGCGACAGGGGAAGATCGTGTATCCGGGGTGATCGGCTGAGAGGAGGATGCGGCAACCTGTAGCTCATGCATGCGCTCCGAAATGGTGGGTGTCCGTGCACTGGGCGGCGATGCTGACCATTCGCCCTCTACCTTACTCGCGTCGGGCGCGAACGTGGGAGCCTGCACATCCACCTTGTCCGCCGGCGCAAAGGCATCGATGGCAGATGGTGGTGGAGAGGTGGCAGCATCGACGTATTGCTTCAACGTGGCCATCTGCGCAGGTGGTGGTGCTACTTGCGCGGGTCCTGCCGCCGGCTTTGTATGGGGCGGAAGAGCATCAGCAGCCGGCATGTTGGTATGACCATCAGATAGAGACATGGGCTGCTGCGGCAGCGCTCGCATCTCCGTCTCATCCATCTCGTCCCATGCCGGCGCGGGAACTTGCTTGCGCTCGCTCGGCAGCCTGCCCTCGATGACAGCGAGGTCACGGTCATCCTCATCGGCAAAGTCATCGGCGGCAGCAGCAGCAGATGGCGCTGAATCAACAGCACCGACTGCGCCGTGAATCTTTGACGGCACTGATTCCAACCTTTTGGATGACTTTTGCCTCGATGGAGCAACATCTGCAGTCGTCTCGACCAGCCAAGAAGGCGTCTTGACCCTATGTGGAGTAGTGCCGGCTGCTTTGTCCGCATCACCCTGCTGGGGGGAGGACAACCCTTCCGGTTGACGTGCGTACTTTCTCGCAAGAGCACTGCCACCGACATCCTCCGGTTCTTCGGGCTCATCGCCGCTGTCGGATTCCAATGCGGCAGTCAGTGCAACGTGAGCGTCCACGGGCTGTGCATTTGCTGCTTCGGACGACGCAGGCGCGAGTTTGGTCACGATTGCATCATCCGTGTCGTCGCCCGTCAGCCAGTCGCGCGGAGGAGCACACGCCGGAGGGGGGTGAGTGCGGTCTTTCACGTTGCTCCGATCGAACTCCTCAGGCTGTGCAGGCCGCCTGTCGGCTTGCGCAGCTGATGCCGACGACGAAGGAGACATCAAGCCCCCTTTTATGCCACGCGGCCACCTGTCAGCTAGCAAACCCGCTGCACCCTTGGTGGTCGTTCCCGTCGGCGAGTAAGACGAGCAAGTTTTGTCCGCTGCCGGGCTGACGCTGCTGTTGAATCTGCTCGCCATTGCGCCTACGGACTGGCGGGGCGAGACACTGGTCGGGATTGACAGCGGCGGCTTGTGCCTGTCCCTAGGTGGCAGCGATGGCGGCGCAACTTCCACAGATGGAGCTGGCGAGCTGGCGACGATCGGCGGCGAAAGGATGGGCGAGGTGACATCACCGTGCGCATTAGGTGCATACCGCGCATCGAGTTCCTTAACGCTCGGAAAGCGATTCGAGGCATCATCCTCTCTATCTCCATTCGCACCACTGCGGCTGGTGGCTTCGCCGAAAGTCTTCGAAAGCGAGGACACCGAGCCGGCCGGCTGGGTTCTGTGTATTCCCGCGGTGGCGCTCGCCTGAGGCGACAGACCCGGTGGCTTGGGCGAAAACGACAGCGAAGGCGCAAGCGATGGTGAGTGAAAGCCTGGCATTTCTGGACTATGGTTAAGGAGCATTGCAGAGCGCGCCGATGTGTTGCCGGTGGCAGCAGGAGAGGATGCGGTGCTGTTACCAGAAACTTGCTGGGATACTCCTTGCGAAGGCGACAACGCTGCCGCCGTCGGTGTGAAGGAATCCTCAAAGCCACCAAATAGGATCGAACTCTTGGAGGACGATCCTGCTGCCTGCGCTGAGAATGGCAAGTCAAAGTTCCTTCCCACTGTTGCACTTCCGCCGAAAGCGGCCATGTCCGCCGCGCCCTTTCCACCGTCATCAACAACGTTCCTTTCGCCGGTCAATTGCCGCATGACTGGCTTTGCAGAAACTGCAGCTCCTGACGAAGCAGCGGCGGCGGCACCCTTGACGGGCCTGCCTCTGCGCATCGGTATGACCGAGTCTTTCAGCGCGTCGACCTCAGCTTTACGCCTAGCCTCCTCATCTCCGGCCTGCGCATGCTGAATCAAGTCGCTGACGCGCGACCGGACGCTTAGGCCGCCTGAAGCGGTAGCCGAAGCGGCGCATGAAGCTGAGTTGATGATTGTCGTGTCGTCGAAAGACCGCATGGGATGCCTTTGCACTGGTTGCTGCTGCTGCTGCGGCGGCGGCGGCCCCATCGCTTGTCTCCCGCTGGCAACCGCTGCTGCAGTGACAGACGAAGAGGAAGACGAAATGAATACCACGTTCGGCAAGGGCGTGACCTGTTTCCCATCGGTGAGTTGCTGTGCATAGTGCATGGCCGCAGCTGGCGGCTTAGAGCCCAGTAGACGGTGCACGCGGATGAGAACCTGATCGATCGTCGGTCTATCGGTTGATTGTTCCCGCAGGAGAGAGGCTGCAAGGAGGTGCCATTTGAAAGGAAGAAAAAAAGGTGTCAAATCTCATGTCCTGAGCAACCAAGTCCGCAAGGATCGTACCAATAAGATTCTTGAGGTTCTGCGAATAGACAGGACTGGGCGGGAAGCGATAGTTGGCGCTAAGGATAGCGAGCGGTCCACCGCCGTTCTCCTCAAATGGGGTGGTGTAGTAGCAGAGCTTGTACAATAGCACGCCTAGCGCCCAGATGTCCGACTTCTCGTCGATCACGCGGCGCTGGTAGACGTCGACCATCTCTGGCGCGCGATACTGCAGCGTCGTCGAGCGGTTCAGGTCAGCCTCGACGCGCTTGATCTCGTCCAAGCTCTTTGGCGCTCGACGCGAGAGGACCGGTGCGGCGGATCCGAAATCGCACAGCTTGTATGTCGGCCCGATCGACGGGTTGTCCGCGGGTGCAGGCGACAGCAGGATGTTCTCCACTTTGAGATCCCGGTGCATCAGCGGTGGATCGAGGTGGTGCATGACGGCCACGCCGGCGCAGACATCGCTGAAGATCTTGAGGATCTCGTGCTCGCGCAGTCGATCGCGAAGACGCGCGTTCATTAGGTCGATGATCCCGCCGCCGGGACAGTATTCCATCAGGATAAAAATCTCGTACCCGCCAGAGGACAGCGCCGTTGCTGAGGCTTCTATGAAGTGGACAATGTTTGGCTGGTTTCGCAAGAGTTTGTGCGCTTCCACTTCGCTGCGCACAGTCGCAAGCGCGTCTTTATCCGGTACGGCCATGCGCTTCAACACGTGCACCGTCTCGGGCCGCGTTGCACGGCTCGCCAGGCCAGAGGTACTAGCCCCTACGCTGCCAGCGGACGATAATGGGATCGGAATAGGCTGAGAGGAAGTGACGAGGTAGACATGCGCGAAACCGCCTTTGCGAGAGCGAACAAAGAGATGCCTGTCAAAAGCGGTGTTCGCCTCGGTACATGGCGCTTTCGCGAGACGCACGCACCTTCACTCAAATATCGCTTGACAGTTACGGTGATGTTGCCGACTGCGACCTTGGTCCCTGGTGGAAGTGTTCCCTTGTATGCTTGCTGCTGCTGCGGTGGCGGTGCTATGCCCATGCCCATCGCGCCCATCCCCGGCTGCGGTTGCGCCATGTAGCCTGCTCGGCTATTGGAGGGGCCTGCGCTAGGCCGCGGAGCATTACTTGAAGAATACGCATTCATCTTGTCTGGGAGCAGAAGTAGCAGCAGCAAGGATATTGTGGAAAGTGTGCCGGACAGGAGCTGGCAGGTCCCACTCTGACGGGCTTCGTGCCTGTGAAGTTGCAACACGGCAGCTGGATTGGTAGGTGTGTGATCGATCCGCTTGACCGCATCTGACTCCTGTTTATCTGGCTATTTCCCTTCTAGCAGGGACAGAGATACATGCAGGTGCTTCCTGCCCTTCGATGGCCGAGATGCTGATGCCTGCCGTGCCGATCCTCTCAAAGGTGGCCCAGATGGTCAAGAACCGCGGTTGAGAGTGGAGAGACGATGACGACGACGCGCAAGATGGCCCTTGCTCCTTCGGGAGCAGCACGCAGAGCTTGGCCCGCTGGCTGCTTGTTTCTATGACCTGCCTCCCGCTCCTAGATCCTCGACGGTGCTTTGGCTCCCTCCTCATATCACCAAGCTCAAAGGAGAGATTACATTCGAAGGATGCTGCTACCTGGGGGTCCCATGACTCGAAGAGCACGGGCCAGAGGCGGTGCTGGCGCGGGCTGGGAGGACAGAGGGGCGTGCAGAAGAGGGGGCGCCGGGCGTCGCCACACTTTACGTGTGCACTATGGACACACCCTTGGACTCTCTGTGGCTTGTGCAAGGACCCTGCTGTCAGAGCCGATCTCGGCCGAGATCCACCCAAGCGCGTTCCGCCCCGGCGCTGGCAAAAAAAAATTGTGGGTGCTCATCGTATCGCACCGACGCGAGCTTCGCATGTTTCCGTTGATGCGTGATTGGAATTTGGAGGTTCTTCAACTTGGAGGCGAAGAGTTGTGAAGCCGAGGTGACACACAGGAAAGACGCATATACCCGCTGATCATCCAAAGCGAGAGCTTGCTGTCTGCAGTCATGCCAAAGTCTGGATTTCGAGCGGCAGCGCGCCGGGTCGGCAAGCAGCGACACAACCCGCTTGCGCGACCCAAGCTGGCTGCTGTGGCGTCTTCGAACGCGTCCTCCTCCTCCTCTTCAACAGCTTCGCTTGCGCAGCAACTTGCCATCGAAGCTGGTATCTTTCCTCCATATGCGGATGGGTCCAGTGGCAACGTTAGCCTGGTGCACATCCTCAGCAAGCTCCCACTCGAGACTGGCAAAGGCAAGGCCTCCACTGCTTCCGCAGCCCCCAACATCGCAGTGAGCGACACCATCTGGGCGCTCGCATCCATCTCGCTGCTTTCGTCCTCACGCAGCAGTCGCAAGGCGTTGCTCGCTCCATCACACAAGCTCGTCGCGCGCATCCTGCATGCGCTCCATGCTGCCGGCGTCGACCAGCAGGAAGGCCTCGAGACGAAGCGTGAAGCAGCGGGTGCTCTGCGTAATCTTTGCATCGAGGCTGGATACGACGACGTGCGCCATGAGATCGCGCGGCAAGGCGGCATAGAATCTCTGCTCGAGCAGATCGGAGTTGTGCACGCATTGATCCAGCAGCGCATTGAAGGTTCTGGCGCCAAGTCCACGCCGGAAGCGCTGGGACAGCAGATGGAGCAGGAACGACAGAAACTTGAGGCGGCCCTACCGACAGCTGATAAGCCTCTCGAAAAGATGAATAGAAAGGAGAAGCGGCATGCAGCGAAAGCAGCGTCGATCCTCGACAAGCAGCAGCAGCCTCCCTCCTCTACCACAGATCGCGGTGCCACCACTCCCTTGTCTACTTCCTCGATGTCTGCAGGACTCAATTCAAAGCTCGCTGCGATCGCACGCGGTGCTCTTTCTTCTGATGATGAGTTTGAGCAGTTGCTATACGAGCTGCAGGACAACCTGCTCACCATCATCTGGTGCCTCGCGGAAGCTGCCGAGGATCTCGTCATTGCCCTCTCACGCCACGCCGCACCGCTCGCTCGCACCCTAAGCACTTATGTGCGCTACGCATCTTCGAAGGCGGCAGCAGTGGAGGAGACTAGCTCATCGTCCAGTCCCGGCTCGGCGGACCGACGCTCCGCCTCACTCAAGGCGCTACTGCGGCAACTAGGCGTGTCCGCTGCCAACGCGCTCTGCGTTCTCAGCGACGACAACCCGGCCTTTGCGCGCGTCCTCGCTGGCGTGCAGCCGAGCAGCCTCGAGCTGCGTGCTCTGAACAAAGCAGCGAAACAGCCCTCGTCGGGTCCGCCCGGGCATGTAGCATCAGGTGACAGCCACAGCTTGGCTGCGGGAGCAGGCAAGAAACGAATGCAAAAGCTGCAGCTGACGTTGCTGACCGATATCGACGTTGATGCGGGTATGAGAGACGTTAGTGCAATCACTAGCGCTGTCGTGAAGGGCTTGAGCAAAACGAACGCCTTCCCTTCTCCTTTGGCGTCACCAACTTCGGCGACAGGCGACAAGGCAGATATCGACATGGCCATGATGACCATGCTCTGCGCTGCCGTACTGCGAAACATTAGCGCCAGCTTGCCGCCCGAGTCGCGCTCGAGAGTTATTCTCGCTTCGAACGGCGCTTGGAATGATGCAGCTACAAATTCAAGTGAGGAGCAGCGCATTTCCCTACCGGCATTCGAAGCGCAGCATATCCTGCCCCGCCTCGTGGAATTGCTGTCAAGCATCAACCAAGGAGAGCTTTGCAGTGAGATCGCAAGGGCTGCACTTGCCACGAAAGAGCAGCAGCAACAGCAAAAGCAGCAATCTGCTAGCAGTGTGGACATGCTAGGTGTCATGCAAACCAACAGTGAGCAGCAAGAAGCGGTAGCACAAGCAGATGAGGCAGAGACGGATGCAGTCAGCAGCGCACGCAAGCGTGCAGATGACTGCCTGCATATTATCCTTCTCGCACTGGAAATTCTAGCCGAGGTGCTGCCTGCACTTGCTGTCCTCGGTGAGGGGTCGAATGTGTCGATAGAAGAGACTGAGTGGCAAGAGGATGGCGAAAATAACGAGGATAGCATCGATGCCGATATGGAAGAGCTGGTCGGCGAGGACACGGAGATGATCATGGATGAAGAGAAGACGGACGAGGATACCAAGGTAAATGGAGCCCATACCGCTACAGCAAGGACAAGGATGACGTCGTCACAAGCCTCTTTTGCTGCATCCGCACTGGCACAAGCCTTTTCGCATGCGGCATTAGTTCCACAACTTTTGCGCCTGTCTACAGCCGAAGATCTTGCTCTTGCATATCCCTCCGTGACCTCGAGCAAAGCAGCGTCGCCGGAAGAGCAAGCTGCACGCGAAGCAGGCGCTGCAGCGCTCCGGCAGGTGCACCTCCGCTCTATCTCCGTCCTGTCCAACTTGCTGCTCGGGCTCGCCGCCAATAGCCCGCCGCCGCCCTCGCAACCCCTGCTGGAGGGCGCAGGTACCCCGGCGCGCATTGCAGCTTTTGTCGAATGGTCCACCAGTGACGTGGTCAAAGCTCGCTTCGAGGAGCTGTGGCAGGTGCTGTTTAGCATCGCTAGCAAGACCGCAGATGTGCCGGCTGTCAGCAGCAGCAACTGCAGCGTGTACGCGGAAGGGCAGGATGGCCGCGCGCTCGTTGAGCAGTGCGTCGGCTCTATGTGGGCCATTGCGCGCAGTCTACAAGGTGACCTGCCACTGTCAATTGCAATGAGCGGCATTGACATTGTCACAGCTTTGCAAGCGGCATACCTCAACGCACAATCCGACCCGATGAGAGCCAAGGCAATCGGCACGCTGGGCTGCCTTGCACGTTCCCCGAGCGTATCCGTCGAGACAAATCGCTCTATCGGCAACTTTTTGATCAACGTCATCAAGCAGCTGCCAGCGGATGGAAAATCCGTCCCTGGAACTACGAGTCCTGAGAGCATGGTTGCAGCGCTCAACGCCATCTACGACGTCTACGCAGACGAGAATGCTGCATACGACCAGCCTGTCTTCCGGCAAGGACAGTTCTCCATCGTGCTGCGCCAATGCAGTAGCAAGGTCCGATCAACGGTGAGACGATGCTTCGCGTACAAAGGTCTGGAACTTCCTTCTTATTTCCACCTCACGTCGTTCTTGCAGACACGAGCTGTGGATCGCCGAAAGTTTGCAAGCCTACGCCAAGCAGCGGACGAAGCGTATGACAACCTCATTGCATTCGTGCAGTACCGGGACAGCTTGAAACTATAGATCTGCATTGTAATGATCATCCATGCATGCCTCTACCTTGCTTTTACCCAATCCTTTTGGTCGCATAAAGAAGACTTGCAAGCGCAGAGTATTTTTAGAAGAGGCCAGTACTGGCACTTTGGCCCAACATAAGGAGAAAGGGTAGTGTCAGACCAACCTCAACGCGGATGACGACGCAGGGTCTCACGCATTAAAGAAGATGTAAACAAGTGACAGGTAGCCGCTGTTGAACGCAATGGTCCTCCAGAGAGCCTTCATGCCTGTGTGGATGTTCAAGTAAAGGTAGACATATATGATGCGGCTGATGACGTAAAAGATGGCGATCTTGTTCAATGTGCTCGGCGGCAACTTGGCGACGATCCCAGTCAACTGCAAGCAAATGCACACAGGTGCGTGAAATGAGCTGCTGGTCTTCGTCTCCATTCACTAGCCTTCCCTGTCGTCGCTCACGAGAGCAACCGCATATATGGGAAGGTGCTCAAACCCATTCTGCTGGCAAGCCTGGCCTTGCAGGACCAGTGTCTCGACTGGCGTCAGCTTGTGTCCCGATGCTGCCTTGAACTGGAGGCCGGCGACCCATCGGCGAGGGTTACCAAGGTCGAATGGCGGGCTCGTCTTGTGTCTCCTGGCTAGAGCGATCGAATACCAGTGTGCTGGACAGTCGGGTAATAGGGCAGCCTCGTCAGCGTCAGAAACATCTTTGCGCACGTCCAGCACTGGAAGCTGGACATTGAACGCTTGTACGCACGCACCGCCGCCAGGAAAGCGACAACTGGCACGGTTGCCAAGCAGACGAAGGGCGAGTTTTGGATCTGTTGCAGGCTCATCGCGAAGAAATATGCTTCTTTTACGCCGCAGCACAGACGGATATGCTGGGGAATGAGAGCACGTACCGTAAACAGCAGCTGCGATGTCTTAGGCTACAAAAAGCTGGTCCGTATACCACAGAAACTGCTGTCGGCCGGCTGCATTCGAATATCGAACACGCATCCTTTAATCTTGCGGTCATCCCTTTCTTTTACTCTGGTGGATCTTATGACGCAACAAATGGAGAGAACGTGAAAAATGGCCCGTCCTTCCTAGTGCCTACACTGATCCACACTGATTAGGGATGCTCGCACAATCCCAGAAAGTGTAAAGCCTCCCAAAAGCAAGATCAACGCGGGACATGTCCAAGAAACATCGATGTATATGACCGATCCCTCAAGCGCAGGGCGACTGGTTTCTCCCTCTTTCATGCTATTCAATTCAGTGTGCGGGTAGTGATGTGAGACGATACAAGAATAGCATTGGCGTCTGCGAGTGCTCTTGTGCAAACAGCGAGAAGTTTGTGTGGCGACCAACTTCCGCCTGATATGACGCGAACCCAGGCGGGTCGACGATTGCTTGTGCGTCTTTCCAGGGCCGAGTCGATGAGAGCGACGACACATCTGCAGACCAAGCTGAGAGGAGGACTGGCCTCCCTATGTGCTCCGCTTGTCGCAGCTTCGCGTTCTCGAGACTGGAATGTATGTGGTGATGAGTTGGGTGTGATTGTCGACTGATGTGGGGGTAATTCTCCGGGGGATCAAATGATGGTTATGTTTTGCGATTGAACGGGGGTAACCAGTTGCGATGCTGAAAGGGAATGAAACGGTGTCCGAGTTGCGATTGGCGAAAAAAGGCTGGTTGCTAATGGCGTTTGATGGTACCTGACCTTTCTTATGTTACTCCTGGGAGATCACAAAAAACAATTGCTGAAGACGACGGTGGCGATTGCGTTGATGGTGTTGCTGCCTACTGGTACAGTGCTGAGAGAGACGATGATGCTGACCTTGTTACCTTGCCAAGTACGACCTGAGAGGGCCACGGTGACGCGCGAGATATGGGAGCCCAGAGTGTGTCGCGCCCGGATCCCCACTTTGAGGGGATGGGCGCGCGCTGCCAACGAGCTCATTCATTGCGAATGCTTCAGTAAACTTGGTTGTTGCCGGTACCGAGCATCCGTGAAAAGAGGTTCGAGCTGCTGCGAACGCTGCGCATGCTCTGAGGGTTCACCATCGTTGGCGGCTGCTCAACATTCTTGCGCAGGCCTGCTGGGATCGCGTTGACGAGGTACCGGTGCATCGCGCCGTGAACCTTGCTATTGTCGACATCTTCCAGCTGCATGGCGGTAGCATGGTGGTTTGCACCGTCAGCTTCAACGGCGGCAACGTGCTGCCGCGAGAGACGCTCCTCGATGCGTTCGTCGTAGTCATCTTCGTCATCATACTCGTCATAATCCTCCGCAGAGGATGAGGAAGAGCCATTGTCATCCGTAAGATCTGCTTCTGATGACGCAGAAGATGAGCTGGCTGTCGAGTCGATCGAGTGATGCCGCGTCATTGCTGCAGATGACATGCTGTCGACACTGTTGTTGGTCGAGCGGTACGCCGAGTTGCGACTCGGTGACAACGGCGACGGTGGTGCATTCTGCGGTGGCTGCATCATCGATGGCTTCTCGGCATGCTCTGGTGTACGTTGGTTCCAGCATGGAACTTCAGAGGCGGGGAGGCGTCGGAAATGCACACGGCGCTCGCTCGCCCGGGCGTAGCGCTCGCGCTCACGACCAGCCTCGACGCCTCGAAGGTACATCTCGCGTCTGCCAGCGTCTACTGGCTCTTCGTACCGTCGGAAGAACGGCGAAAAGTGGATGAGAAGCTCCTCCTCTTCGATGCGAAGATCGTAGTCGAGTAGATAGAGCAGTTGCTTCTCCATCAGGTTGACCTCTGCCTGTGAGAACAATGCACCGTACTTAGTCCAGTGCTTGTTCTTCGGTGAAGAGTCGTTAAGGTACTTGGCTGCTACAATGAGCGTGGCCAAAAAGACACGGTGGCGAGTGCAGTGCATGCCCTTTGCTACCCGTGGCAACCGTGACTTGAGACGGTCCAGGTAGACGAGGGTGCAAAGCAGTGTAGGTACCTGTACGTTGCTCTTCTCGACAAGTATGGCAATGAAAGTCTCGAGGCTCGGCAGGCCGTTGACCTCAAGCTTTCCTGCCGGGTCAGCCTCGGCGTTGGCGATGCTCTTGGTCGGAGTGGTAGGAGGGGTGGCCAGGGGTTGAGGAGGACCGCATTGGATCACGTGTGCAGCCTGGTTGGCAAGATAGACTGTTGAAACGGCAAGCGAACGCGCCGTCAGTCACAGTCCAGCTCTGCAAAGCGGCCAATGGACAACTCACCAACCATCTCCCGGGAGACGGGGCACTTAACGAGATCGAGTAAGGAGACATTGTGTGTCACCTTCGGCAGCAAGCTTGCCGGATGCCGGCGCAGCTGCGAGTTGGTGAAGCCCGTGTTGATGGCAGATGAAGATGCAGGAACAGCACAAGCCATGGTGGACGTGGGGAGGGTAGATATCGCAGAGCTCGGTTGAAGATGGTGGAGACAGGGTGGAATAGGGCGGATGAACAAGATGTAGCAGGCACGAGGTTGGAGGGAAGGTGACGAGGGTGTGCAAAAGGAGCCCGGGGTCGCTAGGGAAGGAAGGATAGATGATGGCAAGGATTAGATGGTGGTGAAGGACGAAGATCGAAGGCGACTACGACAACAGCCGGGCTGTCTTTGTCCTATATATGAAGACGCCTTGATTCGAGATCGCCTGGGTGCCGGGAACTGATCGGAACGGGCGGAATGGAAGGGGAGAAAGCGTCGCGCAGCGACAAGTACGGTCCTGATGAATCGGCGTGCCCAGCACAACAAAGAAGCGAAAGGATGGAAGAGAGGGATAGAGACGGGAGGCAAGAGCGGGCCGGAAGGGAGATGCGGATGGTGGTGATGGTGGTAATGATGATGGTGTTGGAGATGCAGATGCAACTGCGAGTCTTCGAAGCGTGGGATTCCAATGCAAGGGGTGACCGATCCGACGAATATCGGAAGGGGGCGCGCTGGCGTATGCGAGGCGGGTAGGCTCGCGGTGCTGTGTACACTGTGTGGACTACTTGCCGCAGCTTGCTGTGTTCCCTGCTGAAGATTGCCTTTGTTTGTGTGGATGCAATGTTGAGCAGACGACCACTGCGGGCTTTCCGATTGTGGTAACGTTTCGTGGGCACGCGTCAGCGACCGTTGAAAATGCTAGATGCAGGGAGCCCCAGGGTACGGTATGCAAGGTGGTGGTGGTGATCAACAAACGACGGGGTGGCCGTTGGGTCTAGCATGGATGAACATGGGTATTGAAGACGACCTGTATATAGATGATCCGACGATGGTGATGCGATGAAGGCGGTGACGGAGCGTCGATGCCGATTCCCCTGTCAGAGATCTTTCGATTGTGAGTCAGTTACAGAGCCAATCTTGTGGCTGGCGGGCAACACCAGTGAGCAAGGTGGAAAGCAACGGCAGTTGTCTGAGGGGGCGAGTGTGACCAAATGGTAAACAACAGTGATCCTGCTCTGCGATGCACCTGGTGCCGCCTGCCGATCAGAACCTCAGAAAGTAGCTGTCAGGGTGGGCAGGCCCCTCACTCCCTGCTGCGGCCTGCACCGTGCAAACAAAGTCATCACCTCCCACGATGATCGCAAGTGATGCATTCGATTGATGGCGGCCCGTCAGCCGACGCCCAGGGCAGAGTGTGGGCCAGAGTGGGTATGAGAAACACGATGCTGTAAAAGTTCAAGCAATGCTCAAGCTCTGATCTTCGCTTCCCCCTTTCCCCTTTGCTGGATCTAAGATTCGCACACCAGCCACGGCTTCATGCGCTCCACCCAGCTCTGACAGGCTTTGCCGCAGGTATGTATCGTCAGATCCACTGCACTCCCCACTCACTGATGGTGCACCTATCAAGCGGTTCACAAACGTGATACTGAATGTACCCCTTAGGGGCTTGCTGGCTGCTCCGCCCTGCGCCAAGCATTTGCATTTGCGCCTGCGTCAGATTCCAATTCAAGGACGGTCGCGTCTCTCTGCATGTCGTCCCTGTATTCTCCTGTCGCAGTCCGCGGCTCTAAAATCATTCTTTGACAGGGGACGCCTTTAGACGCGGGGGGGGGGGAAGGTGGGCGGCACTGGCGCTGCAATCTGCAGGCCGCACGACCACGGAATACCGAGTATCGGGAGTTTATCGTACAGAAGCAAGGAAATACACGTAGAGGTTGTGCATGCAGGAATGCTTGGAATGTACATGCAGCCCGCAAGGACGGCCGCACGGGGATCGACGGGCATGTCGCGTGAACAGTGTGCGAATTTTTGATGCCCGTGCTTTGGCTCGGCCAGTTGCATAAGGCGCAGGAGGCAGCACAGTAAGAGTCACGTTGTCGCATGAGGAGGCTTGGAACAAGTAGACCAGATGGGCGCTGGTCTGCGTGGGGCGCTCGGTTCCTGTTCAGGTCCCAGATTGCAGGCTCGCAGCACTGAAAAGAATGTCAGCAAGGAGGAAATAGGCGCGCGGCTGTGGACATAGCCCAACACAGTCCTAGTGCCAACATGTTGCAAGAGCGGCATGCGCATTAACCGACAGGGCACCACACTGAAAATTGACACTGCTCAAGAGCGTTGTCAAAGGGCAAACCGCAGGAATTGTCAGGGGCGGCCAACTCATAACACAGTGTCCCGCCCCCTTGCGGAGTTGCACGGACACAGGCTGGCGGCGGGGCAAGCTGCCTTACACAGGTCCCTGTGCAGCTTTTGTGCTGCGCAGTGGCCTCGTCAGTTGTCAAGCAGTCACCCTTCTTCGTTTTCCTCGGAGAATGTGAAAAGGTGTGTCTTGAAAACTTCTAAAAGTGCAGTCGTTGGCGGGCAAGTGCACAGATCCAGGGACCTGGTTTTGATTAGGTACAAAGCTGATCCGAAACTCAGTGCGAAAGGTTGGAGTCATGCGCTCTGCCGACTCTTGTCATTACAGCGATGGGTCGGTGTGTGTGGCCCTGAGCGTGTGAGCAAGCTGCAAAGGAAAGCGATAGTCAGGTATGTTGTTGCATATAGTGCACAGCTTATGCTGACAAGGTGCCTACACACATCCTATGGAGCGATGTACTACTTCGCGCTTCTACGCGAAAGCGAGGGTTGAGCCTCCGAGTTCTGTATTGTACTGACGTGGTGACGGGGCTTGGGTGGGTATGACCTGGTACCTAGTGGCCGGAATGTACGAGAGTTGCAATGCCGACTGAGCCGAGCGGCACCTGGCGGGAATGGTAGGAGTCGCCGTGCCGCCCAGGTGCTCCGCTTTCGACAAGCAGTATAAACTTATGTTTGTTCTGTACAGCTTGCCGTGTTGCCCAGTGGCCTTTGGCATGTGCATGTTCATTGCTACAGTAACTATGCCACTCTACAATGTACGCCCGCGCATGCCCGTTCCATCTTCATTTGCTCTGATCGTGATCCTCTATCCCTGATTCCCTGATCCCCTTATCCACTGATTCCCTTATGCCCTGATCCCTTGATCCAGATTCTAGCGTACTTTTTGCTGGTGGTCATATGGTGTCCTTCACATGTGTTTGCATGTTCAGGGTCTAGTATTCACTAGTGGACTCACTAGTGGACTCACTAGTGGACTCACTACTGGAACACACACACACGCACGCAGGAGGACGTCGTGTGAGCATGTGAGTAGGCTCTTTCTCAACCCCTACTCCTTATCAGATTCTCTCATTGCTGCGCGCTTTTTCAAGCTGTACGAGAACAGCTTCTATCAATTATCTATCTATCCACCTGTCTAGAAGAATCCAAAGCGCGATACATACCCATCGCCCATTTCCCACATGTACCCGTGCGGCGCGCAGCAATCTTCCGTAAAATGTGTTTTGTAGCCGTGCTCTTATTGTGCGTCCGTGTCTGTCGGTGTGACTGTTCGTGACGCGCTCTGGCATGTGACGGACCTGCTGTGACCCGGCCCATAATCGTAAACTTCACTCCTCGCATTTGCTCCAGAAACCGATACGTTTCCCTTTCGAACTTTTCGTACATAATGAGCGCGTGTTTGTGCAATTTGTGCCTGGTGTGACTTCGTGACATGTGGCAGATTTTTCAAACCATAATTTAAAATATCTTATGCTCGTACATAAGAATGTTGAAAGCACTCATGCGTACAAGACCTGCACAATGCTTTGAACGGAGCGGATCGCAAAACGCTACGGACTTAACTATATTTGCAGTCTTGCTTCTCAAGGGCCTTCACAAACTAACTTTTATCGTTCCGCACTCTGGTTCCTCTTTCGAAGTACCGCGGTCACACATTATGCACCGAGATGTCTGAGCCTCAGGGTGTAATCGCCAGTGTGCCTGAGGCCTGAGCACTACATTCCAACAAATGCCGTTGAAGTATTCCAATACATCTGGACAATCTGACAGTCGACAGAGTGACGACAGTCGGGCGTGTGACGCGACAGACTAGTAGGTACATATGTACTTGTACATGCATGACCGCGTCCTGGAACCGTACTGGCGCGGTCGGTCATCTTGCGATCAGTGATTTCTCAAGTTTCTCGGCGATCTATGATGCAGCCAGTCCTTCCTATTCATCATTTCGCCCCTCAGTTCATCTCTCTCGCACATCTCTCATCCGTAATGGCATCAGATATTCAGCTAGCATCTTGTCCATGGATTGGGGGTCGGTCATCGGTCACCAGGGATATCCAAAGGTTCAGTACCTGAATCCTGAATCAGCATCTGGAATTCAAACCGAATGTCTGAATATCGGTGAGGATCGCATCTGAATCACAAGCTGGCCCGAGTTTCGTGCGCTGTGTTTAACGTGTTACACTGGCGTTACTGCAGGTGCTACAGGCGCGCTGCTACTGTATTTACGTGAAGACATGGGTACACACTTCAGCTTCAGATGTCAAGAAACCTTTCTCGGCCGGATTGAGGCTTAGAGCTGGGTACTGCTTGCTCAACCTACTGAACCACTAACTACATACTCGTTACTGACTATTGATCCTGACTACTAACTCATCTTGCGCTGATTGCGTTGGTTCAACCTGCCGTTGCGGGGCGTCCAATCTGCCCACTGCGCAGGCATTTGGCTCTTGCCTTCGATATCATCTTCTCTATCAATCTCAAGCCTAAAAACTCAACATCAAACAGCCTCAGAATCTCGGTGCCGCTTTCAGATGGCACCTTCTGACTATATTGTTTCCATTGGATAATTACGCATCGCTCAAGACGAACCCTCGCTTTTCAGGCTTCAAATTTCAGAGCCTCAGATTCCATAGCTTAGGAGTGCTACAGAGAGGTCAACCCAGCTGGGCAGTGCCAGGCGGTGGGCGCAGGGCAGTCTGTGCAGTTCTTTCTTTCCATAACTAATGTCCCATAGAAAGCCGTTTCGGTGATGGGAAGCTCGCTACTGAAGTCGAAGCGCAACTTTTTGAGATATGTAGCCTTTGGTGGTACTACAACCTGTACATTGTACAGCTCTGGACCTGAGCTCTGAGCTCTAGGATCTGAGAGTTGGGGCTTCTTGTAGATATGCATGCACTTGCACTTGGGACCTGCCGGTGTGGTTTACTAACTTGGGTGCCCCAGCACTGCTCCGGGCTGCTCCAGCAGTTTCGACCTCGAAGCTTCGATGGAGTTGTGAGATTGAGTGTACAATATTAGCAGGGAAAGATCTTTCACTTTACATACAAAAACATCTGCCCCAGCGGTGCAATTGCATCGTATGTATTCTCTTGCGCAATTCATCACAAGCAACTTGGCGCGCTCAGATGAGGTTATCCTGGCGTGCCAGGGTAGACCAGAGGGTACTCATGGTCCCCTGCAGATTGGACAAGGAGTCAAATTGGGAGCTCGGCGCTCGCACGAAAATCGCTACATAGTGATTGCCTCTGATTGCCCAATAGACACTTTCCTGCGTTTTCAGAACAGATATTGGAGTCTCTAGGATACTACTAATTCTAGTACTAGGCGATTGCGAGTACTATGTATGTATGTGCATACGATAGTCACACATGAAGTGTTATATACATATGCAAGTACTTACTGCAAATGCGTGCACGCGACCTATTGTGTATTGCATACATAAAAACATAGAGATCGTGTTACATATATACATGTCTGTTTGTATTAGGTGAGCTTTGAGGTTTGCCGCTTGCCGGTATGTCAGTTGTTCAGTCCAGTGCTTTCATAGATTGGGTCCCTGCTACGCCCGACTGGAAACACAACCGTGCATGTATGCAGCATGTGCATTGTGCACATGTTCATGATGCCTAAATAAGGCGTAAATTAAAAGTTTTCCATTACTATAACTACAGATGCAGGTACAGGTGCATGTCCTGATTATTCACACAAGTATAGATTACTGATATGCAAAACACAGACAAGAAGCACAGAACACAGATGGGTGGCCTTTGCCTCGCCTCCATGCATATTTGTCTGTTGCCCGGCCGGCAATATCCCTCGTTCCATGCTCGCATGCCCGTCGGGCTACAAAAGGGTAGACATCACCGCATCAAACGTCGAGGGCATGAGGCATGGGGTATCATGAGGTCTAATGGGCGACGAGGCATGAGGTCAAGAGTGTCGAATATTGCATATTGCGTATGGAGACTGGAGCAGTGTGTGGTGAATTGCAAAGTGCGGAATCCAGAAGACGACAGACAAAAGCGTGCACACTGTAATTCGTACACGCATATTGCGGAGCCTCCTGCATCGACGTGCAGCCAGCGGGAGTTCCGTATCTCACAAGCGAAAACCTCGGGGTTGTGATTCATGTCAGCTGCGTTCTTCCGTGCAGCGGATTACTGACGTACCTGGAAAAATAGTACACTTAGTTACCAATGCGAATCATTTGCAAGACTTCAGATTTAAAGAAAGCAGATAACTGTCAGCTGTCGCGCCTTGAACGGCAGCAAGTCGGTATCTCTGACCGCCTCGAGAGTGCCAAGTCGACAAGAAGCGTTGGCCGCGTGTATGAATTGCGAGTGTGATTGGCACAGCAAGCCCTAGGAAGTAATAATCGAATTTGCACATGTTGTAGGTTGATAGATGCGATGTACATGAGGAGCATAGATTGGATGGACAATGACGAAGGCGAAGTGTAGCAACTTGTGCGAAGTTAATGTCATAGCAACGCTGAGCGGAACGAGCTCAAAAGCCCTTGTTCAAAGCACCTAGCAAGAACTTCTTATGGTACAAAAATCCACAACCGTCATGAAGCTAGAAAGCTTGCCTGAAGCCTATTACAAGCGATCAAGCGCGTCGAAGCTGCCATGCCTGATGCATGGAAGGTTCTCTGTGCACGGCCTTCTAGTATCCTATAGCTCGCTCTGCAAAGATCGACGCTCAATTGATCAATGATAAATGCATTAAATGGATCCATGTCAACTGTCCAGCCTCCAACGACCAGTTGGTCAATGATCAGCCAGCAGCCATAAATAAATTCTCAATCAGTAATAAGTGATTGGTTGCCAATGAACAGCACACCCACAGGTGCGCGTATCGCAAGTCCCACATAATCAGCTCCCTGGAGGACCATTGCGAACTTGCAGCGATCGGAATCCGGTAAAAAATTGTCGATTCACTCTTAGGCCCTTCTGGATTTGACGCGCAGCCACTGCGTAATGTTAGACCGCCTCCCGAGCTCGATCACGGTCTCGCGCAAGCTGAGATGCTGACTCCTAGAGTACTCCGTGGCCCCGCATCAATGTCTTAAAGGGACTTGAGAACCCAAAGATGGCTCGGCCATCCGTTTCCGAGTCGCGGCAGGTGGCGGAGATGATGATCACGCAGCTGCCCCCTTCAACGAACCCGAGAAAAGACGCATCTCGTTGGCAGACGATGGTCCAACACCTCACACCACCCAGCGTGAACCTCAACAGCAGCAGCCTGAGGCCAATTCTATCAATGCTTCGCATTTCCTGTATTCCGCATCTATATATTCATCCATGTAGACTGTATCTATGAGAACCTTTTGTACACGGTGTTACACACGACACGCGTTAAAAACAAACCCAGAAGTGCGCGCTCCATTCTGCAGCATATGCCAAACAGGCGATACCGATTGGCAGAGAGAGAAAGTTAACTGGCCCGGCGCGAGGAAGAGCGTGCACTGCGTAAACCACTTGTGAGTAGGCCTCGTCGCGACTTCTCTCGTCTTTGGGGGGCGGAGGGAGTGTTGCGATGATGTTCGATACTTGAATAGGCACGAGACAGATAGACTTGGCATCTATCGAGATTTGAGCATCCGCGCCAGATCGCCAGGTATATCCGTCGTCCCTATCCTGGAGTATCGCATACTCATTTGACAGTGATAGAAAAGTCCATAGTCCGAAGAGTGGCCTGGCCAGTGGTCACTTCCGTATGCTGTCTCGCTACTTCACTCGTCGCACTTGAACTCTGCAGTCCTCACTGTTGGTTTGTACATAGTTAGCACCTAGATAGGGTTACATACGCAAAACAAATCTTGGGACAGCTTTCGAGCATCAACGACTAACCTTGTCATCGTTTCAGATTCCAGTCTCCGCTCCATGGTACAATACAAAAGAACGATGTACAACCATTGCGCTTTTATGTGGAAAGCGACGCATCGCACACATGGGTACGACATTACCCTTTGGAAGAGATTCTAGACACCTCGTCCGATGAGCACCAAGGAGGCCGGGGGCATACCTCAGTGGCACACAAAGCTGCAGTAAGGGATGATTGCGCCCCCGCGAATGCGTGGTTATTATGATTGGCGGACAGGCGTTCAGCGGCGTGCAGATCTTTCCCTCGTCGAAACAGCCCGACGGACGCACAGCCCTCCCATCGGTTGAAGGTATACTTGCGCAGGTCTGTCCCATACTCCTGAAGGGCCTCAACGTTCAAGGCACTGACTTGGCCCCCCTCCGACCGACACACGCTGCAACTTCTCGCTTTCACATGCAGGCGCAAAATATCAGGTCTGACGTTTGGGCTCCGGTGGGCGTTGTGACGCGAACACTCATAGAGGATGGATATGCCACGTGTGGTCGCCCGACTGAAAGTGCCAGGAAGCTTGCTGTGGTCTCCGACGACCTGGGGAAATTACTTATATGCAATGTTGGCGGTGATAGAGGAAATCTCCTCTGTGAGTCGCAATTGCAAAGCGCGCAGCGCAAGACTCACTCATGTTCAATGTCGAACGAAATTTCAGTCATATCTGCTGTTCGCCACAACCCGAAAAGAGCGCATGCACAAAATAATCATCCTGAATCTGACGATCAACGTGCGGATCGCGAGGAAAATGATTGCGTTGCAAGAAGTAAGGTCAAAGACCAGAGCGGGCGAGTTGCCGCGCCACTGTGGGAGGCAAGGGCGTCAGCCGTACCAGCTCATGCGTTTGCCAGCGAGATACTTGATGTGCAAGCCGCGCCCCTGAAGCCGCGGCAACTTACACACGACCCCGGGCGTATGATGTATCCGAGTGAGTCTCCGGCCAAAGGGAAGGTCTTACGCATCCCATCCGATCGCTGACAAAGCCGCATCTTAGATCCTTGGATCGCAATCCGTACAAGAACAAGGCTTCTGTTATGCAGCGTTATCCCTTCGAAAAGTATCGATGTGCAGAAGCGCGGTTTTCCACTGTACTCGCTCCGGCAAATCACCGAGTTCAGCTCGCCTTGCGAGCAAGGGCGCAAGGTCAGCTGGGCCGACATAGCATTTCGACGCGAAGACAAGACTCAAGCGGCACTGATCACAGAAACAGGTCACTTTGCTAGCTGGAGCATCGATTTTCCAGTGCAAGGGTGAGTCTCTGCGTCCGGTGCATGTCGTATGCTAGCCTGACACATGCAAGTCGGTAGGCGCAAATGGAGCAGCGGCATGATGATTCGCTCTCGTGAATCGTTCGACAATGGAAACTCCGGCCATGATTCGGATGCCTCATGGCGATTGTGTCAGGGGCCGACGTCATACTCGATTCTTGCACACTCATCACACACCATCTACCATCAAGACCTCAGAACGGCCGAGGCGAAACAACTTCTCTACTCTGCCAAAGTTCACCCTTGGATTATCGCCAAAGAGCGGATCACCAGCATGACCTCAATAGAGGACAGGTACTCGTCACCGCTCTTTTTTGCGAGCACCACTGGTGAAGTGCTCTGTTTCGATGCACGCAAGACAAGTCGTCCACTTCTCACATGGCAGCATGGGCGAGGGCCAGATACATCGCTGGCATTGTCCGCCGTTCCGGACACTACGCAAATCTTGCTTTCCTCAAGCTTTTCCCGCTTGCTCGTAGCTTATTCGGGTACTGGAGTCGCGCACTCTGTGGCTGAGCCTTATCAGGTCGCCTCAGGACTACCTATTGGATCTTTGCAAGGTGCCCTGCCCGTCTGCATCGATTGGTCATCATTTGAAGACGACCATTGGGAGGAGCGGACCGGCTGCTCGCATGCCTTGTTCCAGATGAGCTCGACGGGCGCAGTTGTGGTCTCCGGACTTTCAAGACATAATGATGACTCGAACGAGGCACGTGGAGCGCACCTCTCAGCGTTAGAGCCTTTCCCCATCAGCCTGAACGGGCCAGGAATGGCCTTGCTTGCAGAGCTTGAGCGACGCGTTAGCAATCAGGCCGACAGAGAGCGCGACTTTGAGCTCGTCAATCACGAAGCGGTCTGGAAAGCGGCTACCACCGGACAATTGGTGCCCGATGTGGCGAAAGGGCCAAGGGCGATTGTCGAGGAGGCTCAGGAGACTTGCGCACTATTGCGCGAGGAGCAGGGTCTTCATGCTAACTTGCACTATCTGCATCTGCCGTGAGTCGCCAAGCAAGCTGAAGCTACTGGCTATTATTGAGCATATTCTGCATTTCATTACAGGCACGAGGCGTTGCGACTTTTTACCTCCCCAGGTCAAGCGGTCGCAAGTGGCAGTCATGGCTTCCCCATAACACCTTTTCGCGCCTTGGCTGCCTCTTCCGCAGCTCATCAGGCGTACGACGAAGTGCTTCAGACACTGGGAGACGAAGCTGAGCAGATCAACTTGAAGGGGTCGCTGCAAGATGCACTGGGGGCTGGCGTCTTTTCGTCTGACAACTTTGGGAAGGGGATAGAACATACGTGGGCATCGAAAATCCTCACGTGGGACCTTCGTTTATCGTCGTCCGCGATTAAGCCCGATGGCTTTCGTGCCGAGTCCTTGCAGAGAGACCAAGCTCAACATGGTACATACACTCTCACCGATGACTGCCTCGTGCTCAGATCGAATAACGAAGCCACACAGGTGATCGGGAGTGCACCGGAAAGGCCGTCTTTCAGCACACTCGAGCCTTTGCATCAGCCAGGTTCCTGGTCACTGCAACTCCGCAACAAGAACACAAGGGGCTCGAGATCAGCCTTCGCCGATCGATCAGAACTTCAGGGGCTAGGCGAAGTCCGCCTTGGGAACGGAGCCAAGCTCGTACTGGATGATTGGCAGCTGGGAATGCCCCTGTCGGCAAGTGTGTACGCTGCTCGACTTGGTCGCGACGACCGTTTGCCTAGTGAGAACTCTGCACGCGCGAGCAGCGTCAGCACTTCTGCTGCCGCTAGCTTGAGGAGGTCCGCTTCGTCCACAGGAGGCACGCCCGTGTCTGGCAGCTCGCCGCCCCCAACTCTTGGAGCCTTGCAGATTCCTCGCCCGACATTTTCGTCATTCCAGCCACCGGCCATTGCTGCCTCGTCGCAGCTGGCAAGTCGGGCCCAGAGGATATCGCAGGTGCAGCCGCAGCTGCAAGTGCATATGCGCAAGCAGCAGCACTTTGAACAGAAATTGCAGCGTCCTACAAATAGCCCTCTATCTCGACGGCCTGCCTTCCCCGTAGAGCAGCCTCAGCGTTCCGTGCATCCGCATGCGTCGATGAGCCAACCGGTTCAGCCTTCACACCGCAACGAAAGTCAGCCACATGCGGCTGCACAGAGGGAGCACCCAGCCACGCAAGGAGCGGGTACACAACAAAGCAGCTGGCCGCAGAGAAAGAAGAAAAGGTTGGGTGGCTTCTAGAACAGTGCTGTGTCAACGCCCTCTTCATTCGACAGCGAAAAGCGTCTATTTACTGCTTGTTTTGGAGTGTGGACGCATGGCCTCCGCGTGCCATAATGCATCATAGCTTGCCTGTCTGCCCAGCTACCGAGGCATCAGCTAATGTCCAGCGGTGATCCATCAGCTTTCCCCATTCATGCATGGCCTTATTTCCCTCTGGAATAGCCGGCGCGAGCCCATCTGGGGTATCAAGACATTTTACACGCGGCGAGACTAGCTCGCCCCCGTTCGTACCGGCATCGGGGTCGAGCATAGCGAGCCTGTGCATGTGGAGGAAGATGCCGCGCGCTGCGGCGGGCCATAGATGCTCAGGATAGGACGCATAGAGCTTTGCGACGACCTGCTTGATGGACCATGCCTTCTCTTCACCGGCACCTTTTGCTTGTTCGTCTAAAGCGGCTGGCGGAGGTTCTCGAAGGAGGGCGATTATCTGGTTCTCGCGCTCAAGACGATGCGAGTAATATTGCGCTAGCATCGCTTTGCCTTCTTCGATGATCGGTCCGTGTGCCGGGTAGAGCGTCACTTCTCCAACTCCGCCAACTCCTGCTTCTGGCTCCTCCAGCGCCTTTGAGCAGCGCTGTAACGAGCGCATGTACGCGCCGAGATCTTCAAACACGGATGTCCCCTGCCCGAGGACATGGTCGCCGGTGAACAAACGGCCCTCTTGCTCGAAGAATATGCAGACATGGTCGCTGGTGTGGCCGGGCGTGTGCAGTGCCTTGAGCGTGATCTTCTCAGTGAGAAGGTCGGAGAGCTGGATCGTCCGCGCATCTTGGATCGTGTGCAGGCTTTTGGAGGATGACGGAGGGGGTGAGAATGCTGCAGACGAGGGGTCAAGCGAAGCAAGCTTGTGCTCGATATTGGCGTCGGTCGAGTGAGGAAATTTGTGGATCCGAGGCGGGCTTACGCTTGGGGGCCTTGTTCGATGTAGCAACGCAAGTACCGCATGAAGCCCGCCGACATGGTCGTTATGCCAGTGTGTTAGAATACTGTGGGGGTATTTGGACGAGCTTTCTGTAAGAAAAGGATGCGGAAAGCGATGCTGGCCACTCACATATCAGTCACGAATCTCTTCGCCTTGCTGCTCTCGTGTTTTCCTAACAGGACGCTCTCCAAGAGCGGCTCATAAGCGTCGATGCCCTCGCCCGTATCGACGAGCACGGACGGGATGGCCTCCTGTGAGGAGTCCGAGTCTGAGCCCGAGACTGCGACAGGCCCCGAACTTTCAGGTGGAGAGATGAGATATGTGTTGGTGCCTTGCAGCGAGAAGCGACCCGGATTCTGGCCCAGAATCCGAAACACGCAGTCGGAGAGACGCGTGATATTCGGGATGGCCTTGAGAGCTTCCGCCATGGCGTTTAAGTGGGGAGAGGATACTGCGGATTAGATCAGCGGTTTGTGAGGCTGTCGCACTGCAAAATAGAGCGGATTTTAGCATTGACTTACTTGATGGCGAAGCGTTGGGCCAACTGTCTATTCTGGTCGTCCGCACGTCGAACGCCCTAAACCAGTAATTGAATGATGCGAAGGAGTGGATACAAGGTGTGTGGTCGTACAGCGACATGGTGAGGGCTGAGTCGATGAAACGGGGCAATCAACAGAACATTGCCGGCCCGCCGGGTGGGCGCAGTGGCCGAACATCCGGATGGTGTACGGACTCGGCAGGACCCTAAAGTTTAGATGAGCTGAACCTAAGCATTCCCACTTTGGTCCTTCCGGCACATCTCAGCCATATCCCAACCCTTCCTCACAGGTCTCAACCTTTTCAGTTGTCCATAGAATCTGTGCTCTGAATCCTTTTCTGCCAGAATATCTATTTTTTGACACTTATCCCGTTTGTCTGTCCTTGCTCACCAGCTATGAATACAAGAGTTTCGGCAATCATTGGGCCACTACGTTCGTTGCGTGTATTTCATTGCCCCTGGTTCCACTCACACGGCAGTTCTTCCGAAAGGGCGAGACGTGGCGCAAGGTCCCTCCTTGGACTTCTACGTATTTCGACAAGGATGAAGACGTGCCTCACTAGTCTTCATCGCAGTAACCCCGAGTAACCTGTGGGCCGGCGCTGTGTGTGGCCAGTATCATCGCAATTTGGATTCGTACCAATCCCATGCTACAGGTCGCACACCTGTACTTATACAATCATTCGCATTCTGTTGCAAAGGCCATTTACTACTGCTTTTTGGATCCATGTCGCGGCCGCTTGCCTGCTTTCAGTGCACTCTCACCGTTATCTGCAGGGGCAGAGCGTTTCGTCGAGCTGGATTCCACTGTTGATGTAGACTGTGCAGGCTGCGATCCCAGCACGACCCAGGCCCAGCAGGCCATCTCCAACGTCTCCATGGTCTTCCAACCTTCTTCTGCCTGCAGGCGGCGCTGCATCGCTTCGCGAAATTGCTCGAAGTATTTGGCCGTGTATTTGGGCGTGCCGAGTCCCATCGCGAGGGATGCCTCGTCGGAGAGGAAGGGAACGTCCTCGAATGCATATGTGGAAAGGATGGCCGAGGCAGTCGCGGGTCCCACGCCTTTCAGCTCGCAAAGTTTGTTCATCACTTTTGACGGTGCGGCGGTTCCTAGCTGGAGTGCTTCCTTCGTTATGGCTTCCACATCTTTGCTATCGTTAGACGAGACGAGGCTCATGAGAGTGGGCCGGAACTTGCCCCTCTACGGGCCGAGCGTATGTCAAGTCAGAACAGAGCCACGGGGGTTGTGTGAGTAGCATGCAAAGCAACGCCATTGACTCTGGCCCGGACCCACAGCCAGCTTCCATTTCATAAGCTTCACGATATCTTCTTTTGTGAGATATCCCACCGTCTGGATACGCTCTCTGAGGTCGCCTCGAAACCACGCGTCGAGCGCGACAAGGTCATTGGACGTCTTGGACGAAGCTGCTTTGAGCTCAAGGGCGCCGCTGTAGTTTGCAAGCGCAGCCTTGAGATCCTCTGAGCTGGCTGTCTTTCCCATCGTCAGGGAGCCGCTTGCAGCTGTAGCTGTGACATGATTGCAGAGTCAGGCTTGAGGACGGAAATAACATTTGTTGACAGAATGCGTTTGTTATGACTAGACACAATCCGTGACTTTGAACCAGGCTGAACCCAGTTCTCATTCCGCGAACGACCCCAACTTGACCACCAGCAGCTCTCGCCACATACAAATAACTCCCATGGTGTCTTCCATCGTTCCCTCCTGTGTTCCCTCTGGGCTTCATCTTAGTGTCAACACCTTGAATCTCTCCTTGGCCTCAGGCTCCTGCCGATGATCTCGTCTGTTGTTGGCACCCATCCTTGCTCATTGTCAGTCGAAATTCACGTCCCGACCTTGACCTTGGGAGAGCATGGTTGGTTCTCAACGAGTGACTGGTTCGCCGCTCGGGACAGTTCCTTTCCTGACCAGGCTGATCTCAACAGCTCCTCTTGTATGTGTAAGCATCACCAATGTGCTCGTGACGCGACATTAATCACATGACGCGACTTTTGACCTTGCCTGTGTTACCTTCCTTCTCCTTACTCTCTTTCATGCAACTAATTATACATGGTATTGAGTGAAGCATTGCAACCCGTCCGTCCGAAACGGGAGCACAGCGACGTGCCCCTTTCTCAGCAAGGGCTTAAAATGAACTGTGAGCCATGTCACTTTGGGTGCTCTAGGTGCAGAATGCAAGCTGAATCGCTTGCGGCATTCAGCACTGCTTTCTTATGACAGCGAAGAAGAGGAAAAGCGGCCTTGTAAGGCCCTGGCAAGCGACGGATCTAGCAAAGATGTGAGTTGCGTGATCGGTACCATCCTGTCACGGAGAATAGCGCATGGGAGAATAGAGATGACTGGATGACTTTGCCCCTCCTTGATGAATCTTCCTTCGGACCGCATGCTGATGCCCAAGGTGTTTCCCGCACCTGCCGGAACAGGTCTCGGACCAGGTGCGTACAAATGACATGTTCCACGTAGTGAACGGCACTCAAAATATCGGCCGAATCTCATTCTGCCCATGCTAGGCGCCTCGTCAAGCTCGATGACTCCGCTCTCCAAGCAAGGCTCGCCGTTTGCACCCAATAAGCTAGGCGTCAAGAAAAACAGCTCCGGGGCAAGCAGGCTCTGCATTACTAGCAGCGCAGGCGACACCGGTCCTTCCTCGCTTCGGATACATTCAAGCCCGTCGCGCAGCCCTTCCATCCCAGCTGATGCCTCCTCTTCTTCATTGGACGCAAAGGGCAAGGGGAAGCGGGTGCTGTGTGGAGAAGACGAGGATGGAGTGGAAGGAGAGGAGCGGCTGGGGCCGCCTCCGCCCGAAGGCCAATTGCAAGCAGGTCGTTCCTCAGTGGATGAGGACAGGATATTCATTGAGGGGATCATGCCGTCGTGCAGGAGCGATGGAGATGCATACTGGGGTCTTCCACCCGTGCCCGACACTCCACCAGATCCAGGTTTGCAGGTGAGAAGCTTTTGATTTCTCGCTTCCTAGCACTCGAGGATGTGTTGCTGGGCACCGTGCGCTGATCAGGCTCGCACCAACGACGTTCTCTCAGGCCAAGCTAGCCGAGTTCCATCGCCTGAAAACCCAAGGCACGCATTTCAACACGTCCCTCGCCAGCAACCGCGCATTTCGCAACCCGCACATCTACGCGAAGCTCGTTTCATTTGTCCAGCTCGACGAGTGCGGGAGCAACTTTGCTTCGATGACTTCCAAACACGCGTGGGATCCGAAGAGCGCCGATGTATTCCGGGAGGGCAACGCCGAGTGGCTCGCCAATCTCCAGCGGCAGGAGTTGGAGGAGCGGCAGAAGACGCAAGCGCAGGGGCTGCGATCAAACATCGAATTCACCTCCGCGTCCGCGCCTGCGTCTGCGAATCCAGGCGGCAGCGCTGGCGCCAGCAGGCCTGCCTGGGAAAGAGACCGGCGGCCTGAAGGCCGTATCAGCAGTACGGCTGTGACGAAGAGGCACCGCCATCATCACTAGGGCGATGCGCGCATCACATTCCTGCGTTCGGTCAGGTTCAATGTGAGGCAGGCGCTGAACGTTTTTGAGAGGGCGCATCGGCGGGCTGCGCGGCAAATGGCCCTCTTCCAAAAGTCTAGCGGCAGGAAATGACGCAGGGACGGCGTGCGACTCCCACTCGTAGATGTACATACACATTTCCCAGCGGCTCGTAGGAGCATGTATGACTTTCGGTGCAATGAACAAAAAAACCGGACTGACGTGTGCTTCTACTTGCTTCTCTCGTTCTACACGCGACCACGCGTTACCCACAGAGCGCTGTATGGGACGTGCTGATGATGGCTGGCAACGTGCGATATGCGAATTGCGCTGGAGTCTGGACACGAATCCTAGCTTTTGCATCTACATACTAGCTGTGAGTTGTCTTGATAAAAGGCTGTGGTGAACGTAGAATGTATGTACGTAATGCATGCATGTAATACTCGCTCGCACATACTCCTACGGTTGATAGAGCGAATTTAAGGGGGGGCGCCCCGTTCCGAGGTTTTGGATTGAATTGATCTCTGTCCCGATCCGAAGGGAGCTACTGGTATGGCACCAAGTCCAGTCTGATGCTTGCGCCTTTCGGCCGTAAAGAACCTTTAACTCATTGCACAACAGATGTGCGGTGGGTGGCCCAAGCGCACTACGCGAAGCAAGCGCAGTGTGCCCACTACACAGCCTGTAGGCGAAGAGTTCATTCATGCGCTCTTACGCCATACTTGCGCTATATCTGTTGTGGGCGTGCTGTTGGTGGGAGCGAGCAGGGTCTTTGACTCCATACAGTCAGGCTGTGCCCTGGTCGAGTCTGCCCTCTGCAGACTGGCCTTGTCTTACGTCCACGCCATACTCGTTCTACCTTTCTATCTACGCCTTCTCTGCGTCGTTCTGCTGCTCACGTCCACCTCGCCTACCCCGTATAGATAAATACCCATCGCCCACTTGCCTTCCCTACCACGTCTGCTCCATCTCTCCTCCCCGCTCCTTGATACCATCAACGGGAAATGTCCGGCCTCGTCAAGCGTCTTTCGAACCTTGGAAAACCAAAGAAGGAACAGCAGACCCCCGCTACCAGCACCTGTAGCACTTCAGCAGCCGCTCCTGCCGCCACCCCCGCAGGCATATCTACCACCACCATCGCTCTCGCTCCTGCTCCTGCTCCTGCTGCACAATCCGAGCCCACCACTGCCGCCGTGACTCTGCCAGCTGCACCCACCACCACCATGTCTGCCACCAAGATTGCAGTCGTTTACCACTCCGTAAGTACAAGTATGCTGCGGTGGTTTTGTCGATGAAACAAAGCGCTCATCATCGGCTGACATGCATGACGCATCCACAGCTCTGGGGACATATCTCGACGCTGGCCGAGGAGGTCGCCGCCGGTCTGCGCGACTCGGGCGTACAGGTCGAGATCTTCACCTTCGCCGAGACCCTCTCAGACGAGGCGCTCGGCAAGATGTACGCCAACAAGGCACTCGGCGAAAAGTACCCTCACATCACGCCAGAGAAGCTGGCCGAATTCGACGGCTTCTTGTTTGGCTTTGGCACCCGCTACGGCCGTGCGCCCGCACAGGTCTCCGCCTTCTTTGACAGGACCGGCGGCCTCTGGGCCAAGGGCACGCTCGTCGGCAAGTTCGGCGGCATCTTCACCTCCACCTCATCCCAGCACGGAGGCCAGGAGGTGACTGCACTAACGACTATCTCGTACTTTGCGCACCACGGCATCACCTTTGTCCCCATCGGCTACCAGTTCCCTGAGTTGACCAACCTCACCGAGGTCCTCGGTGGCTCGCCCTGGGGCGCTGCCACTATCTCCGGTGGCGACGGCTCCCGCAAGGTCAGCGAGATAGAGCTCAAGGTCGCCAGGGGCCAGGGTAACTACTTTGGTAAGACGGTCAGCACGTTCGTTAAGGGCAAGAGCGCCTAAGCTGGCCAGGTACATAACTTTTCAAACTACGCCGTATGCATGTTCCGTGGGTTTCCTTAGAGCACATGTACGCGACCCTGATAATCAGTATTCTTTCCAGAACCTAACGGATCGTATCTCCGAATATGCGCCCCATGTTGCTTTACCCGCTCAAACGTAAAGCACATGCGAGCGAGCGCAAAAGCGTCTCACAAATCACGCCGCTCGGCTCTTTCCCTTCTCATGTACCCCTTCCGTAGCCTGCGCAGGCACGCCATTCCCACTGGCTCCAGCGCTGCCTCGTCGCAGGTTGGCCAGCGCGTTGAGGTTGAATGAGGGCCGCTTGCCGCCTGTCGCCGCTGACGGTAACGCCGGGCTGCCGGCGTCTGCTGCTGCTCCTGGCGTCGGTGGCAGTGATACGTGTGATGCAGGCGATGGAGATGTCGGCCCTGGCTGCACCTGCGCCTGCGTTTGCGCTTTTTCTGCTTCCGAGAGCAGGAACTCGACGAATAGGTTCGAGAACGACTGCGAAGCCGAATGCAACGGCGCATCAGCCGAATGCTCCACTGTTCATCAAGCATGTGCACGTGTGAGGACTCACCTCCTCGCCTCCTGACCCGCCACTGCCGTCGAACGGTTTCCCGGATCGTCCGCGCCCGTGACCCTTGCCTTGCCCCCCTTGTCTGTTCCATGTGCTCTCGACGCCGATCCCAATGTATCTCCGCCCTGCGCTGCCCGGCGTTCGCTGCCCCTGTGCGTACCCCTCACCGCCACGGCCGCCGCCGCTCTCAGCGAACCCGTCTTTGCGCGCGACGAGCCCGGCCGTCTCGCGCTCGTCGTCGGTCCAGTGCAGGACGGACGCGATGAGCGAGAGCATCTCAAAGCGCTTCGCGTCCGCGCGTGACGTCGTCAAGAACTGCAGTAAGAGATTCGTCACAAGTCGTCGGTCCACAGTCGCATCCGAGCCTTCATTGCGTAGGCGCCGAAGAGCTTCGGTCAGATGCTCATTGAGAATGACGGCTGTGCATGCGTGCATGATGAAGGCGGAAGTGTGTCAGAACTCTGCTTGTGGTCCCGCTGCTCCCACCATTGCGGCCTCACCTTCGTGGCGCAGCTTGCCGATCAGCAGGTGCTTCTCCTTGACGTCCTTCTCGAGGACATTACACCTTCCTGCTGCGCTTTGGTACTCTTGCAGCTTGGTCTGTAGTATGGTCGGTCACATCAGCCATCCGCGTCTCCCGCTGGCCGGCGCCCTTCGCTACTTACTTCAGCCTGTTTGGCCCTCTCCTTGTGTTCCTCCAGCGCCTCGGCGGTCCGATCGTACTTTGCCTGGTAGTCACCGAGCGCGCGCTGCAGTTCGCTGTCCTGGCTCGCCTGGAATTCTTCCAGCACAGACTGCATCTCCCTCGCAGTCTGGCTCTCCCTCTCCACGCTCGCCTCAAGCTCCTGGACTCGGGCCTCTGCCTCCTCTCTGGCCGTTTCCGAATGTCGTAAGCGTACCTGCGCTTCTTCCTTCGATGCCCGCTCGCTCATGCAGTCCGACTCCCATGATTCGACGTCTATCCGCAGCTTCTCGCATTGTTCGAGGATGTCGCGCGTCCGACGCTCCAGTGAAGCGATCTTGTCGTGTGAGTCAGAGTCGTTTGTACGAGCTGCGGGTCCAGACGAAGCTTTTAGCACGGAAAGCTCAGAGGTGAGCTTTTCGGCTTCCGCGTTCGATGCGACTAGCTCTTCCTTGAGCGTGTCTACTGTGTCCGTCAGCGCCTCGGTCTTGCTTGCCAATGCTTCTATTTGCGCCTCTTTCGCTTCGAGCTCTTCCTGCGTAAATTCGCGCGCCCCTGCATAGTCAACATCTGCACTATTAAGCGCGGTGGATGCTTGCACCATCGCACTTACAGCATCCTGCCTCAGCCGCTCTCCAAGAGTACTCCGCATTTGCGTGAGCTTACCAAGGAGGCCCTTGTACTGAGCCTCAAAGTCATCTCGCTCGCGCCTTGCGCGCTCCAGCTCCTGCTTAAGGCCTTGCGCAGATGTTTCCCCAGGTGTTTCCTCGTCGACTTCGTCATCTTGCGGCCAATCTGATGCTACCGCTCCTGCTTCGATCCCAGGCACTTTGCTGCTGACAGCAATCGGGGCGTCAGCGCTATCCAAGCTGCTCTTGCCGTTCGCTTCAACCGCCACGGCAACCCCGTTCTCCGCCGGCGGCGCGTTGACCTCGTTCGAGGCCATTTCGGCGCGCGGGCACGTCGACAATCAATCCGACACCGAGCAAGTATGTCGATGGCGAGCTTTCATCACTTTGATCCTTTCGCTCGAGCCTGCTGGCACAGCCTTGTGCACAATCTCTCTTGACTGCTCGTCATTCAAGCAGACGATGAAAGTACAGAAAGAGCTGGTGCCGGCGGAACTGACTGTTGGCTCTGTCAACAACGTCGGGCCCCACACTGGACTGATGAGAGTGCCATCCGCCCAAGCACTGATGGAATCTGGAATCAGGCGTGCTCTTGTCATGTACCTTCGACACGCAATCGAGGTGCTGAGCATACTTCCGCACACGACGCAAAATACTGTGCTTGAGGCAGCTGGGCACTGCGTAGAAAGTGCAGACTAGCTTCGAAAGCAATCTTTGCAAAAGGGAGGAAACAATAAGGCTTCCTCGATGAACGAGGTGCATCGAAGAGCGTCATCCCAGCACGTCGTCGACATGTCCTCCACTCCGTTATCCACTTCCAAATACAGGTGAGTCCAGCAATGAAGATATTTAACCGGGGAAGGTGGGATCAACTTACTCATGCATCCGACTCCTGGCACCAGCGTCATCCTGCCGACCTACAATGAGCGACGAAATCTGCCCGTCATCATCTACCTGCTGTGCAGCATGTTCCAGCAGCAGTCGCTAAACTACGAGATCATCATCGTGGACGACAACTCGCCAGATGGGACGCAGGACGTTGCCAAGCAGCTGGCAAGAGTATATGGAGAAGACCACATCGTTCTGCGGCCGCGGGCAGGGAAGCTCGGCTTAGGGTGAGTGGCAAGGCCTGCTGCCGCTTAAAATGCTACAGCATACCGACTTTGCGTTTTGACATAACACCCCAGGACTGCGTACGTGCATGGGTTGGACTCCTGCACGGGAGAATTTATCATCATTATGGACGCAGACTTTTCCCATCATGTGAGTCGCATCCGGTGCCATCAAGCACCTGTGCAATGGAGAGCTTGTTGCTAAATGCGTGCTGGTTCCACGGCCCGCTAGCCCAAATTCATCCCACAGATGATCGAGATGCAGAAGCACGAAAACCTGGACATTGTACAGGGGACAAGATACTCGGGGGCACACACCGGTGCCGGCGTCTACGGATGGAACCTGAAACGCAAGCTCGTCAGCCGAGGCGCCAACTTGCTATCCAGCTTTGTCCTTGGGCCTCGAACAACAGATGTGACGGGGTCTTTTCGGTGAGGATTCAGGGTCTGCCGTTTGCTCCAGCAGTGCAAGGCGACATGCAGCTCACTAGATGTACTCTTTCCCTTTCCTCGCCGCACGACTTCTGCAGCCTCTACCGACGACCGGTGATCGAGAAACTCATTCGCGAAGTGACGTCCAAAGGCTACGTCTTCCAGATGGAGATTCTCGTGCGGGCACGCGCATCTGGCTGCACCATTGGCGAGGTACCGATTACTTTCTGCGACCGCGTCTTTGGCGAATCCAAACTGGGCGGCGACGAAATCGTCGGTTACGCAAAGGGCGTTTGGAACCTCTTCATCAGCATTTGACCGATATACGATCTTTCTTTTCATTTGCGATGCTCATGAATAGAGCCCAGGGCTTCTTGCTTTTCACCAGGAGACAAGGGCGACGAGCTTTCCCGCGTGAGAGCCCGCGTGGTAGTCCTCAATGTCCTTTTCGACGACGAGCTCGCACACGTCGGGGAAGTCCAGCGTGTTACTGAGCAGCGAGCCCTTGATGTTGACATCGCGGAAAATGAGTAGAAAGCGCGGGATGGGGATCGGGTCGAGCGGCTGGCCGACAAACATGAAGGCGCCGTGCTTCCTGAACCCCAGGTCGATCTGGAATGCAGAGATAGCATCGGTGGTGACGGACGATGGCGTCTACGGGCCCGCCGCACGCCTGTACGGCCGAGTTTGACCTGCTCTCTATTGACCAGCGTGTTGGGCGCGAGCACGACGCGCAGTCCCCATGTCTTTGCGATCTACACTCCGATGTGGCCGAGCGTGCAGCCGCCGACGATGGCGACCACGCTGAGTGCCGGACAGAGCATATGCCTTGGACGCCGTGATGGCTGTGCCCCCCCCGCGCGCAAGTGTATCAGGCAGATGTACCACCGAGCAGTAGTCGGCCGCCATGTACTCAGCAAAGCCGCCGTCGGCGGTGACGCCCATCCGGTCTTGATTCTTGCAGAAGTTTTAGATCTTGGCCTTGCAGTCGTTGCATTCATCGCAAAAGTCTATGAATGCGAAAAAAGGGGGGAGGAAGAGCAAGCCGCATGCCAACACACTCACCTCCGGGTCGCTCGGTAGGTCTCAACGAGGGGGTTGGGATGGGGTTGGACGCTCACAGGCAAACGCAGCGACACGGTCGCCGGCCTCGAGCGGTTCTTTTCCGCCGGTGCCCTACTCGGTGTTGTTTGCGCGGCCTCTTTTCCGTGCGCGACGACGATGCCGCGCATCTTGGACGGCAGCTAGTGCATGGCAGACACGGCAGGTTTGGATCATTTTCCTCTCCCTACTCAAAATGTTGTCTTCTCACTTTAGTACGGGTCTGTGTGATGGGCGATGGCGGGCTGTTGTGAACAAAGAAGCTGGCGGGTGCTCCCAGCATTTCTGGCTCGGAAGAATTGTACCCAGTGTATCCACGATGGCCTACCATACAGACAAGTGGTGCGCACGCCATCTGCCAGCTGAGGCCTCCTCACCTGGCGGGCGTATGTCGCTCCAGGGCGTCTATCCCGTCTCGCTGATGATGACGTCGAGACTGCTGGTGGAGAGTGGATTGGGTCCGGCCGGTCTGCAGTTCCGAATCCCGCATCCCGCATCCCGATTTCCCCCGCGCTGATTGTTTCGGCCGACAGAAGTGTAGACAAAAGCTGAGTGGGCGGAGGTACTTTTTCTGCTAACGCCCGAGAGACACTGGCCGCACATGTGAATTATGGATGACTCCACTCTTTCTCATCGATAATCGGGGAGAAAGGGTGGGGAGGGTGTCGTTAATGTCGGCTACACAATAGATTGCAGGCCACCTGGGACGTCCCTAACCTTCATCTAGACGCCTTTGGTCGTACACTCTCGCCCCCCTGCCCGTCTCTTCGCGGCGGACACCCCCCTTCACAGCCGCTAGCACCTGCTCTCGCACCACCCCAGCACCCGCTCGCAAGCATTGGCAATGCCGGGCTCTCCACGCCGCCGCGGCTCACAGGACGGCGAGGACACCCCTCTTTTGGCATCGACATCGGTGGAGGCAGATGTGGACGCACAGGTAGACTCACACGACGGCCGATCGTCCTCGTCCCAGGACCACCAGCACGCAGCATCCGAGGAGTCGCAGCACCGCCGCAGAGAGACGCCACTGCCATGGCGCCAGCTCGGCATCCTCATCCTCATGCGCTTCGCCGAACCGATATGCTTTACACAGGTATGGATAGCGCAAGCAAAGGATACTTCACGAAGAAGGCCCGGATTCGCGCTGACTGCTTTGCCCTTGCTCCGTTGTTATCCTAGATTTGTGGGCCTTGCCGTGGAGACATGACACAATGCCAAGGAGGAGATGGTCTGACAAAACATCTTCACCGTGCGGCCTTGCAGTTCCCTACGTCAACCGAATGATGCTGGATATCGGGGCGGCACCAACGCCCGCCGAAGTCGGTGCGTGTTTGAATGTCGCTCACTGGCCCAACACGTAGCACTTTGCATCTGGAGCTTACACCATGCTTTGTTGTTTCCCTCAGGATTCTACGGCGGCCTCATCGAGTCACTCTTCGCTCTGACGCAGCTCTTCACCGTCCTCGGCTGGGGTGCGCTGTCAGACCGCATTGGTCGCAAGCCGGTCATGCTGATGGGCCTGATCGGTACGACCATCTCGCAGCTTGCGTTTGGCTTCAGCAGGTCGTTCGCCTGGGCCACTGTCGCGCGCTGCTTTGCCGGCATGACAAACGGAAACGTCGCCATCATCAAGTCCATTGTCGGCGAGATCACAGACTCGACGAACCAGGCGCGCGCATTCAGTCTCCTCCCGCTCTGCTGGGCCCTAGGCTGCACGATCGGCCCGCTCATCGGCGGATACCTCAGCCACCCCGAAGAGCAGTACCCCGGGCTGTTTGACCGCGGTGGCGCCTTATTCGTCAACGGCCTATGGATCGAGTACCCATACCTCCTCCCCTGCCTTGTCTCGGCATCGACAACCACGCTCAGCATCATCCTTGGCACCTTTTTCTTGGAGGAAACCCTTCCGTCCAAGGTCGAAGAGCGCAAGCAGCGGGGGGCAGCTAAAGATGCTGCTGCTGCCGCCTTCGTGGCTGTGTCTGCGGAAGAGGGAGAGGCCATGCGGACACCGTCAAACGCAGCAGACGAAGACTTGAGCAAGCGCCCGCTCCTGGGCTCGCCCGCCATCTCGTACGGCGCAACAAGCGGGAAGAGCCTCTATACCGCGTCAGCCAAGTCGGCTTTCGCGACGCCGGCAGCAGCAGCAGCCGCAGCAGCCGCAGTTGCAGTAGCAGAGGAGCACCCGACGGATAGCCCAACGACAGACAGCAGCACTGTCATTATTCCCGATCATGATGCGGCGGCGGGACAGGCGTACGACGCTGCCGCAAATGGCCTTCTCAAGCAGAGCCTGCGCCGATCGCTCTCCTCTGCGACCGGTGCAGCACTAGCTGCAGGCGCGGGTGACGCAAGTGCGAGCATAAGCAACCAAGTGCCGCCTGGATGCTTTGCGCACGAGCGTCGCATCCGCTCAAGAGTGCGTGTCGGACAGGTGCAGTGCTGGGTCAGCGGCTTCACACCTTCCAGCAGCCGGGGAGCAAGCAGAGCGTCTAGTCCGGGGCCCCGAAGAGGCTCGTCCACGCGCGCCGGCTCGGGACCTGTGTCGGCGGGGGCGGGCAATAGCGACAGCATAGCTCTTGCTGATGACGAAAACACCACAGGGAAGCAAGGGAGTGGCGTCTTCTTCATACTCAGCTTCCGACACATCCAAAACGTCCTTCTGAGCTACGCGTTCCTTGCGCTCTGTTCCGTGTCGATAGATGCGGTGCTCGTCCTGTTCCTGTACGAGCCCATCTCTCTCGGCGGGCTGTCGTTCTCGTCGCAGCAGACCGGCACACTACTCTCCGTCTCCGGCTTTGGCTCCGTCTTCGTGCAGCTCCTTCTGTTCCCATGGCTGCAGAAGCGCACAGGCACACTCCGCTTGTACAGGTGGTCGCTGGCATCGTTCCCGCTCATCGCGCTCATCCTCCCGCTCGCCAACCTTGTCGCGCAGGCCGCACGCCCGCCACCGAAGGGCGGCGCTGACCATCACGATGACGACGGCAGGAAGAACATGGCCGAACTGCTGCCCGCGGCGGCGCAGGCGTGCATCTGGCTGCTGATTCTGCTGGCAACTGTGCTGCGCATGCTGAGCTCCATGTCATTCTCGTGCAACATGCTACTCGTCAACCAGAGCGCGACGCTGCTGCGCGCCGGCGGCGCAAAGCTCGGTACACTCAACGGC